AAAAAAAAAAAAAAAAAAAAAAAAAAAAAAAAAAAAAAAAAAAAAAAAGAAAAAAGAAAAAAAAAAATCAAGGTATACATTTCCATATCAAGTCTGCACTATTCTGTGAATTATGAGCATTTGGATGAACCCTCTGAATCTTGAAATTGACTTTACAACTTTCCACCTACCGCCTCCCATTGCTTTTCAGTGCTCTTTTATTCGGAGTTAATTTTGTTTTGCACTATGGTTTCTCCATTCTTGATGAAAAATTATCACCAAGTCGTGCAATTGTGTCAAGCCACTATGTAAGCTGAAAATTAATAAGGTGGTTACATTTTATAAACTTGTGCATTCTCTTCATAGCCCTTCCAAAACCCACAAAATGTTAGCTAAAAATTGTCTAGGAACCAGATTGGTGAGTCCCAAACTTTTGCGAACATCATTGAGGAGCTTCCATCCATCTGTAGTAAAATTTCAGCAGCAGTCGCAGCCTAATTCAAAAGAGCCTAATATTGAACCAAAAAGAAGACCATTGAGTAGAGTTGCCATTGGTGGCTCAAAGGAGTCAACAAACAAGTACTATAACAAGGGAAGCGGGTTAGAGTTTGCTACTTGGAAAGCGGTGGTGTTACTTTTCGTTGTTGGTGGTATAGGAACATATTTCTTCCAGAAGGAAAAAACAAGATTGCACGTACTTCGAGAAATGGAACAAAATCGTAAAATTGGAAAGCCGTTGATAGGAGGTCCTTTTACTTTGCAAGATACAAAGGGAGAGAAATTTACCAATGAAAATTTAGTTGATCCCAGGGGTAAAAGATTTTCCATCTTGTATTTCGGGTTTTCTCATTGCCCAGATGTTTGTCCTGAGGAGTTGGACAAGTTGGGCGATATGTTGGACATATTGAGGAAGAATAATATCGAAATACAACCTGTGTTTATTACATGTGATCCAGCAAGAGATACTCCGGAAGTTTTGAGCAAGTATTTGGAAGATTTTGATCCAAGTATAATTGGTTTAACCGGAACATATGATCAAGTGAAGAATGTATGTAAAAAATATCGTGTTTACTTCTCAACGCCTCCAGACGTGAAACCAGGCCAAGACTATTTAGTTGACCACTCGATATTTTTTTACGTTTTAGATCCAGAGGGTAATTTTGTTGATGTGATTGGAAGAGAGGCCGGTGCGATTGAAAGTGCCGAAAAGATTACAAAGAATGCAGCAGCTTTTATTCCAACAAAGGAAATCGAAGCTAGACAAAAGAGTTGGTTGGGATTCCTTTATAAGTAAACTTTAATACTTTAAAAACGTGTATATAGTGTCCTTGCCTAAACCGCATATATTATTTTGATATTGTTTTCACACTTTGACACTACTCTTTGGAATTATATCACCACTACTTATTGAAATCATCACTTTTGACTCTACTCACGGAGAAGCAGACTGTCGACGATTTGTTTCTATGGTATTCTGAAAAGATCAGATACTTTTGTATCATCTAACTGGATGCACTGAGTTTGTACACTGGCTGGTGAAATCTAATTGATTGCTTATAATATATTCATAAGTAGGATGATAGAGAGAAGAAGAAAAAAAATGTATTTGGCTGCGAAAAGGTAAATGTGCAGGCCTAATTTCCAGGTGAAAATAATTGTTGTGTATCTGGAGTCGAGTATGTAACACAGTTATCATGTAAAGAAGATGTCAATTTTCTTTTTCTGTTGCGGTCAAAGTATTAGCTATAATCGTGTAGTTGTGTTTATAATTATTTTGGTGGAATGTCTATTCTCTACTACTCATTTATAAATAAGCCAACCTACCCCGTAAAGCATCTTTAAAAAAACTCTCTATTGTTTAGTTTCAAATCAACATTCGATCCGCCCTTGATAACACTATTTTTCTCACACTAAAAGGGTAGAGCAAGGGTAGTCTACAAAAATAACTGCCTGCACTATTTATTTGATGTGACCTCCGTCCCCCCCTTCTAAAGGGGGTCTTTTATCTATGCATTCGGGGAGAGAGGTTGCAGATGAAAAAAAAAGGGAAATAAAAAAAATGAATTCCAATTTAGTTAAGGTACTTTAAGGAAATATCCCTGAGACTCAAAGAGTTTTTACTTAACCATGCGCTTACAAAGGTATATCCTGTTCACAAAAAAGTAAGTAGTCCACCTTTATGAGCTCTACGAGAGAGTTACCCCTTTTTTTCTTCACTCTTTGTAGTTGTAACAGCTTTCAAAGAAATCAATCTCCAAGCCAACGGTCTTGACAAATGTATCATGATTGATCTTTTCCTTTTCCTCAGAAGTAATGCTTCTTTCAACTTCGCGTTGTAAGAAATCCACCCATTCAATGAAATGTTCGCCACTATGCAAATCGATCCAAGTTTGGAATTTCGGCGCAAGATTAGCGACTATTGTACCTCTTTCTTGATTATATTCAACCCAGGCTAAATAAATCTTTTCCATTGTATAACATAACGTTATTAATTCAATATATGTCTTTGACTCGTGGATCATGTATTCCAAGTATTCAATATACTTAGTGACTGCGGGCAAAGTTATACCATTATCATTCCTCATTTTCGGAATAACTGACGACAAATCGTTATCTTTTTCAAGTTCGGCTAACGTTTCTCTAAAGTATGTATTTTCGTCATCAGCTAACCATCCAATTTGTTTGGCTAATCGAATTGAAGCTCCAGGATCGTCACAAAGTGATAACGTCTTTCCTATCAAATTCAAGCTGAACTCGAAAAATTTCAAATCTTGAACCAAATAAGTGTATAGTCTTGAATTTGAAAGTGTTCCTTGACACAATTCATTTGTCAATGGTTGACTAATTGCTTTGGTATAAAGGTCATAGTTATCTTGAATAAGCTTCTCCATGATGATGATGATAAACGAATGCTAGGTCTCAGTCCTGCCAAAAAAGAAAACTCATAGCGAAATATACATATATATCGACGGACTCTTCTTTGAAGAAAGTCTTTCCCCTCCCCTCTCCCCTTGTTATTGTAATGGAATATTTCGGGAGAAGGCAGAGAAAAAAAAAATTATTATTCTCTTCCAGTAACCGCCGCATAGTATGCGCTTAAAAGACTTTTCCTCTCTGGCTGGTTCAAAACTTGGGTTCAGTAGCTAACAATGAAACAAACCGCAATGGGAATGGCCCTTTTTTATCCGCTTTTGCCTGTACTTCCATTCATCTATAAATCCTGAGGTTATTTGTCTATATTTGGCTTGGTATTTTTTATATCTTTTTTGGCTAGTAGAGATCAGTTATGGTCATGTCAAAAGAAAACTCATCTAGCTTATCACTGAAGGAAGATGTTGTGGAAGCATCTTCGAGTAATGTTCAAGAAGATTCATCTCGCGCACATCCACTTCGTTATGTAAAATGGATATACCTGTTGGATGCATTTGGGGTCGAAACAAGAGGAATAGAAAGAGTTTCGCCAGAGGAAAGGGATCAACTTGCATCATCTTCATCCCCTTACATCCAACTATTGCAAGTTGTGGGATTATGGTACGCTGCTTGTGGTGGACTTACTTCAATGTCGTCATTCTTCTTACCTACATTATTATTCGGCTTAACTCTTAAGGATTCAATGGTTAGTGGGTTGATTTCTATGATTATTGGATGTTTAGTTCCTGCTTATTGCTCCACAATGGGTCCCAAATCTGGTTGCAGACAAATGGTGACCGCTAGGTTTTTATTTGGACAATGGGGAGTTAAAATTGTAGCATTAATTGCCATTGTTGGCGGTATTGGATGGTCGGTTGTAAATTGTGTGCTAGGAGGTCAAATGTTGGTTGCCATTAATAAGTCAGTCAGTTTATCTGTCGGTATTGTTGTAATTGCAGTGATTAGTTTAATCGTTGCAGTTTTTGGAATAAAAGTATTGCTCAAGTTCCAAACAATATTATCCATTCCCATTTTCGTTGCTTGTATTTTGTTCTATGTCGTTGTTTGCAAAAAAATCGGTTATATTGGTAAAGCAAATGAAATGGTCCGGGAAATGAATACGTCCACCTTGACTTATAATGGCAACTGGGTGTCATTTTTTACGCTTGGGTACTCGGTAACCGCAACTTGGGGCAGCGGAGCATCAGACTATTACATTTTATTTCCAGAGAAAACATCGTCAACTAAAGTTTTCTTGATAACGTTTTTGGGAATTGCTCTACCAACGACTTTTGTTGCTGTTTCCGGAACGTTATGTGGGTCAATTGCCTTATCTTACCAACCCTGGAACGACGCATACAACAACCTTGGCGTTGGCGGTCTCATTGTCGAGACGTTTTCGCCATGGGGTGCATTTGGTAAGTTTGTTAGTGTTTTACTATACTTGTCCTTAATTTGCAATAACATCATGAACACTTACTCAATAGCATTTGAGTTTCAGTTGATTGACAAATTGCTCGTTTTCGTTCCCAGATGGCTTTGGGCAACGGTTACTACAGCGATATACATTGTGTTATCCCTTGTTGGAAAGGAACATTTTCTGACCATCTTGAGTAATTTCTTACCCATGTTGGGTTATTGGATTTCAATGTACATAGTCTTGCTTCTTGAAGAAAACTTGATGTTCAGATCAACCATCAAGGTGAAAAAATTGCATGCAAAGGAATTTGAGAGTAAAGGAGGAAAAGAGAAAGAAGAGGAAACAAAAGAAGAAGAGGATGACGATGACGATGATGAATGTGAACAGAGCCTGAAATTTGAGCAGTTATATAATTGGAATAACTGGAATCGTCCGAAAAATAGAACATTGGGTATCGCAGCCTGTGTCGCGTTTTGTTGTGGAGTCGCTGGTGCCGTTGTGGGGATGAATCAAGTTTATTATAGAGGGCCTTTGGCAGATAAGATCGGAGCAAATGGTGGCGATATTGGCATGTTCTTGGCTTTTGGATTTACCGGCATCACTTACCCTATTTTAAGATACCTTGAGTTGAAAAGGTTCAAACGATAAAAAGAAACTCAATCTCGACACTAGCGAGCAGAGCGAGATAGTGGAGCAGCACTCACTAGCTTGTTACTATACTGATGAGCAGAGCGAGATAGTGAAGCAGCACTCACTAGCTTGTTACAATACTAATGAGCAGAGCGAGATAGTGGAGCAGCACTCACTAGCTTGTTACAATACTAATGAGCAGAGCGAGATAGTGGAGCAGCACTCACTAGCTTGTTACAATACTAATGAGCAGAGCGAGATAGTGGAGCAGCACTCACTAGCTTGTTACAACACTAGCTCGCTTCGCTCGCTAGTGGAGCAGTTATGACTGCTACTGAGTCGCTCCGCTCAATAGTGTTGCTGACCTGCCTTAAGTAAATTGATTCATTTTTGGAATAATCTTTTTTCCCCTTCTCTTGTGGTAGCAGTAGTAGTAGTAGTTAAAGTAGTTGGGGAAATAAAACTAGTATGCTCCACTATCTCGCTCTGCTCGATAGTGTCGTAGTTATCAAATGACTTCGTTTCTAACCCTTGAGCAAATCAAAACATTCAATGACAAAGGCGTGTTGTGTTTACCCAATTTCCTCTCACCCAAAGAAACCGAATTGCTTCTACAAAGATCACGAAACCTTATATCAAAGTGCAACTTAGCCAATCATCCAAAGACAACTTTCAAGACTTGCGATGATGATAATATTGGCGATCGTTACTTTTATGAGTCAGCCGATAAAATATCCTACTTTTTCGATACTGATGCATTTGATAAAGATGGAGAGCTAGTTGTTCCCTTGGACAAGGCAATAAACAAAATTGGACATGGCTTGCATATTCATGATGAAGCATTCAAAATAACTACGTTCAGCACAAACGTTCAGAAAATTGCCAAAGACTTGAGTTACACAGATCCAAGGGTATTGCAAAGCATGTGCATATTTAAACAGCCAACCGCTGGTGGTGGTGGTGGTACAAGCAAGGATATTTCCAGAGACAATGCGGTACCACCACATACCGACGCAACATTTCTATTCACAAAACCAAAACAAACGGCAATTGGGTACTGGTTTGCTTTAGAGGATTGTACAGAAGAAAATGGATGTTTAAAATACTTACCAGGAAGTCACAAGAAATACCCTGTCACTAAGAGATTTGTACGAATCAATGGTTTGAATGGCGGGTGCAAGTTTGAACAAGTTGGAGAAGAAATACCAGTAGAGGAACGAGAGGAGGATTATGTGACTCTCCCATGCAAAGCGGGATCTTTGATATTAATAAACAATTCAGTGTTGCACAAGAGTGACAAAAACCAGCTGCAAAACTCACGATTTGCTTATGCTTTCCATGTTATTGATGGTATTGCTGAATATGATGACAAAAACTGGTTACAAGTTCCTTATGAAGGCGGCTCTGAGTTTTCAAAATTGTATACTCTGTGAGTATCATTCAATGGGACTGTTATTGCGCAGAGAGTGAGAAAGAGAGCAAGCAATAGCCATGCCAGTATCTTGGCAACTTGGAATAAGCAAAACTGATTTATTATACATTCTCTAGCGAGCAAAGCGAGCTAGTGGAGCAGCACTAACGAGTTTGATTGCTTCTCTCCTCGTTAAGAATTACTTTTCGTACTTTTCTTTCTACTTTTATTTATACATATATATATACGTTTTGTTATCTGACTAGCAAATAGACCCTACACTTTTCCATCATCATCATCGTCATATCATCTTCAATGTTTTTAACAACTCAGTGAGTTGACATCGTTCACCACCTTTCCTTGCCAGCTATAATACTTGGACATGTCAACATGATGTTTAGTACCGTTTTCTTCATATGTTGAACAACCATACATTGCTGCATATGGTGGTGTGTATAAATGTAACGATACACTAATCTCGTCCAGCGTATTGGTGATCTTGTGCAATCCGATTTGGTCGGAAATGTAACCAACTTGTTCCTTAGCTAGTATAGTCTCCTTACTTAGCTTTGGTTTATTCTCGCCATCCAATTTGTATAAACTTTCAGTTAATTCTCCTTGAAGAATCTTCATACAACAATGTGCTTTGGCGTGATCATGTATTGCGCTTGATTTATGTGGCAGCCATACCAATATGAGTAGATTGGCATTGCCATTAATGTTGACAACACCGTTTCTCGAGTAACTCTTTAGTGGGTCATGAAGGGCGAATTGCGACCAATCAGCAGGGTCCGACTTGTACAGCTCCATGATTTGCTTTATCTTGTTAATATCAATATCCTCTGACGATAAACCATGACCGCCCAAAATTTCTCTAAGTGAGTCTATAAGTTGTGACAAGTTTTGATTTGGGTGGAATGCATCTAAAGAAGAGGTTTGGCATGTTGAGTTGATTGGTCCTGAAGAAAGTGTGTTATTGAGATGGCTTGTGTTTAATAGCATTGTGGATCTAGTAATGTGACTCCCAAATTGTTAAATTTTTTTTTCTTCTAAATAGCAAGGTTTTCAAGTTTTCCAGTTCCGTATTTTGGTTCTGGGTTCTGGTTTAGTTAGCAAGATGTTCTAAATTCTTTTGGGATTTATAACTTGATGAGCGTCTTACTTACTTAGCCTGGAAAGAATCAGTAAAACTCTAAAAAAAAATTTATTATTGGAGTTTAGAAATCAGAGAAATTACATGGGGTTTATATATCGTAGAAAACAGCTGATAAAGCTCTTCCATAGCTGTTATATTCCTTCTTCTTTTTTAGTTATGGAAGATATGATCGAGATTTCATCTTAAACTAGTTTAGAGTATGAATATAGATAAATTATTTTTGAGGGGTGTGAAAACAATAAGGGAGCGGTCGTACTAAAGTCGGCCCATCGAAAAGAAAAAACAAATTCCCGCACTATTAATGTATTAGAAGTTACCTATTTGGGAAATGTACGACATACAAACTATATTTCAAAGAGTTTGATTGGTTAAAAGTAGAAATAGCCGCCGTGTGGCCAAAATACACGACCCGATTTAAAACAGCATTGCTGCTTTAAGCTTTTACTATTATTTGGCCGGATAGCAAGGGGAAGTAAAAGCTATAATTTTTCTAACCAAGTTGGGGACAATAATCAAACACAAGAGAGACTCAAGAGAGACCTAGTCAAACACAAGAGACCTAGTCAAACAACGGCAAGATTTATTGCGTGTACTGTTTAGTTGTACAAGATGACTTTCAAATGAGTTTTTGTTTTTTGTTTCCATTCGCAATAATCAACGGCATTTTTCCTTATGATTATTATTTTATGCAACTCCACATAAATTGATGAAACAGTTGAAGTTAACACGTATTTTAAAATTAAGAAAACAAACCTTGTCCAACTACACGGTAAGTTTACGGTCACTGATGAACGTGTTTTGGACTTTTTTCGACTTGTAATCTCCATTCACATGTGCTTAATTTGCAAATGAATCATCTTTGTCAAGTATTTTTCTTTCCTTAAAAACAGTACAAGTGGTTTGCTTACTACTCTTGATTATAACCAAAGCCGGTTTGATGATATAGATCAGTAAATGATATCAAGTAATAAATATAAGTGAATGAAAACCAAAAGATAATATTTCCTAAAAAAAAGTCGGCTTTTATTTCTTCTCGATAGTGTCTTAATAACCTACCGCCACCGACACTATCTCGCTCTGTTCCATAGTGACTGCTGGAAAAAAAAATGGAAAGTCATTTGACAGTCGGGGCCGCTACTCCCGCAAAATTACCAAATATGGAAATTTTCTTATTTTCTCACATTCTCTTGACTTGTTTTATTTTTCATCTTTCGGAATAACTTACTCTAGCTTCACTTTTGCTATAAAAACGAAATCATACTTTGCAACATATATGTTCAAGTAAAGAGATCGTTTAAGCAGGTGGCGCGTTAACCAGTAGTATCTTCTTTTGTGTGTAGTGAGGAAACCACGTCTAACCCCTGTGTTACTTAGCAAAAAGATTTGATATTCTTTCTCCATTTTGATTTTTTTTTTTTTTTCTAATAAACTCATCGTTGGAAACGTTTATCACAACATTACTCGTGACAGTACGCCACAATATATACTCAAATTTCATAATGGTAGAAAAAGATGAGATGCTACGAAGATGTGAAAATTATAAGAATCTGAATTCAAGCGATACAAACGAATCAAATCGACAGCTGGAAGAAGTTGAGGAAAACCAAAAATCAAATTTTCATCAAAGCGCTAATACTACTACTACTACTACTACTGCTGCTGCTGCTACAACTATACAGCGAGACAAAAGAGTAGAGCAAGAAAGGCCAACAAAGTCTTACCTGCATGGTTCTAATAATACTTTCCATACTACCTTTTCATCAACATTACACCCAAATCGCACCAACCACGAACGAATGGACTATGACTCAGCGCTAATATCTATTACCTCAAAAACCAATTCTCGAGATATCCCTAATAAGGAGAGCTTCTCTAATAGTTCTACCCCAACAGCTCAAGAAGAACCAGTTGACTCCTTTTATGAAAGATTTATTATTGGCGATATTGTGAGAAATTTCCTGCCTGCGTATTTTGTACTGGTTATGGGAACTGGTATATCGTCATCGTTACTATACCATTTTCCCTTCCCGGCGCAGTGGCTTATCGATATATCTTATATCATGTTTGCCGTGGCGTGTCTACTATTTATATGCAACACGGCTCTCTTCATAATGTCGTGCATCTATTTCCCAGGGAGACTTCGTGCTTATCATATTGATCCACTGCATGCATCTTACATGGGATGTTTTTCTATGGGATACATAACACTCGTCAACTATATTGCAACAATAACAAAGGCGCACCATATGTATTTGGTGTGGACATTATGGTGGATAGCAGTTGCTTCAGCAATGTACACTGCATTTATTATAGTCTATCTAGCCTACTTCTCGAAACTAAATAAAGTCGAGTTGGACGCCAAGTTGAATGCTACACTTTTGCTTCCCATAGTGGCAATCACCGTTGTCTCCTCACTGGGTCATTCTATTGAGTTGAATTTGTATCATAAAAACGAAATTGTCACTACAATGATTGTCAGTTTTATGCTTTGGTGTCTTTCTGTGTCCTTGGCTTTTATGATTATGACCATATACGTATGGAGGTTGATTGTACATAAAATACCTCCTACAAAGCTTATCTTTACCGGATTTCTACCTGTGGGGTTTTTGGGTCAGTCGTCTTATTCGGTGTATTTGTTTGGAAATAATTTAAACGAGTACATCCCAGAGGAGCTTCTATATGGGAAAATCCTATTATGCATTTGTGGCTTCTTTGCAATGTTTTTGTTATCTTTGGGATATTTCATGACCTTCATTGCGATAACATCTATACTTAGCAAAATTCGGCCGTTTGCTAATACACCAAATATACAGAACACGAACAAACTAGGAATGTTGAAGCATCACAAGGGCTTTTGGGCAATGACTTTCCCCTTGGGAACTATGGCTCTCGGAAACACAGAGATTGGCAATGGCGGTATTGGAGATTATCCGTTATTGGCATTTAGGTACATGGGTGCAATTTTTGCTGTTGCATGTATTATCATTACCACTAGCTGCCTCATGGGGTGTGTTGTTTACTTTGGAACCAAATTTAAGCAAGAAATTGGTATTTGGGGGAGGAAGAAGAGAAATAAAAAGGTTGGCATGGTTTGAAAGATTCACTAATTTTAACATCAACACTATGTAATAATAAAAGGTTATGGTACTCTTTAAATTATTGTATATATATATATATATATTCTAATTTTTTTTTTTTTTTGCAGCAATAAAATGCTACCAAATAACATATGGTAGCCATTCTGACGCGAAACAATCGATGCAAAATTCATTCACTCAAGTAAGATGATGATTCTTTCAATTTTTCAAAAGCGGATATATTAATGGTTTGCTTTAGTCCCTTTCTCTTTCTCTTGCTTTCTTAGATGACGGAGAAACAGGTAGAGTATAGACAAGGACCGTATCGTCCATTCAAGGTGATATCGCGACGAGAGGGTAGTAACTTTACCAAAACCGACCAATGTATTCTTTTTCTCCTCACTGCTATTTCCTTATTACGATGTTACAAAATCTATAGTCCCCAACAAGTGGTCTTTGACGAATTACATACATGGAGACAAATTCAGCATTACTTTGATGGTACTTTTTATCTTGACGTGCATCCTCCCCTTGGGAAACTTGTTTTCTATTTGCTTAGCCGAATTGGTGGATGGAAGGCAGTAACCTCGTTTGACTCTATTGGACAAACTTATATTGATGAGCCGTTTGTTTTGATGAGGATGTTTTCAAGCGTTTGCGGGATTTTGAGTGTGGATTTATTCTATATGATAATGAGGTTGGAAAATAATGGCTATGCTATGAGTATGTGCAGTTCTTTACTCATTTGTTTTGAGAACTCAATGATTACTCAATCTAGATTTATTTTGGTGGATGCGATGTTGCTCTTGGGTCAGATCATGGTTATATTCACTGTTAAGCTGTTTTTGAAAGTGAGTTTTTATTCTTGGTCTTGGTGGGCTGGTTTGCTTGGGTGCGGCATTTCTATTGGATGGACAATCTCGATAAAACTAAATGGTTGGTTAACTTTGATATGGGTTGGTATCTTGATTTTGCATGAAGTATGGGAAATGCTTGATGATTTAACTATAACTACCATGGCATGGTTCAAACATGTAACTATACGAGTGTTTGGATTTCTCCTTTTACCATTAACGATATATTGCGCTACATGGTATGTCCACTTTCAATTGCTTCCATATGAGAGTAGCTCAAGTGGGTTTTTGTCACCTCATTTCAGGTCCACTTTTCAGGGTTACCACCCTGATCCAGTCGAGGTGCTATATGGAAGCACAATTACTTTGAAACATACCAATTTGGAGAAATACCTTCATTCACATGATGCTACCTACCCCAAAGGCTCAAATCTACAACAGGTAACTTTGTATGAATTTGATAACGATGCAAATAATGAGTGGGTAATAGAGACTCCTCATAAATACTATGAAGAAAGGATAATGAAACGAGTTACGCCAGTTAAAGATGGTGACACTATTAGACTTTATCATAAGGCCACTGGACATTACCTTCACGTGAATGACATTCGTCCGCCCATATCTGAACATGAGTATTCCAACGAGGTCAATTGCAACGAAACTAGAGGACTACTAGGTAATTCAGAATATGAGTTCAAATTACGAATAGTAAGCAAGAAAAGACACCTGGTGAACAATCTTCCCATGATCAAATTAAGAGCAACAGAAACTATATTTCAATTAGTCCATAGAGATCAAAAGTGTTTATTAATGAGTCATGCTACTAGACTACCACTGTGGGGCAAGGGCCAGAATGAAGTGTTGTGCGTTAAAGAAGGAACGATTCCAAATTCGTTGTGGTATGTGGAGAGAAATACTCATCCAATGTTGGAGCAGATAGGTGATGCTATAACTAAAGTTGACTTTAGCCATTCACCCTTTACCTTTTGGCACAAAATGTGGGAGATACATTGGGCAATGATGAGATTAAATTCGGGATTTACTGAAAATCAGCCATCAGCTTCTACTGCAGAGTCATGGCCTATATTGAAAGATGGAATTCCATACTTCCAATCAGTAGCTACGCTATCTCATGATGCAAGCCAAGTATTCTACTTGGGAAACATCTGTCTTTATTATACCAGTTTTATCTTTATGGTGATTTGTCTTGTAAAGACATCATTCCACATAGTTTGGAATATGAATCCATACACTCAACATGTGGACTCCCCTACAAAGACTCGATTTTATCAAAATGCGATTCAATATCAACTAGGTTGGATAATTCATTATTGGCCATATTTCTTCATTTCAAGAAATTTATATTTGCATCATTATTTACCTGCTTTGGTGTTTGCAGTCTTGAACATGGCGGAGTATATCAATTACCAAAAGAAGCACATAAGGGCAAGCTTGATGTTATTGATATTAATGGGTGTTGTGTACTGCTATTGGAAGGGTGCGCCTTTGATTTATAATCTCCCATGGAGTTCAAAAGAATGTTTGGAGCAAAGTTGGTTACCTAGTTGGAATCTCAACTGTAATATATACTCCTCATGATGATGGTTTTTTTTTACTCTGCAGTAGGGGCCAACCGCGACGCTGGCAGAAATCGCGATGGAAATGGTGAATAAAAATGACGGTAAATAATTTATAGATAATAATGGAGTAACACTATCAAGCAACACTATCGAGAAACACTATCGAGAAACACTATCGAGTAGAGCGAGATAGTGTTGTAACAAGCTACATAGTGTTGCTCAATAGTGTTGTAACATGCTACATAGTGTTGCTCAATAGTGTTGTAACAAGCTACATAGTGTTGCTCAATAGTGTTGTAACAAGCTACTGAGTGTTGCTCAATAGTGTTGTAACAAGCTGCTGAGTGTTGCTCAATAGTGTTGTAACAAGCTGCTGAGTTTTGCTCCACTATCTCGCTCTGCTCGCAAGTGTCGGTCGATAGTGTCGGTCAATAGTGTTGTAACAAGCTACAGAGTGTTGCTCTGTTCGATAGTAGAGCACATTGACCAATTTTTCCCTTGCACTGCTAATCAAAGCCTTTTGTAGCTTTCCTTTTTCACCTTCTTTGGTTCTTTTTACAACTTTCAATTCTCAGTAGCAAAAATGAGGGAGTTTTATTAATTTTCACTTTATTTCAAGTAATCTCGACTTGGATATCCCTGTTGCCAATTCTTTAATCAAATCGTCAACTTTTTTCAACAATTCATCCTTTTCTTTGATTTTCAACAATCGTTTTTGTTCAATTTGTTGTAGTTTTGTACTCAATTCGGCAATTTCGTTCAACTGTTCTTCGGGACTAACTCCGATTCCTGGTAAGGAATCTATCAACATTTTGATTTGTTTGCTCTTTAGCACTATATCTGAAGATAGTTCGTCTATTGTGTTTGAGAACTCTACTTCTGTATCTGCATCTAAATTCAGAGATGAAGAAGCTGTAGGTTCATTTGCTGCTGGTTGCTGTATCTCTGGCAGCTGCTGTTGTTGCTGTTGCTGTTGCTGTGGTTGTTGCTGTTGTTGCTGCTGTTGCTGTTGCTGTTGCTGTTGCTGTTGTTGCTGCTGTGGTAATGGTGCTTTTGCAGCAAGATTTGAAACAGATGTTGGCATATCATCGTCCAACAAAGCAGGTGGAGCATGTGAATTTACATAGTTTACAGTTGCATTAAACTGATCAATCAACTGATCTAGACAAATCTGTAGCTGTGTCAACCTATCAGACATCTTCAACCCCTCACCTATACCTTTGGTTGCCAACCCAACAATTCAACAAATTTGGTTGTAAAATTTGCTGTAAAAAAGAAAAAAAAGGTGTCTCAAAACAAATTACGACATTAAAAATACGACACTGATCTTGTGCAGTCAGAAGATAAAACTTTTTGGCACACTTTGATAAGAAAAAAAAAAAAAAACAAAGAGTGATATATCACATTAGAAAGTATACATATATATATTTACACACACCTATATATATACAAATATATATACACACCTATATATATATACACCTATATATATACTCATCTATAAGTATAGGGTTTGATTTTACTAAAGCGGGGAAATTGCCAAGCAAACATTTATTATCGTTATTATATTTATTCCTATACGCAAGAAGATCTTGGCTTTTGGGGTTTGCTCAATCTGTTTCATTTAAAGTATCTTAGTTAACCAAACTTTAAGGTGTCTTTATTGTCCCATCTATATTAGCTATCTTCATTTATTATTTTTTTGCCACTGAAATATAATGTCTCAAGGAGTAACATTTCCCGAATGGCAGCTCGATACAGATGTGTCAGAATGCTTTCTTTGTTCTACTCCATATAATATATTTTTTAGGCGACATCATTGTAGAAAATGTGGAAGAGTCGTTTGTGGCGAATGCTCAGCTCAATCACTACATTATTTCGATAATACCCCTATAGCATCTCCACCTGGAATAATAACACATGAAGGAGGTGGTAGTGGAAGTGGAAGTGGAGGTGGTAGCAATAGTGGAGGTGGAGGTGGAGGTAGTGGCAGTGGCAGTGACACTGCTACTGGTAATAGTCAAATACAGGGCCAATATTCCAAACCAAATGAAGTTTATAGGACATGTGATGAATGTGCCAATAACATTTTAATCATACGACGTGTTTTATTCAATAATCCAGATTCTTGTCAAATAAATGAAGAAATAAGAGATAACAGATTTATTAAACATGCAAATTCTCGTGAGTACACAAGACATGTGAACTCATCGTCACATACCCCACCATCACCATCTCTACTGGAAATACGAGGTCGAGGCCGAGGCCGAGCCTTGGGAGCCTCAAAAGCTCGAGACAGTTCAAGCGAAGGCAATCTATGTCCTGTATGTGCAACTGATCTATTAAAAGAGTACATTGAATTGCGCAATAATATAGAAAACATATCAACTCAAGACTTTGAAAAATTCAAAGAAGAGCATATAAACGAATGTTTGACTAAATTCGATTTCAATACTGATCATTCATGTAGGTTTTCACCTGGTCTGAATCCAAGAAATAAAATGTTGGTTTACAATATCCCGCCAATACCAGAGCCACAATACGAAAGTATAGATGAAATTGCTAGAGAAAATATGGCGGGCCCACCTCTGGAAAAGCTGGAAGAATTGAATGAATGTGTTATTTGCTTGGAAGATCTAAAACCTGGTGACAAAGTGGGCCGTTTGGAGTGTCTTTGTGTTTTCCACTATAAGTGCATTAAAGACTGGTTTAATAAGAAGGGATATGGCGAGTGTCCTGTACATTTCCTTCATAAATAAGAAAGAGGAGGAGGAGGAGGAGGAGGAGGAAGAAAAGAAAGGGAGGCTATTTCTCCTCGCGGTCATCATCATAATTCTTTCTCCTCCTTCCATTACCTCGTTTATCATGTATTTCCTTAGTCTGTCTAATAGCTTCTGCAGTAGCTTTATCAACGTGTATATGTAATGCATCTAAAATCTCTCTTGCTGGTTTGTCTTCCTTTGGCAATTTTTTGTCCAAGGCTTGTTCGATTCTCAAATACATCTCCAAATCGTATTGAGTAATCAATGATATTGATTTCCCTGACCTTCCTGCTCTTGCAGTTCTTCCAACTCTATGAATATAAGACTTTGAATCAGTAGGTACATCATAATTGATCACTAGATCGACAGATGGAATATCCAAACCTCTAGCGGCGACATCGGTAGCAACTAAAATGTTGACGGTTCCAGATTTGAACTTATTCAAGGATCCCAACCTTTGAGCCTGTGACAATTGTCCATGTAGAGGCACGGCGTTAAAGCCCAAGATTCTCGCTAATAACGCTGTTCTTTGCGCATGCGCCACTGTTCTCGTAAATACAATGGTTGATTTCCCCATAAATTCATTCAACAAATGAATCAATATAGTATTCTTGTATCCATCATTCACCAACATCATACTCTGTATCAAATTGTCGGCAGTTTGATATTTTGTGCTAACGGAAACTTTCACTGGATTATTCAATGATGCTCGCTGTAATTTTTCAATCTTGTTAGTCATTGTTGCAGAGAACAAGTACGTGGTTCTCTTTGCGGGAATCACCTTCAATATTTTGTCTAAAACAGGACCAAAATCCATATCAAGCAAACGATCAGCTTCGTCCATCACAAGATATTTCATATTCTTCAAGTTGAATCCCTTTGTGTGTTCTAAATGATCCATTATTCTTCCTGGTGTAGCAACAATGATGTGAGGTTTGCGCATTAAATCTCTTGCTTGGTCCATCATATCCATTCCTCCAACTATACAAACAGATCGCAACCCCATGGTTGATCCAAGAGCATCAAAAGTCTCTTTAATCTGGAATGCCAATTCTCTAGTCGGTGCAAGGATGAGCCCAAAATAAGGAGTTTGTGCATGCCATAGAGATTGTAGTATGGGGATAGCAAAGGCTGCGGTTTTTCCAGACCCTGTAACGGCTAAACCTATTATATCTTTTCCTTCAAGAGCGTATGGGATAGCTTCCGATTGAATCGGAGTAGGTTTAGTATATTTCAATTGCTGAATGGCTTCAAGGAGGTCAGGCACGAGTTTCAATTCTGCAAATGTGTTGAATTTGAGTTGCGCATCTGGATCCACCGTAGAAGAAACTGGTGAAGTGGAAGTAGCTTTGGATAATGCTGTATGTGTGGTTGAGTTATCAGCATCAGCATCAGCATCCTGATTTGACAGTTTCTGTAGTTCTTTCTGTTTGAGTAATGCTTGTTTTTTAATCTTCTCCGCTAGTTTCTTCGTGGCGTCTATGGACTTTGTCTTTTTCTGTATCTTGTTTGATGATGACATGGCATTCAACCGTATCTTGACCTCTACTTCTTTACCTAATCTGTCAATAAAACAAATCTCTAATGGACTTGACCTTGCCTTATAATTTATCTTTATTTTATTTTTTTTTTTTTTTTCTCTTTTGGTTTTGGCGATGAGGTTCGATGAGGAAGAGATGAGCTTTGAAATTTTCACTACTACTGTTGTTTCTCACGAGAGGATCATTTTCTTGTTTTCTACATACACCACCTGGCTCGAGCAAGCATGGCTAAGAGAAAAACTAAAAGAAGAACTCATAAGAAACTAAGCGATGAAGAGGCTTCCAAAATCCCCAAATCAATGGTTTTACACCTTGGTTCGTCCTTGAAAAATCACTCGCTATCTCAATTGGTAAAGGATTTCAGAAACATTATGCAACCACATACGGCAATAAACTTACGAGAACGGAAACTGAACAAGCTAAAGGATTTTATAGTGATGTGTGGTCCTTTGAGTGTTTCTGATTTATTCATATTTAACCAGTCATCAGCGGGAAACATCACTTTACGTATGGGTAAGTTACCACGAGGTCCAACTTTGCAATTCAAGATTAATACTTATTCACTCTGTAAGGATGTTGCGCGGATATTGAAACACCCCAAGTCTGTAGGTAGGGATAGCGCGGAATTTCGTCAACCGCCTCTTTTGGTGTTGAATGGGTTTACAAACCCCAGTGAGGCAAGTATGCACGAGAAGTTATTAATTACCATGTTTCAGAATATGTTTCCTCCAATACAGCCACAAACTACCAAGGTTGAGAGCATAAAGAGGGTTTTGTTAATCAGTAAGAATAGTAGTACTAAGGAGATTCAATTAAGACATTACGTTATTAATACAAAGTTGGTTGAAGAAAATAAGAGTATCAAGAAATTGATTCAATCGCACCATAATTTGAAAAAAAGGTTACCCAAAATGACGAATGCTCAGGATGTGTCTGATTTAATATTGGACCCATATGCTGTTGGTGGGTTAACTTCGGATAGTGAGGTTGAAGATGATGCCATTGTTGAGGTACATCATGAAGAGCCTGTAAAAAGACAACCACAACCCAGTGGCAGCAGCAGCACTGCTGCAACAACTGCTGCAACAACTACTGCCACAACTAGTGCAGCAGAATATATTCCATTGGAACAAGAGTCAATCACGACGGCAAAGAAACGAGCTATAAAATTGATTGAGATTGGGCCAAGGATAAATATGGAATTGATGAAAATCGAAGAAGGATTAGTAGGCTCATCCAAAACCTTGTATCATTCCGAAATAACCAAGAGTCAAAAGGATGTGGACGAATTAAACGCAAAACACAAATTAAGGGAGAAGTTGAAATTGGAAAGAAGAAGTAAACAACAAGCCGCAGTACAGGCAAAATTAGATAAGAAGAAGGCAAAAAGGAATAAAAAAACTGACCAAGGCCAAAGCGATGATGATAATGAGGTGGAGGCGGAGGACGATGAGGATGAGGAGGCGGAGGACGATGAGGATATGCCTGAGTTGAGAGCTGAGGATTATGAAAACGATAGTGACTTGTATAGTGATGTTGAAGTATAAAGGGGGCTAGTGGGAGGAATTTCAATGGATTGCAGTATATCCATAAATAGCTGTGTCTCAGTGTCCCAGCACTTTAGCTAATTCCTCCTTTTCAAGCTCATTAATCAATGCATTAATACGATTTTGTAGATTAATTAACTCAATTATATTATCCAACCCTTTATTGAAATTGTCTTGACTTAATATTAATTCCTTAGGAGGCATAAATGGGTTGAATTGATATATTGGATCTCTAAGTTGTGATATTGTGGCAGTTTGTATATCATCATCGTCAATTGTGTCCAAAAAAGAGTTTTTTTCTTCCCTCTGTTTCAGTGCTTTGACTTTCCTGTTGGATAATTCTGTTGACTCTTTTACAATACGTTGCTTGATGGTGGTAGTGGTGGTATTTTTTGGCTCATCAGTTTTATTTACCTGAGACTTTAATTGATCTACAATTTCATACTTTATTCCTTCTTCACTGGTGCCAACATTGACCACTTTACAAGCATTATACGGCCTCAAATCAAATGTATCCAACCCAAATTTCAATTTTTCACTTTGAAAATTTGCTCGACTCAAATGGAGAAACCCCTGGATGAAATTAGCTCTATATTTGGCCGTCAAGAAGTGATATATATTTAATAAATTCAATAGCTGTATCGTCTTACCATCAATATCAACAGCAGAACCATTATTATCGGTATCATTCTCGGTCATCACATAGATAGATGACTCAATAGTCATTGAGATCAAATATATATCGAATTTCGCAATTTTTTTTTTCTTCTTCTTCTTCTTCTTTCGCAGTCAATCATCAGAGAGATAGAGGAAAAGGGGGTCCATTCTATTGCCAATATATGTATAGTCAAAGTTTATACAACTTGTTCAACCTCTTGAAATCCTCTGGAGGTAATATCATATGAAATCCAAATTCATTTTCATCGTCGCCAACACTAGTTGAGTGGATCAACTTGACTTCCTCCTCACTTCTTTCTTTATGACGCATCAAGTGGCCGAAATCATGTAGACAATAAATCATCTCCTCTTCACCATAAACGTGCTCCTTATTCTTGTTACCTTTCAAGTAAACTATTTCACTCAAATCATGTAGAATGTTAGCCGTGAGACCCCAAACGTCATATATTTTTTCATTCGTGTCTTCTAGTTTTCGTGATCCCAATCTCCCCCACAGCGATAATTTTTTCTTTCTACTTGCTTTTGTATTCAGTGCTTTGTTGGATGTAGATTCTGTTGGAGTGACGGGCGACTTGGATCTATATGGTGGCGGAGTCACTGATTCCTTATCTTCCGAATCCAATTCATTGCCTATTTCATCATCTTCCAGTGCCGACAAATCTTTAATATGTTTTAGCCAGTCAACTTCGTGGGTATTATTTTGGAGGAAAATATATGACCTCAAATGCCATGGTATTCCGCCCCACTTGATCCTATATGAAACACGTTCCAAAGCTTCTAACGCAGGCGAAGGAGTCGTCGAAGATTTCTCACATGGTGTAGGATACAAAAAGTCTTTCAAGGGACATGAGAAGATCGATGAGCTTTCGCCGGGATTTAAGGATATATTAAGCCTTGAAATAATAGTTTCTTCGATATCTTCTACGTGAGAATGGTTTATGGTGGTATCAAATTTCATAAACCCGACGCATGGACGAACACAGGAAAATGTTCTTGATAAATAGCTAGGCATGAGTGTGATGTGTTCAATAGAGACCCCCAAAAGCTTTAAGGCTTCGTCATCTGAGCTTAAACCTGTTTCTTCGTGCATTTCCCTTCTACTTACAGTCCATTCTGATTCAAGACCGTTGTCTGCTTTACCACCAGGCAATGCAACATGACCAGGGAAATTTCTCAATTTCGATGATCTCTTAGTTAACAAAACTCTTAATTCCCCCATTTTTCCGAGAAATAAAAGGACAAAAACAGCTGACCTTCGTGATACAGGAACACGATGCCATACCGATAGTTTGTTAGCTGAGTATGTTGGGGCTACATAATGACGTAAATTGTCAATCAATTGATACTCCTGGAACGAGTGCGTCATGAATATAGGGGTGGTGCGACACTATCGAGCAGAGCAAGATAGTGGAGCAGCACTGACTAGTGACACTAACGACGATGACGACGACGACAACTACAGCGACAACAGCAGGTAATGGTAATGGTAAGGGTAAGGGCAAGGGTTAAAGGAAAGGTAATCTTCTTTGTTCAAAAAAAAAATTGATTCTCCTTATTGCACGTTTTGTATTGCGCGAAAAACTCAAACTGGTAACACTGGTAACACTGGTAACTCTCTATCGTTGAACTCCAACATGCCAGGGAAGGAGAAGAAAGGAAAAGAAAAGAAAAGAAAAGAAAAAGAATGAGATGGGAAAGTCAAATAGTATATTGTCGTCGAATTATGCTTCGACGCCATGGGGGAAGGGAGGAGGAGTCCCATTCTGCAGTCTCACTTGCCTCTGTTGGTTCTTCTCCTCCTTACCGCCCAAATGGGCCATAGCTTATCTGGGGACTGAAAAAAAAAAACCGCGGTAAATTTCATTCAAAAAAAAAAGGAAGAAACCTTAAATAAGAGGAATGCGGGGAGAGATCTTTGGCCAAAGTGTACTAAAGTTTAAACTAACCAGCAAGAAAGCAACATGGACGTATTTAAAAGGAGGGGAAATGGAATAGAGGTAAAATTAGAAGGAAATACCAAAGTTTGGTTTAAACCAAATTTGGTTCAATGAATTTCGAGCTGTGGTGTAAAGCAACCAAACTTGTGTGTAAATGAATACAATGAGAATTTGCAAAAAAAAAAAGAGAAAAAAGGAAGAGAAAAGGTGATTATGTGGTTATATGATTATATGATTATATGGTTTTTACTTTTGATGATCCAAGTAAGATGCTAAATTCACGAGAATATGGCAGTGGAGTTGAAAGCCGTCTTAGAAAGTGCTTTTGCAATATGGATTAAAAATGGCAATATTGATAAAGGTTGCAAAAAGATTTTTTTTTCCATTGTGCTACCAATTTCATTAAAGTAAAAACTCCCGAATTAGAGATTTAATGAGAGAGACTATAGTTTGAAGCAATTGTATAAAACTGATACGATAGTGATATCTCTAGACGAGATATGAACAGTATTTGTTAGGACAAAGTGTTTTATATTTAAGTAGATAAAAGATACTTTTGCGACACTATCGAGCAGGGCGAGATAGTGGAGCAACATTCAGTAGCTTGTTACAACACTATCGACCAACACTATCTCGCTCTACTCGATAGTGGAGCAACATTCAGTAGCTTGTTAAAACACTATCTCGCTCTGCTCAATAATGTAAAAGAAGCATTGATGGTGCTACCAAGTGACATACAAACAAGACAAGAGTCTTAATAAGCTCCTATATATCTAACATTAAAGGTTCCTCCCGCCCCATCTCGAATCATATATCATCATCCTTAACATTTCCCTCAATTTCAACCATTTCCTTTCTATAATGTGAGTGTCTTTTTTTTTTCTAAAAAAAAAAAGAAAAACACTCACACGGGTTTGACTTGCTATTTTATGTATCTTTCTATCTGTATAAACTAAAAAACAATAATCTACAATAATCACTAGGCAGCACCAATAATCACTAGGCTTCACCACCACTACCGTTACTTGCTACCATAATTTGTAGTTGATGTAGCCTATTGACTATTAAATAAAAAAAAAAGGACAGAGAACAATTAATGTGGTTATTGAGTATACCACATTGACTATATTGATTCATTTTCTCTTACTAGTGGAAGAAAAAATACAAAACATGTAAATATCAAAGAGGTTAATAATAAACAAAAAAAATACTTGCTAAATTAACGTTTTGACGGTTATGAATTTAAGTACTCAAAACACTTATGGAACCGCTTACCTTTTTTCAGTTGAAAATTAGGGCCGCAAATTTATTTTTGAGATGGGATGGATATGCTCATAATTTTTTGGCGATGGATATATATGTGTAATTGTATCATTCGCGAATACTATTCGGGTCATTAAATCACTAAGCCTTGTTTTAACTAACCTTGTTTACTAATTAGTGTTCTTCAATCCATGACATGATTAATCTTATGGATACAGTGTCAACTAACTGTGTCCTCACGAGCACTTCTTACTGTTTTCCCGTAATGATGATACAATATATACATATATAAATATATATATCGTATATGTTTAAACTCAATTGATATTTGCCATAAACTCCCAATATTTATGGCTTTTTCGGATAAGTCATGGTAACAATTTTAGTAACAGAGCAATAGGAAAAATTACAGGGTATTGTTCTTTGCGCTTTTCTAAATTTTTCGGGCATAATTTTCTGTTTTGGGTAACCGTTAAACCAATAGAAAAGCGAGATTCCTCTAAATTACGTGACAGTAGTACTGCTATCGTGTAACATATTACATAAGTAAAGCTTAGAGTGGGCATCACCATATATATATAAGCACAGATATATCCTGCCCCATCATCCGTGTAATCACTTAGAGCCAATGTAATAAGCCAATTCATACTTTTTCTCTTCTTCATTTTGACTTGTTAGAAGCTTGCCTTTTTACATTCTACAATAAAGTATTATCACTAAGTTTGAACCTTAATTACGCTAACTTTTCTAACCGATACTTTATAACCGAATTTTTTATAATGTTTGGTAGAAATTTGGTCACGTGGTCGTTACTAGTGTGCTACATAGCTTCACTAGTTCAGTCTTGGTCGCCAACAGATTCGTATGCCCCAGGCAGTGTAGACTGTCCAAGTGATAAAGATTTGGTCAGGATTGCAGATAGTATATCAGATGAGGAAAAATCGTGGTTAGAAGGAAGGGATTCCATTACTCGTGATAAATTGTCACAGTTTTTGAACCATGCCAACATGACAGATATTGATGTCGACGCTTATGCCAAAGGGAACAGAAGTATACATATCGGGTTGGCCTTTTCTGGTGGTGGATATAGAGCAATGTTAAATGGTGCTGGACAGTTGAGTGCCTTGGATTCAAGAACTCGTAATAATGACTTCAACGAGCAAAATCTGCTGATTAGTGGTTTAGGCGGTTTATTAGATGCAACAACCTATATTGCTGGATTATCCGGTGGAAGTTGGCTAGTTGGTTCAATTGTAATGAACAATTTTACTTCGGTGCAGCAAATTGTGGACCAAAACAAAATTTGGGATTTAACAAGATCAATTTTTAATTATGGTAAATTTAACATTAAAAAGTCTTATAAGTATTATAAGGGAATATCCGATGATATTGAAGCTAAAAGAAAAGCCGGATTTGAGTTGACTCTTACTGATACCTGGGGTAGGGCTTTATCGCATCAATTCTTTACTACTTTGGATGACTATGGTGCATCAATGACATTTAGTTCCCTACAAGATTGGCCCATTTTCACCGAACACAATATGCCCTTTCCAATTATATTGAGTGACGCCAGAGCTCCTAATACTAAAATTATTAGTTTAAACTCTAGTTTAAATGAATTCAATGCTTTTGAAATGGGTAGTTGGGATCCTAGTATTTATCAATTCACTCAGATTAAATATTTGGGTACTCAAGTAAGAGATGGCGAAACAAACGGTTCCTGTATTGGAGGATTCGATAATGCAGGTTTTATAATGGGTCTGTCATCAACATTGTTCAATGCTATAATCTTTCAAGTTAATACCACTACAATTCCAAAAGCCTTAAAAACCATCATTACATCAATTTTGCAAGATGTTTCCAAACATGAAGACGATGTTGCCATGTACAAACCCAATCCTTTCTACGACACGACTGCTGGATTTTCAACCAATATTGCGCAAAACGACTCTTACACTTTAGTTGATGGTGGGGAAGATGGGGAGAACATCCCTCTATATCCATTATTTCAACCGGCCCGTGATGTTGATGTTGTTTTTGCATTTGACAATTCGGCAGATACTCCCCAAAATTGGCCAAATGGTAGTTCCTTGGTAGAGTCTTACAATAGACAATTTGGTGTTGAGGGAAACAATACCATATTCCCATATGTTCCTGATACGAACACATTTGTTAACAAAAACTTGACAGCCAAACCAACATTCTTTGGTTGTAATGCAAAAAACTTAACTTCATTGGCCAGAAACAACAAGACTGATGTATACGACGTTCCATTATTGGTCTATATTGCCAATCGCCCATTTTCGTATTTTACAAACACTTCAACCGAGAAAATGAAATATGACAATAAAGAGCGGAACTCTATTATCACAAACGGGTTCGAAGTGGCATCAAGGTACAACTTGACTTTGGATCCTGAGTGGCCTGCATGTGTCGGATGTGCCATCATTAGAAGAACTCAAGAAAGAAACGGCGAGGAGCAAAGCGAGCAGTGTAAACAATGTTTTGAAAGATACTGTTGGGATGGACTGTTGGACACTTCTGATGCAGACGATAAAATGTTCTACACAGATCAAGGAACAACTTCTGAGCAGGAGGGTTTGAAGAAGACTAATAGTGGTAATAAGGCGACATTGAATTGGTCACTTTGGTTTGGATTGTTGGCTATGAGCTTGGTTTTTTTCAGATAAACACAAAGTAAAGAGCGAAATTATTAAAATTAGAAAAGAGCTCGAGAAATAAGTATATGTATCTATAACTTGTATTCATTAGCTTGTATTGGCCCCTTTGTCCAACAAGTGAAATTCGTGCTAAAATATTGGGCGCTTTTTTATGATTTTTCTATTTCTTTCCTTTCCTTGCCCTTATTTGTTCCCTTTGATTGATATGTAAAAATTTCAAAAAATGCGGGTGCAAAATGCGGAGAAATGATTGTGGCAAATGAAAATTCGCCACAACATCTCATCTCCATAGCAATATCTGTTTCAACACGAAACAGTGAAATTCACACTCATGTGAAAATGGTCCAATATGGGAAAAGGATTTTCAACGATTACATGTTGAAGTTATTACCGTTTTAACTCTACAAAAGCAAACATAAGCAAATAAGAAAAGGAAAAGGAAAAAGGAAGGAAACTAACAAAAAAAGGTCTTTGTTATTCAGCCGTACTCAAAGGGATACAGCACCACGCAAAAAAAAAAATGAGTGACCCAAAGTCCAACAATCCCAGCCTTGAAAAAACAGAAACAATTGACTTGGAAGAGCCGAGAGCAACCAAGGTTACTTTGGACTCCTCTACATTCGAATTATTTACAGAAAAGGACGCTGATATAGCATATTTACAGAAATCAAAACTCATTGCCGACACAATCCAAGAAATTGGTTTCGGTCGTTATCAAATTGGATTATTTTTTGTTGCCGGTTTCGGATGGTTGGCCGATAATGCATGGCCCGTGGCCACTAGTCTAATCCTACCTAGACTAATTGAAGTTGATGGAGTGCATTATCCACCACATCGTGCCCCTTATTTGACCCTTGCTCAGAATTTTGGATTACTTGCTGGTGCGTCATTTTGGTCCTTATCGTCTGATATAATTGGCCGGAGGTGGGCATTTAATTTGACATTCATCATCACTGGTGTATGGGCGGTGGTTGCCGGTGGTTCGCCGAATTTTGATGCTATTGCTTGTTTTGTTGCATTTTGGAGTTTTGGCGTTGGTGGGAACTTACCTGTTGACTCTGCAATATTTTTAGAGGCATTACCAGGAACTTACCAGTGGTTGTTAACTGTGATGTCCGGGTGGTGGGCACTAGGGCAGATTATTGCAAATTTACTCTCGTGGGGTTTAATTGGGAATTATTCTTGTTCTGATCTGGACAATTGTAAAAAGGTGGATAATTGGGGTTGGAGGTATTTTTTGTTTACTTTGGGTGGATTAACTTTGTTGATGTTTGTTGCTAGATTTGCCTTTAGAGTGTTTGAATCGCCAAGATATTATTTGGCAAGAGGACAAGAGAAGGAAGCCATAAAGACGTTGGAAAAGATAGCTAGTGTCAATGGTAAACTGTGCTTGTTAACATTGGAAGATTTTAGAAACATTGATGAAAAGTACCAAGATAATGACATTACCACTACTACTACTGCTGCTGCTGCTGCTGCTGCTGCAAATACTACTACAAATACTACTCCCCAAAAGAATCTCTTAATTAAGGAGAAATTAACCAATTACAATTTTTCACATATTCGTCAATGCTTTGCTTCAAAAAAGTTGGCAGTATCAAACTCGTTGATTATATTTACTTGGGGATTGATTGGATTAGCATTCCCTCTATATAACGCATTTCTTCCATATTACTTAGAAACACGAGGAGACGCAAACAAGCCTTTAAGCGTTTATGAAACGTATAGAAACACTTTAATCGTCTCCGTATTAGGGATCCCTGGAGCATTGATAGCTGGTTTATTAGTAGAATTGAGAATCGGCAGAAAGGGGACGCTATCAATGTCGTTACTCCTCACTGGAGTTATGTTATTTGCTTCAACAACAGCTAGAACCAGCAACTCAAATCTAGCTTGGAATTGTATGTTTTCATTCTTTTCGAATATTGCTTATGGTGTATTATACGCATATACACCTGAGTGTTGTTTTGCTGAAATCAGAGGCACAACAGTAGGTTTAGCCGCGTCATTTAATCGAATCATGGGAGTTTTCGCACCAATAATCGCCATTTTCGCAGATTTGACCACTTCTGCGCCTATATTCGTCTCGGGCGCATTGTTCTTGCTTTCTGGCTTCTTGGTGTTGTGTTTTCCTTATGAACCAAGGGGTAAATCGAGTTTGTAGAAAGTAGAATGGAATTTTATTAGTTAAAATTGGTGCTTTTTTTGGTCAAGTTTTGGGTGCAAAAAAAAGAAAAAGGGTAGATATTTTTTTGTCTGTATTGGGTAATTGGATCCGCAAGCAAATAAATAGCGGTATTTTCAATTTTTTGCAATTTTTCATTACCAGAACAACTTCTTTTTACTTCCCCTTCTTCTTCTTCTTCTTCTTCTTCTTCTACTACTACTACTTTCTCTCATCATTTGCTAAGATGTCATTTAAAACCAATGCTACTATTGCTCAGTTCGGCGGTCAATTGTTGAAATTGACTCACGATTCAAAGGTTACCAAAACACCAATGAATGTCAATGTATTTATCCCATCTGTTAAAAAAGCGTCTAAACTACCAGTGCTAGTATACCTTTCCGGTCTTACTTGCACTCCAGATAACGCTAGTGAAAAGTCCTTTTTTCAATACTTTGCAAGTAAATTTGGGTTTGCTATTGTTTTCCCTGATACTTCTCCTCGTGGTGCCGACATTGCTGGTGAGAATGATAGTTGGGATTTCGGTACTGGTGCTGGTTTCTACGTTGATGCCATTCAAGAGCCTTGGTCCAAGAATTACAACATGTTTAGTTATGTTCACAAAGAATTGCCTGAAGAATTAGCTAAGGCATATCCCCAGTTGGATTTTGACAATGTTTCGATAACGGGCCATTCTATGGGTGGAATGGGTGCCTTGGTTGGGTTTTTGAGACAACCAAGACCATACAAGGCAGTTAGTGCTTTTGCACCAATAGGTAACCCAAGTGTTGTTCAATGGGGAGAAAAAAATTTTGGAAACTATTTGGGTGAAGAGAACAAGTCAAAATGGGCAGAGTATGATCCAACTGAATTGATCAAAAAATACAAGGGAGATGATAGTACACCAATTTTGATTCACCAAGGTTTAGGTGACAACTTTTACGAAGCTCAGTTGAAACCACAGAACTTTGTTGATGCGGGAAAACATTACAAGGGAGGCATTGATTTGAGATTGGTTGATGGTTATGATCATCTGTATTTCTTCATTAGTTCATTTGTGGAAGAACACGCTAAGCATCATGCTAGATATCTTGGATTATAACTAAAAGCGGTTGAACCGAGTAAGTTGTGATTTTCCTCAAAAAAAGAAGAAAAGAAGAAAAGAAAAGAAAAGAAAAGCATAAATAAATGAATGAACAAAGGAATGAGGGGAAAAGGAATAATCTCTATATATTATACTTAGTTGCCCAGGTTGTATACCAACTCGACTTTTTATTGTCTTTGTGTATTGACTCCGCTAGTTTTGATAGTTTTATGGAATTTGAGGATATTGTTTGCTCTGTAGATATTGTTTCATCACTAACACTACGTTCTAGCATTAGATCAATTATTATTTTATCAATATGGTTCACTAGTGTTTTCTGGATTTGATAAATTTCATCGATTTGAGAACCCGTGATGGTCTTGGGTAAGGATTTTTTGAATGAGGAAAGTAATAGCTTTATCAATTCAATCTTTTTTATCAATTTCTTGGAATACTTGATGAGTTCAAAATCTTCTTCATTGCTCACATTTTCTTCTTCTTTTTCTTTTTCTTCTTCTTCTTCTGTTTCCTCATTTTCAAAATCCGTCTTTTTTTCCTCATCTTCATCCGTCTCACCTTCATCGCTGAATCCAAACGGATCATCAATATCCTCGGGGTTTTCCGCCCATTCTACAAATTCATCGAACCCATCGTCAATCAATGCAATACTCTGTTTGATTTTCTCCGTAAGCAATCCCAATGCACCTTCATTGATCAATTTCGTTAACGAATCACAATTGGACCATATCTTACCTACAGAAACCAATCTTCCTTCACCACTATCATCATCATCATCAGACCCACATTCACTGCTGTGTATCAGTAGAAGTTCATTCGCAAGTATGTTGCTTGATCCAATTAACTGCTTAACCTGAATCACTATCTCCTCGTAGAAAACTTTGGATATTTCTTTTGCTTTCAATTGTGCGATTACCGAAACGGTAAATATTAAAGTCTCGGATAGTTTCTCTAATGTACTATATGCAGTTTTCTCCTCCTTAACCAAGGTCCCTGGCTTGAACACAATGCCTACTTTCGTTGTATGTGCTTTAATTAGTTTGACTAGTTTAAGTAACTCACCTAATGGATCCTCAACTTTAGATGCCTTGACCTGTGTGATTTTGTCTGTCCCTAAACTCACAATCCAGAACTTGGTGGCATCCTGAAAAGATGTAATCAACGCTTGTAAATCTATAGACATATATTGATATTCTGAGGATGAAGAAAGACCTTCAATCTAATAAATTTTTCATTTCTCTCTTTATCTCTTTTGTTTTTAATTTTTTAATTTTTTTTTTTTTTTCTTCTACAAAGTTGCACATACAATAAATACAATATTTGTATTACCATTCATCATCATGTTCATCATCGCTGTGAGCCACTTTGTTTTTCCTTTTGTTCAAAGCAGCAGATAAGGCATCTGCCAAACTACCTGGCGGGCCAGCAGCTGGCGGGCCGCTTGAATTATGAGAAGCTGGTGTTGTTTCTCCTCTTGCCTCTTGTAACAATACACTGGGTTTGTCCAATTGAGATTTATCTGTTTTTTTTAGAGATCCGATACCTGCTCCTCTGATAGATGCTAAAAGTGCATCTCTTCCTTCGCCTTCATTTCCTGGTGGCGCGCCGGTGCCCATCGGAGGCATAGGTGGTGCTGGTGGCGCTGGTGGCGCGCCGGTGCCCATCGGAGGCATAGGTGGTGCTGGTGGTGCTGGTGGTGCACGAACGGCACCTGGACGAGCTGGTGGTGGTGGAGATGAAAAAGCAACAGGAGAATCACGTGGTGGTGTAGAAGCGGCAGGTCTTTGGTTTGGTGGGGGAATGGAATATGGTGTGCCTGTTGAAGTTTGATGGCGTGGCGGTACAGCGGGTGTGCCGTGTGCTGCTGATCTGGAAGGCGGCGGTGGTGGTGGTGGCATAGCTTGGCCGCGGGCAGCTCTAGGAGGCGGAGGAGGCGGTGCATTAACGCCAGCTCTTAAAGGTGGGGGTTGAGTATTTCTCTGTGGTAGTGGTGGTGAGTTAAAGTTGGACATATTTGCCCTTGAAGGAAGTGTTGGGGCATTACCTCTAACTGGAAGATCCGGTGGTGGTGGTACAGCTTGATTAGTATGGTGCGCCAGCAATGATGGAGCTTGGTTGTTAGGAAGGAACGGAGGAGGTACAGAGAACTTTGTTCTTGGTGGCGTCGCCTGAGGAGCGATATTAGTAGCAGGCGGTTGTGGCGATGGCAGAGGCATCTCTGGTAAAGGTTTGTCGTTGCTTGATTGAGTCGGAGTGCGTTTTGGCACCATTGCATTAATTGGAGGAACGCGGAAGTTTGGCTTGAATTTCACTGGCTCCGAACTTTCAGTTGGCGAAGCAGGTTCCTGGGGTTCGGGAGTGCTAGAAATCGATGTCTCGGGTCGAGAACTGCTGGGAGCTCCTCCTCCTCCTCCTCCTCCTCCTCCTCCTCCTCCTCCTCCTGCGGGTTTTGTTGGTGGTGGCGGTGGTGGCGCTTTCTTATTTTTTGGTGTCAGTGTGGTTGACGACGCAGGTGCTACATTTGCACTCTCATTTCGTTCGTGTACTGCTTGGTACTTTCTGGGCACTGGTGGCTCCAATCCAACCAAGGGTCCACCTTGTTTGGCAATATAGTCTTTTATAAATTGTCTGTTGTCTACTATCATGTCCTCAGTTATACCTGCAGCTTCCAATTCTGCATAAAGCGACTTCCATTCTGGTGGTGGCGCATCATCGTAATATAGCACTCCTTTAGCTCTCCTCTGTCTTTGCGCTGTATTCACATCCACAAACTCTCCTCTAGGTCCTGGTGCACTATGTGTTTTTGGCTCTGTCCTTTCTTTCAAAGCAATTGCATTTTTGTTCTTCACAGTGGCAGATGAACCGTGTTTCTGTCGAGAAATCACTTTTTTATAAAAATGAGTTGCATCATTTGTATCTTCAAATAGCAAACCTACAAGACAGTCTTCAATCTCAAACGTATGGAAGAATTTCCTATCCTGATTATACTCAAAGTTGACATACAATTCCTGATCCCACAACACACCTCGGTGTCCAATTATGTCTACCAATTTGAGAAAAAACGTATGACCTACTAAGTCATCAACAAGCGCAATTGCCCCAACTAAACCAGTAAATACCCATTTAGTTGGGTCAGGGTAAGCAATGTATAATCGTGCTACTGTTGCATCGATAATCTTGTTACTTGCCTTTGGAACTGTTCTTTTGATTTTTTCTTTATCCTGTGTTGTTAAAATTCCCATCCTTATACAAGAAGAAGAAAGAATTAAGGATAAAAGATAAGCCTACTACTTAGTTTTAATCGATGACGGCTATTGAACCACTCGATTTGAAGAGAAGTAACCAAAAGGATTGATTCTAGTAGTGCACATTTTCCATATTTCTATCGAGCTATATATAAAAAAATAAAAAAAAGTAAAAAAAAAAAAGATAAAATCGTTAGGTACTCTTGGGATAACCCAACCCAGTTAAACAATTATATACTATGTCTAGTCGTCAAGGTGGTAAGGCCAAGCCTTTGAAAGCCCCAAAGAAGAAACTAGTTGAAGGAGATGAAGATGATGCTGCTTTTAAAGCCAAGCAGAAAGCCGATGCCGCTGCCAAAAAGGCTATGGCTGAAAAGGCTAAAAAAGGTGGTCCATTAATTGGAGGTGGTATTAAAAAAAGTGGTAAGAAGTGAGTGTTGCTGTGGTTTGCGAGCTGCTGAGGGAGTGAAGTGATATGCTGGTGGTAATAGAGAAGAGAAGAGAGGAAATTTTAGTTTATGAGGCGACACTATCGAGCAGAGCGAGATAGTGGAGCAACACTGACTAGTGATATTAGGATGAAGTGTGTTGTATATTTATCATAGTTGTGCATGTATAGATTGTCAAAAAGCGACACTTGGTACCTTTGTAACGACAAAGTTAGATTAGAGGTCAAAAATGACATAAAATATTTGTATAAAATCCACCTCTATATGCTGTAGACCTTTCCATACACTCTCTGTAGAGAATGCATGGAAGTCAAGTGACTACGACTTATCAGCTGTGATGAATAGACCTTGGCTGTAATCAAAAGCGGCTAACTCACAATCATTTCGAAGGAGATGTAAGTTTCGTATAATGTCTAATTCCTTTTAGATAAAAAAAAAACTTTCTATATACAGAGACGAGAAGCAAAGACTTTATACATAGTACAGTACCTTATGAAATCTCAAGATATGTTTTTGAGGCTGATTTTGAAAACTTTGTGTAAAACATTGATCAGTTTTGTCTAAAAGGCAAGCAAATTTGTTCCAATGATTCCATGTCTAAAGGATCAAATTGTTCAAGATGTTCAAGTTGTTCATTTTTTTAATTAGAAAAGTTGCAAAAAAAAAGAAAAATTGACGAAAAAATAAAAAAAAAGAAAAGGTGGAGAAGACTGTCACCATAAACAGGCTATTGTCAAATAGATAGTGGCAACATACATATATCATCGATCTAATGAACAAGCAGTAGTTAAAATGGTTTTTTTTCCCAAGAATCTGACATAATCCTAAAGGCAAATCCGTGTAAGGAAAAAGCAAAAAAAAATAAACGACCAGAGAGAGGATCGAACTCTCGATCTTGAGATTAACAGTCTCACGCCTTAACCAGCTTGGCCATCCAGTCTTTTTACAGCTCCTTGTTGGGATATTGGGGTAGTTAACAACACTATCAAGCAAAGGGAGATAGTGGTGAACTAACTCGGAGAGCTCCATGCTTGGCTAAAACTGGCCATAAGAGCACACTATCCACCGACACTGCTCAGTAGTGTTGTAACAAGCTGCTCAGTAGTGTTGTAACAAGCTGGTCAGTACTGCTCGGTAGTGTTGTGACAAGCTGGTCAGTACTGCTCAGTAGTGTTGTAACTAGCTGGTCAGTACTGCTCGGTAGTGTTGTGACAAGCTGGTCAGTACTGCTCTATAGTGTTGCTCGATAGTGTCTACAAAGGGTTGCTCCACTATCTCGCTCTGCTCGATAGTGTTGCTCGATGGTGTTGCTTGATAGTGTCGGAATCAATTAATTTTGCAAATGTTCAGACTTCAACGTTAGCCTTCCTAGTTCAGCTGGTTAGAACGTTTGTCTCATAATTATCCGTAATGTGGGTCATCAGGAGGTCGTGAGTTCGATCCTCACGGAGGGCACTATTTTTTTTCCTCTACCACCCCTCTCTTTTTCTCAAAATAGTCATACAACCTCATTTTTAATGGCACTTTTTTTTCAACATGTAAAGGACAAGAGGCTTAAATATCCCTTGATGGCCTCTACCCACATAACGCGCTCATGTTTCTCCATTAGAGGTGGTGTTTTCCTAAGCTCCATTCTGTGTTTGTACGTTTACAAAAAGACTTTGCTTTTTTTTTTTCTTCTTGTTTTTCCGAAGAGCTCTCACACAAACACGAATTGTAAACATTAAATTTTTGTGAATAAAACAATTCATTAGTAACAAATACTTCTGGTGAGGTAAGTCAGATCTCACCGTTTCTTTTATAGATGATACCCCAGCTCAATGTCCTATGAGTCAATATTTAATGTGTCTACACATGTACCAAACTCATTGAAACAGATATCACCAGTAAGCTCAAACTCTACCAAGCGACATCGCTTTGAAGAAGAAGAAGACCCAACTTGTTTACCACCATCATTGAGTTCATACAGCATAGCTACTCTCAATGCCAAAAGCAAAACATACCTAACAGCCAACACAAATGCCACCACAGTCACCGGTATCTATGAGCAAGATTTCCCCGGAAGAACAAATCCAATACGGAGCAAACTAGCGGCTCATTTTGCAAATGGCGGTGGCAGTGGCAGTGGCAGTGGCAGTAATGATATCCATTCTTCTACAACCAACAACCAAGATCCAACACCAACACCCCCGTCATTTACACGCAGCTCATGCGACGCAATGGAAGGAAAATCAAGTTCCGTTTCTAAATCCTTATCGCTGTCGAGCAAAAATGATGATATTGCGAGATACAAGCGGAAACGAAGGTTTGGCAAAATGTTGGGATCTCCTAAACGTGCCTCTCAAACTGCCGAACCTCGAAATATTGAAGAGATGGAGATAGAAAATAAACTGGGTATGAAAGCAGATCATGTAACGTCAGTGATTGACGAGGAATTGATTAGCAAGAGAGTAGAAGAAAGAAGGGCACTAGAACAGCTTGAACAGCAAAGAGAACGAGAACGAGAACAAAAACGAATTGAAGAGCAAGCATTTGAACGCGAAAGACTACAACAGCGACAACTAAAAGAACAAGAATTGATGGAGAAAAAGCAAAGTGCTAACAACCGTTTCATTTTAAGCAACTTTGAGATACCAAAACTAGACATTGAACAAGAAAATCTTGACGCAAAAGTCAACATTTCTCCATTGAGATCGCCTTTCAAAGAAAAAAGGGTACCCTTGAGAGATGTGTCACCAAATGTGTTTAGAAAACCGAGATTACCAAGATCTACTATTCAAAAACCCTCTCCGCCACCGCAACAATACCACGTCGCTCCCAAACCTGAACCTGTACGATCACCAAAACCATTACTACCGACAGCATCACACCAGCATAGACCTAGATCAGCTAATATGCACTTTGCTGACGATGATTTAATTGAAACAAAGAAAAGAACAGTAAACATTAACGGAAAAGCATACGAGAAATTAGAGCTCATAGGAAGAGGTGGCTCATCCAAGGTTTATCGTATCAAATCATGTGCCGATGGACGTCAGTATGCGTTGAAAAAAGTTTCTTTGAACCAGTTTGAGAACATTTCTGGATTCAAAGGAGAAATAGATCTTTTGATAAAGCTCAAACATTCCAAAAGGGTTGTTAAGTTAATTGACCATGCTGTTTTTAGCTCGTCAATATATCTTATTATGGAGCGAGGCGATATTGACCTTGCCATGTTATTTCAAAACAGGATCAATGCGAAATTACCATTAGATATACACTTTGTCAAGTACCACACTTTTGAAATGTTCAAATGTGTTGAAGATGTTCATAATGCAGGCATTGTGCACAGTGACTTAAAGCCAGCAAACTTTTTAATGGTAAAAGGGGTGTTGAAAATTATTGATTTTGGTATCGCCAATGCTGTTCCTGATCATACTGTCAATATCTATCGAGAATCTCAAATCGGCACTCCAAATTATATGGCCCCAGAAGCGCTTGTAGAAGCGAATTTGGCGGGAGCAAAGAATACCACTTGGAAAGTTGGCAGACCGTCTGATGTTTGGTCTTGTGGATGCATTTTGTACCAATTCATCTACGGCAAACCTCCCTACGCTGCATACTCAGGCACACAAAGAATTATGGCACTCATGAATCCGCAAATAAAAATCCAATACCCAGCAACAGGATTGGGTGATGTAAAAGTACCCCTCAGTGCTATAGAATTGATGAAGAATTGTTTGGTTCGTGATCCAGCAGATAGATGGACAATAGAACAGTGCTTAGCAAGCGATTTTTTCCAACCTAAAGTTGTTGATGAAACATTCATCAGCAAAATTGTTCATCAAAGCATGAACCTCGGGTTCAACAAGCGCATCTTAAATGAGGGAATGTCAGCTGACGACTACGATTCGATGGTTGACGATATTGTAAAGCAAATAGAGGCATACAATTGCTAATGAGAAAAGAAAAGAAATGAAAAAAAAAAAATAAAGGAAAAGAAAAATAATTATACAAAGGAATCTATACTATGTAGATATATATTCTTTCATCTTTCATCTTTCATCTTCCATCTTCTTTTTCCCTTTTTTTCCTTTTTTTCCCCATTTACTCTAACGTGGTCCTAATTTTTTTAATACTCTTGGTCCTTGTTCTTCCCATTCTTGTTTTGAGACCCACATGTGGTCTTTATCAGCCATTATGTTTGCCAATACTGCTCCTCCTATAAACACCATATGTTTTCTTCTTGGGGGATCTTCAATTCTTACTTTGAATTTGTCTAATCTACTAGCGTCTCCGTGTAACACTTTGGTTAGCCATAACTGTTTCAACTCCTTTTCCAATCTTGATGGTAAACCTGGATACATTGACGAACCACCGGATAACACAATGGCTTTGTACAATGATGATCTTACATCCACGTCTGCGGCCTGTATTGTGTTGAACAATGACTCACCCACACCGGGTTGTTCCACATCAACCAAATGTGGCTGGAACAAGCATTCAGGAGCTTCAAACCTTTCACTTCCTACTTTGATGACCCTCCCGTCTGGTAACTCGTATGTCTCCACCAAAGTGGTTGTCTCGGTTGCTAGTTTGGCATCGAAGGCCAAATCGTAGCTTACGTAGCATAGTTTTTCTTTAATCTGACGCACTGTTTCAAAATCAGCAGTCCTGTTGAATGCATAGCCTCGACGGAATAGCAAATTTATCAAATGTCTAGTAACGTCTCTTCCTGCAACATCCAATCTCTTTGTCAAATGATTCAACACAACAGATTCATAAACCGGTACAATATGTGTTACACCATCTCCAGAATCCACAACTACTCCAGAACTCAACCCTTGAGCATATAAAGCTAGCACCGCCTGTATTGCAACGTAAACTCCGCCAAAGCCATATTTTTCAAACATAACCTGACACATTGTTTCCCTATTTTTCAACGGGTTCATTGGCGGCTCGGTTAACAATATCTTTTGTCCCTGAGGGTTTAAGTTCATCATATCGTAGAAAGCATAGTCCCATAAATGTTCCATATCTTCCCAGTTCTTTATAATACCGTTTTCCATTGGATAATTTATCTGTAGCAACGATCTAACTTGGCTTGCTTCGTTCCCACACATTATATCCTTGATTTCAACATCATCGGGTACGAGAGTATTACGTTCTTCTGCTCTCAAAATTGGTCTACCGACCATGGATGGAAAAGTGTAGTCAGGAAAATTAGTTCCGGCTCGGCCAATCTTCACAAACCCTGTACCTTGATCGAGAACTAAAAAAACAAAAGAAAATTCAAAGTTAGTCGATTTGCTTCAAAAGGAAAAACCGGTACCCTGTACCCATTTAAGTACATACCAATTGGGGACGTCATGTTGATTCCGTTTTTGTTGCTTAGAGAGAGAGAGAGAGAGAGAGAGAAAGAGAGAGAGAGGTTTTTATCAAACAAAGTATTGTTGGTGAACTTTTTGGCTTTAATTTTTTTCGGCATTCAGATAATTATACTGGAAGAGCTACCAAATGTTTTACAGACTTAATTCAACTTGTGAGCAAATGTTAGGTATGATGTGTGACTCTTGATTTCAGATTCTGGTTTCGTTACGTCCAACCACTCGTATCCATCGTCTCCTTCTTTCACCCTGGCACTTTTTTTCGCCGACAAGAATCCCTCATCATCAACTTTGGCAAGTTTTTGTGGTTTCTCACCATTTTTAAAACTCTCAATGCCTTGTTTCTTTCTTTCTTGTATATCTTTGATTCGACTGATAGCGCTGCTTACACTTCTTTTCATTCGTTTTCTTGCTTCCCATCTAAGTGCCCCTACTTCGACCATTTCTATATTTAACCATCCATTCTCTTCCAATGCTGTTATAGTTTTTGTCACTTGCTCAATGCACGGAGAAAAACAACAGATACCTACTCTTTTCTTGCTCGATATCACGGAGTTTAGATGCGGTATAGCACTCCATGGCGACGGTAAGTCCAAAAACACAACGTCGCCTTGAATGTCCAAATTTTCAATATCTAATCCATCGTTACAAACATCACGATATGCTATAGTGGTATTCACCAAACCATGAAGTTCCAACTCCTTTTTCGCTTCTATATATCTATTCTCGTGGAACTCGTACGTGAAAACGTGGCCCGAAAGCCCAACTGTTCGTGCAAACGCATGCGTGAATGATGCAGAGCCCGTTCCAGCTTCAATTACTCTCGACCCTGGTTTTACATTCAACCGCTGTAGTATATATGAGGAATCTGGAGTGTATACAATTTGCGTTCTATGTGGCAACGACAATGTCCACATTTCCGGCGTTGGAAACAATAGGTAGATAAAACCATAACCTTTTGCACCTGACATTTGCGACCCATATGGCATTCCAATCATCGAATCATGTAGATAGTGCCCATATTTGGTCTGTAGAATCTCTCCCGTTTTAATATATATAGGTTTGATAGTAGTTCTGTTTATAAAGGCAAGGACAAGGTCCCCTTTCTCTATATGCGTTTTGTACTCGAAGAATGACATCTACAAGTTAACAAAGATGGATCAAAATTAACAGAAAAAGTTGTCTATTTTTTTTTTCCTTCATGAAGCTCATCGCGAGGATGTAAGTATTTACGATAATGGCAGAGATGAGGTATTTACAATAATGGCAGAGATGTATCTATGATAATGGCAGAGATGTATTTACAATAATGGCAGAGATGAGGTATTCGTAGAGATAGTGATGGCCAGGACACAACTTAAGAAGATATCAAGACAGAGCAAAAAGACTAGGATTTCAAATATAAAATGGTCTATCCTGGGAAAAGAATTGAAAAATACACACATATATCAATATCCATATATTAATAATGCCTACTTGGAAGTTCAACCCCCTCCCCCCTCCCCTGGTCCTAGGCGCGCGAGATGGAAGTAGGTAATCGTGGCGACAACGGCGATTAAGCGGGCCCAAATACAAATAGTCGTGTATTTTTAACCAACATCAACACGAACAACGGAAAAAAAAAAGGCCAAAATTTAAACAAGGCAAAGAAACTAGACTGATTTTTTTTTCAAGTTGTTAATGAAGAAGTATTGATAAAAAAAATGTCAAGTGTATCACCTCAGCCGCAGCAACAACAGCAACAACAGCAACAACAGCAGCAGCAACCTGTACAGAACTTGAAATCTAGTGACCCATTTGCTACCAATGTGGAAGACCTTTATCTAGAGAGTTACGCTTTCACAACAGCAGCAGCTATAGTAGGGTCTGTCGATCGGAAGATTTTTGTATTGTTGAGAGATGGCCGGCACTTGTTTGGGATATTACGAACTTTTGACCAATTCGCCAATTTGGTGCTACAGGACACATTTGAGAGGATTTATATGGGGGATGACGATGCTAATAAACCTAGGAAATTTGGCGAGATATACCGTGGAGTATATTTGGTGAGAGGTGAAAATGTAGTTATGGTGGGTGAACTAGATATCGATAAAGAGGATGACCATTTGGACCAATTAGAACAGATTTCCTTTGAGGAGGCTAGCCAAGAATTGAAAATCAAGCATGAAAAGAAGGTGAAAGATGAAAAACGAAGAACAAAAACGTTATTGAAGCAGGGATTAATAAATGACTTTTATAAAACTGATTTATACTAACGACCCTAATGGATTTTGTTTTTTCGTTTTTTTTTTTTTTTTTTGTATCGCTGAACCAATTTTAATACAAAGATTCACTCTTTTTCATTCACAATTTACTCAACTTTTGTTGATTTGCTTCGAATTTTGCAAAATACTCATCAATCTCTGGAAACTTCTTTGCTTCATTTCTTGCTAGTTGAGACAAGTGTGCTTCGTCAGGACCATCGGCTATTCTCAATGTTCTATTCAATGCATACATTCTAGCCAACTCCACATCCTGTGAAACACCTTCAGCTCCATAAACTTGAATTCCCCAATCGAGAATGTTTGAAATAGTTCTTGGTGTTTCAATCTTTGCCATGGCTATTTCTCTTTGTGCTTGCTTTGCGTTAGAAATATCTATCTTGTGCGCAGCGTTCAACACCAATAAAAAACATCTTTCAATGTCGATTTTACTTTGGGCAAATTTGTTCAAAAAGCTTTCTCTTTGGTTCATTGGTTTGCCGAAAATAATTCTGTGGTTTGCTCTTTGTGCAATACGCATCAATGCGAATTCCCCCGTTCCGATAGCTCTCATACAATGATGGATTCTGCCAGGACCTAGTCTAGATTGAATTAGCTCGAAACCTCTTCCCTCGCCCGCCATAACAACATTAGGCATTTCATCGACTGGAATTTCATACTTGTCAAATGCAATTTCACAATGTCCATGTGGAGCATCGTCAAATCCGATTACATGCAAAGGCCTAACCAATTTAGCCTTACCCGAGGCTAATGCACGTTTTGCATCGACAATCAAAACCGTGTGATTTCTATAAGGATTTTGAGCATTATTGCTCGTTTTACACATAACCAACCACACAGCACATCTTGGATCACCAGCTCCTGAAGCAAACCATTTCACTCCCTCAAGTACATAGTTGCCACGAGAGTTTTTAGTTGCTGTTGTTGAAATGTTTAAAGCATTTGACGAAGAGGTACCCTTTTCCGTCATTAAGAATGCAGATCTGATTTCGCCGTTTAATAGAGGTTTTAAATATTTTTCCTTTTGGAAATTTGTTCCGTATTTGGCAAACAACTCCATATTACCAGTATCTGGCGCATTTGTGTTTGTCGCTTCTGGTCCAGTATGCGAGCGGCCCAAATATCTAGCCATCAATCCATATTCCACATTGGAATATTGCGGACCCTCTTTGTAATGTTTGGACAAAAACATATTCCACAATCCCAACTCTTTTGCTTTTGCCTTTAAAGCTTCAATAATTGGTGGAATTGTGGTCCATCTTGTAGCTGGATCGTTTGAAATTTGTTGGTAATATATTTCATCAGCAGGGAGACAAAAATTGTTAACAAAGTCCTTTGTCTTTTGAATAGCTTCAAGTCCTCTAGGAGAAATTTTCTCTAAAAAAATGGCTGGAATCTCATCTTTGACTGACATTTTGTTTACTCACAAGTGACGAAATAACAGAATCAAACCGATACCGTGTCTGACATATATATATACATATACATATATATATACATATATCTGATTGTGTTCAACGGAGTATAGCGGCTACCACCAACCCCACAAAAAAGTGGGAAAAAAAAAATTAATCCGTTCGAGTGTCTCAAAAAATTATCCACGACATATCATTTGCGACACACGAATTTTTCAATTTTATTTTCCGTTTGTGTGTCGCCAATGACGTGTCGCATATTATTTTTTGAGACACTTGAATTTTTCAATTTTTTCTTTTTTTCCGTTTCGATTTTCACATTTGCCATTCAATTACAGTTGAGAAACTGGGAGACAAGAAGAAGAAGAAGAAGAAGGTCAATAAAGAAGGGACAAAAGGGAAGCCATGGAGATTGAATCGGATGTGCCAAAGATACCCAATTACAAGCTCTCAGAGCAGCAATTCTTACTTACACATATAGACTTACCTACTGATGAACGAAAGAAAGTTATAGATGAGATGGTTGAGACGATCAAGCTCGAGAAGGCGGCACCGTATTACAAGTATTTACACGATAATGGTGTTATAGCCGACTTCCCATATGACGAATCGGTTTACCAGCAGTTATTAACTGAGAATGAGCAAGTATTAATTGATCTCAAGAACAAGATTAAGGAGGCCGAGGAAGAAGAAGAGACGGAACTAGACGTGGTTTCAACAACAACTAAACTTGCCGAGTATTATACCAAGATTATAGATAAAAGTAACGGAACAGAATTTTTTAAAAAGGCGCTAGAATTGACATCAGGTACAGGGTCAAAAATTGATCATTTGTTGACTTTAACCAGAATTGATTTTTTCTTCAATGATTTACCAGAAGCTCGTAAGCATTTGGATCAGGTTGCAAACCTCATAGAAAAAGGAGGTGACTGGGAGCGCCGTAACAGATTCAAAGCATACAATGGAATATATTTGTTGGCTACTAGGAATTTCACCGAGGCTGCTAAATTGCTTATTGACTCTTTAGCAACGTTTACATGCACCGAGTTGTGCTCATACGAGCAGATTGCTTACTATGCGATTGTTGCCGGCGTTCTTTCCTTGGGCAGAGTAGACTTGAAGGAAAAGATTATTGACTCACCAGAAATATTGTCGATTTATTCTTCAGCGCCAAATTTGGAACCTTTGTTGAATTTGACAAATTCATTGTACACTTGTCAATACAACTGTTACTTTGAATATCTTTTGCAATCTTATGACAAGTTGTTGTTGCCTAATAAGTATCTACACGCGCACGCTAGTTACTTTCTTCGGGAAATGAGACGTAAAGCATATGGCCAACTATTGGAAAGCTACAAATCGTTATCGATAAAGTCCATGGCGGCCAACTTTAACATTAGTGAAGAGTTTTTGGATGAAGACTTGTGCAAATTCATTCCCAATAAGAAACTCAATTGTGTTATAGACAAAGTTAATGGAATCATTGAAACCAACAGACCAGATAACAAAAATAATCAATACCATTCTCTAATCAAACAAGGAGATGGGTTGTTGACTAAGTTACAAAAGTACGGTGCTGCTGTTAAATTGAGTGGTGCTGAAAGAGTAGTATAATCTGTAGACTAATCTATTAAGTCGTGTAATGTGTAATCATTAGCAGTTTGAAGGAGAAAAAAAAAACAAGAAAAACAAACAAAACATCATCTTGAAAAATCGCAGTTAACTATTATCACCATTTCGTTTTTGATCTTTGTTATTTTTTTTTTTTGAAACTTGCCACTATTAGGAACGATGCCTCCTAAGCCTATCACCTCTAGTATTCTCTATGTTGGACTGCTTCCCTTTGACTGGGACGAGGATACAGTAAAATCTGTGGTTTGTGGATCGGGAAACATTGTAGATGTGAGACTTGGATTCGATTACGAAGGAAAGAACAAAGGTTTTTGCTTTGTTGAATATCAAACGCCTCGTGATGCTCAACGAGCCGCGCCTTTATTAAGCTCTATAGTCATTTTTCAACCAAACGGAACTCAGAAGAGACTAAAAATTGAAGGGTCAAAGGAAGGGCCAAGAACGAATAAAGCAGAGTCGAAGAAGGTATTGAATATAAATCGAACGAAGCTTCCTCCTAATGTTAGATTGCCGCCAGAGTTATCGAGTGGTGGTGGTGGTGGTGGTGGTGGGGGAAGATACAATTCGCCGTTACCGCCAACACAGATGCAACAGCAACAGAGAATGATGACGCCGCCTACGTTTGGTACTCCACAATCCATGGGTGGTGGTGGTGGTGGTGGTGGTGTTGGTCCGAATCAACAAATGCCGGTAAGGCTAACACAGGCATCAAAGAACCTTCCGCATGTAGCATCATTACCGCTTGAGGTGCCCGATAAGATTAACGAGGCTTTGAGTAAAATACCGCCGCCTCAATTAATCGAGTTGATAGCTAATATGAAAAATATGCTAATCACCGATCCAGGTCGAGTACAAGCGCTTTTGCAAGCCAATACTACACTAGCACACACTACTGCCCAAGTGCTATTGATGATGGGATTTATTGATAGTGATGTCATTAAAGAATCTGCAGCAGCAGCGGCAGCAACGTCTACAACGCCCACAACGTCAACAATAGCGATGGCACAGCCGCCATATGGTCAGCAACAGCCCATGGTATACAACAACATGCTGTATGGACAAAAGCAACAACAGCCACCACCACTACAACAACAACAACAACAACAACAACAACAACATGCCCTTCACAATTCAAAATGGCCACATTTGCCTATCGATGTGCAAATGAAATTGGCGGCATTGCCGGAGGGAGAAGCCAATAATTGTGCTACAATTTTATCAATTTCAAAGGCCCAGTATGATTTGTTGACAGATATGAATAAAGTCCAGGTTCAACAAATTAGAGAAAGATTTGGACAAACTAGATTGTAGAAACCTTAATAAATGATACATGTTAATATACCTTATGTTGAGTTAAATGATAGATGTTAATATCTACAAAGTGTCGCTATACCTCATGTTGAGTTAAATGATATATCTACAAAGTGTTGCTTCACTATCTCGCTCTGCTCGATAGTGTCACTTATGTTAAGTTTGTTCTAATTAATGGTTACGCCGCACCTATATCGTAACAGAAAAGAATTTTTCCTTTTTCTTTCTTCTTTAAATCAAACCTATAGTTACAAACTACTTTTCTCTTGATAATAGATCCATGGATTCACCAGTTATCATCAACTTTGATCTCTCGGATGGAATTGAAGGGAATGTTCCCTTTTGGCTTCGAGATGTATTTGATCGAACACTAAACGCTACAGGGATGATGGAGCGACTGGCTTCTGATGAGGCGATAGCAGGCTTAATTAAAGTTGATGTAACTCTGATTACGGAAAAGGAGTGTCCTATTTGCTATGAAAAGTTTTTGACGGAGCCGATTGTTATAGAGGAGAGCAAGCAAGGAGCTAAGTTGAAAAAAGAGACAAAGATGGCAGAGCTACTCGATATGGACAAGGAGGTTAAAAAGAAATTGTTGGAAAAGTATGATATATACATGGAGCCCTTGGAGAAATCGTCTAAATTTAATGACCCGTATATGTTTTTCCCAACGGATTTAGGAGGTGCATTTTACAGTAGATTCCCACAGAGAAACTTATCCACATTTCAAAATGTTACCACTGAAGATCAATTTCCCGGTTACAAAAGCGAGGAAAAAGAAATCAAGGATAAGAGAATTGAAAAGTATAAAAAGGAGGGACATGTTGCAGTGAAAATACCCGGATGTGAACATATATTCGGCCTTTCTTGTATTGTTGAATGGTTAAAGTCTAATGTCTCCTGTCCCCTATGTAGGAAAGAGGTTGAAGCCAAAACCAATGACCCCAAACGACTCAAGAGTGAAGCCATTGAAAATAATGTTGTTTGCAATTTCAATAACGAACGGAAAATGATTGACCACATGATGGAGCATTCGACCGATGTGTTTAATCCATTTCGACGTCCGTACAACCCAGCAATTACTTCAGTTACAGACTCCTATATGCATCAAGGTTGGGCAACACCTTCTAACTACTCTAGACCAATCAGATCAAGGGATCCAAACCTAGTTTTACCAAGAAAATTCCCATTTATGGAACCAATACGTAGGTTTAGTTCTGTGCGGAGAAACACGAGGGAGAACCGAAGGACTAGAAACGTAAGGCGCAGAAATAATGATAGTACAACAGTTACAAATAACGAGAGCCTCGAAGAGTTATCCGACCAGTCTCGTCGGAGAAGAAGTGCATCCAATGACTCTATGAGAAGTGCAAGAAGGGTCAACTTTTCCCCTCACACAACAAATATTGATGATTTACATGATGACTCGAGTGAAAGTGAAAATAGTAGTAGTGATTCAAATGGCAATCCACCAACTAACGTTACTGGTGAAGCCGATTTTTAATGAAGCGCGCCCGCGATCTGGACCAATGGAAGAGATAAGTAAACATACAGAAAACAAGAGATGTTTAACGTCGTGCCATAGATTTACAAGAGGAAGGGACAAATGTTGGATATCGAAATAAACAGAATACTTTTTGCAATTGATACTTTCAAACTTTATGTGTCAAACCCCTCCCCCTCCCCCCACTGCCCCCGTGTGGGGGCGCCAATAGGCAAATGGATTCCTGGATCAAAAAAATTAGATGTATGTAAAAAAGAAAGGAAAAAAAAATAGAACTTGTAACTTTTTACACTTAATGCTCAAAGTGATGGTGAGAAATTCAGTATCTAATTTGCACAGAAATCTAATGGATTTGCTTTATAATTGCTATTGCTTTTCGATACTACAGTCAGTTTTTTTTTTTTTTTATTTTTATTTTTTTTTTCTATCCAGTATATAAAGGGGGGTTAGCAATTCACCATCCTTAATTTCAAACATTCCCTTGACTTTGAAAAACTCAACAAATTTACAACAACATTGGCACATTATGCTTCGTCAAACAGTATTAAGATCGATCAAACCATCAATTGCATACAGACAACAAGTTCTTGTTAGGAGAAATTATGGTATAGTGGATGCTGCAACGAAGGCCGTTTTTGGAGAAAAAGGTTTACAGGAAAAAAATGCCAAAGAAGCCGAAATCAAGCAAAAAGCAGAGGAAACAAATCTAGGCAATGTTAGCGCTACCACAAAGGAAGCAAACTTGAAAACGGGTAAAGTTTTAGCTGATGGTATACAAAATGCACAAGATCTTACTGCAGATGCCAAATCAGCAATTAAAAATACCACTCAAAAGGCTAAAAATGCAGCCGAGGATATCAATTTAACAGCAGGTAGGTTTTTGGCTGATAATATACAAGGAGCTCAAGATGCAGTAAAAGACACTGATACAATTGTTGATAAGACAAAGAAGGCAGTCGATAAAGGGGCCGAAAAGGTTAATAAAGTTGCGGGAGATGTGTTAGCGAACGGCATAGAAGTTGGTGAAACCATAATTGGCGGAGCTGGCTCAACCGGTGAAAAAGTCAACAAGAAGATGGGAGAAGTTTTAGCAGACGGGGTTGAAAAGGGTGAACATTACACAAGCAAAGCCAAACAAGCTGGAGAGCATATCATTAATAAAACCAAGGAAAAAGCTGGCGGTGCTAAAGAAAAGGTAGAAGAGACAGTTGACAGCGCTAAAGGGAAAGTAGAGGAGAAAGCTGGCGGTGCTAAAGAAAAGGTAGAGGAGACAGTTGACAGCGCTAAAGAAAAGGTAGAGGATACAGCTGATAGTGCTAAAGAGATAACCGAAAAGGAAAAATTCAAATCAAAGGTGAAGGAGAATATTAAGGGATACGCCAGTTTAGAAGACAAGGGGAGAAAAGCACCGATCGAGCAGAATAGACCAGATGATGCTATGTAGAGCATAAAAGAGTAAATAGACATGAAAAGGAAAAATGTTTGTTATAAATGAGTGAAGTTTACAATTCTATCACGTGTCGCAATTCCCTTCTCCTCAGTTGATGTGCAAAGCTATACTCTATATTTGATTAAGGGGCATGTTCAATGTAGATGACAATTGATGTAATTATGCATAACTCTGCAACCACATCAAATTAAGGGATGAACTTGATCGCAAAATAGTAAACTGATGAATTACAAATCAAAGAGAATAAGCAGAGATGACTCTGAATATCGTAAGAAGTATATAAAGATCAAATGAAAGTGGGTTTTGTCTTCACCAGTTATTAGCATTTTCTCTTATTTTTTCATTGTACAACAATGATTAGACAAACCACACGTTTAGTTTCAATTCGCAATTACTCTTCTATCAGAGAGACATGGCAATCAACTAAAGGTCCCCTAATAAAAGTTGCACAGAAACTTAATAAGAAAACTGGTGAGTATTTAGCAGAAGGGATAGAGATTGCTCAACATCCAACAAAATTAAATGCTCGAGGTAAGGCTGAAAGGAAAAGAGTTCTTGAAAATTACAGAAATTACGACTCATTGCAGAATAAAGGATCAAAAGTTGAGAGTGAACAATGTCGCGCAGATGATGGACTATAGGTCTCAAACCCCATTTCCCCTTTCACATCCTCTTTTATTGAATAGTTTAATATCATGTTTATTTTTTTTTTTTTTTTTTTTCATTCTTTATCACAGAAAGTTCCTGAACTCTTCTACTAATTTGTCTGGTTTCCCGTCCCATTCCTTTTTTGTGTTTATTATTGGTGTTGATTCGGATTTTTGTAACGATGATGATTGTGGTGGTGGCGGTGGCTGAATTTGTTCTTGCTGTTTTCGTTCAATAACAGTAAGGTAATTTGAAGGCACATATCCAACTTGTCCCGATCTTGATCTCACTTTCCACCATTTACTTTCTTGACCCATAGGATCCTTTCTAGATAATATAGCCACTAAATCATTAGGTTTTAGTGGTATTTCAATTTGTGGATTTTCAGGGTTAAATTCATAAATTGCCTTAGCAAACTGTAAATTTGATGGATCAAATGGAGACGGGTTGTGTTGCTGTTGTTGCTGTTGTTGCTGCTGTTGCATTTCCATCTGCTTTCTTCTATTCTGTTCATTCAACATTTGTATTGCTTTACTTAGTATATAAGGGAACCCAATCGAAGCCACAAGGAATAAAAGCAATGGTTTAAGGGAGATTCTTTTATTTGGATTACGGCTCTTTTTCACCTGGTCTTCAATCTTTTTCTGTTGTTTTTCGTACTTGATAAACTCTCCCAAATTAAGACCATTGTTATAATCGCTCCCGGTCAATTTACTGAATATTTTTTTGACAAATTTGATCAAGGCAAAAATACCTAATAATGACCCTAAAGCATTCTTTAAATTGCCAAATTGTTCAGCCAAGTTAACCATGGTGAAAAACGAAGAATGTGTAGCCATATATGTTGCCTCCAACATCTGAGCAAATCCTCCAACTGCTCCAATTATACTCTCAATCAAATGGAATGTAGCCTGAGTGCTTTCTCCAAATCCACCTTGCATCGTCGTTGGATTATTGCCATACATTCCAGAACCATAGCCTCCGCCGTACATCCCGGAACCGTAGCCTCCACCATACATTCCGGAACCATAGCCTCCGCCGTACAAGGAGCCATAACCTCCGCCATACATTGAAGAACCATAGCCTCCACCGTACATTGAAGAGCCGTAACCACCTCCACCATACAACCCCGTACCGTAGCTCGACGTTCCATATCGGTTCCCATAGGTTGTGCTAGTGCCATAGGGAGAAGTCTCTGCCATATTATTGAAATCTGAAGTTAGCGATGTTGGACGATCAGGTATATGTGGATTGACTGATGCTGAACCTGAGCCGGTTGTTGCTGTTGTTGCTGTTGTTGCTGCTGTCGTTGTCGATAGTGGGGTTGGCTGCTGAGTTGACGCCGCACTTGTTCCCAGTGCAACTTCCCAGGGCTTTGTTCTAGGTGCTGATGACGATGACGACATTACTATACTTGTGTTGATTCTACCTCCTCAGATGAATACTGAGTGGAGGTTTATATTTTTTCTCTTGTGTTTAAGGCTGTTCTTTTTTTTTTCTTTTTTTTTTTTTTTTTTTTTTTTTTTTTTTTTTTTTTTNTTTTAGGGTTTTTTTTTTTTTTTTTTTTTTTTTTTTTTTTTTTTTTTTCTATTGCCTTTGAGAGTGTGTGATAAAAATTTTCGCCCTTGTGTGATTAGAGAGTTTTTAAGAGCAACTGGGAAGAGTAAAGAAAACGAACAATAACAGTACAGGTCGCGCGGCCCATAATTAAGTGTGCCAGATTCTTTTCTTTTTTTTTTTGGTTCTAAATTGCAAAGGTGTAGGTTCTGTCCTATATTGTGTTTAGTATAGTACAAATATTTTAGGGGGCAACGTACAGGACGTGGGGCGAAGTTCAGGGCGGGGTGCGTAAACTTTGAACTTGCCCATTACGTAAAGAAAAAAGAAAGAAAAACCCAGGCGAAGAAAAAAGTTTTTTGTGCTTTCTTTTAAGCTTTGGAGAAAGAAAAAAATAAGTTCCTCGGCTTATTATTTTGATGATAATAATTATATTGATTTGAGTAAAGAAGAGAGAGAAGTGAAAGAGAAAGAAAAAGAGATTGAAAAAGAGAGAGGTTGATCTTGAAGATGAAGCTCATTTTGATAAATATCAACAGTTTGTTTCCCCTTGTGTTGCTCTACTATTGAGCGAAGCGAGATAGTGGAGCAACACTCCGTAGCTTGTTACTGAACCATCTCGCTCTGGTCGATAGTGTCATTAGTCAGTGCGGCTCAACTGTCTCGCTTTGCTCGATAGTGTTGTAGCTAGTCAGTTTTGCACACTATCTCGCTCTGCTCGATAGTGTCGCTCGATAGTGTCGCTCGATAGTGTCATTATACAAAATACTTCATCTCTTTCTATATACACATTAAAAGTATACATCTATAGATTAGAACACCATCTCGCTCTGCTCGATAGTGACATCCTCGATAAAATGAGACTTCATCTATACTAGCCAACTCCACCAAATGATATATCCAAAAACGCCGCCATATATCACCACGCATCCCAAGAGCGTTGCTAGTTTCAACTGTCCCTCTGTACTACCCCAGTATAGTCAGGGCAAAGGTTCATTGGAGCTTGATAGTTTATTCAAGTGTAAATAAACATCAGTTCCGTAACCTTCCATTGAAATCAATTTCAAGTCTCCTCCAAAATACTGGGCGTACAACCTACTGATAGGTAATCCGTATCCAAATCCAGCCATTGGAGCTTTGAAACTGGATTGATTATACTCTTGGTCAAGTATGGGTGTTTCATCCACTGTAGTGTAAAGATATGTCCAAATAAGAGGTAATGAAGACCGTGGTATTCCACCACCTTCATCACTAATCTTTATCGCGATATCTTCGGTTCCTTCCGAAATGATTACTTTAATTGCCGGAAACACAAGATCATTCAAATCGATTTCATCATACTTGGTGTTTGGATGCTCTTCCATGTACTTCTTTTTAAGTCTAGGTGTATGAAATTCTATTGTTGCACGAAGTGAATTTTTCAATGTTTCAAACAACATATGAATCAAATGTCCTGGCACATACATAAAATTAATATCTTGTTGAGGTGCAATAAGCTTGATCTCTGGTGCCTCAAATAACCCATAGTACTCTTCACTTATATATTTTGCCGTTTCGATTGCGTCTTCGGCAATTTCACCAACATTGCAATTAGTACAAATGACACCCACGTAGTTTGTTTTATTCTTCCTGCTACTTGCGTTGGAACCATTAAGAACATTGCTGATTCTCTGCTTTGTTGGAGAGTTCTGGGCCATGTTTAAAGCAATATGTTGGCCAATCAACATTCGTATACCAATACGCGACATATAAAATCTATCAAGAAAAGTTTGTATTTGTGAGTTGACCAAAATGGTGTGATTTTCACTCTTCCATTCTTTGACACCCTGAGCCATTGTTGCTACTGTTGCATCGTGTCTTTTCTTGATTTTCTCGAGCGCTTGGCATACTAGTTTGTTATAATCGTACACTTCCTTGGGCCAGATGATGTTTACTGGACATGGTTGGAAATATTTCATTCCGTATGTCGGGGATAGTGTTTTGTTGATCAAGTCTTCCTGAGGTTCCTTCAGTTTGGATTTGGCGTTGTTATGGTGATGATGATGTCGGACAACGATTCCATCATCACTGAATATATTATTAATTGCAGGGTTGTCCACTAGCAGGTCAGTACCATTGCTAATTGTGTGAATTTCAGGAGAAGGTGGTTGCTGCTGCTGCTGCTGCTGCTGTAGCACTTCTACATTCCCTGCAGGAATCAACGTTGGGGTTCCGGTGCTGTATAACAACTTTTTTAAATTTTCATCAATTTCCGGCTTTTGCAATTCAGTCAATTCTTGAAAAGATTGGGCATACCAATTCTTCACTTTTATAGTCAGCGGCAGATTATTCAAACCTAGCGGAGCGTTATCTAAATCCTTGACTTTCTTGGCCAATCTAATGGGCAACTCCTCAACTACAAATTTTGAGGCAAGGAAAATGGATCCTGGCGATGGAGTAGGGCCAAACTGTACCATCTGTCTTAGTGATATGGGAGTTTGATGGTAAGATGCATATTTGTAGATTTGATCTTTGAGTGCCTGAGTTAATTCCCATCCAGTCCCCATTTGACAATGATTGGGTAGTAGTAGTAGAAAAAAGGGAGGTGTACTTGTAGTAGTAGTAGTAAACGAGATAGAAGAAGATGAAAAAGAGTAGTTAGCCGCTACAATAAAAGGTTTTCAGTGAATATTTTGATATATGGCCTTTACCTTAAAAGAGAGAGAGAGAGAGAGAGAGAGAAGAGAAAAAAAAAGAACATTACCAAATGAATAACAAAATCGAACGAGTCTTTGACGTCTGGGGAAATGGATGAATATGATAGAGAGATTTTGTGAAAAATGTTAGAGGTACACGACCATTTTCTATATTGTGGAATATGTGAATTGTATCATGCAGAGTTAGACCAAGGTAGTAGGCAAAGGAAAATGCATATGGAAAAGTAGAGGCATGGGGAAAAGTAGACATATGGAAAAGTAGAGGCATATGGAAAAGTAGAGGCATATGGAAAAGTAGACATATGGAAAAGTAGAGGCATAGGGAAAAGTAGAGGCATAGGGAAAAGTAGACATATGGAAAGGCAAAGGAAAGGCAAAGGAAAGGGCTCATACCTGTGTGGCACTCGTACCGTTAAATGACTGTTAATGGTTAGATCAATGTAAAAAGCCTGTGTTTTTTTTTTTTTTTTTTTTTTTTTTTTTTCATTGAGGTTTGAATAAATCAATCATATAGGTTTTTACAACAAAAGCCAGATGCAAAGAAGTGCAAAATAGAAAAGAGATGTAAGATTTGTAAGAAAAGAGATTAAGAATTGTAAGAAAAAAAAATTGTCAGAAAACAACCCGTTTGGTACTGAGGTGGTACTAAAATGACCCAAAAACACTAGTACTAAGATGGCCGGGATTATATTATTATTGAGTGATATTTTCTTGATATTTTTCAACAATTATTGGTTTATTTTGCAGGAATGAAAAGTATTTCCGATTTTTAAGAAGTTATGTTTCAATAATTGGCTACAAGCCTTTTTAGCACAATCCGGAATAATAGAAAAGCCTCAATTCATCTATTGAAATGCAGCACCTTTTTTATTTAGAAAGGTTTGTTAACTCATGATGATAGAGCAGCGTTAGCAAAATGTTTTTTTTCTTTCATCCTGTGATTATATTTTGTACATAAATTGCAAAAAGAAAAAAGATTGCAAGAGCTTCAAATCAAGTCAAACCAAGACGAATTATGTCTATGAAGGATATTAAAAGCCGAATCAAAGCCACAAGCTTAGTAATGAGAGAGGTAATTGGCAACAGTATCTTCAAAACACATCGTATACTTTTTTATTATCGAATGAGCCTATTATTGAATGAGCTCTTTTATTATTGGAGCTCTTTTATTATTGGAGCTCTTTTATTATTGGAGCTCTTTTATTATTGGAGCTCTTTTATTATTGGAGCTCTTTTATTATTGGAGCTCTTTTATTATTGGAGCTCTTTTATTATTGAATGAGCTCCTTTTTAATTTTTTTTTATGATAAGAAAATAATGACAATGATTGTCTTATTTGAACAAGGACAAAGTAAGTGAGATAGTAAGGTGAAAAGAAATCAATTTGTTACATATTATCGGCGGAAACAAATAGCAAGAGAGCCAGAGAGGGAGAAGGAAAGAGAAATTAAAAAGGGTAGGTTAGGAATCCGTTTTTTTTGTTTTAATCTCTTAGTCATTTGTCATCGTTTGTACTTGTTTTTTTCTACAATCCCTTATTCAAGTTGAGAAATATCTATTTACCTTTGTCTTCATTTGTAATCATTGCGTGAGATTTAGAACGTGGGCTTATTTTGAGAAAAGCCACTCAAATAATCTGGCTAAACAAGGGCGACTGTGGTAGAGAGCCACGATAATAGCGTTTCGTTGAGCCCTTTTATCTTGTTGAAGAAGAAAAAAAATAACCGTGTAAATGTAGGCTCAAAGAGGATGGAGATGGCAGGAGAAAGGAGCAGTATACAAAGATTTCCGAGTTCCAGAACTGTATTACCTTGATTCAATAAACGTTGACTCTTTCTCTTTCTGTCAAATAATGTAAGGTTCATGATTATAATAAACGGTTTTGAGTTTGATAGGGAAGGGCTACAAATCATCTAGAAGCTTTAAACTAAGAAATTAATTTTTTTGCAATAGAAAAACAAAAAAGGGATAGTTGATGAAGGGATGTTGACACATACACCATTCTCTCCCTACTCCTTACTCCTTACTCCTTACTCCCTACTCCCTAACCCCCTACTCCCGAATTTCCTACCCCCCCTTTCTCAATTACTCACTCCTATCTCCTTCCCAACAAATTTCATCCCTGATAATTTATCTTCATAGCCCCAAGATGTTTTATTCAACTTGGCGTACCCTCTTACTCCCTATTTTTTATCCCTATTTTTTTACACCTTTGTTTAAATTCTTAACAGCAATGTTACCATAAGAAAAATAAAACCCAACTACTTCTATTCCCATTCGCTCTACCAACTGTCTTTTACTTTTCTCTATTGTAGAAAATTCCGAAAAACCGAGCTCAATAATCATAAGTTACACAAAATAATATTATTTAGATGCGTGAGTCAACACGTCTTATATGCAGTACAAAGCATTTACTACATCAGGGGATACGGAAAGAAAAGCTTATCTCTACAGTTAGCCACCACACCAAAAGAATACAATATAAATACAAGACCAAATTCCTCAAATCAATTGGCACTTTTATGATCACCAACAAATAGCCTTAACATTTACAATCAACAAAACATATACAGCTACAGTTATATAAATTAGTCGCAGTTATGAAGATTCATCACTTGAATGCCATTTCTACAGCTAGTAGACACTATATCAAAACAGCTACAAAATCTACTAGAACACCACAATTTTTCTTCAAGAGCTACACAACCAATCGCTCAAATTTGAAGAACTTTACTTACCCATCGAGTAATACTGTTAATGAAGAGGATGTGTTTATACCAACTATCTCAGGAGATGATGTGATTACGGCTGGTCCAGTCCATCGTGAATAAATTCTGGGAGGAGAAGATTTGTTTCAGAGTACGTGAGTTTGCGTGTGTGTGTGTGTGTGTGTGTATTTGTGGGTATAGATGATTTTTTAGCTTTGATATTACGATTTTACGATTAGCACTTTTTGTTGCTCTCATTCGTTCACTTTGACCTCTGTTTACTCTATGTTCAACACGGGTTTGGATTACTTGACCTTTTTCCTCTCTCAGTCACGGGTTAAATTGCTACCATGAAAAAGAGATGGTAAGTTAATTTAAGTTAAGGTAAGGATAAGGACTATTGTTAAAAAAAAATATGTCCGGTCATCCGAGGTTTCGACTTTTGCGCACTACTTTTTTCATTCTTTTTCTCCATTTATGCGACGGAACGTTTATTCTCTTTATTACCCCACAATTTCACTTATCGGAGATTGGGAAGAAAAGGCAAAAGCAAATCAAGAAAAGCTTCTTTATTCTTCTTCTGATAATTTAATGTTGTATTCAGACGAGTAGACCAGTCATCAGGCCATCCCTCAAACTTTAATTATGATATCACTTGCCTTTTTTTTTTTTTTTTTTTTTTTTTGGAAATGCCCATTGTATTTCAATCAAGAGTAAGAATGCGTTTTAAACACAGAGGGAGCCATTATGGGGTAATTGCTGCTGAGAATGTGTAGAGGTTTTTTTTCTTGGTAATATCTATATTTTAAAGCTTTCTTTAGATCTCTCAATAACAGAAGATTTAAACACCCACCCACCAGGAGTAACTAATTGAAAATAGCAACACTATATATTATTGTAATATATTTTGGTGAGAGAAAAATGCATCAGAATTTACCAAAGTAGAGCTTCAAGTTCCCTTAATTAAGTCTATAAATTTGTTTTTTAAAACATGTCTCCTCTTCTATGCTCTAACAACGGCATATTAATTCTAATTTTCTCCAACTCTTCAATATCTAACTCACTAGTGATTACTTCGTAGTAATCATCGTCAACATCTCTTTTCAATTCATCATCAAATTTCCGGCCCCTTGCCAATACTCTACCCCAAGGATCAACAATTATTGATTCACCATAACTAACTCTTTTCACTACATCCCCTTGTAAATTTGTTCCAACGTCATGCTGACCACACTGTGCTGCATTAATTACAAAACATTGTGTATCTAAGGCTCGCGACCTTGACAAAATCTCCCAATGCGCCTGGCCCGTTTTCGTTGTGAATGCACTTGGAAAAGTAAGAATATTGGCACCTAGTTGACGAAGTTTCAAACTGAGCTCAGGAAATCTAATATCATAGCATATTGCTAATCCCACATTAAACTTTGTATTTGGTATGTGAAAGGGTGCAGTTACTTGATTCCCCGGTTCGATTGCATTGGACTCTTTCAAAATCGGACCATTGGGCACATCAACGTCAAATAAATGGATCTTTTGGTATTCGCAAACTATCTTCCCTTGAGGGTCAATCAAGAGGTGGACATTTCTCACTTTTCTTGCTGAGCCTCCTGGTAAATGGACCCCTACTGACACATAAGTTGATGATTTTAGTTTCTTGATATGATTGAGCAAAGGTTGTAGGAAACTCGATTCAACTTGTTTAGCTAGTTCCGTTGAGTGCAAAGCATTTTGAGAGATGTAATCTGTTGCTTCGGGGAGGAACAAGATTTGAGATTTTTGTTGAATGGCTTGGTTGAGGATTTTGTAGACCACGTGAAGATTTCTAGTTAGACTTGCCGAAGAGCAAAGCTGGCCAACAGATACCCTCATTGCCAATAAAAGTGTTTGCTTGTTTTGTTATCAGCAATATCATTTTTCTGTTGATTTTCTATTAATTTTCCACTATCGAGCAGAGCGAGATAGTGGGGCAACACTCAGTAGCTTGTTACAACTCTATCGAGCAGGGCAAGAATGTGTCATTAGTCAATCTCGCTCTGCTCGATAGTGTTATTAGTCAGTGCTGCTCGATAGTGGAGCAACACTCAGTAGCTTGTTGGCTATTTAGTATAGACTTGAGGGGTTGGCTTATTTGTTAATAGTTTATAGGGTCAAATATTACCTTCTCTATAGATAAGGAAAAGAATCAAAGATTAACAAGAAAACCGCGACACTATCGAGCGGAATGAGATAGTGGAGCAACACTGACTAATGACACTATCGAGCAGAGCGAGATAGTGTTGTAACAAGCTACTGAGTGTAGCCCCACTATCTCGCTCTGCTCGATAGTGTCGGTCGATAGTGTTGTAACAAGCTACTGAGTGTAGCCCCACTATCTCGCTCTGCTCGATAGTGTCGGTCGATAGTGTTGTAACAAGCTACTGAGTGTAGCCCCACTATCTCGCTCTGCTCGATAGTGTCGGTCAATAGTGTCACTACTGAAATTTACCCAAGACATCTTTCAAATTCTTACCCAAGTCTTCCAAATCAACATTCTCTTTTAAATAATCGAACCCTTCTTGAATATACTTCTGTACATTTTCATAATCATTTGAATCACCATTACCATCACCGAATTTTTCTCTGGCATATCTCAAATACGCTTCAGCGTCATTCAAGGGTTCTGCTTCATTTGCTTGCGACGCAAAGAGTTTGGACCCATTGTTTAGCAATCTCAACAAAGACCACACATTAACAAAGCTCCACCCATTATACAAGTATATTACTGTGATGAAAAAAAGCATAACCAAAGTAACTTTTATTGTCACTATCGCAAACCTCAACCACATTCGCATTGATCGAAATACTAATCTGTAGATAAAGTATATACCAATAACCACTAATACAGATGATACAAGATCTGGATAAGTTTGATGAGCTTTAACTATAAAACTAAGCCATTTCAGAAGACAGTACTGAATAATATACATAGCAACGGTGCCTACATGCACCAATACATCTTTGACTTCCATCTTTGAGCTTTCTTTCCTACTGTTGAGTAAAGTGAAAAAAAAAAAAAAAACTAAAACAAACCTTCCTTCACAACCCCACGCTTAACAAGAGATGTAATGTAATATTTTGACACGCAAACAGAACAAACCGCACTTGATACGAGCAGGCATCCAGACATACATGTATAAACAAAATCACTGAAAAAAAAAATTTTTCTTTTTTTTTTGTTCACTTTTTGCAAGTTTCCCTTTTCTTTCTTCTTTTCTTCTTCAGAAAGTTGACCTCCGAATTTTGAAATTTGGCAGTTTATTCAACATCTGGGAGAAAGATTGTAGGAAACCACTTTTCCTTTATATTTTCTCTAAAGATTGCCTTGCTTTATTTTTTCGCCTATTAAGTTAGGGAAGAAATACTTCATTGATCAATTTTGTCTTTAATTTCCTTTGATGGAAAAAGAAGATTGAGAAATTTGAGTTTGAAAAGCTCCTACATACGATTTTTCACCCATTCGTGGATGGATTTACTGTTGACAAATGTTCGGACAGAGCGAATGTGACTATAAAGAATATTCAAAAGGTTTGGAAACTTTGGAGTATCCCGTTATGCCACTACATTTTCGTAAGCAGTTATATTACCTCTATTACTATTTGATTCTTTTACCTCTATTACTATTTTATCTAAACACTAAAAAGCTCTTTTATTGACAAACATTTGGTAGCATTTTGAAATCTCAAGCAACCAGTGTGTTTTCTTATCTTCTGCAATTGAAGTGAGCACCCACATATAGATACCCCCCCTCAGTAGCTTGTTGCAACACTATCGAGCAACACTCGGTAGCTTGTTACAACACTCAGTAGCATGTTACAACACTCAGCAGCTTGTTACAACACTATTGAGCTGAGCGAGCTAATCACACTATCTCGCTCTGCTCGATAGTGTGAATAGGTTAGTGTCGCAAGTTTTATTAATTTTTTCGTATTTTTCTCTGAGCAATGATAAAGATGATAGCTAATGTGTATGTATGGATGTTTCACCGAAATAAGAAATTTTTCTTAGAAGGAGAGAAAAAAGACATCAAGGTGGAATTAAGGGTGTAAAAGAGAGAAAGAGAGAGAGAGAGAGAGAGAGAGAGAGAAAGAGAAAGAGAAAGAGAGAGAGCTTAAAGATAAAGAGGAGGGAGAAGAGAAACAACACCCTTGGTACCAAGCAAACAATTTTTTTTTTCCGCAAGGGGATATTTCATGAGCTTTTCAATTGCGCGATACACAAACAAGCATGAGCAGCAGCAGCAGCAACCAGCGGCCGATGATAAAGTCGTTACGACCTCTGACGAATGGTAATAGCCTTTCCAATACAAAAGTCCCAGCTATAAAGTTAAAACCCAAATCCGTGCAACAAGCATCTCAAGCAGCAAGTGTTTCTTGGCTGCGACCACAGATATCTTCCACATCTGTATCGTCTAGAATTGGCGGCGATATAACTAGTTATTTTGCAGATTTTGATCAGGATACTTATAACATAAACGGGAATAATGGTAGCAATAGTAGTAGTAATTGGGAAAGAACATATTCAAGAACATCTTCAGGCTTGTCTGAGAAATCAATTGAAGCATCCAACTTGATCGATTTGGACGATATTAAAAAAACACAAAAGAGCTCAAATAAACTATCGAGATCAGTAGATGATTTGACGATAAAACCTATAAATGAAAGCCCGCCGCTGCGCGTAATAAAACCAAATGGATTACTGGTTTCCAAATTAGAGCACATTTCCAAGAGTACGTCCGATGTACCTGCAAAAACCACAAAAACGTATGTTTACAATAAACCCAAACCTTTGAACTTGCAAAAATTAATGCAACAACTGAAAAAACAAGCAACGAGTCATTCGCATCCAACGAAACCAAAATCAAATATTACTTATAACTACGTGAAAGCGCCGCCAACAAAAAGCAAGCCAGTTACTTTGAAGGAAACATCAATAAATGGCAATAGTAATTTTGATGGTAACGGACCTGTAAGAAAAGTAGTGGCAGCAACGGCTAAAAAACAAGAAGGTGACGATATTCCCAATAGTCCTACAATGGATGATTTACTTAGTGGATACGATGATGATGAGGCCGAGCCAACTTGGAATTGCTCTGCCAAGACAATTGAAAAAACGCAGGATGCATTGATTGCATCTATCAAAGGCATAGATCCTACAGCAGCAAAACAAATACTAAATGACATTGTTGTACATGGGGATGAAGTTTACTGGGATGATATAGTTGGATTGGAAGGTGCCAAAAACTCTTTGAAAGAAGCAGTTGTGTACCCCTTTTTAAGGCCCGATTTATTCAAAGGGCTAAGAGAACCAACGAGAGGCATGTTGTTGTTTGGACCTCCAGGTACCGGCAAAACTATGTTGGCGAGAGCTGTTGCTACGGAGTCGAAATCCACATTTTTCAGCATTAGCTCATCATCGTTAACCTCTAAATATTTAGGAGAATCGGAAAAACTAGTCAAGGCGTTGTTTTTACTAGCGAGAAAGCTTGCCCCGTCGATTGTATTTATGGATGAGATTGATTCTTTACTTAGTTCGAGAACAGAAGGAGAAGTTGAAAGTACTAGAAGGATTAAAAATGAGTTTCTTGTTCAGTGGTCAGAGTTATCTAGCGCTGCAGCAGGACGCTCACATGAAGATGTGTCTCGCGTTTTAATCTTGGGGGCTACTAATTTGCCATGGTCAATTGATGAAGCAGCAAGGAGAAGGTTTGTTAGACGACAGTACATTCCTTTGCCTGAGGCCGAGGCTAGAAAAACACAAGTTGTCAAATTGTTGCAACATCAAAAAAACACTTTATCCGAAAAAGACTATGAAGAGTTGATGAAATTGACAGAGGGATTTAGTGGCAGTGATATGACTGCATTGGCTAAAGATTCAGCAATGGGGCCCTTAAGATCATTGGGCGATAAATTGTTGTCAACACCGACGGATCAGATAAGACCTATCAATTTAGAGGATTTCAAAAATAGTTTAAAATACATCCGACCAAGTGTTTCAAAAGAAGGACTTCACGAGCATGAAGACTGGGCTAAGAAGTTTGGTTCCAGTGGCGCTTAAGTTTAAAAAAGAAAAAAAAAAAAGACAAAAACAGCAAATTAAAAAAAAATGCAAAAGAAAAAAAAATCATACCTATATTTATTAAAAGAGCATAAAGTATTCATGACTGAATTGAATTCATATGCAATGGTAGAAAATGTCTCTGCATGTTTGAATGGGAAGATTCTGATTATTTCAACCGTAGGAAATGAAAATTGGTTGCACATTAATATGGAGTAAACAAAGAACAAAAAAAAAAAAAAAAAAAAAAAAAAAAAAAAAGCCAAAATCAGCTTCAAGTATATGGCCTAATATATGAATCGGCCACATAGAGAAACAGGCATCACCTAGAGAAGTAACATGTTAAACTGGTTTTCATTTATTTTGCAAGCTGAGACACACAGATTTTATTGCAATTGTTCAAAAGCCTTTTTTTTTTTTTTTTTTTTTTTTTTTTTTCTTTGGCTCTGAATAGTTTATTCCGATTATCATAGCAGAGGAAACAATACCAAAATTTTTTGACAAATGGGATTGCAACACATAAGACTTGTGCAAATTTCAAATGCGCAGAGTAAAGTGAAAAGATGACACAGCATTTGACTGAAAAAAGCGCATTTTTTAGGTAAGGCAGGTTCATAGTTTGTACTATATCTTTTTAAAGCATATACTTTCAGTTACTAATTATGCGTGTGCTTTCTATAAAATCACTCTTTGACAGTGAGACATTTTGTTCAAACAATATAGTTTGTACAATAGATTGTTGAAAGAGAAAAAGACAATTAATTTACCTATTTATCACAAGATGAAAAAAAAAGGTCAAACTAAAGAAGGAAAAAAAAAAACTGGACTAGAAAGAAGATTTTATGAAATCAAGCAATTCAGTATATTGATAAGCTAGAAACTATACCGTCATTTTTAACGGTCCATTTTCCAGTAGTCGAATACTTTATGGTTTGAAAGAATTTTTTTTTTGTCACTTTGCTGAAAAATAAAAAAACAACACAAAAGTAAAAAAAAAAATAAAAAAAAAAAACAAAAAAAAAAACTGTCAAATCTCAGATGTGGCGGTACACACACCTTTACCAATATATATCATTGAAAACGATTTCTTAAATCTTCCACGGAAACCTCTACTCGTTATAGAAAGTCTGCTTATCTGAAAAGCGTAGAAAGGTTTCCTTGTTTTGTATAGGTTCAATTACAAAAATTTATAGGAGAAAAAAATAGTAATAATTAGGTAATGGCTAAAAATATTTGTTACTAGTATTACCATGATACAGTAACAAGGGTCGTAATTTTCATTTTCCTAAAATATTAATGAAGGAATAATCATTGGAGTGTACTTCAGAGATGTCTCAGTGACGGCTCAGAGCCAGCTTGGAGATAGTTTAGCGGGGTAGGTAAAAGAAAGAGGCAGAGGGAGGGAGAAAAGCAAGGGGCGCGCGGAAGGATTTTAGCCCAAAAAAGGAGAAGTTTAATATAAATTAAGTGCATTAGTCTCTAGTAAAAAAAAACCCATCCTCAAACTATCCCTTACTTCCCTCTTCTATTAACAAAAAAAAATCTTTTTTCCTTAGATGTTCTTTAGCTAGTAGAGGAAAATAAAAGCCTCTTAATTGGAATAAACTTGGCTGCATGAATTGAAAAGTCCTGCAGCTTTTTAACATTTTGTGTACTCTACACCTTTTTCTTTACTTCTATTTTCATTTTTATTTTTTATTTTTTATTTTTAATTTATATTTTTTCAGTTTTAGCAGATCTCTAATTATTATTTTCCATACGAATTTTACATTAACCACTTTACATGCGTGGCCCCCCAAACTCATAACAGAGAATGGTGTGTTATTACTTTAATCAAAGAAAGTATCTGTAAAGAATTCAAAAGAATTTAGAGTACGTTTGTTTGAGTTTTGCAATATCAGCATTGAAATTCATTGTTGTTTATATACATATATATATTTACATGTACTCCACAAAAAAAGACCGCCTTATCCTTTGGAAAATTTTTTTTTCTTTTCTTTTACTTACAATTCTCGGTTCAAGGTCGATGATTTACGGTGAAACAGCTGTTGCTCCGTTCTGAATCAAAAATTTGGATATAAGTTTTTCTTTATACCAGTCATTCGCTTCACTCATCTTTGAAAGTTCTTCTTCTTCTTCTTCTTCTTCCCCTTCTCCGCCCTCCTCACCTGTTATTCATTCAGGCTTTGTTACATCCACACAGCATAACCCTCAAAGAACTTTAGCTTTTCTTTTTCACCTTGTTAAGAATTTTGCAGCTTTTTTTTGTCCATTTGGAATAATGGTTTGATGACAAAACAGAATATAATCGGCATAAAGGAACACTCAGATTTTGCGTCCTCGTCTATTCAAACCCCAAATTCATTTCAATCCAACCAGTGTGTACAATCACAGAATCTGCAGTATCAAGCATTCCCATTTCTCAAGAGTGAGCAAAAGCAAAATGAGGCGGTATCGACGGTTATATTGGCAAGTAATCCTGATTTCACTATTAACACTTCAAATTCATATGAATCCAATCGATATGTTGGCGACGACTCCTATCACCATTGTACACACCCCCAACATGATACTAACACTTTTGCACAGCATCAGTTGACCTCAAGCCCTTTGTTACCCCTCAAGCTACAGCAAAAGCAACAGCAACAGCTACCGGTACTGATTTCTGAGGGCTCGCTCAATTATAGACATTTAAAACCGATGCAATTTTATTCCATACTCCCTCCACCACAAGCTCATCCATTGACACACATACCACAAACACCTTTACAGTCAGCGCAATATCAAGATAATCTACAACCTCAATATAACTACTATGTTCAAACGCATCCAAATGCGCAATTCACATTCCAGCAAATACAGCCGCCGCCGCAGCAGCAGCAGCCATGGCAACCCCAACCACAACCATATATACCACAATCACAGCAAACAATCACGTCTGCAAATTTTCCTCAAGCATATTATCACTCTTCAAATAATTATGCAAAACCCATTTCAGCACCTTCAAGACGAAAATCAAAACAATCTACGACTTGGTCTGCAAAAGAAGATAGATTACTAAGAGAGTTGAAAGAGGTGCAAAATTTGGGCTGGAGAAATATCTCTACTTTTTTTCAAGATCGAACACCAAATGCTTGCCAATTCAGATGGAGGCGCATATACAATGCAGTCAAAGGATCATCATCATCATCGTCACCGCCAACGTTGTCATCGTCTATTCAACCTGCATCAACAATATCAACTCCAAAATACACTCTGCCGCTGTTGCAATCTAGAAATAGTATGGATTCAACAAGCTCGCACCAATACTCACCCAGGTCAGGCGATGGTGAAAATGGAATCGTTGCTGATGAAGAAAAGAAAAGTCAACACAATATTGATTTTTTGTTGAACTAATCTTGTCAATTAAAACTCCTGTTATGTAGTATTAAAGAGCTCAGTCTTACTTATTCATTGACATATATATATATATATATATATATGTATATAGCGGTGCTTCTCAAACCCACTCGGTTTTTCTTGCTTGTTGGCGGTTACTCTACACTATCGAGCAGAGCGAGATAGTGTAGCACACTAGCTGCCACCGACACTGGAATGACGCTATAAGGGCTCTTTGAGAGGCAACGACTAGCAACATCGGCCTGAGGGGACACTACATACAACATCGGCCTGAGGGGACACTACATACAACATAGGCCTGAGGGACACTACATACTACTCCACTAGCTCACTTCACTCCCTAGTGTCGCACCTTGATTACTAAAGTCAAGTTGATACCTCTGGTAAAAGGCTAGTAACTCCCGCCCCCAACTCACACACAAATACACAGATGCACAAATCTACTATGCATATATATATGTCGTAGAGTTTTAAATAAGTACCTGCAACTTTTATTGGGCCAAGAATCGTTGCTAAGCCAGCTACCAAAAAATTCGCGTATTCTTTCTCTTGGGCCTAAAGAGTTGGGTATTATGCCTCAACAGAATAAAGCCAATTTATCAACACTCGTGTACTTTAAAATATGGCATCTTTAATCCATACTCTTTCCCCTTCACCTCACCTTCATTGAGCGGCCTACACAAAAACAAGCCAAGCTTCTCTCTGAGCTTAATTTCAATAATCATATTTTTTTTTTATATTTTTCAACCATACAGCTTTTTCACATAATGCTTTATTCACAAATGGCTATTCTTGTGAATTTTTGTTGATTTTGTGTACTTGGTGTTCTACTCGTACTACATTGCATGAACCAATTATCTTCGCTATTGACTAAATGTAGTAATTTGTTTCAACAGAGAATGTGTTGATTCATGCTCTCTCTATTGTTCGGTCATCTTCCCCTTCTCTCCCGAATTTTGTGCTCTTTACATGATACAGCTAACTAATGACATCTTTTGCTTAAAAAAGATATACTTTTAACTTAACGATGTAGCAACTACAGCTATATAGACATAGTTGCAGTCACGCAAGAGGAATTAATATATGCGTTAAAACTGAATCGGTGGAAAGAGAGAAAGAGATGTTGGCTCGGATAAGGGTAGCAAGAATTTTCGGATTGGTAAGGATGGTTATGACTCCGTTTTCTTTCGAATTACACTATCGATTAGAAAAACAATAATGCGACCAATAGAAAGCGAGAAACCCCACTTTAATGAGTGATAAACTAACGCTACTATTAAAAAAAAAAAAAAAAAAATTCCAATAATTATTGAAGATCAGGTGTTGATGGATATGCAAGATCGCGCAATTGTACTTTGATTTACTCTGTTTATAATTACCAGTGGCATGTGCTCCTAACCCCACCTACAACATGGAAGAGTTTCAGAAGTTCGTAACCAACACTTTTTAACATAGAAAGGCCGAGAGATTTAAAGCCGAAAGGAAAACAAGCCAAATCCAAGAGGCTGGATATAAAGTGTTCTTTGTCGTTTACATTACAATGTAGAGAAATTGTCGACTAGTCATTGAAGGGAGGAGAAGGAGGGGGGGGGGGAGGGAGCAGGAAGATAATAACCACCGTACATTTTGCATTTGATGGCTTTTTCCTCTTTTTCTCACTTTGTTTGCTCCTGGTTGGTATTCTTCCATTTAGTAAACTTCTTTGTGACTCTCGTTGGCATGCAATATACTGGATCTATCTCCTCAAACCCATATTTCTCATAATCAATTAAGCTCAACCCACAAATTCCAAAACAAGTATGGTAAATATCTGTTTGATTATCTGGACGATCACTAATCCCGCCTTTCTCATAATCTTGACAACTTAATATAAACGTTTCCAATTTACTCAAATCAACCCAATGCTTCTTCTGCAATATAGACAATGTAGACAAAACCCACCAACTGTAACACACATCGGGCAACTTTTCGGGTCTTCCATTAAAACCTCCTGAAGGTAATACCTGTCTTTCACTCAACCAGCTGGATACTTTAACGTCTTCTAGCAAGTTCAACTTTTCCATTATTGCAAGTGCTCCAACACAGACGAATGCCTGTGCCGCATGAGATTCTGACCCGGGAACTAACCCAAAGCCACCATCGAAATTATAGCACTTCATTACAAATTCCGATGCAGATTTACAGATACTTGGTGTTAATTCATCAAGCAATGCTAATGCAGATATTGCGGTATACGTGAATCTTGTGTCTACTTCACCGAAACTGTCTCCCTGAAAACTCCCATTTGGCAATTGAAGCCCCTTTATAAATTTGGTTAATTTGGCCTTTTGTTCACTTGTAAGCATACTAAGATCATTATTGTATATTTTCAAGATTTGCAATGCTGATAATGTAGATAGAATATGAGCATCATGTTTAGGAAATGCCCCAAACGCCCCTGATTTTTCGTCCCAACAGCTAAGTATATAATCTATGACATCCTTTTGAGCTAGTGTTTTGTCATTGAGGCTCTTCATTGTAATCAATGCAGTTACTCCCCAGTATAGTCCATTCATTCGTAGATGTTCGCTTAGCCAGTACTCATACGATCGATTCGATTCTTGTTCAATGATAAAGTTTATATGCTTATCCTTTATAAATACATTTTCAAAGGAGTCCGAGGCTGATCCCAATGCCATTATGTAACGTGTATGTATGTATGTATGTATGTATGTATGTATAAGGTATGGGGTATTGAAGAACAAGTCGACAAATGAGTAAAGAAAATTTGAGTTACGCGTTGAAAGGAAGAGCTACCATGCACTTTGACAGAAGAAGTCTTCGTTCATTTATATATATATATATCTATCCTTTTCAAAAATACAAGTTCTTGAACTCGAATTTCTTAAAGCTGGGATAGTATTCCAAGTAATTAAACTTTCTAGCGCCTTCGGCCACAGCTTTTGTTAAGTTGACGACTTTGCAACCTTGGTAAGTAACCTCGAAATTATCAAAACTGGCGTCGTTCAAAATTATAACATTAGGCGATGGTTCAATTCTCAAACTATAATCGTACTGCAAATTGATACTCCTTAAGCTATTTTCAAACGGTTGTAGCGTTCCTTGATCTAACAATGCTTTTACTAATTTTCTTGCTTGTTTGATTTTGTTACTAATATGCTCGTCCTTACGCTGAATCAATTGATCAATTCTCTCTTTATCCCCCATTTCCTCAATAGGGTCTTTCTCCATTTCCAAATCATGTGGCAACAATAAATCATTTCTTTTGAACCGATTCATTAAATTGTCTTTGAAAATCACAATCTCTTGTGAAAGATAGTTTATTCGAGTTGGGTTCCATGCAAGAATCAAATTACCTCTAGGTAAAAGCTTTTCAAGTCTATTTACAAATACTCTAGGAATTGACGCTTGCGGAAGGGCGTTAAAACGAAATGAGCCAAGCGAGTGTGTTGACTGCCAAGGATCGTTTTCTCCGGGCACAAGTACAATTTTGCAGGTATGTACAACGTTAGGAAATGTGCCCAACAAGTTTGTAAATTGATCAAAGTTGCTCTTGAACATTTCAGAGTTAGTTACCCCTGTCACCGAAGTGTTGCTTGATGCTAACGGTTTGGATGAAAATGGGCCAGAAAGAACCAAGGCCAATGGCGTCATTGACTCGCTACCACCCTCATCCTCTATAATTGAATTTTCCAATTTATGCAAAAATTTTCTCAATCCTTCTATTACCCTAGGTGAATCAAAATGCAAATCGCTTCCTAAAAATATGAGCTTATGGTTTGATAATGACTTCTCAATCTGAACCAATTTTTTTTTGTACTGTTTAGGAATTTTCACTGTTTTGTCTCCATTGAATGGAACCACGTGTCGGTGAACTCCCAAAAAATCAACAAGACCATAGGCTTCCAAGCTTTTATCCCGTCTCTCTGCTGGTGGATTAGCAATATTACTCACATAGAAGCAACCGCCCATATAATCCTGATTTTGATTCGATTTCCCACCAGAGGCCGAGTATATACCCTCTACCAAAATAAACATTCCTGCACAATAAAACGAACTTTGATTTTTCAAAGCTTGTGAAAGATTCAACTCAATATGGTCAGTCGAATCTTCCAAGATGAACTCGCCGCTAGAGTTTTTGGATAATAGACCAAATAACAAAAATTTTTGACCATCTCTTCCTAGCATGTTCTTAATCAACGTAATTTCATTGTGCAATATTACTCCATCTTTGGCAAGAGCGCTCAAGTTTGATATACTCGTCATGGATGATTTTTGAAAGTTTTCGTTTCTTGACAATCGGTCCATTATCAAATGATACTGGTTGTTCTTTGACTCGACACATGCCCTTGCATTCAAGCTCAAACTCGCTAAAATCGGCAATTTCTCCTTGCGTATACTCACGATAAACTGCTTTCGAGTTTTATCAAATCTACTGGGCGGCTGTTCATTGGGTGAGATAAACTTGAAATAGTCCTCCCATTGGATCTCTACCTCATCTTCTATAGAATTACTATTATTATCATCATCATCAACTATCGTGTCTGATCTAGTAGCCTTTTGCATATTGATTGCATCTTCTTTTCGGTATATATCCTTTATTACATGCTTAAGCCCATTACTATCAATAAATATCCCTCTATCTTCCAACTTCCAATATTTCGCAATCTCCTCTAGAAATTGTTGCGACTGGGTACTCTTCCAAGCAAAGCCAAACTTTTGACCAATAATGTCTGTCAACACAGCTAACGCTTCAGAATTGATGTTGAGACCATGCTTTTTCGTAAGAGTTCTAAACACAATCGGTCGAAGATTTGAAGGCTGTAGCTTTATAGGCAATGTCGGTTTTCTCTGGGTAATCATTTGGTGAACATGTATAGACCCTCAAGAGTTCCAGAAACTGAAAACGCGTTAAAGAAAAGTTCAATCAAAAACGCTACCAAACGCACGCGCCTCGCAATAATTTGTCCAAATATGGTCAATATATATATATATATATATTATTGTGGATTATATAGTACAAGGGTTTTGGTATTGATTTAAAATGACTCTACTTTTACTCGCTTATATATCTCTCTAATGTCAATGTCAGTATCGCTAAATTCTTTCAAGATTTTGCACTCTTGTAAAAGTTCTTTAACATAAAGTAATTTGAACAGCAACTCATTCAATCTTTTCAAACTGTAATATTCATTTAACAAACGAAAATAGTTTTTCTTGGGATTGGTGTTGTTATTATTATTAGTTGACAACCCTTGAATCAAAGATTCACACTCGGATACACTTGTAGTCAAAAATTCTTGAGCACTATTGTAATAAGTCTCAATATTCTCGAGTTCTTCAAAGTCAAGTGTCTCCACTATATTTTCCAATGACGCTAGGGTCTCTTCAATATGTGACGCAGTCTTTGCATAGTCCTTTCCTTTGGGAGTAGTATGCACCTTATCTGCTAGCTTTGCAATCTCGTGCTCAATTCGACTCGATTTCGCATAATAATGATTTATTTCCGATTCCGTCAATCTTGCTTGCCTCAATCTATCTCGTAGTGATACCTCTACTTGAATTGCATTACTTCTCTGAGTTTGTGTCGCGAGTTCCTTTTTCACTTGCTGCAATTCAAAGTTGGTATTGAAAAGCTTTTCGTCCAATTCACGGTTCTTTTCTTCAAGCTCGGTATTTTCTTGTTGGAGAATTCTAACAGTTTCCTGGTGCGCCTCATCTAATCGATGGAGCTCCTTCTGGTGTTCCTTTTGCAAACTCAATATGGTTTCTTCATGTTCCCTTTCCAACCTGTTAATATCCGCTTTGCGTTGAACTTCTCCCTGAGAAACCAGTTTATCCAACTCAACGTTTTTCTCAAACAACTCATTCTCCAACATATTGATTCTTTTTTCATAGTGATTAGTTCTCAAACTAAGTTGTTCTTCAATTCTTTCACGTTCCCTCACCAACCGTTTATTTTCTCGTTGTTCATTTATCAATTGTGCTGAGAGTTTGCGGTGTTCCTTTTGTACTTCTCTTAGCTGAGCAATTGTCGATTGTCGTTCGGTTTCTTTTCTAAGTGCTATGGCCTCGTCGACTTCATCGTATTCTTTATTATACAGCCTTTTCCCATCTCTGAACTTCACTCCCCTCTCTGCAAACCCCCTTTTTGCTTCTCCTTTGTTCTGTTTCTCCTCTTCTCCGTATTCACCAGCGACATCAGCAACATACTCATACTCATTATCATCATCATCATCATCATCGTTTTCATCATCATCATCATCATTAGCTGTTAGGTAGTTGAAAATCCTGGATATGAACCCATTTTTTTTATTTGTGTGTTTCGAGTTTGTTGGTTTTGAAACTTTATAACGACCGTTAATTAACAGATCAGAGGATCCAAGAATCCTATTCAATGATACGTTACTTGGTCGAGTTTTTCGAAGTGACTCATTTAACGTCTTTATGGGCGAGTCGTCATACATTCTGGATCTTCTTGATTCTTTCAGTCCCAGTAGATGCAAGCTTGCGGTGTTTTTATCTGTATACTTGCTGGAGAAGTCTTTATTGTTGAGTTCTTCATATCTGCTCATTCGAGATGCAAAACTAGTATCACCACCACCACCACCTATACCTCCTCCTCTATAATTCCTTACGTCGCCACCGCCTATACCTCCTCCTCTATGATTCCTTACGTCGCCACTGCCAATACCGCCACGACTCGGCGACGTTCTCGTCAGCTTGAGTTCAAATGAGTTTCGATGATTGTGTAATAGTTCATCATTTTTTTTCAAACGTGATAAACGCGGGTAGAGCGAAGCATTATTTCGCGTAACAAAATAATCATCAGTCACAGTGTCTCTTCTAGACTCCTTATACCTATTGAGCAACTCCGACATCCTTACCTAAATGCAGAGTCCCACTTCTAATCAATCAAAGTTTGTCACCTACTAGCCGCTGAACAAAAACAAAACACACACGGTTCTTTTTTTTTTTTTTTTTTCTTCTGGTTCGACGCGCGTTTTTCAATGTCGCAAAAGTTCATTTTCACGACATTCGCTTTTTGAAACTTTCTTTTTTACATTGAGATAATTTTTTACATGAAATGAAAGAAAACAACCAACCAAGGAGAAAGAAACAATTGTTTGTAATCACCAGCTCTACTGGTATCACTTGAATTGCATTTGATTTCTATCAATACATCTACTAACCAATATATATATATATATATACATAATAATAAAGTAAATTAACTCTTTAGTGTCATTGAACTTGAAGTTGATTCAAGATCAGCCTTTTTATGTGGTTGTGCTGGTTCATCAATACTTTTCAATCCATTATCTTTAACAAAAATATTTGTTATCACAGCGATAGCCATCAACGGAATTAAAAAGTAATAGTAGTTTTTTAATGCGTGTGTGTAAATTTCGCGAATTTCTTTTGTTTCTGTCAATGTGAAAAGTGAAGTATCAGGCTTTTGGTAAATGTGATTCCTCATATATTCAATTGTTTCTTTTGATAGTGAAGATGAAAAGGATTGTAAACTTGCCTTTTTGAGTGAGCCGAGAACTGAGTTGCTTACAATCGTTGAGCCAATAGCAATACCAACACAACCTCCTAATGACCTTATCACATTTCTGGTTGATATTGCAACTGCTCGCTCAGCTTTTTTGCAATTGGCTTGTACAGCAACCATTGATGGCTGGAAGGAGAATCCCACGCCGCATCCCATGATTAACAAAATCAAAATGTTTATTCCATCGGGTAATGAAGGGGTCCACAACAATAAGAGACAACATGCTAAGAGCCAAAGACTGTAGCCGGTTATAATAACCCAAAAATAATGGCCAGTAATTGTGATTATTTGTCCACCTACAGCTGATAATCCTGCTTGGCACAACACTAAGGGTAAGACAAACACTGAAGTTTGCATTTCGTCTTTGCCCTTTACAATTTGAAAGTAGTATGGTAGGTAGTAAATAAAACTGAAATAAGCTGCACCAAAACAAAAAGTTGCTGTATAGACCAAACACAAGGTGATATTTTTGAACAATCGCATTGGAATCATAGGTAGCTTGGCAACTTTGACCTCGACAGCAAAGAATATTAACATGAAAACACCACCTACTGTGAATAATGAAATAACAATGGGACTGTTCCATGCATACGTTGAGCCGCCGCCATTCAATGGCACTAAGATCAAGGTTAGACCTATAGTAGAGGTCAACAATCCAAGGTAATCGATGCTCATAATCTTTTCCTTTTTCGAAATGACAGAACTCAATGTTTTGTTACTCTTCAATGAAAAGAACAAGACAATATTGACGCAGAAGGAAAGTGGCGCTAGAAAATAATAGTAGCTTCTCCAACTGGACTGCTTTATAAATCCCGACATGATAAATGGTCCTACTGCATTACCAATGCCAACACTCGATCCTAAAATTCCAACATATTTGCCCCTATCTTTTAACGAAACGATATCGCTCAATATAACCATACTCAACGATGAAACACCACCGTTTCCAATACCGGCTAAAGCTCTAAACACATAGAACTCAACTCCATTTCTAGCAACTGAACAAGCAACATCACCAATGCACAATATCAAAAGGCATACCATAATGACATTCTTTCTACCAAAAATATCCGAAAATCTTCCGAATAAAACTTGACATACTGTGTTTGCCAACAACGAAGCAGAACCAGCCCAGTTAATTGTTTGTTGTGCATCTAAATCTTTAGCAATACTACTTAATCCCACGGTTATACCTGTTTGATCAGCAAAGCTCACAAAGTTGGCCAACGATAAAGTTAGTAAAATGGCTATAATTTGTGGAGTTGGTAATTCATTGAAATGAGCATCACCTAATCTTTCTGCCAAATCCCTGGCTTCTACTGTATGATTTTCAACAGCTGTATTTATACTTTCAGAAGGTGTTTGAGGCACTGTGCTTTGGTTGATTACTACATCGTTTTTTTCCAGGAACCCGACATGTTTGTTAAAGTATGGGGGCTCAAAAGGAGTCGTCAGTTGCTTCATTTTTTATTCTTTGGTGGCTCTTTCAACTTATCACTTTTATCTTTGAATAGAGAAAGTTCAATAAGCCCCAAAGATTGTCAAGATTGTTCTATTCTTATAAGAAAAAGAATCAGGGATGCTACTAGCTTTTACAGTCATTTAGATAAGAATTACATTACAATAAAGTTCTTCTAAAATAGTTTCATTGTTGAGCTCTTACTGATACACCTATTTCTTTCAAGCTTTCTTTCCCGGAGGCTGTACAGTTTAGACACCAAAATCACTTGAAAAAGAAGGAAAGGAGCCTTTTTTTTTTAAAAAAAAAAAAATCCAAGTTTTTGCAGTTTTGTGGATTCTATGATTTTCTACATAAAACAATAGAATATGCAAAAGATAAAACAAACGGAAAAGAAACTTGCAGCTAGATACAATAGACAATAAACTCTTACTAATTGAACTCAGATACAATAGACGATTTATGAAATTATAGTCTTTTAGATTATCAAATACCTTTTTTTTTTTTTTTACTTTAATAATAGTCACTATTGAGGCTTTTGGGAACATTTGCCGGAGTTAAAAGCTGATCCCTTGTGACCAATACCATGTGCCAGGAAACGACACATGGCGGATAGTTGCCACAACAGTAATTATCAAATCTATCAGTTGGAAAAGGTTTGTTTTTTGTGTTTACCCTTGCTTCCATGTGGTTAAAGAAAGTATCAAAGACCTAAGATACTAAGCAATTCAAATTTTTTCATAAGAATAACAAAGTCTACTTGGAAGAGTAGATGGTTTGAGTGGAGGGTGAACATTCCCCTGAACGTTTTCATCTTCATGGCCCATGAAAGCGCAAAAGTACAGAAAATAAATGTTTCTTTGAATAAGTATCTACAAAGGATAAGGAATAAGATAAAAAGCTGGATATTGCGCTTTATATGCCAAGAAAAAAACAGGTAATGAGTTGGATACTGCGTTTTATATGGCCAAAAAAATGCTCCATACCTTTCAGGTTTTTCCTTTCTTTGGGAAAAACCTTGGTAAGAAAACATGAAAGTAAATTGGTTTTCGAAATATTGTTTTTCATAAGAGGATACAGGTTGTCTTCTCCACTTGCTTGTAGCTACTGTTGTTTGGTTTTTGCTATCATAAAGTAATGAGATTTGGGTGCAACTTGTTGATATCAATATATGTGAGAAAAAGAAATAAAAAAAACTGTTTTTTAAACAAGGGGCACGAAGTGTGGTTAATTAACTCTATCTACATGATGGAATCAATAAATGACTGTGAATAAATGTGTAAAAGTAAGTTTTAGTCCTTTTATAACCCCTGGCCAATCGTCACGGATTGCTGATAACGAAATGTTTATCAGTGATTTAAACACATTAGATAGAGGCTTTCGGAAAAAATAGGAACGATTTTTCTCCAAGTAGCTTAAATTTCTTTTTCTTTATTTCTTTTTTCCTATTGCTGCAAAATATCAAAGTAATACAAAACTCAATTGTAATATCACAGCTTTATGGCTTTAATTATTTTGGCTTAAAGATCTGACTTTATCTGTCAGATCCAAATCTCGATCTTTAACCCAACCTTTTCCTTTTTATCTCTGGATTGATTCAGTCTTCCTATAACCTCCCCCCTCCCTGCCCCTTTTCTATTGCAATCATTGGGAAAACTGAAGTCATTAAATTAGCTAGAACATGGTGTCAAACATGCATCAAAATAGTGTTGATTTTTTTTTTTAAACAGGCTTAAATGTACTAAGTTTTCCTGATAAGAGATTTTATTTTAGAAAAGAGAGCAAACTTTAGTTTTAAGCTTCAATCCTCGTGAAGTAACATGAACTGCCATCTCCATAAATTTTTTACAAATAGAGTTAAATCTAGCTCCGTGCCCGGGTTTGGACGCATTATCAATTTCACCAATTAATACTCATGAATATGTATGATGTCTTTTGCAACACAAACAATTCTTTCTCCGATTTCTTTGTTTCCACACATCAGCACCCCGCAAATTGATTGGATGAGCAAAAAAAAAACATCTTTTTTTTTTTTTCCGAAAATGCCATATGTAGTATTTTTACCAAATAGAAATAGAGAGATGATGCTATATTAAAAACATTAGTGAAAAAAGGCATTTTCTTCCCCGCCACATATTGTTGGAATAAATACCTAAAAAAGCATTGTAAAAATTAAAAACTTATATAGAAGGCACCAAAATGACCAAGGATGCGTTTTCTAAGAAGAAAAAGAAATATATATGTATCAGATTTATCCGTATATGTACTCGCAACAACAGAATATGCATTATTTCTTTTAAAATATTACCGCCCTTGTAATTATGATACTTCAATATTTTTTTAAACCGGATAAGTCTTACTCCATGCTAGATAATCTATATCACTTGTAATTTATAATAATAAAAAAAAAATTTGTGCCTCTTCAACAATCGGGTCCCCTCCTCCACCATACCTGTGCCTTTCCAAGAATCTTTCCCCTTTCTCCCCTTTCTCCCCTTTCTCCCCTCCCCTTATCTTTTCCTATCTTTTCCCATAACTTAATTTTTTTTGAATTCCTACAACTGATCTTTTGCTTTATTCAGTATCCAAACACGTTGTCTTTTGTTAAGAAAATATGTCATGGAAGCCAAGAGAAAAACCGTTTTTTTTTTCTTGTAAAGTAAGAAATGCGCAAATTACCAAATATGTCTTTGACTTGTAATCAATGATCTTGTAAGATTGTCTACAGTACGAAATCCACGTTGGCAAATTGGAAGTTCACTCTTTTTTTGAGTTGGTATGAAAGTATATACTACAGTGGAACACAATTATCTTTGAAGTAAGACCTTTGTTTTTATTGTTTTGAGAAAATAACACAGCCTCTACTGGTAAACTCTCATATTAGTGAGCTCATGCTGGTGTCTTTTTTTCTTTTTTTTTTTCTTGAAAAATAGCTCAATACCTTAGTGGTGAAAAAGGTATTGACATTAATATCATCATTGCCCTTTTTACAATAGTGTGTGTAAACTCCATATACTCAGAGTGTGGCTACACAACTTAACTATAGGAATAAAAATAGTAACGTAATAAATTGTAATTATATGAGTATTTTTGAAAGCTGTTCTATACGATGCATGGAGATCTCCTGAAATTGGTAGGCGCTTTTCTCTTTTCTCATCCTCAAAATTGATATATTGTATTAATTACACAAAAAAAGAAAGAATATCTAGCAGCTAGCCACCTTTTACCACCTAAAAGCAATTATTTCATTTTCAACATCCAATATCAATTTCTCCACAAAGTTCAACTTTCCTGCTACTTGAAGCTAAGTATATTTTGTATGTACCCGTTTGTATAATCCATTGCTGTGACTCTGGGTCCCAAACACTTAAATCTCTATGCAATAAATTGAAATATATCTTGGTCAGTTTACCTGGTTCTAAAAATACTTTCTCAAATCCTCTGAGCACCTTAGGGGGTGAGGGCAATATAGTGCTGGGTAACTCAATGTACAACTGACAAACATAACCGCCTTTTACTTTACCTTCATTCTTAACTTCGGCACTTACCTCATATAGAATTTCCCATAATGCTGGATTACCGCCTAAACCACCCGAATTTAATGGCGGACATGTACTCTGATCCGGATCATAGCCATGAGGGTATTCATAAGTATCGTCATCATCAACAGAGAAGATATTATCATTGTAAAGGAATGGGTAAATATAGCCTGGTGCAGGATCAAACTCGTCATGGGGGAATAAAGCATCTTCAGGATCACAGACATCATCTTCAACCATCTTGGTTATCGGTAGATAGTCCAGGGGATACGGCAAATATTCTGAGGGGGGATTGATTTCGGTGATTCTAAGATTTGTAACTTTAAAAGTTGTATAGGATAATCCAAATCCAAATTCATACCTGGGTTTAATATTATGCTTGTCAAAAAATCGATAGTCCAAGTAGATATCACGATCAAAGTTATCCTGAGGATGTGTTTCGCCCCCCAAGTCATCAATGATGGGAACATAATGCTGCTTTTTTCTAGCAATGGTAAATGGTAACTTACCTGAAGGGTTCGTGTCTCCAAATAAAACATCAGCTATGGCCTGTCCAACAAACTGACCCAAGGGCGCTGCGAATAAAACAGCAACAACGTTTTCATGTTCAATCCACTTCTCCATATTGACTGGACCTGTAGAGGTAATAACAACAACAGTCTTGTGGCAGCTATCGGCCACTTTCTCAATCAACTCATCTCCGTTATGCCATAATGACAAGTTTTGTCTATCTCCATAATTGTTATCAATGTAGATATAACCTTCTCCTGAGAAGGTATTAACAAAAACAATTGAAATATCAGCATAATCGGCCAAGTCGCCCGCATTCTCCAAATCCCAGTTATTGGCCGTATAATCAACAACTATACCTCGATCTCTTGCTTTTTGACTAATAGCTTCGTAGGGATAAATTACCGTTGGATTATTCACCGCAGCTGAACCCCATCCACTTGTCAATACCCCATCAACACATCTTTGATCTTTACAATTACAACCATTGGGGTCAGGTCCAGCTCCTTTTCCTGCAATAAAGATTCTCCGAACTCCGTCAGACTTATCAATGGGCAAATGATGATCGGTATTCTTCAACAAAATTATTGACTCTCTTGCAACTGTTAATGCCGTGTTATCACTGAATTCCGATCTTGCATCAATATGCCAATTTTTTTGTATTATAGGACCATAATGTTGATAAGGAAGCTCTTGTCCATAAGTATGATGAGTCCACGAGCTAAAATTAGGAATATCTTCCTCTGTGGGTAATTTAACACCTTCAATTGCAAAGAATGGAGCCAAGATTCGAATACACATATCATTAAGTCTTTCTTGGCTCACTGTATGATTATAAACTGCTCTTGTTAATAGTGCACCCCAAAACGACTTCCCAGTTAGCCAATCATCAAATACCTCTCCCGGCATAGTCATATCCAATCCAGCCAAGGCAGAATTCACTCCAGTGTGTTGCGCACCCCAATCACTTACAACGAAACCTTGGAAAGCTAATTCTTCTTTTAATAGATAATTGATCAAATATGAATTTTCGCAACAATTAGTGTTATTGACTTGATTATAAGCACACATTACACTCCCTACGCCAGCACGTACAACATTAGCAAAAGGCCAAAGATAAACCTCATGCATCGCTCGATCGCCAACATTAGAGCTGATAGAACATTGCAATTTATCCCAACCATTCTCATCCCATTCACCAACTTGACGGAAATGTTCTTGTTCATTTGCTATCAAATGTCGAACCAGAGCAACAACTCCTTCTGCTTGCATACCTTCTACTGTTGATGCTCCACATACACCTTGTAAGTAAGGATCGCTACCAAAACTCTCCCAATTGCGGCCACCTTGTGCTTTCAAACCAATAGGGCCAATCACGGGACCCAATGCAACATGGACTCCTTTTTTCCTGTGCTCCTTGCCAATTGCTTTGCCGCGGAGGTAAGTTAAGCCTTTGTTAAAAGTTGCAGCAGTCGCTAAGCCACAGGGGAAGTGAGTAACAAAATCGGTAAATCTAACGCCGTTTGGTCCATCTTGCAAACATAAATTTGGAATACCTAATCTGGGTACAGAACCTGTATTCCCAACGCAAGGACCGGATCCCCAACCTGTACCTGTTGTAAGGTTCACTTTCTCGGTAATTGACATTTTCTCGACAATCTTGCGAGCTTTGACATATGCCTCCTGCCAAACATTTTCAATTCTACCGCCAAGTGCTAAAATAAGAAGGAAGAAAAAAAACAAAAACCCCCCAAAATAAATAAGGGGGGGGGAGGAATAGAATGTTAGTCAAAGAAAGCTTGAAGGTTTTTAATATAAAAGCGTTTGCTATGGTTTGGTTTTTTTTGATTATTTTTCTTTTTACAACATACGACAAGGATAGTATGCTTGTGAAAGGTATTGGTCTTGAACTCCGTCTTCAACTACAAACAAGGGCGTCTCCGCATGACGTGATCTTTTGTGTAAAAAACCCCTACTGTCAGCGTTACCATTCAATCTAGGTGAGGGGGCGAAATCTGACCTTATAGTGAAACTTATGTTATTTTCCGAAGATGCATAAGTAACCAATAGTATTACAAGTATTACATTCACTAGATACATTATAGTAGTTGTCTATTTGAAATGTTAGAATGATGAAGAGAGTTTCTGTATAGAGAATTTTTGGCAACCAAAAATGTGAATATAAAAATGAAGCAAGAAAAAAAAATTCCAAAAAAAATACAAATGGTGGTGCAATGGCGGTATAGTTGTGTTGCAATGGCGGTGCAATGGCGGTGTAGTTGTGCTGCAATGGTGGTGCAATGGCGGTGTAGTTGTGGTGCAATGGTGGTGCAATAGCGCTATGAAGCAGATGGGATGGAGTTTTATGTACTCATTCTAGCAGTGACCTGCACTGGGGTGACTATATTTGTAGCTGCTGTGTGTATTTCGAAATCCACTAGCGTGGTTGATCTCTTTACTGTAGAAGCTTGATTATATAGCGAGCTATTTGAAGAATTGAGATGCACGCTTGGCTTGAGAGAAGCTGGTGATAAGTCGCATTTGTTGGAGATATTGTGATTTGCATATAACGGAGAGCTTGGTTGGGATAACAAGGATAAGGGTATTGCGGATAGCTTTGTTTGCGAAAGTTCGAATTTTTTTGGCTTTTTCAATGTTGATGATTGCTTACGCTGTGTAGTTGATGGACTTGGACTACCCGGTGAATTGGAGTCTAGTTGAAGGTCTCGCAAGGTAGCAATATTTTCTTCTTGTTTGGAAACTGGACTATTGGATACCAACGTTGCATTTGAAGTCGCCTCCTCCTCATTCGTCAAAGTCAGTGCTGAATTGTTTCTCTTGTGACCATGGAAGAATTCCTGCAAACATTTAGATGCGCCTTCTTGATCTAAAAGCATTGCTTTTTCAAAGTAACCAGGTCGAGAATCATCAATTTTGATTGTGTTTTTGTACTTGACGCCATTGAACAAATTGAACAACTGGATCCGGTAGTTCTTGTTTAGTTTGTTTGTGGATAAGTAAATATTGTTTAGTTTAACTGGATCCTTTTTAAATAACATCACTACCGGCTTAAGTGCTTCTATATCTGAAAGATTATTTCTCCTCAAATCGATTTTTTCCAACGAAGGGATATTTTCCAAACCTTCCAAATTGATTAGCTTGTTATTATTCAAGTTTAATGTCAACAAATGGGTAAGGTTGTTTGGCAAATTCTTTAGATCTACAATGAAATTATCGGCAAAGTTTAGATATTTCACACTTACTAATTGGTCCAATCCTGGAGGTATCTCCTCTAGCAAGTTCTTAGATAAATTGAGTTTAACTAAATTCACTAATGGCTTAAAAATGTATCTAGGAATTCGACTTATTGAAGTTTCTGATACGGTTAATTGTTTCAATACTGACCATTTCTTTTCGGATAACGTATTGTAGCTTTTATCTTCTTCAAGTGTTGTTAGGGAGCCTGCTCCTGTTGAAGAATAAGTATAGCATAAATCTCTTTTCTTGCTGGTAGTAGTAGTGGTATCATTATTGTTATTATTATTATTATTATTATCGTCATTTGATCTCCCGTTTTCATCCTCTAAAACAAAAGAAAACAAAATCTCAGCTAAATCAGTAACTTTGCACTGTTTGATAATCAATATTCGTAGTTGCTCACTCAAAATATGCCATCCAAATATCTCGTTTGGCTCATACTCAACTAATTCTAATACTTGTAAATTTTTGAAAATCTTTATAGGCACCGAAGTATCACATGGATACTCCTCATATCCAACAATGCTATTCACTTTAGTCTTTGGCGTTAATATCAAACAGGGGATCTTTGTAAATGACGAGTATAGATACTTTAAATCCTTTTTGATTGTTTTAGGGTCGTTGCTAATAGCAAACGATCTCCAGTAAGCAGAAGCGCTGGAAACAATCGATCTCATGGAATTAATAGATGTAATGGACCTCGTGTCACTATCAAAATGCTTTGAGCCTCTTGCATTATTGGCCATAAAGGAAATAAATGTAGGTTCGTGATTTGGATTGATATCCAACTTTGCATTTAATGGCCCAACATCAACATCAAGCGACGACTGGTCGAGTTTATCAAGCAAAAAATATAAATGATGGATAGTAAAAGTTAGTCTCAGTGGTTTTATCATAGCGACATGTTTATGATTGGCATTCTTACTGAAGCAAAGTAGACCATTGGCAAGAGCTTCTTCGTTTTTCTTAATGTACGATGATAATCTTTGTATGTAAAGATCTCCATCTATTGAGTTGAAATTATACCCAAAGGAGCCCATTTTGTCCTGTTTTTCTCTTCCCTATAAAAAACAAAAAAAAAAAAGGATGAGCCAAAACAACTTGAAAATTAAAATATGGATCTAATACAAGATGAAAAGGGACTCGAAACCGTCAAGTAAATAGACAATTTTTTGACTTCTAAACTCAATCTCATTAGATTAGATGTACTTATTGAATAATTGACATTAACTATATTGACTATTTTAAGAAGCTTATTTACTTGCCCGTTTGGGTAATTTCTCTGTCACAGCAGAAAAAATAAAAATGGCCAAAACAATAACAAAAACAAAGATAAGCAAAGGTACAAATTGAAATAATCAAATGTTTATATTTACACAAGTTGAAATAATCAAATGTTTATATTTGCACCCCTTTTTTTGTCAGTTTAGTCAACTCAAGAGGTGGAAGATCTTAATAGATAATGTGCATTTCTCTGCAACTCAAGAGGTGGAAGATCTTAATAGATAATGTGCATTTCTCTGGATAACTAGGTTTATCAGGCTATTTTGTATTTTCTATAAATTGTTTTTATAACTCTTGGTAAAGTTTGAAAAAACAATGTACTAACAAAGTCAAAAGCAGTGTGGCTTCATCAACATCGTCTTCAACTTCTTTGGGGGTGACAATTCAAAGTTGTTTAAAACTCGTTCTCCCTCTTTTGTTGAACAAAATGAGAAGAAAGCAAATACTCAAAGCAAATAGATACCCGTCGTGTCTTGATAGATAGTCGTCATGTCTTGATAGCTAGCCGTCGTGTCTTGATAGATAGTCGTCATGTCTTGATAGATAGTCGTCATGTCTTAATAGCCAGCCGTCATATCTTAATAAATTAAAGAGTGTAGCTAGTCGGTGTTGCTCCACTATCTCGCTCTGCTCGATAGTGTCGCTTATCCGTTCTCTGGTAAAGATTCAATAACTTTTCATAGAACCACTATATACTTCATCGTTGTCATCGTCATCGTACTTGGACAAATGTGAACTGCTTCTATCGTATCCTCCACCGGCACCAATATTTCCCACATTAACAGGAGCATTAGCAGCAATGCCACTGCCACCGCCACCCCCGCTTGTCTTTATACTGGTTGCATATTGATGAATACTGCTGGCTGCTGCTGTTGTCTGTTGTATACTCAATCTTTCCATAATCGATGCAGGCGGAATACCAGCAGTGCTACAATTTGTGTCAATGCTGCGCCTTCTATTTCTTCTCGATGAACTTGCCAACGTAACAATGGATTCACTATCTCTTTCAGGGGCGTTTTGATGATTGAATTGAGTAATTGTTGTTGCAATTGTTATTGTATTTCCCGAGTTGGAAGGAGTAGGAGTTGCCGCTGTGGGTGCTGTGGGTGATGGATTATTCAAATTATGAGCAAGGGTATAATTTATTGATGGAGCACTTGGAGCTAGTGAAGTTTGAGCAGTCAAAGCAGCATTTAATGAAGAAGTTTGGTCATTGTTCACATCAGCGATACTCAATATGGAGGCATCTCTGGTTGACTGTGAAGATATGATCGACTTGAGTGGAGTTGTACTGATATTATCCTCACTAAAGTTTGTGTTTTGATCGCTCATGGAGTAATCGTCGTGTAATTGACTATTTGAGATGTGGTGTACTATGTCACCCTCTTGAAATCGAAGCGTTGTATCCCCTTCTTCTTCCTCGTCAACTGTGCCGCCTGTTTGATAACCTTGTGCTACTGGTGCTCCCCCTCTTGCTGTTGTTGTCGCAGCAGCAGCAGCAGCAGCAGCAGCAAAAACGGGAGCATCTCTGGGTACCCTTGCTGCACCTGAAGCCCGTTGTTGATGTCTATGATGTGAGTTTGTCGTACGACTATTTGCTGCTACAACTGTAGCTGTAGACGCAGATGTTCTATTTTGACCTTGCATTAAGCGTCTTACCCAAGCAAACCTATTTCTTGGGGTATTGGATTGACGTCTATCGTGTGCATATGGATTGACTTGATTTGGAATAAATAAGTTAGTATAAAAAAATAAAACCGAAAATCTCCTTATAGAAACATCAAACCCCTGTGCTAATACGTACTTTCCTGTGTTGCCATGATCCTAGTTGGTAATAAAACGCAAAAATAGAAAATAAAATAATAAAAATACTGGTGGGATCAAATATATTATCTTCAATTTACCTATCCTCTTATATCCAGTTTAGTCTCCTCTCTTGAAATAGGTAAAAGTTTATCTGTTTATTGGTATACAAATTAAAAAGATTAAAGTTTTTTTCTTTTTTTTTTTTTAAGGGACGTCTAATGAGGTCTATTACAAAACAAGGGGCCACGACTTCATCGTATCGGATAAGATTTACAAAGGAAGAATAAGAGTTACTATCAATATAAGTTTCTTATTGGCTATGACCATCTTGATTGGAAATTAGGGTTTCCGTTCCTCTTCTCTTCTCTCCTCTCCTCTCCACTCTCTTTTTCTAATCTATAGTGCTACTACTAGTATACCACTAAGAACACCGAAAAATAACTTAACGCCGATTTTGCACGCTGGATTTGACTTAGCCTCATTAGTAGTATCACTATCACTAGTCGTTTCTATATTAGTTGTAGATGTAGTCAAAGAAGCCACATCATTGCCATTGGCGATTCTTTGGTTATACCAGGGCAATTGAGTAGCAATATTTTCTATTTGTTGCATTACTATCAGATTCTCTATTATCGAAGTATATGAATCATCCGTATAAGTATTTATCTGGTTCAAAGCGCCTACCAAATTGAACGGAATACCTATTTTATCGTTTGTTTCGAAAAAATTGATATAGTCCGTGGGATAAGACCGAATATCCGAGACTACTCTTGTTAAGAGAACCACTTGCTGCTGGGTGTTTAGTGAAGCTGTTGTCGTTGCTGTTGATGAGTAAAGAAAGGTGAGAAAAAGGAATATAGTTGAAATTATGTGCATCTTGTTCTAAAGAGGAATACACCTTGTTATCCACGAAAAGGAGATAGAGATTTGGAGACCAACTTGAGGAGTTTAAGTACAACGGTAATAGCAAATTATAGCCGTTGATTTTTTTTTTTCCACGACAAGCTATTTGGAGGGGGGGGTTGTCAATTGGATGTTTAGTTAATCCTGGTTTACAAAATTTTACCAGATCTCCTTGATATAAAATATTAGGCGCAAAAGGGCTTTGAAAAGGTTTTCGCAGCAATAGATCAATTGAATAAGATTTGAAAATTCGATGGAGTAGCATTAAACTTGTCACACGTTTGCCCTCTGCAAGGCGACTACAACCTGCGACACTATCGAGCATTACTGACCAGAGACACTTTTATTACTTCAAACATATATATATATATATTCACATATACATATAAATTTTACATTGTCTAAAAAAACCTCTAACATAAAAGTTTGTTTATCCCACCACTCATTATTCTTACAACATCACCTAAACCAACCAACATCACTAAAAACCATCGTATACATAATAAAAAAAACCACACTCAAGTTGATCTCAAAATGCCACACTCAAAACCTCTATCAAAGAGACAGACAATAACACCCTATGAACAATCAATAAATAACCCAAACTTTAAACACCAATCACTAAAATAGAAATATAATTTACTTATTATAACATAAAAAGCACACCACTTAAACAAAAAAAGTTACAAACGTTCCCCTCCTCCTCCTCTTAAACACTCACAGATACAGACGCACGCATTATTTCCCTCTAGCTTTCAGGCTTAGAAGCTGCTGGTGAACCGATTCTCATCTTAGTTTGAGGATTTACAATCTCTAACGGTTTTTTGATTCTTGGAGTGATCACTCTTGGGGATGTGTTACTGTTTATACTACTGTGGTTACTATGGCTGTAAGCAAACAGGGAAATCTCCTGATTTGGTGAAAACACAGTGGCGGTATATGGATTGAACTTCTTCATTGGAGGACTACTGTGATGACTATCGTTAGACACTTCGGGACAAAACTCTAAATCATCTTCGATATCAAATGATTTGGATAAGTAGTATCTCAATCTGGGTGTGTGAAAGGAATAGCTTGATGATGATGAGGAGGAGGAGGAGGAGGAGGAGGTACAAGACGACGATGTTGAGGACGACGACGACGACAAACACGAGACTGATGACGAAACTAGGGGGTTATTCACAGCCGATGAAGCAAATATGGATGGAGTTGTAGTCGATAAAGAACTCGACAAGCTTGTACTATTTGACGAGCCCGGAGGAGTCAAATAAGAAAGATTATTAAACGGAGACGAGTTATTAACACCGTTACCGGTGACATACTGATTGATTGAAGTCGATGCGTTCCCCATTACTTCTGGTTAACTTGGTTACTTGAATACAAAAAAAAACGTGATTCCAAGGGAAAAACAAAGAGCTAACCAAACAAAAATCCAACAACCACAAATTTCATCGCTTTTGAGTTTCTTTTTTTCTGGTTATCAATACACGACTTTTTTCTATACATAGTTTGCAATTCGTTATCGATATTATTAATTAAGCCAGCAAAAAAGGGGGTAGTGTTGTGGGAAGTTACAAAGATGTATTATTGTAGTTTTACGACAGACCCCATCGAGTGAGGAGTAATTGAGTAGCTCAAACAAGTTACAGCCTTACAACAGGTTATGTTATTACAGATTGGAGGGTTCCCCCTCCCTCAGCCTTTGTTGTTGCTGATAATAAATCAATAGGAATAAGCTGTTGTGGTCATGTACTTGATATATACACGACCTTATCATTAGCTTATTTGCACGACCGTTTTTTTATTTTTTTTTATTTTTTTTTTCTTCTTCTTGCTTCCTTCCCCTATACAAATAAAATAATAGGAAACCTTGTGGAGTAAAAAGTAGCAAGTTGAGCTTTGCTTATTTTCAGAATGTTTTTGATTGATTGCAATAGGGCATTTTCTTGATTTGTCATTTCCACCCTGATATCTCAGAGTAGCTTCACTAGTCTCTGCTAGCTTCACTAGTCTCTACTAGCTTTGCTCGCTTTGCTCCCTAGTGTCGGGAAAAAAGGGGGTTACTTTTTCTATTTATTATGCTTTTATTGTCTATTAGAAACAAGTAATTCTCCCAAGTCGTCTATAAGCTGAGTGGAAATATCATTGTTAGAGAGTATAATGTCTAGAGTTTTTTTTTTATTTTTATTTATAGTAAGGAAAACAAACGGTGTTAATTTGCAACCACTGAAATTTATTTGCAGCCATTGACTTATTTGCAACCATTTATTTATTTGCAACCGTTAGGGGTTCATCTGCAACCATTCATTTATTGGCAACCGTTGATTTATTTACAACCATTCATTTATTTGCAGTTGTTGATTTATTTGCAGCTGTTGATTCAGCTGTTGGTTTCTTTTGTTTGTAGCTTCCCACCTTGTCTATCAGTCCAGATTTTGTGAAAACTGCCTATTTCATATATAGATTCCCCTGCTTTTTTCTGGTTTTTTTTTTCCAAATTCTGTGCAAAACTTTTGTAAACTTAATGTCACCTGTTAAACATACAACTTCCCCTTCCCTTCCTTAATTTCAGTGCAAATAGATATAACCACTTACCTTCAAGAATAAAAAGGTTAATAACACTAGCCTACATTTTTAATGGGGGCAAATAGCCCAGCCTAGCCTAGCCCAGCCTTTCGAATTTTGTATAAATACGCGCTACCAACTGCATTCTAATAAAGATTGTCGTTCCTCAATTTGGTAACTTAACTACTAGATTCTATGAAATAAAACCAATGTGAAACCAATATAAAGCCACCATAGGTTTTAAGATAACCCATTTACTACTAAAAGATGAGGAGTTTAGTCTCTATAGTAGATACAATTTGTAACAAGAAAACTCAGTCATATGGATTGGATGAGTTTCAATTCATATAATATGTTGTTCTTTCTCGCCTTTTGGTTCCATCCACCTCCTCTTTGAACGCCCCTTTAAGAAATGTATTTTTTTTCAGCCATTGAACTTCAAACAAGTTTCAAAAAGCCATTATGTGATTTACAAAAGTCGATAAAGTACATTAAGCTCAATAATGGATTAAAAACGCTTCTTATATCAGATCCGCAAGCTCCAACTTTTGCAGCATCAGTATGCGTGGGGTCTGGATCTCATTCTGACCCTGACGAATTGCCTGGTTTGGCTCATTTTTGTGAACATGTAATGTTTTTAGGTACTGACGAGTACCCATCACCCAATGAGTTTTGGTCGAAACTAAACATAATGGCGGGCTCTTCAAATGCGTATACTATGGCTAACCAAACTTGTTTTTACTTTGAAGTACCTTTAACTGATACTTCTATCGAAGGAGAGTTTGGTTTGACATATTTGATCAAGATATTTAGCTCATTTTTCAAGTCGCTTAGTTTTAATGAACGGTTGATGAACTTGGAGGTGAACAGTGTTGATGAAGAACACTGGGGAAACATAACTAATAACGAAAAGATCTTGTACCATGGAATGAGGTTATTGAGTAATGAACAACACCCGTTTCACAGGTTTGCAACGGGGAATAAACAGACATTAAGCTCAAAAAAGGTGAGACTGGAAATGTTACGATATTTTAACGAGAATTACGTTTCCGAGAATATGGTTTTGGTTTTAAAAAGCTCATTGTCACTTAACCAATTGCAGAAAATGGCAATTGCCAATTTTACAAGTATTCCAAGTGAAAGACGAATTATGCGACATTCAATGAAAAGCCATAAAAAGGATAGTCTACTGATTGGATCCAGAAGTAGTAGTAGCCGTACCCTGTCGAAAAGTCTCCGCTCGAGTGAGTTGTTGTCGACTGAGTTTGGTTTTGGTAATGAAATTTTCCCGCAAGAGTCTGCTAATCAAACGCTTTGGATAAGACAACAAGGTCAAAGAAAAGCAAGGTTTATATTTCCCATTTATTGTTTTCAAGATACATTTTTTGAAAACGTTTGGTGCTCATTATTGGGAGACGAGTCGCTAAATTCATTATTTTATTTTCTTAAATACAATCTACAGATTATTGAATCAATGTATGTTTTCACCCAATCGTTATCGTATGGGAATAAGGTTTTGCTTATTGATGTGGATTATAGGAAAAAGTTCAGCTCAAATTTGTTTATCAACATAATCGCAAACTTTATTGAGCAATTGCTAAACAAGGATGAGGACTACATTGAACGCATGTTATGTGAATATTCTCGAGTTTTTAAATTTCAAGCATACTTCAATTCACCCAACAGCTCAGCAGCAGAAGAAGTTTGTAACTACTCACAATCAATACAAAGTGGTGGTGGTGGTGGTGGTGGTGGTGTTGCTGATGTTGATGATTTATTAATTGGGGACTCTTTTAAGTATTCAAAGGGTGGTGCACAATTGTTTTTGACCAAGACAAGTGAGATTTTTAACACAAGCAATATTCATACCATATTTTTAGCTGATGATGATGACTACTATACCTTAGATTTGGGAAGGAAAATCCCACAAAGTGCATTTTGCAAAGACCCCTTTTACAACTTTGAATATGTGATTTTTGAACTGACTAGCGCCCTGGTTACTATGATCTTCCCTCTTTATTCCTTCCTACTAGATAACAAATACGTGAATTACACATCGCAAGAATTGGATGCGATGATTAAAGATTCAGTCACTGCAGTAAAAGCGTATCCGGAATTCACACAAGATACAACTCCAAAGCTCATTGACTACTCGGAGCACAATGAAATCTGGCACTCGAAAACAAATACAGCAAAAATAACCGTATCATTTCTGATATCTTTGAGCAATTATCAAGATATAACCAGAAGTTCAGTTGCAATGGAAATAATTGCCGAGCATATAGGTCGCATCTTGAATACAGAATTTTATCACGGTGAATTTGCATTCTTTTCGTGGGGAATTTTTGCAAATTATTTATTCAGGCCATCATTAACATTTGAAGTCCTGGGTCTTGAGGCTGGGTTTGGTGAGTTTTTGCTGGATTTTGTGAAAAGGGTTAAAGAGCTAATCTCCAGGTTTAACCCCAACTATAAGGAATTTTCAAGATGTGTATTTGAAGTGAGGCGATCATATGACAATTTACAGAATGGTGATATCAATAAGAAGATGATTGCTGGATCCACGATGTTTTTAGAGGAAGGGGTTGTGGATATAGAAGAAAGATTTGAGGCATTGGAGTTGATCACTAAAGACGATACCAAGGATATTTGTAATGAGATCAACATTGGATGCAAGCGCAGTTTTATTTTCATTTCAAGCATGTCTGAAGCAAATGCAATGAAGATATCACAGACCATCAATAGTATAACTTCACACCAAAGAATCTATTTGCAACGGAACATTTTTGAACGACGACCAGCAAGTATTTTGTTGAAACCAGGAAGAAATGATGTAGTGACAATGAGTGACAATAATGAGGATAATAACGCTGTTTACTATTATATACAAATGTGCCAACGGATTGACAAGTATACTACTGCTGTCGTTGAGTTTTTGGCGTATCTTCTAAGCCAAGATTCCAGCTATATGTTAAGAACCAAGAGACAGATTGGATACGTAGCGTTTAGTGGGGTGCGGATAAACAAGCAGACACTAGGGTTATATATATTACTCAATAGTAAATCTTATTCCAGCTCACAGATAATTGCTGAAATCGAAAATATGTTGATGGAATGGGAGGAGAGAATAGTGCACATGTCTCAAGAAGACTTGCTGGATCATATCTTGTCATATACCAAGAGTCGAGAGAAACAAGAGAATGAAAATAGTGCCATACCATCGAATATTTCGATAATTACCAATCCAAATAAACATAGCCATAATCGAGTGGAGAATAAAGTACATCAAGTGTACTGGGAATGCATACTCACTAACAATCATGACGATTTTAGTTTAGATAAAAAACTCCAGTTGCAATATTTACGTGAATGGGATCTTGATATCATTGTTGGCTTCATGAAAAGGCACATATCGGTCAAATCACGATCAAGAGCCGTTTTGACGATTTCAATCATATCAGAGAAGAAGGCAATGATGATGATGATGAAGAAACAGAAGAAGAAGAAGAAGAAGAAGAATAATAACAATAATAATGTCCCTGCACCAAAATACCTGAATAAAATGTCGTGTTTGATAACAAAGCTACAAACGCTCGCGTTGGATTGATGATTACTTTACTTTACAAGTAGCTCCAAAGCTTAACACTTCGATCCCAACCACTACTAACCACGGTAACTTTATCATCAATACATCCAACATCACAAGACATCACCTTATCAGTATGACCATTTAGCGAATTTACTTTTATCCAGCTATCAGCAGACCATACGTTGACACAACCGTCATAAGAACTACTAATAAGAAAAGATCCATTGGCAGCGGAATTGTAGTCTCTGAAAAATCTGACATCACTGACCAACTTTGTATGAGCAGGTATAGTATATAATTCATCTCCTGACCGATCTAGCTTTCTCATATCCCATATTTTCACAGAACAGTCACCTGAACCGCTTGCAAACTCATAGCCATTAGGCGACCAGTCCAAACCGTACACACCTTGCATATGCTTTTGTAGTGGCATCAAAGATCTTCCAGATCGTAGGTCCCAGACATAAATTATTCCATCAAGACCACCGGAGAGAAACAATGATCCATCCGGGTGTATTGCTCCAGAAAAAACACCTTTTGAATGACCTTCTTGTTGATATAGTTCTACTTGACGAGCAATGTCCCAAAGTTTCCAAGTTTGATCAAATGATGTAGAGATGGCTAAATTATTCAAAGGGTGAAACTTTACGCTAGTGATACGATCAGTGTGAGCACCTTTGATTAACGCCAGAGGTGTCAATGTTTTATCTGCGACAATGTCCCACAAGTTTATAGTTCCCTCGTTGCCTCCTGAAATTAAAAGATTTTCAGATGAAGCTGGCTTCCAATCTAGAGATGCCACTTTTTCCAAATGGCACAATGCCAATTTCGCCACTGGGTTCAAGTCTGTACTGCTTAAAACGTGAATAGACCCGTCCCATGATCCACATGCAATCAAGTCCATATTGTTGGAAAACTTTACACTGGATATTGCTCTAGTGTTTTCTGGGATAACTTGAGAGCCCTGCAATTCTATTTGTGACAAGTTTGAGTTTATAGCTCGCCTTTTTTGCAAAATCGTAGTAAACTCAAAATTGTCTCGAACAAATTGTCTTTGTAGTTGGAGTCGACTCGAAGCTTTGTTTAAGGAGCTTTGTAGTATCTCTAGTCGAACATTGTATAGCTCTTGTAAACCTGGGGTATAATACTGCTCGTCGTCGTCGTCCTCACCCTCTTCACCCTCACCCTCACCCCCACCCTCATCCTCTTCACCCTCACCCTCTTCATCCACCTCGTCTTGCTTACCCTCTTTTTCACCCCCTTTTTCACCCACTCTCTTGAATCTCATTAACCTTTCTCGTCGTTCCGTTTCACCCTCGCCATTGACAAAGACAGGTTGACCCAATCTTTTAAGCTCTTCTCGAACTAGTACATCTCCCTTTGGTATTTGAGCATCATTAACAACCGGTATATCCCTAAGGTCCATTAAAGAATGTGCAGCAGCGGCCCCCCTCCAAGAATAAAATCAAACAATGTTTTGTTAGGGCATTTTTTTCAATACTCTTCACCAAGCAGAAAGCCAACTAGCCAAAGAAAAAAAACAAAAAAAAAAAAACCCCATTGACTATTTTTCAACCTTTTCATTCTTCATTGGATTCATTGGTGTTTGAGTTTTCAAAGGTGGGGGGAGCGCGCGTTTGTTTGGTAGTTGGTAGACTTTTGTTGAGATGAATTTATTGAAGATACTAGATAGCACGCCCGAGCCTCCGATAATAGAATTAGATTTGAGTGAATCTAATTTTAGTGGAGATTATCAATTGGGTACTCCAATGTATGAGTATCAAAAGGAGTTAACAGACCAGATAATATCGTTACATTATCCGGATATATTGAAATATTGCGAAACAAATGACCATAAGGAGCTTCTAGTCAAATCCTTAGAGACTTGTATTGAAAATTGCATGCTCGTCAATACTCATCCTTATTTGCTAATTAGCCATTATATGCCAAAGAATTTAGTTGTCAAAGATATGCCGGCGAAATTAGCCGATACAAGCGGTAAATTCAATGTTTTAAAGGACTTGGTAAACACCATTATTGCAAGCGAGAGTTTTCAAGTGAAAAATGTCGGGTTGGTTTCGTCAAACAATATCAAATTATTTGATCTTCTTGAGTCGTTACTAATGATTTGTGGGGGGAACAAGTGTGTCAAAAGATATGTGGGAAATAATATCCAAAGAGGTTCAAAGAAGGCAAATAAGGGAAATGGTATTAATGGGAGCAACACGGCGCCAAATACAACAAAGAAATCAGCTGGCAGTGGTGGTGGTGGTGGTTATAATTTCCCAACCATAATTCATCTCCTACCGACGGATGGAGATATACAAAGAGATAGGGAAAGTTTTGAAAACACCAAATTTGACATTTTGATTGTAATAGACGGCAATGTCGATACAAATTCCGATTTTTATCAATTGCTTAAATCACAGAATCGAACTAGTGAAGAAGAGAAACCTGCTGTGACAATACGACTAATCCCATTGAAAACGGTTGAACAAATAACACTAGTCTACCAAGATGACAAAAACACTCCAGGCTATTTATACAAACTCATCTCTTCAATCGTTTGTCTCAGAGACTACATTGGGAATATACCTCCAGATGTGTTTCCGATATACAATCAAAAACTCAAGTATTTGGCACCCAATTTCTTCAACCATTTATTTAACAAAGACAAATCCGACTTTCCAGCTTGGCCATTGCCGCCATTACCATCTATTCAAAAGTATACGCCAATTGACGTAGAGCGATCTTTGCTTACCGAAGCACATTTTCATTACACCCCATACGGCCTGAACGCTGCTCCTCAGGAGGAAGCTGCAATTCCATCATACTACGAACTTAAGAGGTTACAGCTGGACTACATGAACAATCCTTTGAAAAATGACTATAATGAATTGATTGGCATATCTGGTCAAATGGAAAGAGAAAGCACTGTGTTGACACATAAAACTCTATTGCAATTAAACTCTAACTATTTGAGATTAAGCAGAGCTCAGCAAGAGTTGAAGTCGTATGAAGAGTTTGAGACACCAGAGGTGGGAAATAGAGTTGGACGGAGGGAAAGAGAAATGAGGATAACTGTATCCAAGTTGTTTGACGATTTGGATCATTCACGTCAGCGAATTAATAGCGGAAACAAATGGATTACAAAGAAACAAGAGCAAATAGAGCAGCTAAAGAATGAAACCAAAGAGAAGGAAACTGTTTTGAGAAATTATGAATCCAATGTAGATGATGCCGACGCAAAAAAGTTTGTACGAAATCAGTTGAGAATATGGGAACTCCAAACACAAATAAAGACACTTATTGCACGTATTCAATCAAAAAATGATGAAAAAAATTTTGCTTACAAAGAATACCAAAACACCCTCACTTCAATATCAGACTCGAAAAAGGAGCAAGAAGAAGTTGAATCGGAGTTAAAGCGTCTTTGCGAAAAGTACGATGGAATCGAACAAGAGCAAGAAAACAAAACCCTTGAGTTTAAAAAGAGAAAAAAACAGCTAACGGATGATATAGAGGAGGTAGAAGCCTCAAATGCGACTTTGGAGAGAAGACTCCATGGAGCTTTTAAATTCCTCAAAGACACATCATATTTGAAAAAAAGGAAGGCTAGAACAAGTACGCCAAATAAGTGAAGATGACGATGACGATGAAGAAGAAGAAGAAGAAGAAGAAGAAGAAGAAGAAAAAAAAAAGGCATCTGTTTTAATAGTGCTACATTTGGTATATTGGCATCCTTGATGTTGTTCCATCGAGTATCAACACATTATTTATAGGACTGTCTTTCTTGCCGAGAAACTGGATGATATCCTGAGCAAGAGTTCCACTCAATATAGCGGCCGTGGGTGAATATTCCGTGTATGCTTGTCTGCTGAATAGCTGAAGATACTCGTCTGTAATGCAACTTGGTTCGAGGTTCAAGTCTTTGCAAGCTTCGATAGCTTCATGTTTAAGGAGATCAATATCAATTGTGTCTTCCGGATTTGAAGGTGCTGGTATATTAAACAAGGCAAAGATTAGTGGTAATGGACCGCACTTTTTGGATTGTCTCTTTGTAAGTGTTTTTGATACATGTTTTGACTTGAATATAGTCTCAATTGGGGAATATACATCTTGAATTGTTAATAAATCAACCTTTTTTTGTGGATTGTTTTTTACATCAATAATTGTCTTATTTCTTGCTAACTCTATATTGGCCTTGCGCGGTATTGAACTTTCGCCCCATTCTGCTACTGCAACGTGTTCTATCAAATCTGCAAAGATGTATCCAAACATTCCGTGCATTCCACTGACATAGAAAGGTAAATTTAACTCTCTAGTTGAGCTGTTTAGTTTGACAATCTGTTGCTTTAATAAGTCGGTACCGACAATTAAATCAAACTGTTTTAAATAGTCCTTATTGACTATACTCTCATCGACCAGAGACACATTTATTGTCAAGTTCACTTTTGGATTCAACCGTTTTATATTATCTTCAACAAGTGGTAATTTCAATTGTCCTATAATGGAGTCGTCCTTTGGTAAAAAGAACTGAGAAGCAAAATCGACATCTTTTACCACTGTATCGTCCAAGATTTCAATTGAGTTTAAGCCACCTAATACCAAATTCTTCACACACTCTGTACCAACTGCTCCTAAATTCACCACAAGAATCTTTGTTGAGCGAAGACGCAATTGAGTCGCCATTCCCCATAATCTAATCTGCCTATCATATAACGCAATCTCATCTAAACAAAAAAAGAAAAATTAAGATCAAAGAGAGTCAAGAAAAATCAAAAAGTTAGTAAGTAGATATTTCAAAAAAAAAGCATATTGGATATTTGCCATACATACCTGCAGTAAGTTCCTCTTGTTCTGACATTACGAAACCGAAACCCTCGACTTTCAACTACAAGAAGATTGTTTAGTTGGGTTGAAATTTTTCACTTTCGCGCTTTCAACCTTTATTTTTTTTCTCTTGTTGATAACAAATTTCTGTTAGCATCAACCGATACCACTAAACATTTAGCAGAATCTAAACCATTGGTGCATAGTTTGTCATAGTAAAGGATATATAAGGGCATGTATCGATCGATAAACTCTATTACTTGTAGATCGGTCATTCCCTCGCCCTTTTCACTGATCAATGTATGTTCCTGTTCGAGTCTCCATTTGTAAACGTTATCAATCGTATCTGTATGGATAATAATGAAATACTCAAACATTTTCCAAATGGGGATATACGATTTGAGTTTCTCATTAATATCTTGTATTTCAAATAGTTTGTGTTTTTGTAGTAAACCGTCTACAGGAGACGTCAAATATCTAAGACGTGTTTGGTCTGGAGATAGTGACATATATCCGTTAAACCATCCTTCACATATAATCACATCTGCTGGCTTTTCAACCAATTGGCACTTCTCGGCCAGTCTATCGCCTAAACCTTTGTGAGCCGCCTTGTCATAGCAAGGTATGCGAACTGGAAGCCATCTAGTCTTGTAATTTTCCACCAATTGTATAAGCACCCGCAGCAAGTAGGGCAAATCATGAGTTCCCGGTAATCCTCTTCCCTGCAATAACTTATTACCTTCTTTCTTAGCCTTCTCTGTCAATACGGCTTGGTCTGTTTGTGTTAGATAAAAATCATCAATCAGGAATTGAATAATGTTCAACTCGGGGTAATTCCAACGTAATTGATTGGTCAATTGACAAGTCAAATAAGTCTTTCCCGAGCCTTGGGGTCCACTAACCCCAACAACCAAGGGTGTCAAGCAACTAGGAAAACCATGAGACTCAATTGCCTTGGCTACAAAACCCAACGATGCCGCTAAGCTCGTTGTCATTATTACAGCGTGGGGAGGAAGAAGAGAAAAAAAAATGATGAGCGAAAGCGGAGCGGAATCGGATTTTTATTTTTCAACCAAATTCCTCCTATTCAAGAAACACAGGACCATGAAAAGTACTGGGAAAACACAAAGAACCGCCACCAATTCAAGATCATATTTGGTGCAAGAAATGCAACAAGTATTGACTCGTGTGATTCTTTTTTTTTTTACCTCTACATTTAAATGACCTTAAGTTCTTTCAACTTTGCAACTAATTGATCAACATTTTCCACTCTAACACCAGCATGTCTTGCAGGTGGTTCTTCCACCTTCAAAATCTCCAACCTGCTATCGATTTGATCAACACCCAAGTCTTGTGGCTTAATTTTTTCCAATGGCTTTTTCTTTGCCTTCATTATATTCTGCAAACTTGCGTACCTTGGTTCGTTCAACCTCAAATCAACCGTGATGACCATTGGCAATTTAGCTTTCAATACTTCACCACCACCATCAATTTCTCTAGTGACATATACTTCGTCACCCTCAACTTCAACTTTAGATGCATTTGTAGCTTGTGGCCAGTTTAATAACCCTGCAAGCATCTGCCCTGTCTGGTTTGAGTCATCATCAATGGCTTGTTTGCCTAATACAACAAGATTCGAATTTTTTTTTTCAACTACTTTTTGTAAAAGCTTAGCTACTTGTAATGGTTCAACTATTTCTTCTTCTTTAGTTTCAACTAAAGTTGATGTGTCTGCACCTTTGGCCAAAGCAACTCTCAAAATGTCTTGTGCCTTCAAAGGTCCAATAGATACAGCATGGATGCTTTCGACAGCTTCAGGAGTTTTCTCTCTAATCCGAATCGACTCCTCTAATGCAATATCGCAAAATGGATTAATACTGAACTTAACACCTTTGGTCTCTATTCCTGTTTGCGCTTTGTTTATTCTCGGCTTAATAGCATAATCTATCACTCTTTTCACAGGAACTAAAATTCTCAATCTAGAGGACATCGAGGTAACGAAGGGTGCAAGTTGGCAGAGAGTATGTATAAAGAAATAGTGGTGATACTAAGTGAAAAATTCCCAGTTAGGGTTTTTTTTTTTATTTTTTTTTTTATTTACGCGCAATCAGATACAGAGCCTAGTGGTATATGACTTGTGATGAGATTCAGCCTTACCTACTATATATAGCTATTCATTCTTTTGTTTTCCTTGCTTTGGCACTATCGAGCAGAGCGAGATAGTGGCGCAACACTTTGTACCTTTTTATAACACTATTGAGCAGTACCGACTAGCTTGTTATAACACTAGCTCGCTTCGCTTCCTAGTTTCGCAGAATAGTTTTGCTACTATTTGTTGCTCCACTACTACTCCACATTAAGAGGAGTTCTAGCTCGTGCCTTCATTCTCTCAATCCTTGCTTTCAATTGTGAGGTCACTTCGGCAGCTCTCTTCCAATCGTCTCCCGAGTCCACATCCATTGCATTGGTAGAGGTAGTGGTATTAGTGGAAACAGAAGTATTGTACAATGGCCTGTGGTAGCTGTTTGGTGCAATGTTTGCAAAATTGGAATTTTCTCCCCTAATTTGCTGTTCTTCTCCACCTATTGATAAACGCTTAACTCCCGAGTTTATATCTGGTGGATTGAATTTGGAAACTCCTCCTGATGAAACAAACCTGGAACTAGCACCATTACTATGGAACAGTTTATTGGACTGCTGCAACTTTGAAATTTCGTTTTCTTGTTCCAAGTTTTTGATCTTATAGTTTGCCTTCTCCAACTCTATTCTCAAATTATTCAACTGGGTTTCTTTATGATTTATGGTGATTGAATGGCTCCTGTTTTCAGATTCTAATCGTGATTTCAAAGAAATGATTTCCTCTTTCAAACTTTCATTAAGAGCTTCCAACTGCTTTATTAAGTTTTGATCTTCTTGGTGTTTTTGTTGCGTCGCTTTAATCTCCAGCTTTAATTGTTCAATCTCCTCTCTTTGTTTGTTATTATTGTTATTATTATTGTTGTTATTACTATTATTATTATTATTATTACTATTATTATTATTGTTATTACCACCAAAAGCAGTTCCATCAAATGGTTGTGGCGGCGAATTTGTGTAGGTTGCCGATACTGGTGGCGTATGCCTGCTTTGAGGAGGTCGTAAAGATGGAATTGTTGGCTTTGCTAACGATCTTGCAGTAAGACCTTTTCCCAAATTACTGACTTTTGAATCATCTACCCGTTTAGCGGGCGATGCAGCACCACGTTTTGCTGGTATTGTAGAAGAGCTTGCAGAAGAGCTAAGTTCGTTGGCAGAAGAAGCGGTTCTAGAAGGTACTTTCTTTGCCGCTCCTTCGCGTGCCTGTTTTTGATTCCTTGCTACTGCTACTGCTGGTGCTGTTGCTGTGCATTTCACATTAACGGTTTCATAAAACTTCATTATTTTAGCCTTTCTATTATCATCCACATTTTCGAGCAGTTTGGTCAATTGACGCTCTCCCGTGATCTTCATTAGGGTGCCAATCAATTCAGTAGCTGCTTGCCTAATAGGTTCCTGAGAATCGCTAAGTAACTTGACTCCCGCTTCGATTATAGAGTCTACTTCTGACGATTTTGGAGCAACAGTGGTTCTTGCCAAGCATCTTTGAAGGAAATTGGCGCAAGCAATTTTATTCTGGGGTACTTTCAACTTCATCCCTTCAACAGTCTCGTCTAGAATTGAGCCCAAGCCAGAAATAGAAAACATCGTATCAAGGAGCGTATCCAATGCATTTGCCACTGAAGGTTTTTTCTCCTTTGTTCTTTCAATGACTGGTCCTAGTAAAATTGATTGATATTTAGAAAAATGCGAGCCTAATCCTATTGCTATAAGATTGGCACAAGTGGCAGCTAATTGGACCACTTGTATATTGGCATCTTTCATATTTTTGGCAAAAATACGCAAAACTGGCGCATAATCATCGGTGGTGACCAATTTGGGAGCTTTCTCCAAAATAGCCAAGACTTCTTCAAGAACTTCGACCCTATCTTTCCACTTTGTAGAGGATATTCTTTCTCTGAAATTATTAGGTAATTTGTCCAATACTTCTACCGGGTCGACAAATTCCAAAGGATCATAATTAGATGCTTCTGAAGCTTCTAATTCATTCATATCAACGTCTTCGTCATTGTTATTATTATCGTTATTAGCAGCAGCAGCAGCAGCAGCAGCCCTTTTGGCTTCTTCTTGTTTTACAATTTCTGCTTTTTGTGCCCTTGTCAACCTTTTTTGCTCTGGTTTCTCTCCTTTTACAATTTCAAAACTTGCAGTTAAATCCTTTTGCTGGACTGGTTTTAAATCTGAAAACAAAATATTTGATAAAGAGTCGCCCATCCATTTGTACAACTCTACGGTCAATTTTGTTGCTTCCAATCTAACGTTTTTATCAGCATGGGCAAACAACTTGGCCAATGAACCAATAATAAGTTTTGGAGGAACCACTTTGCAGCCAAAGTTTTCGTATATAGCGGTTAAACAAGTAGTACAACCAGCAACCAATTTTGGTAGTTTGTTACCAAGAGAAGGAATCATTTCCTCGACAATTGGCGACGGATCAGGCAAGAGTTCAACCATGAGCAAAATGCTTTCAATAGCATTATCTTTTGTTCCCTTTCGTGACGATGACAATCCCTTTTCACAGATTGCATGTACGATATCTTGATTCTTCACGAGCCGCGAAACTAGTTGTGCATTGCCACCATACGTCAAATAGTCAATAAACACCTTATAAGCAGTTTCCTGAGCAACCACATTAGTATCTAGTAGGATTTTTTTAACCAAGTCTAACGACTGTATGATGGACAGAGCTTCTTGTTCACTTTGTGACAATTGAAATTGTTTAGAAAGTTCCTCATAAGCGCCTAATCTAACTTTCCATACTTTATGAGCCAACCTCTCCTCTAACGGTAGAGTCGTTGGATCTATTTCCTCAGCCATACCAAATGCTTCAAACCAGAAAAGTCCTTTGAAAACAACCTTAACTTCTCAATGCTTTCACCCTATACCTCGTTACTCTTATCTCTTTATAACCTTAAAAGATCAATTGATTTAAGAGAAAAAAGATTTTTGAAATGTTTATATTTTGTTTTGTTATACACGAAAAGGAAGATGCTATCAACACTATCGAGCGACACTATCAAGCGAAGCGAGATAGTGGAGTACCACTAGCTCTAGCTCTTAACACTATCGAGCGGAGCGAGATAATTGAGTACCATCTTGTAGACACTATCGAGCGACACTATAGAGCGAAGCAAGATAGTGGTGCAGCCGTAATAGCAACACTATCGACACTATCGAGCGAAGCGAGAAGGTGGAGCAGCACTTAATAGCAACACTACCGAGAGCGAGATAGTGGAGCAGTACTAACTACATCGACACTAGCAACCCTATCTCGCTCGACTCAATAGTATTGCTCGATAGTAGAACAAGGACAAATTATTGCACTTGCCCGTTGATGAATGAGGTCATCTTTAAAAGAACAATTGCATTTGGAAGTGTCGATAGTATCGGTCATTGTCGGTGTAGTCAGTGTCGGTGACAGTGTGCTCCACTATCTCGCTATGCTCGATAGTATCGGTCAGTGTCGGTGATAGTGTGCTTTACTATCGAGGAATACTATTGAGCAGAGCGAGATAGTGTTGCTAGTGTCGATGTAGTCAGTGTCGGTGACAGTATGCTCCACTATCTCGCTCTGCTCGATAGTGTCATAGTGTCGACCGACACACTCGAGCAAATAAATGGACAAAGAGAGTAAAAGGAATAATCCTTAGGGGGTGTCGAAAAGAAGATGAAAAGAAAAGAAAAAGGGGTTTTCCGGCAACTAGTAGGTCATACCAATGTAGTCAGTGCTGCCCCACTATTGAGCGAAGCGAGATAGTGGATCATTTATAGATGGCAGATAATGTGCTTGATAGCTAAACTGGTAGTTTGAAAATTTGCACCTAATTAGAAGAAAAACAATTCTTAGAAATAGATGAATTTCGACACTATTGAGCGGAGCAACACTCTGTAGCTGCCACCGACTCTGCTCCACTAGCGAGCAAAGCGAGCTAGTGTCCAAACCCGTCAGCGCTGCTCCACTAGCTCGCTCTGCTAAAAAGTGTTGCTAGTAAGTGTTGTGCTCCACTATCTCGCTTTGCTCGATAGTGTCGCTCGATAGTGTCACTCGATAGTGTCGTTCGATAGTAGAGACAAGTAAAGAGACAAGTGATTAGCTTGTTTTATTTATCAAGATATGATCAGCCTAAATACCAAGACTCAGTTTTATATTGTTTCTCTGTTTAGCTTTTACGTGATATTGTTGCGATGCCCAAGTTTCAAGCTGAGCCGGAATAAGCGACACTATCGAGCAAAGCGAGATAGTGGAGCAACACTTAGTAGCTGCCACCGACTCTGCTCCACTAGCGAGCAAAGCGAGCTAGTGTCCTAACCCGTCAGTGCTGCTAGTAAGTGTTGCTAGTAGGTGTTGCTAGTAAGTGTTGTGCTCCACTATCTCGCTCTGCTCGATAGTGTCGCTCGATAGTGTCGCTCAATAGTGTCACTCGATAGTGTCGCTCGCTAGTGTCGCTCGATAGTGTCGCTCGATAGTATCACTCATGTGTTCTTTTGGTATATTTCATCAAGTGGTTTCAATTTAAACCCCCATTCTTCTTCACCGGGTCTATCAATGTAATATTTTTCTAAATTAACCTGATGGTATGGATGGTAAGCTAGATTAAACCAAGGCAATATGAATAAAAAAGAACTACTATACTGTGAATTTCTATTAGCAACATCCTTATTTCTATCGTCCAATGCACTTTTGTCTTCATGAAATGGCAACTTCCCCTCACTCAACAATTTCTTCATTTCAAACCTATCTCTCTTAACTTCACTAGCATTTTCTCTCCATCCAAGAAATCTTTGACTCGATCTCACATATGCCAAAAAAAATCCCCCTACTAACCCCATAGCAACTGCAGCCCTATATGTCGTGCCATTTATACGAAGCGGTTTCAGTCCACTCCCTCCCGAAGGTTCAATTCTCTCCCATAATTTTAAACCTGCTGGAAATATAGCTGTTGAAATCGCCCAATTCAAATAATCAGAGGGCCTGAAATATGACACTACCCTACCAAAATATGGATCCCCATCAATTCTCTCATAATCGCTATCAAGCGGAAGCGCTCTTACCGGTGTATTCGTGGCCGTATATGACATGACAAATTTGTTAAATAACCCTTCTTTAACCTCTTTCTAATTAGAACTTTGCCTAGAGACTCCTTTAACCTCTTCTCCAAATACAACTTTCCCTTACCCATTCACTCACTCGCTGGTTTTTTTTTTTTTCAAACTTTTGATTGGCAAGAGAAATGGTACGCTACCAAGCGAAGTTAGTAACAGCGGTTAACCCTTTGGATATAAATCAGCTTCCTCTTGGAGAGCTTTCCTTGGAGAGCTTTCCTTAAACAGGAGTCTCTGTTTCTAGTTGCCAAGTGATGCCGATTTCGTTAGATACCACGGATGAAGATGAACCTTATTTACGCTCTTCTAATAGGAGGAGCCCCGCAATACGACTCATCAACTGTATGCGATGTTACAATATTCCCGTTCTAAATTTCATCATTATTCTAATCTTGGGGATATTCCTTTATAAGCTCACAACCAAGTATACCAATTTGTACATGAAAAGTTCGCTAGTTACTATAATTATTACAAATTTGGTCTTATACGGTATATCCGAGAGCTTGGCGCAGCTGATTCTTTCTTATCGACTGGATCAACCTTTGATATCGTTTAATCTAAGAGACTCAACCACCGATCCCTGGATGCTTGGTGGTGGTGGTGGTGCAAACGGAAATCTAAACCAGATGATCGCTAGAGACTTTGACGATAGCGCCAGCATTGATGAAGAAGGACTAGATAGATTCATAGACTACTTGGGACGAGAAAACGAAGAAATCAGGGATTTGGAAGAAGAACAAGACTTTACACCCACACCACCAATTCCTCTCACATACTTCCAATTTGATAGATTAGCAGGTTTCATGTGTTGGGGCTTCATAATGGGGTTTGTCCAATGTTTGTGGTACAAGTTTCTACAAATTTATTCCAAGGATCCTAAATTTATTGAAGTCTTGAGAAAAGTACTCACTGACCAGTTGTGCTTTTCACCAGTGTCATTGTTTTGCTTCTTCACTTATGGTACTATTGTGTTGGAAAATGGAACGTGGGAAGATACCAAGCTCAAGTTGAGCAGGATATATTTGAAAACCTTGATAATAAACTATTCAGTTTGGTTTCCTGTCCAATTTTTCAATTTTTTAATCGTACCTAGAAACTTTCAAGTCCCGTTTAGTTCGTCAATCAGTGTGTTGTGGAATTGTTTCTTATCCATGAGAAACTCATCAAGTTAAAAAAAAAAAAAAAAAGGGAAACCCAAATTTCTTTTTACATTTACAGAGAATCTGTTTTATATGTACATTCCTAGATTGGAGTATCCGTTGAGTTTCCTCACTTTCAAACTGACATTTTTCACATACTCCTCCCCATTTTTTATATTGAAAAGTGAACTTAAAACAGTTGCGGTATCAACAATTGCATCATTATCCGACTTTTCAAACCCTAACGGACCTTCGGAATCTAGAACTAATGCCGTGGCAAGAGGTGCTTCAACAATGTTCAATTGAGATAAAAGGGCAGCACAGAAACCAGTAATCACATGTGGTGGCCTTAACAATGGAACATTGTTTATCACGGGGTTGGCATTATCGGCATACAATTGTAGTTTATTAATGGTTTGGTTATTGTTCAAGTTTGACGGCGCAAGCAAAATCCACTCTTTGTTCAAATCAAGATGTTTAACTACTTGCCTGGCCAATAAGTTGTAGATTATAACATTTTCGAAATGCGGGACAACAATGGAGAGGACCCCCTTGGTTAGGTAAATAGGGAGCTCAAGTTTAGGAGGAAATCTAGACTTTAAACTTTCATGCTTCATTGCCTCATATAACTGCTCATCTTCATCGTATGTAGTAGCGCTCTCCTTCTCGACAGAACTGTATAGTTGATGATAATCAACAATGATATTACCGACAACAACATGGTTCTTGGTCAATTCTGTTTGCAAGATTTTCATTGTATGTGGAACAACAAAAATATAATCATAATCATTGGATGATGCATCTAGAACAACCCTGATCTCGGGAAATGGGCAAGGTTGGGCATTACTCAAATCGTCATCATCAAGAGTATGACGAGGATTCCTTACTTCTGTGATTGGTTTAATCTACAAAATAACAAAACCAAAAAAAGAAAAAAGGGTAAAAAATGTTTAGCTTCCATTCCTTAGTAAAAACTTCAAGTCAAAATAGGGTAATACATACGAGCATTGTTTGATTGGTTCTTGTTTCTCGATATTTATCAGGCCATTGGTGTGTTAACCGCCGAAGGTGGGAAAGAAGAGAGAGCGCGAGAAAGTGAAAAAAAAAAAAAAATAAAAAAATAAAACTAACCACTGACCAATTAGCACTAATAGGTAGGTTAGGTAGGTAGTAGTTGTAGTAGTAGCAGTAGTTTATTCAGTGGTAATGATTAGAATATTGAGATCTAATAGAGTTGCTAGAGTGCTTCCAATAAGGCTTTACTATTCATCGCAACATATAGGTTCAAATGCTATAGTTAATGACAATCAAATAGAATCAAAGATCCTTACAAAAGCAGTAGAATATATACCACAATATGGATTTGATTCAAGAGCCATAACTAAAGCGGTACACGACTTAAAGTACTCCGATTCATCAATCTCAATCTTGACAGCCCAACCGCTGGGTCATTCTTTACCCTTTCAGCTTATGCTCCACTATTTGAAGTTGAAGCGTCAAGAATTGGAAAAATTCGCTAGTACAAGTATAGACCCCAAACTTTCGCAAGGTGAAAAATTGAAGAAATTGATAACTCAGAGACTATTGTACAATGAGCCGATAATTGGGAAATTGAGTCAAGGTTTGAGCTATTTGATAGTGCCCTACAACATAAGCTCCTCCCTTGAAGAGTTGTTAAATCTAGGTGATGATTTGGCGTTCTTTGCTGGCGACGAGTCAAATGACTTTGCATGGTATTCGAAAAGAGCTGCTATTTGTTCTATTTATGTGAAAAGCGAGCTATTTATGTTGGGAGATACTACTCAAGATTTCACAACAACTAAAGAGTTTGTAAACAAGAGAGTAGATGAGTTTGAAAAATTGGGTAATGCGATAAATGATACCGAACAATGGGTTGGATTCCAGGCAATTAGTTTGTTGAATTTGATCAAATCCCAGTTGACAAGGGGATAAAGATTATTAAGCTGCCTGTAATTCATTGAGCTGTTTGTAATTCATTGACCTGCCTGTAATTTCATTGCAACAATTTCATTCCTTATCTTTTCAGCTTCTTTTTCTTCACTAGCAATTTTCTCCTCAACTCGATCAATCTCGTTGTTGATAAATTCAATTCTCTTGTCAACGTTTAATTGAGCTTCACTAAAGTCTTGCGGTAACAAAACGGGACCTGTTAGTTTATATATCTTGCTATTTGAATCTAGTGAGCTAAATTCTTCCTTGACTATCTTATTTTCTTGAAATTGAGTTTCCAATTGTGAGCGAGACTGAACCAAGTCGTTCATTTGTTGCTGGTGCTTTGAAAAAGCAAGTGATAAAGATTCTAGTTTCTTTTCGACTTCGGCCATTAGCTAAGAAAGGTTTCTACCGTTTTGGTGGTGCTTATTCTATTCTATTCTACTTGTTCATCAAAAAAGTTCTTTACGCTATATCTTTTCAATATTTTTTTTTTCTTCTCTCTTCTCCTTCTTTTCAGTCTTGCTTATTGTTACTATGTACATTAAAATCAAAGTATACACCAAATAGCATCGTTTTATTGTCCAAAGAGAAGATGCTTGGGCTTGAATTTTCCAGCTGGGTCACCAAATACTTTGAAAGTAGACGTCAAAGACTATTTTTTTTTTAATACTTATATTTCCAGGGTTGGGAAAATGTCGTTATCTGCTTCGTCAATAATAATGTCTGTGACTCGTACCTTGTACCTTCTGTTATTAAAGTCTCCACCATAAGCATGCATTTCTCTGTAGTCCTCCTCTTCTTCCTCTTCTTCCTCTTCTTCCTCTTCTTCCTCTTCCTCCTCTTCATCGTCATCAAAATCGTCTTCATTTTCCACAACTTCTTCATCCACCATACCGTTATCGAGCTCATTACCAATACCTAATCCCTTTGGTTCTTCTAAAAGTTCTTGTGCCGCATCATGCATCTCTTCATTTTCCTCGTCATTTATAGCACTATCCAACCCCAAAGCAGTATTTCTTCCACCAAAACGTGGTCTCTGCGAGTGATAACTTGTATGGCGTCTGCTTCTATTTCTGTTTCTTGTCCCACTACACGTTTTTTTACCTTCTGTACCCAAATTTCTACTAAAACTTGAGCGGAGTCTCTTTTCGTTTGCCTGTGATCGAACCTGCTGGTAGGGTGTGGCAAACAAATCCTGATTAAACAAAAAACCCTGACATTCGCGTAATGAGATGATTGAATAATTTGAAATACGCGAATCCCCATCATCTGATGAGGAGTATATGCCGCTATTTGACTCGTAAACGTTGAAATTCTCGTCTTGGATCATTGTTGGTGATAAAAAGGAGTTTCTTCTAAACCAGGGCGAAGAAGAATTTGCAAATGAGGAGTTTCTCCTCTTGATCATTATTGGTTCCGGTCTCGGAGACGTCGAAGTAGAATTGGCTGGGGTAGACTTTGGTGTTATTTTCGTCTTGTGACCTTTGCTTTTGGTTTTAGACGAAACCATGTATGCATTGGTTGTACTAGATTTTCTTCTAATCTGTGGTGAATCAAACAATACATTTGAGTTGCTCATTATAAGTAATAGTTATTAAGATTAATCAAAAAACAAGGAAATCTTTGGGTTTTTTTTTAAAGGCAAGCTAAAGTTGTCTAGTTAAAGATAACCAAACAATTTGATTTTTGTAGTTTCCTAAAATAGCCAGGTTACGAAAATGCTCTAATAACGCTGTCTCTTTTTAACCCTTATCAGATCAGGCTTAACTGTGGGTATAAAAATGTCGAGGTACAAAGGATAATGTCGTTTGAAATTCAACCCTTATCAAGAGGAAAAAAAATGTCGCACCAGCAGCGACAGCGACACTATCGAGATAGTGGAGCACACGAGCTTTTAGCACCATCGAGCGACACTCCCGACACTATCGAGCGGAGCGAGATAGTGGAGCAAACTTACTAGCTACATAGGCCTGGGAAACACTACATACTGCTCCACTAATAGCTGCTTCACCAGGTCCAAAAAAGTATCGTCAATTTCGTCAATTTCATCTTAACTACATACAATTACCAACTAATAGTCTCAGACTCACTATCTGAGACTCACTATCTGAGTCTCACAATCTTGTTCCTCGATAGTGAGCAGTAAGTAGTGGGTACCTATAGTCTGGGGACTCACTATCTGAGTCTCACAATCTCGTTCCTCGATAGTGAGCAGTGAGCAGTGGGTAGTCAAACAGCCTTATTTCTCTGTTTCAATTTGGTCATCACATAATGTAAACCATCTCTTGAATTCTGGATATTAGTAGAAAATCGACTATGGCTCCATTCCTCAATCTTCAGTTTCAAGCCAAAAAAATTTGACGAAAATTTCACTTTGGCTTCAAGAGTCGTGCTCCCGCTTACTGGATCTCCCTTATATTTCAAATACTCTTCAACTTTGATGAATCTCCTATGGTCGATGTTGCTGGTATATGAATGCAATGTATTTGTTTTTGGATTTATCACCAACTTCTCAAGAATCCAAGAATTGACATTGGAAACGCCCAAAAATGGTCTAATAAATTTCGGCAATCGACCCGTTTTCACAATGAGTCTCGTTGTACATAGCTGGCCATGAGAGTCAATTTGATAATCAAGTGTATCTGCCGATAATACATGTTTGGCATATGGATTAGGATACCTGTTCAAGTAAGCTAAACTTGTTGTTTCAAAGTCAAAATTAAAGTCCTGTTTCGTTTCAAAGAAAAGCACCATCGCGGGAAAGAAAAGATGTTGTAGGAAAGAAAGGTTCTTTCCAGTGATGCTTAGAATCAAAACCAGATATATACTATGGAAAAGCAGAAAATTCAATTTTTTTTTTTTTTTTTTTTTCAAAGGAAAAAAAAAAACATCTGTTCCACCAATTGTTCACTTAGGATTAATAAAAGGGGAAAAAAGGAGCCAAAAAAGATGAAGCATTCTGTGAATTGAGGTGCTTGGTTTAAGAGCTCGTCACGTAAAAACCTCTCGATGGTTAAATTGGTATTTTAAGTCACTAAAGTAACACCAGTAAAACTTCTTTTCTAAAGTCACGTGACAGTTACCATGATACACGATGAGATAGACATTCGGCCGAGAGACCCAAGAGAGGAAAAATATTTGCTAATAACCAAATTGCGTTACTATAAATTATCCCGTTGGAAGATAATAGGTGTCAACGTGCTAGAAAATACATACAGATTTGGTATAGCATTTACAACTTATTTTAATAAGTCGTAATTTGAGACTCTATGTTTCTGGTAGGAGAAAAGATTGGTGTGCTTGATGTTATGGCTTGGGCTTGATCTCATACTATTACAGTTTGGAAAAATAGTGGTGAGGGAAGCGAGCTAGTGGAGCACAGCATAGTAGCAACACTAGGAAGTAATGCGAGATAGTGACTTACTCTGATGATCTAGCAAGACTATCTCGCTTTGCTCGATAGTGACTCGATAGTGACTCGATAGTGACTCGGTCTGATGATCTAGGTTGACAACTCACACCTTGAAAATCATGTCTTAACTCGGAGCGGATAAATTGTAATATTTTCATTTTCCCAATTCACCGTTTGCTCCAACAAGAAAAATAAAATATAATGGACAAATTAATCCGCAGATCTTGTAATTTTTCTTCTTCTTTACTTTAGTTGGTAGACTAAGATTTCTGTACCTGATGCCAGTAATATTAATAGTCATGGTTAGTATGACGAATTATAACATAACAATAGAGTAACATCAATTGTGTCCGAAACCGCAGAAAGTTCTCTACAATATCACCTTAATGGTCCCGAAACACAAAGAATAGTCGTAAACATCAAGTATTAGTGCAATCCAAGAGTCAATGTAACAGACATTCCTACAGATTGGTTCCATTTCCCATGCTTGCTATTTTTGACAAATATAACGTCATATCTCTGCATTCAAAAAAAAAAAATCGTATACTCAAATGCAAAAAAAGTCAACCAAGTATGTCTTGGTAAAAGACAAGATAAAACAATCAAATCTGTTGAACGATTAGCTGTGCAGGGAGATATCAGTTAAGTTGAAGCCTTTCCAAGCCTCCACTAATGGACTAATAGTTTATCTGTCTTTTAAGCCCCAGCTAATATAAATTTATATCTTTTGATAATCGCTATTGTTAACCTTTTATTTTCATGTAGAAACGATAAAAATATATCAAGGTAAACTTTACCGACGATTCCACAATGTAAACAACTTTTTTATTTTATTTTTTCCATCTTACGTTAAACTGTAATTATATTCAAACATATAAGAGAAGGGGTAGAAATAATAAAAAAAATGATGATGATATTCTAAACCTCACTCATGTACCCCAGAGTCTCCTTTGTCTTTTAATCCTTGTGGGGTAAAAAGAGCTTTTCAATGACGAAACCACTTGCATTCCTCGGGCCTCTCTTTCCAAAAAATTTAAACGAAAGTCCGTGTTCAAACGCCGATTGGAAAAGAAAAAAAAAAAAATGGCATCATAACACAAAAATGTACGCTTAATACGTAAAGTTTTTCAAACAATCAAACTAAAAAAAGAAACCAATTACTGAGCTTGATGTTTTAGTTGCAAACGGCAAATTGAAGAAAGATTGTACAAACATGAGAGTCAAGTTCAAGGAAAGAAAAAAAAATAAAAACTAAAGAAAATAAACAACAATAATCAATGACTAAGTTGTTTTTCGTCTTTGTTGCATGGAATTTATAGAGAAAATGTCTTTTAACTCCCCCATCCACCATCCCCACACACGCCTCCTTTCCTCTCACTCTTTCCTGTAGATATTACTGTTTGTTTTCTGTTGATGAACAGGTACAGATTTGTTCATCCTTTTCTCTTCTTCTTCTAAAGGTAGTTTACCCGAAAGTGAAATAAATAAATTAAAAAAAAATGCTCCTCATCTTCTATATTTTGTGGCATTTTTCACATCTAGGATGAACTCTGCAGAATTTTCATTTATATGCATAGTAAATGTTTGCTCTTTTTTGTTGAAGATAGTTGAAATGTGTTTCACTAATAGGTTCATCCTATAGTCGCGATACTATAATCTTGGCAACAGGGAACCAAGTGGAGCAAAAAAAATAAAAAATAAAAAAAGACTGCCTTGTAATTCTGTAATAATGTCAGTGTTGGTATTAATAGATGTATGCGTTAAGGGTACGAGGCGAGGAGGTTTTTTTGTTGAACGCACTATAAAAAAAAATCTACTCCGAAACTTTTAACCCTTCAAGAATTATCTTTTATTTTTTCTCTTGTACAACAAAATAAGAGCCTTTTTTATGATGCATGGAACAAAACCTATTAAACCAAAGATTTTAAAAAACTTTTGGTTAAGATTGACACTAGTAATTCTTCACCCACTCTTTAACTCTTGTCTTTACTCTTTATCAATTTTTTTTTGAACCTACCAACCAATTTAGAGCTAGCTGATTATGCATAATGCATCAACCCCAATATGTGTATTTTTTTTTTTTTTTTTCTTTTCTTTCTTAACAAAAGGTCAAAAGATCAAGATCTCAAATTTCCAAGATTCATTTAAATATCCAGAATAAAAACCTATATTTTTGAATTGCACCTCTGGCTTTCCCTTTTCCTGCCTCTTTTTGTTCTTTATAAAGTCATCTTTCCCTTTTCTTTTGCTTTTTTTCCCTGCCCCCTTATATCCTTGAGATCTTATAGCATACGTGGAAATAGCATTAATTTGTTATGCAAGCTTAGATCCATTCACAGATCTCCAAAACTAAATATTCATATCAGTACAAAGCATACAAACTTGGTACAATTCTAGTACAACTGAGTACAATCCAATCTAAGCTATTTTATTTATCAAACTTTTATTTCCCACCTCCCCCCGTTTTTTTTTTGTTTTGCTTAAAGGTTTATAGTCATGTCGTTATTCAATGGACAAAATTCTTCTACTCAAATAGCTGAAAAAATCAGTAATGAGAAACAAGATTATGATAATTATTCCGTATCTTCGGCCTCGGTAAAACCAGCACCAAAGAATATTTTTGCATCATTTTTAGATGGTTTCAAAAGAGCACCACCTGTTGAAGAAGCAGGTGCAGATCGTAAAAAAGCTATTCTGAAAACTGAATTGAGATTAATGTCACTATCGACTGGGTTGGGTACCGGGCTTTTGGTTGCTGCTGGTGACAAGTTGAGATTAGCTGGTCCAGCTGGTGTTTTAATTGCTTATGCCATTACAGGCCTTATTATGTTGGCACCAATGATGCACTCCTTGTCTGAACTAACTATTGCATATAGTGGATTACCCGGTGGATTTCAATCCTACTATACTAAATTCCTTGATGAGAGTTTGGGATTTGCAGTAGGGTGGACTTATGCTTTCCAGTGGTGCTGTGTTATAAGTTTAGAATTGGTTACTGCATCAATGACAATTAAGTTTTGGACCACTAGTATAAACCCCGATGTCTGGGTTGTCATATTCTTGGTTGTTGTTGTCTTGATAAATCTTTTTGGATCCAAATGTTACTCGGTTTGTGAAACAATATTCAATTCGTGCAAAGTGTTGATGCTTTGTGGGTTCATCATTTTTGGATTAGTTATTGATGTAGGAGGAGGACCTCAGGGTTTTGTTGGAGGTAAGTATTACCACAATCCTGGAGCCTTTACCAGCTTTAAAGGTTTAGCTTCTGTTTTTGTTACAGGTGCATTTTCATTAGGTGGTTCTGAATTTATTAGTGTTTCAGCAAGTGAAACTAAGCATCCAAGAGCTTCAATTAGAGCCGCAACGAAGTTAGTGTATGTAAAGGTTATAATTTTATTCTTGGGTTCATTGGTATTTGTTGGTTTATTGGTGCCATATAATTCGGATAGGTTGATGGGTTCAGGAGACTCAGCAACTCACGCATCTCCATATGTTATTGCAGCTGAGATGCATGGTATTAAGGCGTTACCACATATTATCAATGCAGTTATTTTAATCTCAGTGACATCAGTTGCTACTGCCGCCATGTATAGTTCACAAAGGTTGATCCAATCATTAGCAGAGCAGAAATTAGCGCCCAAATGGTTGCTTTATATTGATAAAGAAGGAAGACCATTGACTGCTTGGTTTGTAACAATCTTGTCGTCATTCTTTGCATTTATTGCCACTTATGATAAGGAGGAAATTGTTTTTAACTGGCTATTGTCGATTTCAGGTATCTCGTTTGTTGTCTGCTGGTTGTTTATTTGTGTTTGTCATGTACGCTTCAGATTTGCATTGAAACATCATGGAATTCCAGTAGAGAGTTTAGCATATGTCTCGCCAACAGGAATATGGGGATCGTACTTGGCGATTGTTATTAATATCCTTATATTGATTGCACAATTTTGGATTTCACTTTTCCCCAAGGGCACCCCCGATGCCAATAATTTTTTCCAAAACTACCTTGGAGCACCTGTTTTTGTACTTTGCTACGTTTGTCATAAAATTTGGACAAAGAATTGGAAGTTGTACAAGAAACTTGACGATATCGACGTTGATAAGGATAGAGTGATTTATGATTCGGGAATATTGCAATTGGAGAATGCCGAAGAGAGGGAAAGGTACCAAAAAGCTCCCTGGTGGAAGAAAATATTGATTACTTGCTTCGATTAGAGGGGAGAATTTACACATACTAGCTTCAAGTTGAAGGAGATGAATCAAATTTGGCTCATCTTGGGAAATGACAGAAATCTTGAAAAGAAAAATTTTCAAAATTCAAGATTCAAAATGAAAATGAAAATGAAAACTAGTAAGATGATTGGAGTAGAGCTTCATGGAGATACAAAGAGATGACTAAGATGTTGAAAAGTAGTAAGATGATTGGAGTAAAAATTTACATGATGATTTAGATTTCTGATTATTTGTATAGATTACATATGGAGTAGAGCTTCATAGAGATACAAAGAGATGAATAAGATAAATAAGATGTTGAGATGAATAAGATGTTGAGATGTAGAGATGAAGATGTTGAGATGTAGAGATGAAGATGTTGAGATGTAGAGATGAAGATGTTGAGATGTAGAGATGAAGATGTTGAGATGTTGAGATGTAGATTTAGAGATGACAGATAATGGAGAGATTCTACCAGTTGCTAATTGCAACAAAATTACCTTAGTTTCTTAAGGTCAATTAGGTTTTGTGGTGCTGGTTGTGCCCTTTAGTGTAAATGACATTGTGTTTTTCATTAGGATAGTTGTTTGAAACAAAAAATTATTTGCACCAATTAAAGTAACTTTTCATCCCAAAAGGGAATCCAAAGTATTTACAGGAGGCAGTGTAATTAAAGTCAAAAAAAAGCGATGGGGGGGGGGGGGACAATTCAAAGAGAGAGGGGTAGAGTTAACCAATAATCCCTATCACGAATCACACACACACATACACACCACACAAGACACGGAGATTATACAGGAAATCGGAATATACAGGATACACAGGAACCACACAATGTGATTTGAACATTCTCCACTTGGGGGTGCAAAGTGCAAAATGCAAAATGCATGGGTTAGTTCCTAGTTTCTGGTTCCTAGTTCCAGTTTGGTCCTCGTTAAGAGATCTACGAAAGTAGGCTTCTACTTACTTTCGTCTCTTGCATCGTTGAAAGTCCAATTTAGTCAGTAGGCTATTGTTATACATAACAACCAAAAAAGAAGAAGAAAGCAAATTGCGTAAAATAAGCGAAGATTTTTAAGCGAGAAAGTTTTCACTTTGACGTAAAAAAAAAAAATTTCATTTAATGAAAAAGTTAAAGAAAAAGGTTTTAGGGGGGGGGGGATAGGAATTAAGGGGATATTGAACCAAAAGAGTATGAACTAGGGCGGGATGAATTTGAGGATTATACTCATTGAGATGTAAGAGCTTTGCACCTTGGCAGACTTAAAATCAATGCTTGTTTTTTTTTTTTTTTAATTGCTAAATTTAGATATTTTTTAGAGCCAGTAAGGGAGTAATATTTAAATTTTAGGGGGGGTATAAGAATACCATAATACCATAATTAAGGGGAATAATTGTGTAAATCCGTAATGCAGGGGCGTATAACTACCACACACACACATATACACACACACGCGCACACACACACACACACACACGCGCACACAGACACACACTCGCACACTCAAACCTGCTGATGATGTATGGAGGGTTATAGTTGTCATATACGGAGTGCCATGAACTGATAATGCCTATCTCCTCATACTTTTTTATCAAGAGGTTTTTTTTTTTTTTTTTTCACCAAGAAGACCGAAAAGTTGCAATATTTTATTTTATTTTATTTTAATTTTTTCTTTTTTTTTTTCAATTCAAGGAATATGGGATAGGTTAACTACGCCGTGGTTGTCAATTCTACAATGAGGGCTTGTCAGGACTACTCTATTTTGTTAACATCCTGATCAAGATGATGCTGGTGAAAAAATCGACGAAAAGAAAACAATCGAGTGAGAGGGAATAATCAAAGAAAAAAAAAAGACAAAAAAAACTGTGATATCAAGAGATTTATGAGCAAGGGCGGGGAGGAGACAAGACTCGAAATTTTACACCCGTGAAGAGTCTTTGTTAATCTATTTATACCGATTTGAATATCTTTGGAAATTTTTTGTAAAACACAAGAATCAAAAAAAAAAAAAATAAGAATCGAGTCGATTTGAATAAAAAGACACAGCATTATGATGGTACACCAAGATTTACGTTTACAGGAGGTTGTTAATACCTTGCATCAATTGTCCAAAGAGAATTCTATGAAATTCATATTAATTACAAAAGATTCGAATCCCAATTCTGAAATCAAGTGCCAGCATTCGTCTCAGTATAACCTTGATCAGGTTGAAGAAATCAAGGATATTTTAGGAAGAGCAACACTAACCACCATTAAACCTACTTTATCCCAAATGCGGCTTTTGAAATTGTACAAAAACCAGCACCCGACTACTTTGATTAAACAATACCGCGATTTATTCAACTCTTTATCGCAGGTTGTTTGTAAAGAAGTAGCAAAATCATGGATCAAGATCATTGAACCTTTTAAACAAGCATTATTTCCATATCGTGATTTCAACAAGACAAAACCTTCATGGTGGCCCCAACATGTAAACCATATTGAGCCAGATCATTTGGATAAGTTTGGTAGAGTAGAGGTATTGATCAATATTCTAAGACACCCTCAATTTGATTTGAAAGAAGTTGATTTGCGAAGCTATAACAAGAGACCGGTGATTCAGTCCTTTTTGAGGGAGATTTTGTATTTGGCTATTTATGACCGCATGTACTATAACATGTTGAGAGAAGAAGATGCATTGTTCCAATTGATTCCTGAACATGAAAGGGACTTGTTTGAGCAAAGCAGTATTATGATAATGACCAGTGATATGAGAATAAAAGGTACCCAGGAACTTATAATGACTAGTAAGGTAAAGGATGTGCATTTGAACCATAGAATATTTGGATTAAACCAAGTGGAGTTATATCCAACTGCTGATTTTGCAAAGACCTTAATATCTACAACTGGCAATAAGACGGGGAAAATAGTAAAGACGAAAAGCAAATCCAATTTGAGACTGAGTAGTAGAGATAAAAAGCCAACTACGAGGTCGAGTGTCAAGATTGACGAGCTAGTTTTGAAATCTGTTGAAAGGAGGAATTATTCAAGTAGTCCTATTGCAAAAGACAATGAATTACAGCAACAACAGCAGCAACTGCAGCAACAAAAGTTTATTGCCACTGAGAAGAAACTAGCTATGAACAATTTGAAAATGTCTGTTGGTAATGTACAGGAGCAGACTTATAAACCGGTGTTGGAGTTTGAAAAAGTAACGAAACAGTATAAGCTTGAGGACAGTGATGATACGAGGATAATGGAACAAAAATTAACTGATGTATCAAAGGCAACTAAAAAAAATCATACCCCTTCTGATTTAACTGGGAAAGAATTGAATAATGTGCGCATGTGCGAGTATGAATATTTCAAAAACTCTCTAGTTAAACCAAATCAATTCAACAATGTTAACAATTTGGAAATGGTATACCATCAAAAAGATCTGAGTTTAGAGGATCTGGGGATATCATCGAACCCAAAGTCAAGTCCATATGTTAATTTCGACGGCTACAATGAAGAGACTGGACATTTGTTAAACACTTTATGCTACTATGACGACTACGAGAGCTCAAGCGAGGAAGAAACGAGCGCTTTTGAAATTAGCTCTTCATCAGATGATTTTTTTGAGCATTTTAAAAAAGTCGACGGTAATGACATTGCAACTTTTGACGAATATACTTTCGATGCAATGGCTCTACACTTATGATGCTCTGGGGGGCATGTCTAGAGACTATTCCCCTCAGAAAGCGGACTAACTAACTTACATTCATTTCTTATTATTCAATATTCGATTTAGTTTTGTTTACCAAGGTGTTAGGGGTAGAAAACTGAAACATGACTTGTTATTTTTGTCTTCTTCTTTTTCTTTAGTGTCGGTCAGGGTCCTCCACTTTCTCGCTCTGCTCAATAGTGTATCACATATCAAATTTAACAAGCAACAACTTTTTTCGCAGCCATTTCAATATTTTTTTCTTTCTTTTTTGCAGCTAAATTCGATCTAACATACTAATAAAAAATAAAAAGAACTAAAAAGAAAACAAACTACAACAACAAAAAACAATGACTAGAAGGGGGACCCTTCCCTTATCTGTAGAAGTAATAGTTCCCTTCTTCTTTTTCTTTTTTAGATATACATAAAGACTTTTTTTTTTTTTTTTATTTTTTTTTTTGCCTTTCCTTTTATTTCTTGTATGGCAGCAACTGTTGAACTAATTTCTTTTTCATTATTAGCTTGCTTTCTAACCGTGCTAGACATTTTCGAGCCATTACTATCTCTCATGTCACCTACTACTACAACTTCTACCAAACCACCCGCAGAAAATCTGGTAGTTGAAGGAAGTTCCTCGCAATTAGAACCAGTTGTTCAGCAGCCAGAAAACGGTAATTCAAACCCAAATCAAAATCAACCAGCTCCAGCTCACGGTCCCACTAAATTGCTCACCCCAAGTCATTTGAAAAACTACCCATTGGTTAAAACAAGCTCTACTATTATAGGCTATATACCATTGAGTGGAGTTGCTATCAATACAGGAAGATCTACACTTGGATTTATTCGAAACTATCAACCATTCAAGTACATTGTTGAGACTGGTGATAAGTATTCCAACTCAATTTTGGATCAAATAGATAAGTGGATACCAAGTTTGCAAACAGTTGAAGTTCAAGATATAACCGATCCAATTACTACACCTGTTGTTCATGCTGTTGATACCGTTCAACATACAATTAGTGGAATAAATGAAACTGTATCGAGAAACATTATCGAGCCTGTTAATAAAAACATTGTGGAACCTACAAAAACAAGAATCGTTGATGCCAAAGAAGGTTTCCAAGCCCATGTTTACGATGAGAATGGAAAGGGGATAGTTTCTAGCCAAGCAGACCCCGTAATTGGACCCATAAATGAACATTTGGAACAATTTGTTGGCTCACATTTTCCCGATCATAAAAAGACTTCAAGCGACGGTTATTCAAGTGAGATTGCTAGAACTTTCAAGATTGTTGGGAATATCATCACAAGAGAGAAAGAAGATCCAAAGGGAAAAAATGAGAAAAGAAAATGAGAATTTGAATAGAGATAAATCTTCAGAACCTTTAAATCTTTATATCTTGACCATGTTGCTCTTATTGGCTCGCAAATATAGTAAGTAAAGTAGGAAACAAAGAAAAGGAAAAATTCAAAAAATGCAAAACAATTTCAAAACAAGTATCTACAGAAAGGCATCGTCTTTTTGTTTTTTTTTTTCTTTTTATTTTTTTTTTTTTCCAAAAAAAATTTGTATTATACAGAAAGCGGATTGAGGTTACTTACTTACCTAATCCTTGGACTTCTTCTTCTTCTTCTTTGGAGTCTCTTCAGAATCCTCAGATTTTCTTTTCTTTTCCTTCTTTTCTTTTTTATCTTTCTTTTCCTTCTTTTCCTTCTTTTCCTTCTTCTCCTTCTTCTCCTTCTTTTCCTTCTTTTCCTTCTTCTCCTTCTTCTCTTTCTTTTCTTTACCTGGTTCCTCTACTTCAGCGTCTTCCATAACTACATCGTTGCCTACCAAGTCCCTAGCATTTAAAGCTATTGCGGCTTTGATAGCATCTGAATTTTTCATTGGTGGTGCTCCTGTATCGTAAAACTTTAAACGGTCCTCAACTTGTTTCTTTAATATTTCTCCAAAAGCAGTAGTTGGCTCATCACTGTAGTTATCTATTCTTGAGGCAATAGAACATTTATTAGCCAAATACCTTGAAATTCTACCTTTGTTTTTAGCGTTTGCTCTGCCGATGAAGGACGAGTGGTAAATCAATCCATATTTCGGAGTATTACCTTTTGTTTTCAAAGCTCTAAACAAGGCCTTTTCAGCACCCAAGATTTGTACTGTTGATGCGGCTTGTTTTGATAAATTTGTCAACGAACCTGCATGTGAGATTAACCGGGCCCCAACAACTTCACCAATTAATGTTGATAAGTTAGGTGCAACCGTGTGCATCTTGTCAGTGAGGTATTTGAACAATCGTTGTCTGTATTCAGTCAAATTAACCACCCTTTGAGCAAATGTAAGCACATTTTGCATATCTTGCTCACTGACATCTTGGCCCATAGAAATTTTGGCATTGTCAATAACCCTTTGTGCTAACCCCGAATCGTCGTTGAGGATAGCTGCAACTCCATGCAAGTCTTCCTCAGTGAGATTCGATTTGTCTTTAATATATAGCACTAATTTAGCAAATTGGTAATTGTCAGGAACAATCTTGGCCAATTCTGGAAAATGCCAACCATACCACTCCTTCACCCTCATTGAGAATGTATTTATGTCTTTGTCCAATTGATCCAAAAGTGCAATAGCTTGAATAATATGATTATCATTCTTTTGTACTGAAAACTTGACTTTTGCTCTTGAAAAAGCATGTCCTAAACCTAATTGTGCCCTTTCAATATCCCCATCTTGTAAATCTTTAAATAATTTAGGTCCAAATACCCTAATACCTCTAAGGAAATCTTGAACTATTTCACTAGGCAAAACATCAACATTGGGAAAAATTTCCTTGATGGAAGGACCCAAATTCTTATCCGATACCCCAAGCTTAACTTTTTTAGTTGTCTTTGGCAAGTTATGCTCCAATACTTCTTTTAAATAAGGAGAAACTAACCCTTCTGAAATGTCATTAGCATTTTCTAAAGCTTGCGCAGCTCCTTTGAATGGTGCAAATGAGACTAATTCAATCATCTTGGAAAATTTGGATAAGTCATTGGCAGCTTCTTGCACTTCTTTGGATCTCGAAGCTATGTCATCTTGTTGGATAAGAACTTTGAATACGCCATAACCAGTAGCCTCTTCAAAAAGAAGGTAATCTAATCCAGCCATGACTGCGGGATAAATCAAATCTTCTTTTGGTATATATATATATATATATATATATTGCCTTGTTAAAGTGAAGATTTTTTTTTTCAATTTTTTCTTTTTTCAGAGATGAGCTAAGAACATCACGTGACACAACTGTAAGAAGGTTATAATGCCAATAGAATATATGTATATATTAGTTTATAAAGGTACTTCTATTTCTAAGATGCCTTAGGCAAAGTTCAAATCCCAACCTAATTCGTCCAAAATCTCGTGCCAGTCAAGTACTTGGTTTCCATTCGAGTTTTTTTTCCAGATTTTCTCCATAATGTCTTTCACCCTATTGACATTGAACATGCCGTAAGTTTTGATAAACACCTTAACTCTTTCTTGCATTGCTTGTTGATCATGTTTAGAAACACAATGTATTCCTGCAATAAAAGTGGGAAACACCAAAGATGCCTGTACAGGGGAGCCAATTAGGATATCCAAACACTTTATCAAATTAATATTCATTACTTGGGACTCCAAGTGCGATGGATTGCATTTTAGTACAGACTGTCTGAGAAATAACTTTGCACTCAATTGAAAAGCTTCAAATAGGGTCAACTGTAGCTCAAGGTCATGATCTGATAAATTGTAAAGATCCTTTTTATCAGGTTTGGACTCGTCTATTTGTTGTTCCAACTCATTTGCCTTTGTAATGACGTAGGATAATAATTTTGCTGATTTGCCATATTGACTAATTTCAGATTCGGTGTCACTAAAGTCCAAATCCGAGTCCAAAAATCCATCATCCTTTGCTTCCATACAAGTATCGCTAGTGTCGTCGTTAGTGCCTCGTTCATAGTATTCCTTTAGTAATTTCCTACTTTTGTACAACAAGTCAGATATATCCCCGATCAATCTGAACAATCTTTTGGCAACCCCAATAAGCGGATGCAACTGTCCCTTCATGAATCCTTCACTATCGTCAAAGATACGGTCATATATCAATGGCGAATAATAAGTACCCCTCTGAACAGCAGGGCTTGCTAATAAATCATGATAGGCAAAAATCGTAGTCAACCAATGTTCTTCTTTGGACTTGTTGAACTCAGCAATACCACCATGCGACTCCAATAGCTTCCAACCCCAGTTCAAATACACTCCCCATTTTTTGACATCTCCATTACATATCTCAGCGGCACAAAGAGTCAAAATTAATGCTAATTTAGTAATCACAGATTGTCTATCTTCATCGCCCTTTGAGTGAAAATGTACCAAAGCCTTTTTAACAAAATTTTGTGCTTCTTCTTCCCATGTTCCTCCTAGTTGATAGCCGGCCCATGCCAAGAGACTATAAAATACCCCTTTGTCCTTATGAGCAAGCGGTAGGAATATTTTTTGATAAGAATTTGCTTCGTCTTGCGAAACGGGCGCGATGGAGATCTTGTTTGTTATAACATCAACATAATAGTTGTATAGAAAACTGTAAGACGGATTAACAAGTTCAGGAATATACAAAGGCGGTTGAGGGCTAGGAGTGAGGTGTGCGTTGATCGATGAAATTAAATCCAAGTAGCTTGTAGATGCTCCGTTTGAATGATTATTGGTGGTAATTGTTGTTGTTGTTGTGGTGGTGGTGGTACTGGTGGTGACGTCCTGGTCAAAAGAGTCTGCTATAATTCCATTGAAAGTAGGTAAATGCATAAAACTTGCAAGCTCTAAATGATCATCAGGTTGTTCCTCTATTTTGTTGGCTTGCGTGATGTAATCATGCCCTCGAGACATTTCCTTGAGTAAATTTAGAAATGTTGAGGGTGATGCTGAATCATGATCAAAAGCGAACAGGCTCAATGATTCGATAGAATGCGACAGTACCATGCTTTTTGAAGGCACAAGTATTCCGTCAGCAGATTCGAATTGTGGAGTCACAGGCTCTTTAGTCTCCAGCAAAGTTTCTTTTATATTGCTTGTTGTTATTGGTGAGTCCACTTTGGGACAACTTGCTGTAGTTGTTGTTGATGATGATGAAGTTGAAGAAAAAGTCGAAATCTTTGATGGAAAAGGTTCAATCTCTTGCTGCATTGAAGCAACATTTTCCTTTTCCTTCTTTTTCCTCTTTTTATTCTTGTTTCTTGATTTTTGTTGTTCATCTGCTGACGCTTGCACTTGATTCGGTTTCAACTTTCTCTTTCTTAATTTATGATTACTTTCCTCGATTTCAACTTTCTTCTTTAGTGATTGTATCTCTTCGTTTGTCATTGTATCGCGATCAACGTAATAGCACTTTTTACTTAATCTAGAGCAATCCGAACAAACAGGTCTTGTTTCGTCACATTTCTTCTTGCGTATTTTGCATGTAATACAGCCATAACGAGATCTACCTGATTCTTTAAATTTATGAAAATCTGTTGAATTTTTGATCATCTTTACCGATCCCGGTTCATTTGTTGGTTTCAGCTGGGCAATAGGTACCGATGATTCAAAGATATTGCCAGTTCCATTTGACGATATATCTTTCTCTTGTTTAACTTTTAGAGCTTCATTACTAGGATTAGATAACGAGACATCTCGAACTTTATTGCCATTTTGAGACCTGGAGTTGAAAGTCACCAACATTTATTCGAGTCAGCCAGTCAGTCTTTTTTCTTATTAAAAAAAAAACTTATCTTTTCTTTATCAGTTTTCCTGACATACGGTTTGAACCTACACCTTTTACTAATACATATGTACAAGCTTGAAAAACAAAAAAAAAAAAAAAAGATCAAGATTTAAAAAAACTAAGAGATTTAATGTAGGCTTAATATTATTATGATTTGGTCCACCTTTGACCCCACACACCTGAATTTGCAGATGAGCACAGAGAAAATAATCTTGTGCAAGAGAAGATTTATAAACCAAATAAACCAATTTTAAAACTAATTTAGAACCAACTCGGGAAAACCAAACGTTAAGACTAATTTAGAACCAAAAGAAAAGAAATCTAGAGTAAAACATCACAAATTGGTTAATCTATTAAAAAACTGTTGATGTTTAGATTGGTGAAATAAAACAATTTTTGTGTAGTTAAAGAAGTTGGAGATGGAAAAAATAAAAAAAAAAAAAGACTATCAGTATGTGTTACAAAAGGTTGTAAAGAGTATCAGTATGTGTTACAAAAGGTTGTGAGGAGTATCAGTATGTGTTACAAAGGTTGTAAAGAGTATCAGTATGTGTTACAAAAGGTTGTTCCCTATAGATTAGTTGTTCCCTATTGATTAGTTGTTCCCTATTGATTAGTTGTTCCCTATTGATTAGCTGTTCCCTATTGATTAGCTGTTCCCTATAGATTAGCTGTTCCCTATTGATTAGCTGTTCCCTTTAAGAGGGGCAACTAGTTTTTGTGGAAAGAGCTAACGGGGAGGGGAAGGGGGGACCTAACGAGGGGGGGTCCCCTTTATTGTAATCGCTAATACTTTCATCTCATCTCTAATTTTATTCGTCAAAACAAAAATAGCATTGATTTAATTATTACATAAGCATTAGAGGGAATAAGGGAATTGTAATACGTAAGCAAAGCTTACATAACAAGCGTGAGCACTATTACATAATAGAAAAAAATGTGTTTTTTTTTTTTCTCTTCTTTTACAGTTTATAGAGCCGATTGAAAAAAAAAAAATGGATATGGATGGATAAAGTATGAGATTTGATGCACTACCTTTATTACTAACAAGTCAATTCAACTCTTACGAGGATAAGTCATAAGAACACGTCACTTGGTAGTGTATGGTAGCGTTGATCACGCTTGAAGTTTTTTTTTTCTTTCTTCTTCTTTTTGCTCACCACCAACATCAAAAATTTCCATCAACGTAAATAATTTCCATTAGAAAGAGGTTCTCAAGGTATATAGTATTTACGCACCGGAATTTTACACATCTAAATACACTCACCAAATATATATATACATAGAGTCTTTTTTAACTCATAGTCATTAGCATATTATGTCATTAAAACGTATCAATAAAGAATTATCAGATTTGGGAAGGTATGTCTTTTTGGAGGGTGAAACTAGTAGCTAGTGGGTGACCATTATGGGCAGGGAGACTAGCTTACAACACTATCGAGCAACACCAACACTATCGAGTAGCACCAACACTATCGAGTAGCACCAACACTATCGAGTAGCACCAACACTATCGAGCAACGCCAACACTATCGAGCAACGCCAACACTATCGAGCAGAGCGAGATGGTGTTGTAACAAGCTAGTCAGTGCTGTAACAAGCTATTCAGAGTAACAGCTAGTCAGAGTAACAAGCTAGTTGGTGTAATAAGCTAGTTGGTGTAATAAGCTAGTTGGTGTAACAAGCTAGTTGGTGTAACAAGCTAGTCGGTGTGTTCCACTATCTCGCTCTGCTCGATAGTGTTGGTAGAGATTGCAGTTACAGCTGAGAGCAAAGATAGAATCTAGCAATACTGGTTACACACTGGTTACATTTAGTGATTTTTGTTTCCCCTTTTCTGGTTACTAACAAACAAGTTTTTTAGAGATCCCCCTTCATCATGTTCAGCTGGTCCCGTAGGTGATGATTTGTATCATTGGCAAGCGTCAATAATGGGTCCCCCAGACTCGCCATATGCTGGTGGTGTATTCTTTTTAAGTATTCATTTCCCTACAGATTACCCATTTAAACCACCAAAAATTGCGTTTACAACCAAAATATATCACCCAAATATTAATAGCAACGGTAATATCTGTTTGGATATTTTAAAAGACCAATGGTCACCTGCTTTAACTATATCCAAAGTGTTATTATCCATTTGCTCCTTGTTAACTGATGCTAATCCCGATGATCCATTAGTACCGGAAATTGCCCACATTTATAAACAAGATAGAAAAAAATATGAAGCTACTGCTAAAGAATGGACAAAGAAGTATGCTGTTTAGCCATATTTTCACTCGCTCATATACCCATTCTCATATACACTCGCACAAACAAAACTTGTATACACATACTTACACCCCAGCCCTTTTTTTTATATTTAACTTTTGTTGGTGCAAAAAGGGGACAAGATGAGTCAAGTGCAAATGGTTTTGACAAAACAGTGGTTATAGATATGGTTTGAAATGTGTATACATTTTTATACTATTTCTATAAAAGTACATCTGGTAGTAATTTAGGACCAATTGAATGTCTCTTTGCTCTAAGGTCTAACTCAATACGTTTACCCTTGGCTCTTACCTTAAACACACATACCTCTTACCTTAAACACCCATAGGTCTTAGCTCTACCTTTACCTCTTGGCTCTAGCTTTACCTCTTACCTTTATTTAACACCTTTACGTCTTATCTCTTATCTTTAGCTCTTACCTTTACGTCTTAGTTACTAAGCGTTACTCCACTATCTCGCTTCGCTCGGTAGTGTCGATAGTGTCGATAGTGTCGATAGTGTCGATAGTGATAGTCTTTTTTCTGTTGTTTCTGATACTTTTCCTTAATAGACTCCATCTTGGACTCTCTCGATCCAATTCCGTTGAGCGAAATTTTCTCACTCATTGGTAATCATTATAATTCGCGGCACTCAGTGCACAATCAATTTTGGTTCGCAATAAACTCATTGTATCTACAATTATTATTGACTTTATACACACACAGATTTTGTTCTCTTCACTTTAAATCAACATTTTTTTTTTTTTTAAAGGTTTTAATTTTTTTTCAGTTTATGCTAGTTAGCTAACAAAAGGTTTAAGCTTGTCAAGAGGAAAGAAATGGATAGACTAGATCCATTTCGAGAGAATGATCCAAGGAATTTACTTGAATTAGCAAAGAAATTGAATCTGAGGAAATTCTTTGAGATCTTTCTCAGCGAAACTCAATTTCGAATAATAGAGTATATACTATCGTTGAATAATGTTGAAATATGGAGTCAGTTTCTAGAAGGCAATTGCTATATTCGATACGAGAAATTGGACAAGATAGAAAAACCGATATTGGATGAGGTCGTGGAGGAAGGAGGAGACGCTGGAGGAGACGCTGGAGACGGTGAACTAGATGTTAAAGATGATGATGATGATGTTGTTGTCGAATCGACTACCAAACCCGTGGATGAAGAGAAATTACGTGAAATCGAAGAACATCCAGAGCTAACTTTTGAACAAGGTATTAATATGAGTAAGAAATTGGCTCTACATATACGATATTTACTATGGGAAAAGGCTATAGATTTTTACTATGAAACAATGGAATTGGATAAAAGTGATTGTACTTTTGAAGAAGTTAGCGACGATTATGAATTGATGGATTCTATCAAGTTCATCGATGATCAGCAAAAGGAGGAGAAAACGGAAACAGTAACAATTGAAAATCCGAGAGTACGAGAGTTGGAAGATGAATATGACGATGAAGAAGAAGAGGAGGAAGAAGAAGAAGAAGAAGAAGAAGAAAAATCAAAAGAGAAGGAGGGAAAGGAAAACAATGAGGTAGCATCAAAGTGCGATGATGCTCTGCTGAGAGATGACACCAATAATCTACTACAGTACAATGAAAATAACCAATTGGTCTTGAATGTTCCTGTGTCCATATTCGATACAGCTGCTACCCTCGAGAAAGATAAAGATGCAAGCACGGTGGAGGCTAGTAAAGAGAAGATAAATGACCAAGATAAACTTATCAAAGAATTTAACAAAGTCTATCACAACTTTGAGTACGATAGAGAGACGCTAATTAAAAGACGTAAATTGGAGCAATCGGACCTTCAGCTTGAGAAAAAAAATGATGCAGAAACTAGACCATCTCATCAGATGAATATATCCTTTGGTTTGTCGTCAACGTCTCTTCAACAATTGCTTTCCGTTATTCTGTCCAAACGGGATAAGATTGCATTAAATGATCACGAACTACGAGCCTTATTTATGGATGTTAGAAAGAACCGAGGGAAATGGGCTAACGATGATAGAGTAGGACAAGAAGAATTATACGAATCTTGTGAGAAAGTTGTTACCGAGTTGAGGAACTATACCGAACACTCAACGTTTTTTCTCAACAAAGTGTCAAAACGAGAGGCACCCAACTATGGATTAATAATTAAAAAGCCAATGGATTTAAACACCGTTATGAAAAAGCTAAAGAATTTAGCTTACAACTCTAAGCAGGAATTTGTAGATGATTTGATGTTGATTTGGAGCAATTGTTTAACTTATAATGCTGATCCTAAACATTTCATTAGAGCACATGCAATTTCGATGCAGAAAAAGACTTTAAAGTTAACACCTTCTATACCTGATATAACGATAAAAAATCGAGCAGATGTGGAAAAAGAAGAGGAAGCCGAAGCAGGAAAGAAAGAAGATGAAGAGGAGGAGGAGGAGGCTACAGCAGGTAAGAAAGCTTCTAAAAAGGGGCGCAAACGAACGCGAAAAGATGAGGCAAGGAAAGAGGAAGATGGGAGAAATGGAACAGCGCCAGCTGGAACACCAACCCAATTCAACGACACAACAGTTGTGGAAGAGAAACAACAGAATGGTAATAGTATTCATAATGAGGACGAGGAAGAAGAAGAAGAGGATGAAAACATGATAGTTGCTGCACCATCAACCGAGAACGAAGAAGAAGAAGAGGAAGAAGAGGAAGAAGATGAATTTGATCCCGAATTGCAAGCATGGAGAACAATGACATCAAAGTCAAGAGCAAACTATTGTGAACAAAGGTCAGACTTGTTTGGCAAAAACTGTTGCTTGCTTTCGGATGCACCTGCAATGATTCGAAAATCCGATGAAATGGCACACTTCAATCAGTACTTATTTAACAAAGAAGTCATTTCAAAATCAAGTAGTTTGTTAGATAACGATGAACCTTATTTGTTGGAATATGACGTTACTGGAGGAATACCTGGGTTCGAATATCATGGTGTAACTAAAGAGCAAGAAGAGATTTCCGAAAATAAATTAGTAGATTTGTACTTGCAACAGACTGGGGGTGATGCATCAAAGATTGAATCACAATTCGTCACAACGAAGGACTCAGGGTTGAACAAATTGTATTATGAGAACATCACGGAAATGCAAGAAATTCGTAAGATTTGCTTCAAGATTTCTTTAATACGACAAATGCAGACTCAACAGTTTGTGCATCACACACAGATGAAACAGCCAGAAATTGAAACTCTTCGAGAAGTTGATGTTGATGCTATTTCGAAATTGCCCAACCACGATCCCAATACTCATGATATCCAATATGCAGTGTTGCGTCGAAATGTGAGCAAAATTGCAATGCAAACAGGGTTTGAAACTACTGAATCACCAGCAATCAATACATTAGCTCAAATTGCCGAGAGATACATTGGGAATATTGCCAAGTCAATGAAATTGCACTGTGAAACAAATTCGCGCAATAAACTACTTCCACGAGAGATTCTCTTGTTGTCCCTTTTGGAGAATGGTGTCGATAAACCAGATGATTTATACACATTTGTTCAAGAAAGAATCAAGAAACAACATATTAAACTTTGCGACTTAAAAATGAAACTATCAAACTTTCTCAAGGACTTGTTGCGACCCGGTTTGGAAAACTTTAATGAAAAGAGTTTTGCTGATAATAGTGAGCAGTTTATGACTGGTGATTTTTCCAATGACTTGGGTGATGATTTCTTTGGGTTTAAGGAATTGGGATTGGACAAAGAGTATAACATGTTGACATCATCGATACCTATACACTTGTTGCATTCACGATTACACAATCAGTTTAGCTCCACCGGTGGTGCTAACAAAAGAAACAAGTATGAGGATCTTCAAGAGTATGAACCAGAAAAACTTCATGCCAGCGATGTTGATAAACAAATTGGATTATTGCGTCCTTTCTATACCAAACTTAATGAAAGATCAAAGCAACATTATATCAAATTACAGAAAAAGAAAGGAGAGAGTTTGGATTTGCCAGACGATTCCGTGTTTGCATTAACCGAAGATGAGGAATTACCACAGAAGCAAAGAAATGTGAGACCGAAGTTACCTCCTACGGGTAAGATCACTGCTATCAAGAAAAAGATTATCGCCAATTCATTCTTTTTGAATGAAGAGCCAGAGGTTAGTAGCAAAGAGGAGCTCCCGGTAGTGGTGAAGATAGAAAATGAAAAAAAGAGAAACGATAGGGAGAAAAAAGAAACTGGCAAGGTTAAAGACAATAAAGAAGATAAAAGCAAGCAAGGCAAGGATTTGAATCAAAAGGAAGAAAAGGATGTTTTTAAGGAAAATGAGACAAACGTTGGAAAGGAAGAAAAAGACGGAAAAGATGGAAAAGATGGAAAAGGGGCGGAAGAAGAGAGAACGAAGAAACAAGGTGACACACAACAAGTTCAGGAAGTTCCTAATAACGCATTAGATACGGTTGATTTGCAAACCCCTATCAAAGAAAAGGAAGAGCTCCAAATGGAAGTGGATGAATAATCCAAACTAGAATTATAGAGTATGTAGCACTAATTAGGTTGACAATGTATTTTTATTTTTATTTTTATTTTTTTTATTATTTTTTTTTTACTTTTCTCTTTCTTGCTATAGATTCACCTCCTCAGGAAACCAGCCAACTTCCTCGGCGTCCAAGTTTACTAAATGTGTTTCTGACACGGAGATACCTTCTTGCCTTAGAAGCTCTGCCTGTATATACTGTCCATGTGAATTCTCCCTAGGTGAAATTTTTCCTGAACTCAGTACGACTCTCCACCATGGTAACTCGTCCAATTGTAAAAAATTTTCATCATCTGGTTCGTATCCTTGGTTCAAATCTTGGAAAATCATCGCACAGTGTTTTAGCGAGGACCCTACTTGTCTTGAATTTGCTGGTTTATCTAGTAGATAAGCTATATGTCCTAAACACGTTAGTGAGATAAGTAAAAGAAAAAAAGAAAAAGAAGGCAGAAGGCAGAAGGTGGGGGTAATGGGATGGGGAGTATTAGTTGCTCTAACATACCATAAGTTGTTACTTTCCCGTATGGTATTTGAAATACTATCGTATAAACACCAAAATGGAATGCTCGACTTTCATCTGTCAATTTCATTAGAACTTTTGGCTTTGTTTCTCGAGGTTTGACTTTAATCAAACGCGCTTGAAAAAGAATGAAAAATATCAACTGAAAAATAAAATATGATAATGTAGTGATAGTGGTGATAGTGCTTATCGACACTATCGAGTAGAGCGAGATAGTGGAGCAACACTTTGTAGCTTGTTATAGTGACAAGAGCGAGAAATCTAGATGTAGAGGGAAACAAAAAGGATTTGATAGTTAGTGCTACTCCACTATCGAGAGGAGCAAGGGTTTGACACTTAGTGCTACTCCACTATCTAGAGGAGCAAGGGTTTGACACTTAGTGCTACTCCACTATCTAGAGGAGCAAGGGTTTGACACTTAGTGCTACTCCACTATCTAGAGGAGCAAGGGTTTGACACTTAGTGCTACTCCACTATCTAGAGGAGCAAGGGTTTGACACTTAGTGCTACTCCACTATCTAGAGGAGCAAGGGTTTGACACTCAATGCTGCTCCACTATCTCGCTTTGCTCGATAGTGTCGGAGGAATATTTTTCAGTATGAGCTCTCTCTTTTCATTTCATTTAATTTTTTTAAAGCCAATTCCACTTTATCGTTTATCTCCTTCAGATTTCTACCCAACATTGCTGAAAGATTCTCCAAATCTCGTTGAATTTCATTTGCATCATCAAGTATCGTGGTTGTAGTCTTTTTCTCATGCGAACCGGCGTCGTTCTTTGCAGTACTACTACTGTTGATGTGTGGTGTCGAGAGCGCGGGCTCTGTTGGCTCTGGCGGCGGAGTTTCCGAACTCGTTGAAGACATGGCGAAAACCAGGTGAAATGCCTTACTATATAACCAGCAAGATGCCTTACTCTGTAACCAAATAAGGCGTCTTGATGTGTGATTTTATAAGGAACTAAGGTTTATTGCATTTACTAGATTTTATCTTGATCTTTTTTTTTTCCCTTATTCTTGCTTTACAAGTGATGTCTACCACTATCTTTTTAATAATGATTTGGCTTCTTCTTCTACTACTGTCCACACATGTATTTGCGTTTTTGGAATCTAAGAATAGGGTGATATTTGAGTCAGGATATGTTCCTTTCTTAGATGCACAACGTTTTGTTGAGCTGGGAGATTATGAGATCCTAATGAATTCTGATCTGTCCTATATATGCCACGTACCAACGACAGAGACTAATATTACAGTTCCTGCGCCTGCTACGCCTCATTTGAAAGAGAAAGGGTTGCTGCTTGTTCAGGAGACGTTTGGGGACGGTAATTGCTTCTTTGCATTCAATATCCAGGCAGGCTACTGGACAGTTGGATACTGTTTTGGAGACAAGGTTATACAATTTCATGAAGAAGATGAGGACTTTTTCAGTGGCAACCACAAACCTCAAATACCGGATCATGTGTATGTTTTGGGAAAGTTCCCCAATGTGCCACCTTACAAGAAGGTCATGATCAAGAACCAAATGAAACAAAAGGTTGTACTTGACTCTAACGATTACTCGATATTTGACGGCGAGTTTAGTTATTTTGAGGATAATCAAAAGTATCTCAAACACACTCTTGCTGGTGAGATCTGTGATCTTACCTTGAAGCCAAGAACGATTGACATTGTTTACAAATGTGACGAAAATGTGGGACTTTTAGAGTTTCAAGAGATAAAGACTTGTCAGTATCAAATGGTTATTGGTGTTCCTAGGCTATGTGAAATTGAAGATTTCCGAAAAGCTGAGGAAGATGTAGTAGATGTTAATTGCAAGGCAATAGAAGGGAGTTTTGAAAAACTAGACTTGAACAAGTATCAATTACAGCCACTTGGAGGAGGGTTATATATAGGCCAGAAATCACCATATCCAAACATTGCTGTATCCATAAACGAATTGAACATCACAAGCTTTGGCGAGTCATTTTTCTCGTCATTGGAGAAAATTCCTTCACCAGACTCGATGTCCTTGAAATGGACAGATTCGTTCATCTATTGGATAAATCTATATGATATGTTTGGCAATCATCAGGGACTATTTAGAATTGAACGTGATGGATCACTCCTGAACCATCAAATAGGTATTGAGAAAGTTGAGGGTGACAAAGTACAGGCAAACTTTGAGTATTTTATGAGGTGAATTATTATATATAGAAAAAGTAATCATAATATATTCATAGGCTGCCACTGGCACTATCGACTCCACTGTCGACTCCACTATCGACTTCACTATCAAGCGAAGCGAGATAGCGGAGCATAGGCTGCCACTGGCACTATCGAGCAAAACGAAATATTAGAGAAACACTTTGTAGCCATACTATTAACACTATAGAGTAACACTTTGTGACCATACTATTGACACTATCGAGCAACACCTTGTAGACATACTATTAACACTATAGAGTAACACCTTGTAGACATACTATTGACACGATCGAGCAGACAAGATAGTGTTTCACTTCGTCGATTGTGGAGCAGCACTTTGTAGACATACTATTGACACTATCTCGCTCTGCTCGATAGTGTTTCGCTCTGCTCGCTAGTGGAGCAGCACTTTATAGCCATACTATTAACACTATAGAGTAACACTTTATGACCATACTATTGACACTATCGAGCAACACTTTATGACCATACTATTGACACTATCGAGCAACACTTTATGACCATACTATTGACACTATCGAGCAACACTTTATGACCATACTATTGACACTATCGAGCAACACTTTATGACCATACTATTGACACTATCGAGCAACACTTTATGACCATACTATTGACACTATCTCGCTCTGCTCGATAGTGTCAATAGTGTTTAATAGTGTTTCGCTACCCTTTTTCCAGCTACGAAGCAAGGCGAAAAAAATTTCAATCAAACCAAACATTATTTGTATATACGATTCCTTTTTTTCTCTTTATACAAGACGGAGATAGAGTTGAAGGAATTGCTCAACAATAATCCTCTTTTCACGGTTAAGATATGATTACTAAGCTCAAGCCGCAAAGCAGGAACCTTTCCTTTTTTTGGAAGATGCTTGCTATGGATGCACCAACCAAACCAAAGGAACAAACTGTATATAATTGGCACGAATCACCACATGAAGATTTGAGAACTAGAGCAGCGGTTATTAGGGCAAAAGCGTCTTGTCCCGTAACTTCAAAGCCGGTAAATTTTGTGTGTCCTTATTCCGGGATACCTACACATGCTACAGAAGAAGCTTGGCGGAACGATACTAATTATCATAGCTCAAAACGTTATGAAATATTGAAACAGGCCAATATATTTGAGCATCAGTTGAGAGAGAAGAAATTCGACTTTGTGTTTCCCAAGGAGCAAGAGAAGGAATATGCAGTTAATTTGTCAAATTGGGATACCTATTTCTATACGCGTGATTATCCACCCATGGACGACTTTGTAGCTTCGATGTACACAAAATTGTTGACGTATCCTCTTACAATTGGGTCAATTTTACATCAATACTCGCCATATGGAAAAAGGGAATTGACGTTTGAAGGAGAAAAGAGTTTGGCAGCTTTGCGCTATACTTTATACGGACAAAAAAAGAACAATGCCGAGTTTAATCTTAAAGAGAAAATCAGAATATTCGTTCTTGGTGAGGATATGATCCCCGGAGTTTCTTGGAAACAGATGGGTTTCTTGTTTGGAGACAATTTGTTTGATATCCATATCATTGGTGACACCAATCTGCCGCCTGTACGTTACGATGATCAAATTAATGTTTACCGACATTCTTACCAGCATTTAATCGATGGTAACCTTTTCCCATTTGATCCCTATTTCGATGTGTTTATGTTGAATCAGCCAGGTTTCAACTTCAATGAGGTGTTTTGGAAAACAATGGTGAAATGTTTACTAGATTCCAAATGTGCCGTTTTCGTGACCGGTTACGATGATAAGGATATCTCTCGAGAGATGAAATGGGTGGAAGATAACTTCAACGATGATATGGACTTGTTAATGAAGCCTATTAAGAATGTATTCTCCTGTACCAAACCTGAAATCAATGATCTTAACCCAACAGAGCCATTCCATATAAACAGCCGTATTTTTGGAATTAGAGGAAAGAGATACCATGCCATCAAAGTATAGTTTGGTGTAAATACAAAAAAAACAAAATATAAAATAAAAGTGTCTTGTACATAGCTTAGTTGTAATAAATAAGGAAGGTAATGGTTAGGAAGAAAGATGTAGTGCAAGATAAAAGTTATCGATTCTATACACCCAAAAAATGACTATTCTACATGCTCTTTCCATTGAACAAGACTCTACTGAAAGGTGGTCTCCTTGTTGGCACTTGATGATAAAATGTTGAAGGAACAAAAAGAAAAGAAAAAAAAAAGAAAAGAAAGAAAAAAAGCTTGACTGATAAGTAACTTGTCTTTTCAGGTTTAGATTCCGATTCCTTTCCAATGTCTGGCATTGAATACGTGATAGACAATGATATACACTTAACCACAACTGAGTGTATAATTGTTGACGATGAAAAACACGAGCCATACATATTGCTAAGTCCTAGTGGAGTTGGTAAAATAAGCTCCAAATATGGTACTCTGTTACAACAAACACAAGTACAATATGAAGAAGAGATAGATTTTTCATCTTCCTCTTCTCAGCAAGACGATGTGATGAGAAGGTTGATTTCTACTTCAAAGAGGCTCTTTGTCTTTTTATTCAAAGTCGGTATTGGCGCGTATATGCTAGGATTTGGGCCCAACCAGCACCTTAAAGAAAACTGGATCAAGTACTTGATACTCTTTATCGTTGGATTTCATTCCTATGTCGTTTTTGTGCCTAATATTCCCTTGATCAGGTTTGGTTATCCTAGTGCAGTACAAGAGAAAGTGGTTAAGATAGTGGTGAATCGCACTCGAGATTTTGAGTACATTACAAGTGGTAAACCAAATTGGTACATGGTGCTATATAGTAACCTCGAGAATACAGTAAAGGACTTGATGGTTTACACATTGACATTCTTGCCTTCAGTGCAGTTGAAGTTATATGATGAAATGGAGAAACAGAAGAATTGCGAAATTGAAGAGTTCACCGAGATGGTGACGCGGCTTTATTATATGGTTCCAAGTCCGTATAGGAATATTGAGAGTGCACTTGAGGCGATCAATGACGAAGAGGACCCCGAAGTGCCAGATGCTGAAATAAGAGAAAGGAAGTTTAACTTGTTGGCAGAATACTTTCAATTGCTTCTGGAGTATAATAGTTAGTTAGTCGACACTATCGAGCAAAGCAAGATAGTGGAGCAACACTTTATAGCCATACTGTTGACACTATTGAGCAGAGCCATACTTTGTAACCATACTTTGTAACCATACTCTGAGCCATACTTTGTAACCATACTCTGAGCCATACTTTGTAACCATACTATTGACACTATCTCGCTCTGCTCGATAGTGTCTCGATAGTGTCTCGATTGACTAGTTAGGGAGATCTGTCAAAAGCCTTAGTAGATTTTCTTTGTATTGGTAGCTCCTTGAAATTTTTGAAAAATGGGTAACTGGCTTGTATCATATCATCTCCAGTACCTATGGCGAAACGAACTAAGAACCAGCTAAGAAGAGAGAAACTTAAGCAGAGGAAACTTGAAAATCGAGCCGGGGCTAACAAAAAGGACCAAGAAGAAGAAGAAGAAGGAAATAAATCAGCAGAACAAGAAAATGGAGTAGAGCATGATAAACTGCAACAGAGTTCAACTGATATAGTCGATATAAATCCAGACGATCCACTTCTACGAGAGTTTGAGCCCGTTCTCAGCAAGTTTTATTCCATTCCAAAAGCCGAGGAAAATAATGCAGTACTGGGCAAAGAAACAAAAGAAGTGTCGGTTTACAATACTTTGAATTCTGATTATGATGATGATTATAATGACGATGATAATAATGAAGATGATGATGGTGACGAGATTAGCGACAAAGACAAAGACAACACTGGGTTCTCTAAGCTTTCCAAACGTCAACTACGTCTCAGGAATAAAGTACCTCTCTACCTACTAAAATTATCCACAAACAAACCTGAAATCGTTGAGCAATGTGATACAGATGCACAAGAACCATTTATTTTAGTTTATCTCAAATCTCAACCTAACGTTGTCCCCGTACCGTCACATTGGAGTTCCAAGAGAGATTATCTTTCGAATAAAAGAGGGATCGAGAGGCAACCGTTTAAACTACCCAAGTTCATTAGAGATACTGGGATTGAACAAATGAGACAAACTGCACTTCCGGATGATCGCACGTTGAAGCAACAACAACGTGAACGGGTGCAAGTGAAAATGGGAAAACTAGATATGGATTATGGGAAATTGTATGATGCATTCTTTAAGAATCAAACAAAACCGAGGTTGTTTCCATATGGAGAGTTGTACGAAGAAGGAAAGGAAATGATCGATGAAATGACTAGTGAAGTTGCTAAAATACGACCTGGGGTCATTTCTCGGGATTTGAGAATTGCATTGGGTATGAATGAAAATGATGAGAGCATCCCCCCTGCTTGGATTGTTATAATGAAGGAAATTGGCAAGCCCCCTTCGTATCGAGACTTGATTATTCCTGGATTGGATGGAAATTATGATAATCTGGGGTATAAAGACAAGAATAGGGACGTGTTGAAATTTGAATACTGGGGAAAACTTAAAAGTGTAGTTGATTCGGAATCGGAGTCTGAAAGTGAGGAAGAAGAGGATGGAGAAGAAGAAGAAGAAGAAGAAGAAGAAGAAGAAGAAGAAGAAGAGGAGAGAGAGGAGAGAGAGGATAGAGAGGAGGAAAAGGATGTTGAGGTGGATGGTGATAAAATGCCAGCAAAAGCAAAATTGGACTCTACGAATCAGAAACTGGAGCCTGAAATTCCCGATAAACAGTCACTTCATGACCTCATATCTACCATGTTTGAAGGAGAAAACAATACAACTAAAAAAGACGAAATATAGTAATAATCTTTCTCACAAAAGTGTTAGCTGAACAAAGAAACAAGAGGATCCAGTGGTCTCCTCAAACTTACAATTTTTGATTCTTAAAGTCTACTTTTTCTTAATTTATATTAATGTTCACCTACACTCTTTCAATGTGTTTTATATGATCTTATTTCTTTTTGTATTTCTTTTATTTTTTTTCAAAAATTTATACTTGGTTTCTCATCTTTAATTTTATCAATTTTTGCACCAAACGCCGCCACACATTTAGCCATTGTAGGAGAAGACCTCGATATCACGTCTGTAAAATAAAAGTTTTTTATTGGATTTTGCAAAGCCTCCCCTAATATAGTTGCTGAGCTATTCTTTTTGACTAAATCAAGGAAACCAATTTGTGCAATTTCCGAAGAAACAGGCTCAACCACATCGTGTCTTATTAAAGATGGTGCAATATCACCCAATCTCATTCTAAGTGAAACAATATCATCATATGGCAACTTAGCCTTGAGATATTCCGATAATGCTCTTATGATCTTCCAATCTTCTCGTGCTACTCCCGGTGGGTTTGTTGCTGCTCTTGTCACTTGTGTCCGTCCCTCTGTATTCACATATGTAGCGGATTTTTCAGTGTAGGCTGAGCCGGGCAATATTACATCAGCAAACGAAGCACCAATATCACCATGATGTCCCTGGTAAACTACAAACGCATCTTTGGGGATTTCTTTGTTTGTTATTTCGTCTGCACCTAATAAGTAAATAAACTTTGGTTTTGTTGCATCTGGCGATAATGTGTTGAAGCCAATATCTAATGCTGCTACTCTTGACGCTTCACGGTGCAACAAGTTTACCCCATTCCATTCTGGAGTGTTGAAGTTGGCATTCTTAGAAGCAAACTCGCCAACTGTTTTGTAGATAGCTTTTGCATCTTTAGATTCAGCAACACCTGACCCTATAATGATCAATGGCCTCTTTGCTTGTGATAGTTTCTTTCCTTCTTCACCTTTAAGCGCCTTTTTCAATGCATTTGCGTCATTACCTAATGCTGTGAAATCAAATGTGGACTCGAAATCTTGACCAACACTAGCAATTTCCAAATTTGATCTTAGCCAAACTTTTCTTATTCTTGTATTCAAAGTTGCTGCCTCAAATCTGGGATTGGTACCAACCAAAAGAATTTGGTCGGCTTCTTCAATGCCATCGATAGTAGAGTTGAAAATGTAGTTAGATCTAATATCTAATCCATGGGCATCAACACCTTGATTTACATCAGTAGTGACATTTTCAGACCCCAATTTATTGACCAAGTCTTTTAATGCAACCATCGATTCAGCATCGGCCAAGGCACCTGCAACGGCTTTCAATTCACCATTCTGTGGCTTAATCTTAAAGTATGCTGAAGCAATTGTAGATAACGCTTCGTCCCAAGTAGCTGTTTCGAATTTATCGCCGTTTCTAATCAATGGGGTAGTCAATCTTTGAGTTTTCAAACCATCGCATGCAAATCTTGTCTTGTCCGAAATCCATTCTTCGTTAACATCATCGTTTAATCTTGGCAAGACTCTCATGACTTCAATACCTCTAGTGTCAACTCTAACGCTGGATCCAACTGCATCCAAAACATCAATAGTTTCGGTTCTTTTCAATTCCCATGGTCTTGCTCTGAATGCATAAGGCTTTGATGTTAATGCACCAACAGGACATAAGTCGATGATATTACCTGACATTTCCGAGTTAATGTTTCTTTCGATATATGTTCCAATTTGCATATCGTTACCTCTTCCTGCAGTACCAAACTCCGGAGCACCTGCAACGTCATTCATGAAACGCACACATCTTGTGCAATGGATACATCTATTCATTGACGTTTTAACCAAAGGACCAATGGCTTTATTTTCAACTGCTCTTTTACCAACCAATTCTTTAAATCTACCGCGGTCTGAACCAAATCTTTGAGATTGTTCTTGCAAATCACACTCTCCACCTTGATCACAAACAGGACAGTCCAAGGGATGATTTTCCAACAACATTTCAGTAACGCCCTCTCTTGCCTTTTTTATTCTTTCTGAATCTGTGTGAACAACCATCCCGTTTTGGACAGGCATAGCACAAGATGCAATCAACTTTGGCATTCGTTCAACATCGACTAAACACATACGACAGTTACCTGCGATTGCGAGTTTGTCATGGTAACAGTAACGGGGGATAGTAACACCAGCTAGTTCTGCAGCCTGGATTATTGATGATCCGGCCTCAATGGAGACTTTTCTGCCATCAACTGTGACCTCCACGTCAGCCAATCTTTTCAAAGAGGCCGATATAAACCGTTTGGACGATCTTAGTATCTGTGACCTTAATAAATGCATTGAATTGTAATAAAAACACACAGGGTAGGTAAACAGCTGGGGGGGAAGGAAATAGTTCAAAATGAAATTTCTGCACCTGACTCAAGAAAATGGTATATTGTAAATCTCACACAATAAAGCAATGCCTTTTGTTTGAACAAATCCTCGTCTACTTTCCTTATTATTCAGTATAAACCACCTTCAAATGACTTCTTCAATCTGATTCTATATAGCTTATTTTTCAAAGTTTTTTTTTTTCCCTCTTCCTATCGCAAAAAGCTCCTTTGTTTTATGGAGAGACAAATTGTCATAGTAATTTAAATTTATTTGATTCGCTACAGCGCGAAGAAGATTGAGCTACCAAATGAAGGCACTGACACTATCGAGCGACACTATCGAGCAGACTAGCAACAAGTGTTATATGTAATACTAGAGCGACACTATCGAGTAGAGTGAGATAGTGGTGCATACTAGTAACACTATCGAGCAGAGCAACACAATCGAGAATACTAGCAACACCGATTAGCTACAATAGACTCGCTTGAGTTGTATCTATATACTCACTAGAAACTGTTTTCAGCAGAGAAGTCATTGTACAGGTTATTTTTTCCAATACAACTATTATTGTAGATACAAGTGTTATGTAATACTATTCAGTAGCGACAAAAGACTCGACTTGGGTGGTATCTATGTACTCACTAGAAACTATTTTCGGCGAGAGCAACACTATCGAGCAGAACAACCCCAACTAGCTACACCCTTTCATCTGTCTACTCTACACTCTTTTATCTATCTACACTATCACTAGTGTCACTAGTCAATGGTGCTCGATAGTGTCACTCGATAGTGTCACTCTATAGTATCACTAGTCAATAGTGCTCGAGAGTGTCACTCGATAGTATCACTAGTCAATGGTGCTCGAGAGTGTCACTCGATAGTATCACTAGTCAATGGTGCTCGAGAGTGTCACTCGATAGTATCACTCGATAGTATCACTACTCAATGGTGCTCCACTATCTCGCTTCGCTCGATAGTGTCGCTCGAGAGTGTCGCTCGAGAGTGTCACTTTTTCTCTTCGTTACCGCCCATGAGCAACATTATTATCAAAGGAGGTACAATATACATCCAATTTTTTTGAATCCAGGATCTATTGTCAACTTCAACTTCAACTTCTTCTTCAATTTCCCTTGTTTCTTCTTTACCATTGGTATCAACAAATGTAACCATTTTTTTCTGTTTCACTTTCTTGACGCTTACCCCTTTTTTTGCTTGCTTTTGCTGTTCTTCTCTTTCTTTCGCCAATAATTCACTATTCAAGTCAGGTTTCGGGGCTTCAATATGTTGATGTTTCAATATAATCGGCTTGTCTATTTGCTCATCAAATGATAAAGCTAATCGTATAATATCACCATCCTCAGCAAGAAAATAATGAAACACCGCGTTTTTCAACGGTGGCAACTCCCTCTGAAAGCTAAAGCATTCATGATTGTGTAGGTCTTTTGTTCCTATACAATACGATTGATTTGGCTGAATCTCATAATCCATTAAATATACGGAATCATCTTGAATAAAACCTATAGGATCGGTTGACTCCTGATCTATAGGTCTTGCATATAAATTGATTTTCTTTGATGCAACAATCGCAACAAGTAGGAAAAGATGTAGGAGCAATTGCATAATAATTTGCTATTCAAAGAAAATCTCCTTAACCTTGTATCAACAACTTCCGTATCTTGTTTTCTCTCTCAAGTTCTTTTGATGTATGTTTTTTTTTTTTCTTTCTTTTTTTTTCTTTCTTTCTTTGAGCAAGTAATTGAGTCTTACTTACACGGAATATGGATAATGCTCATTAGAGCAGTAAAGAGATACTACAGCACGGCACAGGTCTCGCTTATTCAAGATGGTCGTGGATATCTCCAATACTGTATGAACCATGGGATTAACACGAGGTCTACTGTTTTCAGAGGTACGTTTTATGAATTATACGTGAAACAATTTGTTGAATCGAATCTTTATGCAAAAGGATTGATAAAATGTGGTGGTGCTTACGATAACGGTGTGGATATAATGGGTTATTGGGACTTGCTACCTTTTTACAAATTATCCAAACAAATTGGTGGTAGCTCTTTAGGGAAAATTCATTCCAAATCGTTGGTAAATCATGCTAAGGAGTTAGAGTCGTCTTTGAAAAAGACAGTCTCCTTACAAAATGATATCAATCTTTTGATCCAGTGCAAAAACACAAAGAAGAGATTAGGTGCTCAAGTAGTTCGAGAATTATCTGGAATTATGGAGTATCATAAGTTTAAAAAAAACTCTACATTTATGTTTATAGTTAGCCCGCATCCTTTGACTTTACAGGCCATTTCTCAATTGGATAAATCCACATTTGCAATGATTAGTCTAGCGATTTCTGCCTTGGTCAACAATAATATTGCTAACCACTATGATTTTGACCAATGGCAAGGTGGTGTATTAACTTCCGTTTATATAAATAGCCATGCAAGAAACTTATTGAGCGGACTTAATATAGAACAACAGTTGGGTACATTTATAAAAGATATATAAAAACATTGTATTTAAATAACACCGAAAAGCGGGAATATGAAGGGAATATGAAGGGAAAGGAAAAACAAAAATAGAAAGACAACATTTTTTTTCATTCTTCTTCTTTCTTTTTTTTTTGCCAAAGTCTATACAACCACAGAGGTGGTTCTAGGAGAACCGTATATGGTCTGAAAGTATGTTATAGTAGTGAGTAATTCATAATGTGTGGTAATTGTAGTAAACGTAGAAGGGAAATAAACATAACTAGTGAAAATGTTTGGTGTCGCTGTGGTAATTGCAGTTGGGTATGAGGATGACAGTGTTGTAGGTAATGATGAACTTTGAATCAATGTTTCTGAAGGTATTTGGGTATCTAGGGAAGATCCTGTAAACAGTGTAGAAGCTTCTTCGCTGGCGGTCTCTGTTGAGGAAGCTTGTGAAGAAGCTTCTGTCGAGAAGGTTTCAATGGTTTCTTCGTCTGTAGAGCTAGAGCTTAATTCTGAAGAAGTAGCCTCTTGCGTATTAGTTGTTTCATCTGCCTCTTCTGTTGAGAAGCTGCTAGGTTCTTCCAGACTTGTAATACCATCTGTCTCCTCTACTGAGTCAGATGACTCTTCTGAAGAGCTAACACTGCTTATATAGCTGGTGCTTAAAGTTGTTGGGTCCAAAATTGAACTGGTTAATAAGGTAGCTTCGGTGGTAGAATCACTTGTAGAAGTTGTTGAAGTAACAGTGACTGTAGTAGTGGATGTGGTGCTGGAACTTTCTGCTTTATCCTGGGCTTCGATGGAAACCGGGGCATCAGCATTTTCTACAATTTGCTTTACGCTTTGCACGAAATTAGTACTTTCAAATACATTGTCCCAACCAGCAGAAACATCCCATAATGAAATACCACCGAAATACTTACTAGTTAAAACATCCTCTGATAACGAAGATTCAATAACTGAAGGATTATTATATCCTGAGCCAGCAGCTCTAACTGCACCTGGAACACCAACGAATAACTTGACATTTTTGTTAGGACTAACATTCTCGGCATAATTCAACCAGTCGTTCCAATTAAAGGATGTGGAACCTAAATTACAATAATTATTGTAGAATTGAATAAACACAAAATCAATATATGATTGCTGCAAAAGCAAACCAACAGATGCATCAGGGTATGGACATTGAGGAGCAGCTCCCAAATAGTAATCTCTGGTGGTATCGGTTGCAAAAATAGTTCTCAACTCGTCTGCCATTGCTGGGTACCCAGTTGGAGAATTATTTTCAATATCGAAATCGAACCCATCAATAACAGCATCACCAAAGGGTCTGTCAGAAAGATCCAACGTTTGAGAATTACCAAATAAGTCCCATACAGTATGGGCAAAACTTCTAGCCTCAATATCGGACGTAAAACCATAAGAGCCAGCAGCACCACCAATTGAAAGTAAAATGATCTTACCTTTTGATTGACAATATTTGATGTCTTCTTGAATATTTTCACACTTCAAAATATTGTCTGATGTATATGTACCTTCGCAAGCATTAGCAAAGTTCAATTGAATAGGGTCAGGGAAAACATGCATAAATGAAACAATAACTATATCGATAGCTGAAGAGTCACAATAGTAGCTTAATCTTTGTTGATTACCACCAGAGTTTTGACCCCAGTAAACGGCAACGTTTGAGTTAGAAGTTGGGTCAAACGCCCAAATTGGCAAGAATAGCGAAATGAAAAATAATGCAAACAACATTGTGTGTAAACTTGTATATTAGGGGGTATCAGCTAGTTGTTGTTGTTGTTGTTGTTGTTGTTGATGAAGATAAGTAAGGAATGAATTTGAGTGGGTACTTTACGGAATCTGCTTCTCAGACAGTTCTTATATAGCAATGAGCAAGTCTTTTTTGAAACAAGGGATTTAGAGACTATGGGGTGATATCCCAACAAAGGTTTTATTTAAAATAGGTTTAGTATACCACTTGAATTGGAGTGTGACTAGATGAAGAATAAAAGAAGTAAAGAAAAGAAAGATAGTCATTAATATACATTTTTCTTGAGAATATATATATATATATAAATATAGGCTAGAGCTTAGATATATCAATCTTGAGTACCAGTTCAATACAATATACTTGGTAAAGCAGTAAAAATGTGGACATTTCTTTATATGGGTTTTCTATTTTGGTTTGTTTTTTTTTTTTTTTTTTTAATTTCTTGTTCTTTCGCAGCAATTTCTCGGCTTGGTCCATCTTCCTTAGTTATTTTATTTTTATAAATATTATATTTTGTGTACTATGTATAATACATTCAGTGTGTTCGCCTTCTTGAACTGGGTTGTATGTACGATAGGTAGAATAACGGTAGAAACGGTGCATACGGCATGGTAACGGGAGATAAAAAAGCTGGTTGAAAATGTTCTATTTGGTTAAAAAAGAAAAACATATTGGGAAAAAAAAAGGCTGCAAAAAGATAATCCACCAGCCTCATGCAAGAAGCACATTGCTGCAACTTGTTTTTTGTGTGTGGAAAAATACAAAAGAGAAAACAAAACAATGATATGAAGAAATCGCGGTGAGGTGTCCAATATGAATGGGATAGCATGAGTTGGATTGGTTATGACAAATAAAATGTTGCTGGTTGATGTGTCGCCCTAAAGACCGAAAAAGGTGGAGTTGGGAGATGGGGAGATGGGGAGATGGGGAGATGGGGGGCAGAAACAAATGGCAGGCAGGCTAAATTACTACTTTAGTCTTTCGGCAGCTGGTAGCGCCAAGTATCGAAAGGGGGTGTGTAGAAAAATGGAGTCGATAAGAAAGCGAGTGGTTGCACCATTTTGAAATCATGGACTCTCTTTCCCCATATCTATAGACCTGACTATGGGAGTCTCATGACTCTTCTATAGTCACATCACTCGTAAGTTTTCAAAATAGACTAAACATTTGACGTTTTCGCTGTTTCTAACGTTAAATAATAAACAATCTCGTTCAGCGTTTTTTTTTTTCTTTTTCTTTTGCATCTAAAATTTTAATCTTGACTTTTTTATTTTTAATCTTTTTTTTTTCTTTCTTTTTTTTTTTCGCTTGTGTGGAAATCTATGTTCGCTGAAAACTGCTTCAAAAACCAGCAGACGTCAGGTACTGGCCTATTGTTTCATTTGGGATTATCAAGCAAGCCTGACATCTATAATTGTTGTTAATTGCTGTTCTTAATGTATTGTTAGTATTGCTATTACCCCAATAGGGGTATTCCTGTAACACTTGCAAGATATTATGTCATATAGATTAAAAAGAGATTAGGCTTTACTAACGGCCAACATTTAGTTCGATTCCAACGGCTGACAACGATGTATTAATTTGCTCAAAGGGAAAATGTAACATCTTTCTTAAAACTAGTCTTAACGTGTTTTATGATTCCCAAAAGCTTCTGCGAATTAGCACTGGAAAAAGAGGCCATATTGCGCACTAAGAAGGGAAAAAATAATAAAAGGAAAATGAAAATGAAATAGAAGAATCCCGCTGAACTGATGAAACATATCCTCGCCTATACACCATGTCAAATAGGGCTGGCTCTAAATCCGGAGTAGGGTTTTTTTGTTCGAATACTAACCGATACTCTGCCTGCAACCAAAAAAAGAAAAAAAAAGAAAAAGATCCAAGAACCCATGACATACTTTGTATGAAGGAGTAAAATAGATGCATGGGGTAATGACAAGTGCTGACTATTTGAAATTGTTTAGTAGAATTTCAAGTCTTGACCTGTTTTAATAGAGACATTATACTTTAGTGAATGAAAGGATTTTCTAGAGTAACTTGAAAGCGGGGAACTAGGAAACAAGTCTATATTCAAACACTTTGAACCTCATATTTAGAGTCTCTTTTAGAAGATTGTGGATAAGCTTTTGCTTAAATAGATCTAAAACACATATGGTAGCGTCACCTCATTAGAAGTTGTTTTTTCTTTTGTAAGTGAAAATGGAGGTGAGAACTAAAGTGCCCTTAATAAAGAATAATTTCCGTTAGACTAAAAAGGATTCAACATTAACTTAGCTTTTATCATTTTCGTGTTTCCTGGCTAAATTGCCAATGATCTTTAAGGAAGTTAATCTAGTTGTATCACGCACAGATTTGGCTTGTTTACAGTAATCTAATATGTATGGGAAAAGGGTTAGTTGAATCTCAAGAGTTTTGTAAACGAACCGTTGAAATCATGTCTGCTAGTTTAGAAATGGTATCCCTATTTTAAATAGGTACTTGTTTCTTTTTTTATTTTATTTCTGTTGCAACATCAGTCTGCTGTGTTCTTTGTGATGATCATTCATCCTACTTGAAAGTCACAACAATACACATCTTTATCTTTATGTAGATGACATCATAAAACAGAGTTTAAACTTGTTTGTATTTTGTTCAAGACATATTTAACTTCTCTTAAACTCTTCAAAGTTCTCTTCTTTCTTGTAAAGAGTCTTGAGGAAGTAGCAAGTGCTTGTTTTCCTAAAATTGGATGAGTTTGTGAGTTTGTTTTTGCCTTCTAAGACTTACTGGAATATGAAGTGAGACTCAAGGCGATACTATCGAGCAAAGCGAGATAGTGGTGCACTACTCATCAACTTGTATCCTTTAACTATATGGGTTTAAATGCAGAGATATCATTGTTTAGTTTATAAGCATCTTTTCCCAGCTAAATACTAATCAAGTTTTATATTTTGTTCAATATTGCTTATGTCAGGTAGTTATAAACTCGCCTAATTCTTTTTTTTTTTTTTTTTTTTTTTTTTTTTTTTTTTTTTTTTTTTTTTTTTTNGTTTTAAATCCCCCTAATTTTTTTTTTTTTTTTTTTTTTTTTTTTTTGTTTCCTTTTTGCAAGCTTTTTTCTCCACATAAGCACACCACTATACAAAGTGAGATCTCTCTACAACTAAGAAGGTTGTGAATAAGTGAATTGCAAAGGCTTCAACAACTTTCTTTCCCGTGTTGATACTGTACTGCTTGCTACATCAATATGAACGTTTTTTTGTGGAACGATATGTCGTTGGTTTTATCAGATGTTAAGTTATTTTAACACCACAATTTTAGTTAAACCAATCGACTCTTTAAAATTAAAACGAGCATGTGTAAAAAAGAACCTGTACCGGCAAAAATTTTCGCCGATTTCGGGTTCAAAATCATCAAGATAATTTAATAGCTTGAACAGCTCTGGTCAAATCTCTTTTGAAGATGAGTGGAGGTTTTGGTAAACAGTGAGTTTCATTCTAAATCAACTTGCCATTGATAACAAAAATGTTCACCAAAACACACGTGTCTTGACCCAATTGAGTTTTTTCATTGTCATTTTACCATCCCAGACTTTTTGTTTACCCAACTAATCCAAAATCGTACGGGATTCGTGTAGCTTTGTCGTGTACGTTGTAACAAAATGCTAATTTTTCTATTCTCAGTGGTTTCGAGACACACCCATGCCGCAGTATCGTTGAAATTTCGGCGGAATTCTGCATGGTCTAAAAATCTTTGGAAAAATAATTGAGAGAATTTCGGCGAAATGAGAAGAGAAAAATTGAGAATGTGAATTTGAAAAATGGGGTTTTTGGTGCTTGATTGTGGTTGAAAGAAGAGGAAATATGGGTGTCTATAGATAGCCAATTGATAGCTGATTACTACTATTGAAAAAAAATCTGAATCACCACTAGTTAGCTTTGAAGAAAAGTATAGGTTTTGGTTGTATAATTTCATTGTAATTTTCTTGCAACTATTGTTATCTTGATATTTTTTTTTTCTTCGTCTCATAACTGTTTCTCCTATAAAAACTCATCAGCGAATCAAATTATTTGCAACATAAATCTTTCGTGTGAAAATGGAAATTGACTTCTTTGGAGGTTTTCATATAAATACTCGCCGAAATCTCGCCAAATCTCCATCCCTGTATAAAAAATTTTTTAATTTCATTCAAGGTGTAAATCAATCAAAAGTTAATCAAAACAATTTTTCACAATGTCGGTCGAGTTTAAAACAAAAAAGACTTCCACTAAAGATGGAAATCTCTATACCAAATTCACTTATGAGAATTCATTAGTTGAAAAAGATGCAAGTGGAAAATTGCTCGTTACTCCAACCGCTGAAGAGTACGAATTTAAATTGGATTTAACTGTTCCTAAAGTTGGTTTGTTGTTGGTTGGAATTGGTGGTAATAATGGTACTACATTAGTTGGATCCATTTTGGCTAACAAGAATCAAATTTCATTTGAAAATAAAGAAGGTGTTGTTAAGCCAAATTATTATGGTTCGGTTACACAAAGCTCAACTATTAAATTAGGTATTAACAAAGAAGGTAACGATGTTTATGCGCCATTTAATTCGATTGTCCCCATGGTTAACCCTAATGATTTGATTGTTGATGGATGGGATATTAGTGGGTTAACATTGGACAAAGCAATGAAGAGAGCTAAAGTATTGGATGTTACCTTACAAAAACAATTGTATCCATATTTAACCGATAAAAAACCAATGGAAAGTATATACTATCCTGATTTTATTGCCGCCAACCAAGGCGAAAGAGCAGATAATGTGTTCAACAAGACTTCTGGTGGCGAAATAAACACCCAGGACAAATGGAAAGATGTTGAAAAAATTAGAAAAGATATTCAAGATTTCAAACAAAAGAATAAATTAGATAAAGTTATTGTATTGTGGACAGCAAACACTGAAAGATATGCGGATGTATTACCCAAAGTCAACGATACAAGTGATAATTTAATTGCATCTATCAAAGCTAGTCATGAAGAGATTGCGCCAAGTACTATATTTGCAGTTGCTTCCATATTGGAAGGTGTACCATACATTAATGGATCACCCCAAAATACATTTGTTCCCGGTGTAATTGAGTTGGCTGAAAAACACAATTCATTTATTGGTGGTGACGATTTCAAATCGGGACAAACCAAGATCAAATCGGTATTGGCTCAATTTTTGGTTGATGCTGGTATCAAGCCACTTTCAATTGCTAGTTATAATCATTTGGGTAATAACGATGGATACAACTTATCTGCGCCAAAGCAATTTAGATCCAAGGAGATTTCTAAACAATCGGTTGTTGATGATATAATTGAAAGCAATGAGATATTATATAACAAAGAAACAGGCGACAAAGTTGATCATTGTATTGTTATCAAGTATTTGCCAGCTGTTGGTGATTCCAAAGTTGCCATGGATGAATATTACTCAGAGTTGATGCTTGGTGGACATAACAAGATTAGCATACATAATGTATGTGAAGATTCCTTGCTTGCAACACCATTAATCATTGATTTGGTTGTTGTTTCTGAATTTTTGTCGCGTGTGCAATATAAGAAAGTAGGCGAATCCGAGTATCACGATTTTTATTCAGTTTTGACATTTTTGAGTTACTGGTTGAAGGCGCCATTGAGTAGACCAGGATTCAAGCCAATCAATGGATTGAATAAGCAGAGACAATCCTTGGAGAATCTTTTGAGATTATTAGTTGGCTTGCCAATTAACAACGAATTGAGGTTTGAAGAGAGATTAGTCTAGAGATCTAGAGAGATGGATAGAGCTTGAGCTGATTGTATCAAAGAGAGAGATTAATTTAGAGAGATTGAGCTTGAGTTGATTGTATAGTGTGTCTTTTTTTTTTTTTTTTTTCTCCTTCTCTTGGGTGTAATTGAATGTGTATTTATTGATGTTGTTGATAATCTCTTGTTTTCAAGACCATTGATCGGTTATTTCCTATTGTAGTATATGTAATGCATATGGTGATAAAATATTCATGTTGGTTACACAAATTTGTTGATCCTGCATGTCGTCCCCCCCTTGTTAATTCCCCTCTTGAAATTCTTACCCAACAAATTTCACAACGAGCAAAATGTCGTGATAGCAAACTCTTAAGGGGCAAAATATGTCAAAAGTGCACGAAAAAACTAATGGTTGCCAATTTCAAATTTCAAATGATATGATAAATTATAAATCAACTACTATATCTTTGATACTAAGTTTCGTATTAACATTAACCCAAGTGAATGTGCGCTACCGCGTTGGAATATGCAATCTACAGTGATACAAATCCCAGGGGGTTGATAGTATTATTGTCAAGTGACTATTTTAATGAAATAAAAGGATATTTCAAGTTGTAAGGTATCAATAGGAAAATAAAAACGCTTAATCGAGAAAGTACAAAGGGCCCCCTGTCGATCCTTGTAACACGAGTATATATATGTGTGTGTGACTAATTCCTTAGCAAGAGTATATCAGAGAATTGAACCCACAACCCACAAACTAGCTTGTACGGCTGAACAAAGTACCTTTGGTATCCAGTTTTTATTTTTTTTTTTTCTTTTTTTTTTTTTTTTCCAGAGTCTTTGAAACTCAACAAATTTAGATATGCTTTCATCTGATAGAATGACTAATACTGGGTTTATTAAGATAACGTATATGCCCGAGTATCGTATCGTATCTCAAACAACAAAAGTGTTGTAAACTTCAACACCACTTTTATTAAACTCTTGAACAAAAGTGGGAAAAAACACGACATCAAATGACGACATTTGCAATACTCGAGAAGAGGGGGTAAAAACATAATTACATGGATTACGTGTGATCTTTTTTTTTTTTTAGTTAGTTGTGATAACTATCTAGTTTTAATTTTTTAACTTTATTCTCTATGTAGGTTTGGATGTCATATTTGTTATCTTTACAACCGCAATGATTTTACAACCCCCAGCTTGACCAATTTACTAGGGGTTTGATCATTGATCCATTATAATCGGTCAATCAATATAGTATACATTGGTTAGCCCTTATGCAGATCCATCGTAACATGGTACTATTTGACCATCTTACTCTCCCTCTTTGTATCCATTTACAAACACTTTGCCACCCACAACAAAAGAAAAAAAATTACCCAAAACAATATAATTACCTAAAGTATAAATTGAAATAAAATTGCCCTTTAATGTCATAAAGAAAAAAATTACAATTTGTAATCTCCACGTTGAGAGAGAGAGAGAGAGAGAGAGAGAGAAAGAAAGAGAAAAAAAGATTATCACTTTCATTTTTTTTTTTTACAACCAACTTATCCTTTTTATCAATTGTAGCTTTATTAACCCCCTCATTGCCACATTAACCCCCCCCCCCCCCCTCATTGCCACATTACGTATATTTACCCATTCTTGTCGTTGCCATATTCACACGTTTTGGTCCCACCTCAACAAACATTACTCTTTGCTATTGGTGTTTGTTACTAAGTTGTATCTGTTCTTTATAAGTTGAGCTCAATTCTCGCACTCGCACTCGCACTTGCACTTTAACTTTTCATATCATATCATATCAATTGTTTAAAAGATGACCCCTTTAACTGTTGCTGTTGGCGAAGCAAAGCCAGGAGAAACTGCACCAAGAAGAAAAGCAGCTCAAAGAGATGCTTCTGTTACTCGTCCAGCCGATTCAAAAGCTACCACTATGCCTGAACTCATTGAAGAATGTTTTGAAAGAAACGGTAATAAACCAGCAATGGCTTGGAGAGATTTGAAAGATATCCATGTAGAAACAAAAAAAGTTACTAAAAAAATCGAGGGTGAATGCCAAACTATTGATAAAGACTGGACTTTTTACGAAATGGGTCCCTATCAATATATCAGCTACCCCGATTTATTAACTTTGGTTAAAAATTACTCAAAGGGTTTGTTAGCATTGGGGTTGAAACCAAATCAAGGAAGTAAATTGATGGTTTTTGCTCAAACTTCTCATAGGTGGATGCAAACGTTTTTAGCTTGTTCGTTTCAAAATATCCCTATTGTCACTGCTTATGATACTTTGGGTGAAAATGGTTTAACTCACTCTTTGGTACAAACTGAAGCAAATGCTGTATTTACCGATAACGGCTTGTTATCTTCATTAGTAAAACCGTTGCAAAAAGCCAAATCTGTTAAATATATCATTCATACCGAATCTATTGATCCAAATGATCAAAGACAGGGTGGTAAATTGTACGAAAATGCTAAAAGTTCAAAAGAAAAGCTTTTACAAGTTCGTCCAGATTTACAGTTTCTTTCACTTGAAGAAGTTGTTGAATTGGGTGCTAAAAGCGAGCAACTGTTGCATTTACCAAAAGCTGATGATTTATGTTGTATCATGTATACTTCAGGTTCAACAGGTGATCCAAAAGGTGTTTGTATCACCAATGCAAACTTGTTGGGAGCAGTTGCTGGTATCTCAACAAATGCCGGTAGAGACTTGGTTGGTCCAACCGATTCTGTGGTTGCATTTTTACCATTGGCGCATATTTTTGAATTGGCTTTTGAATGTGCTGTTTTTTGGTGGGGTGTTCCATTAGGTTATGCAAATGTAAAGACATTAACTGAAGCTTCAGTGAGAAATTGTAAACCCGACTTGATTGAGTTTAAGCCTACTATTATGGTTGGTGTTGCTGCTGTTTGGGAATCTGTTCGTAAAGGTGTTTTGGCTAAATTGAAAAAAGCTCCTCCTTTACAACAAAAGTTGTTCTGGGCTGCTTTTTACGCCAAATCAAGTTTACATAAATGGCATATCCCTGGTGGATCTCTTTTTAATGTAATTTTCAAAAAAGTCAAGGCTGCTACTGGTGGACATTTGAGGTATGTTTTGAATGGTGGATCTCCTATCTCGATCGATGCTCAAGTATTTGTATCAACTTTGATTGCGCCAATGTTGTTGGGATACGGATTAACTGAAACTTGTGCAATGGGTACCATTGTAGAATTTAAACACATTGAATATGGATCATTGGGAAGTTTAGTTGGTTCAGTTACAGCCAAATTGGTTGATGTTCCTGATGCAGGTTACTTTGCCAAGGATAATCAAGGTGAGATTTTATTGAAAGGTGCACCTGTGGTTAAGGAGTATTACAAAAATGAAAAGGAAACCTCTGAAGCTTTTACTGAGGATGGATGGTTTAGAACCGGTGACATTGGTGAATGGTCAAGCAATGGTGCATTGAGAATTATTGATAGAAAGAAGAATCTTGTAAAGACTTTGAATGGTGAATATATTGCATTGGAAAAATTGGAAAGTGTATACCGCTCAAATCAATTGGTTCAAAACCTTTGTGTTTATGCAAGTCAAGATAAAGTTAAGCCTATTGCTATTGTTGTTCCAGTTGAAGGATTTTTGGATCAGTTGGGATTTAATGTAGAAACATCGTATGATGACCGGAAATTGTTGAGGGCATTTTTGCACAGTTTATTGGAAACTGGTAAAAACCAAGGATTAAAAGGAATTGAATTATTGGAAGCAATTGTAATTGTTCATGATGAATGGACTCCTGATAATGGATTTGTTTCAAGTGCACAAAAATTACAAAGGAAGAAGATTTTGAAAACCTATGAAACAGAAGTCAAAAAAGCATATGGAGATGACTAAAGGGAATCAATGAATGAATGAAGAAGAGGAACATGAAGATGAAGGTCTTTTTTTATTTTTTGCATAGGTGTTAAATGAAGGGTATCTTTTGTTTTATACTTTTGTTGTAGCTTTTTTTTCTTTGTCTTGGTAATTTGTCTGTCTTTTATATGTTTTGGCCCACCCCCCCCCTTGTAATAAAAGTGGTAAATTTTATCTTGTACTGAAAAAGAAAATTTTAGTTTATACAAAAATTGCACCAAAACTGATTTACTTTTTGATAAGTTATTTCCCACTTTTGGTGTGTGTCCCACTCTTGGTGTATAGAAAAGCAAGACGGGACCTATATAATCAAAAATTCACGATCCAAGGCCATGTCTTTTAATACTCTGCAAGAACTACCTACAAATTTGAATAAAATTATTTCAGATCAAATTGATTTGGAAATAATGCTAAAGCATAAGGAACTTCAGTTAGTTCACAATGAATCACAACATGCTAAGTCACAACTCCAAGTACTCGAGAAAGTAATTAATTCGCCGTCTCCAGAACCGGTCCAACAACTACTGTCCCAACCACAGAACTTTCCCACTTCCTTCTCCTTCTCCTCCTCCTCCTTCTCCTCCTCCTCCTCCTCCTCCTCCTCTGCTTATTATCATCATCATCAGCAGCAGCAGCATCCACAAAGGGGACAACTTTCAATTCCAAATTCATCACTGCATTACCGCACTAGATCAGCTACTTCAGGGTGTTTATATCAGAGATCAGACGGTGTAGTTGTGAGGATCACTTGTCCTGATTGTCATCGGAGTAATTTTTTATCAATACAAGGATTTTTGAATCATTGTCGGATAGCTCATGCTAAGGATTATATGAGTCAGGAAGCGGCGGCGTTGAAGTGTGGTGAGGCTGTAGATATGGATGAGTTTGGTGGCGGGTACTTGTTTCTGGGGAACCTGGAGAATTCCAGTGGCAATGATGGTGGTGGGGGTGTAAGTGTGGAGACGATGGAGGCAAAAAAAGGGGGAGGGGAACAGGAAATTGTAGACAATAGTGATTTAAGGAAAACCAAGGTGGAAAAAAGCGATATCGATAAAGGGCAAGAGGAATTGTTGAAAAAACTAGTCAAAGAGGGGAAAATGACAAAGGAGAAGTTTGATGCTTTGATAATGGAGACGAAATCACCTGTAAAGAATGCGCATTTATTTGATGACGAAGAGGAAGAAGAAGAAGAAGAAGAAGAAGAAGAAGAAGAAGAAGAAGAAGAAGCGATGGAGAGAGGAGGAGGAGGAAAGGGAGGAGGAAAGGGAGGAGAACCCAATGGGAAAGCTAAGAATAATGGAGCGGCGAGCAAGAGTAGTGGTGTGAGGAACTTGCACGAACAAAAAAGAAGACAGTCAAGAGGTGGAATTAATATAAGGATAACTACGAATAAAGGCGACGACAGAGTTGAAACTTCACAAACGGAGAAAAAGACGGTTGACTATGAAAGCGAGGAGGAAGAGTTGGAGCTTGAGGAACCACTGAATAAAAAGTTGAAGAAATGAACTGATCAGAAACAAAAAGAAGTTAGGCAGCGTCGAACGACACTATCGAGCAGCACTGACTACTGACACTATCGAGCAGCACTGACTAATGACACTATCGAGCAGCACTGACTAATGACACTATCGAGCAGCACTGACTAATGACACTATCGAGCAGCACTGACTAATGACACTATCGAGCAGCACTAACTAATGACACTATCGAGCAGCACTGACTAATGACACTATCTCCTCTGCTCGATAGTGGAGCATAATGGATGTTTCCTTTATTGGTTTCAGTCACTGGGTGTTCTCTTGATAAAATGTAAGTTCCTTACCTCTCTTTTGTAATCTGGTTCGCTACCAAATGATGATCATCTCCAGTGAAAAAAAAAATTGATTTTCCATCTCATCTCATCTCATCTCATCTCATCTCATCTCATATTAGATCAAGAGAACTTCTTTTGTTTTCATACAAACATGTCGGGGCCAGTACTACAAGCCAAGTTTGACAACTCGGGTAGATACTTAGCTTCTATATTTGTATCACTAGATACTCATCAAATTCGAGTCCAGTCAGTTAATTCCTCACAAACACCTATAAATGCATCTTTCAACCTTGACAAGAGCAGTAAAGTGACCAATTTCAATTGGATTGAGTTAAACTCGACTAAAACTCAACATATCGCAGTATGTTTGAACAAAGGAAGTATACTCATATACTCGCCGCATACGAATGATATAGTTTGTGAGCTTACCACATCGTCGAATGTCTCTTTGTTAGATTTTCATTACTCCAATTTTACTCAAACTGCTTGGTCAAGTGACATCGATGGCAATGTATGTGAGTGGGACATGAACTCATTTAGCTTGTTACAACTGTTTAAAATTGGAGATTTTATAGAGCTGGTTGTTTCTATTTACCAAATTTCGAGCTGTATATATTTGGGAGAACCTCATTTATTACTAGCTGCTAATTCGATATATTTATTTAGTTTAAAAACAAGAAAAGTGGTAAAGACGTTTCCTGGTCATATCCAGCCTATAGGTTGCATTGCTTGCATAAATGAGGATATGTTTATCACAAGTGCCAAAGGGGACCGATTTATCAATTTATATTCTTTGGAGAAAACCACTACCAAGGCTATATTTGTAGCTCTGACATCGGTTCAAAGTCTTGCCTTTGGTAAGTTGTATGAGAAATCCGCTTTGATTGCTATAAATGAGAATGGGAATCTCGAAGTGTTTAACGACTTTTTAGGAGATGCCAAATTTACGCCATCTTCAAATGCATTGAAAAAGAAACGGAAACAAATTGGTGTAAGTTCAAGACCATCAAATTCTACTATAAAAATATCCCGTCCCGAAGCAGAAATCAAAAATCCACAAGATTCGAATATAATGATCAATACTGTTAATGTTCAGGATGACAATATTTTGTTCACATGGTTGGAGAGTTCAAATATATCGTATTTTGATGCCATTAAATGGGTGGACGAAGTAGGGAATTATTTGATTACTTCAAATAAAACTGTGATTAAGAATAAGATGGAGGTTAAGGCGCACCAGGGAATGTCATATGGACACGATACCGCTGCTCCAAGACTATATAATGAAAGCCATGCAATTGTCAATGATGGAAGTAACGTACGAGATTTAGAAAAAGTAGTAGTAGATGAAGAAGACGACGAAGAAGAAGAAGAAGCCATTGCGGAGAAATTGGAAAGATTAGCCATGAAACAACAAAAGAATACATCTCAACGCAAACGAAAATTGGAAGATAACAAAAATGGTATTTCTTTGTCAGTAATTTTATCACAATCATTAACTAATAACGACCATACTTTATTGGAAACGGTACTACAGAATAATGATATAAAAACAATACAAAACACAATCCTGAGATTGAATCCGTATCTAGCTGTTGTATTATTAGATCGATTGAGTGAAAAAATCCAACGTCAAGCTTCTAGGTTTAATCAATTGAATAGTTGGCTTAAATGGATTTTGGTAATTCATGGACCAGTGATTGCTAGCTTACCTGACTTGAATACAAAATTGTACTCCTTGCATTCGGTGTTGGCTAAGAAAACTGATACATTGCCTAGATTATTGGAGTTGAAAGGGAGATTGAATTTGGTGTATGATGAGATGAATTTGAAATCAAGTATAGAGCAGAGGGAGAAAGTTAACGATGAGGAGGAAGAAGAGGAGGTAATGGTGGTGGAAGAGAGTGATGTTGAGTATGTGGAGGATTTGGATGATGCGCAGTTTAGTGGAGAGGTTGATATTGATGTGAATGAAAGGGATGATTATTTGGATAGTGATGAAGAGGAAGAGGAAGAGGGAGTTGGGGAAGAGGAAGAGGATGACGACGACGATGACGACGATGAAAATATCCAATCTCTCGACGAGCTAGACAATAATAGTGATATAGAAATAAATTAATCCTTTTGTCTGTCCTATTCATATAGAATCATTCTCTTTCCATTTTTTCACAATTTTGAAGATAGTCATAAAGCGACAACAGCACGAATACAATCACCCTTGTGCATATCCTCAAAAGCAGTATTGATTTGATCCAATTTATGTTTGTGAGTAATGAATTCTTCAACTTTCAATTTACCAGCCATATAGTCATCGACAATTCCTGGTAATTGAGATCTACCTTTAACACCACCAAATGCGGCACCTTTCCAAGTTCTACCTGTAACCAATTGGAATGGTCTAGTTGAGATTTCTTTACCTGCTGCTGCAACACCAATGATGATAGATGTACCCCATCCTTTATGGCAAGCTTCCAATGCATCTCTCATAACTTTCACGTTACCAGTACAATCAAAAGTATACTCGCACCCACCATCTGTCATTTCAATTAACTTTTCAACAATAGTAGTTCCCTCGGGTAATTCTGTAGGGTTGACGAAATCGGTAGCACCAAACTTAAAAGCCCAGTCTTTCTTCTTGTTACTAATATCAACAACAATAATTTTATTAGCTTGTCTTTCTTTACAGCCTTGAACAACGGATAATCCAACACATCCTGCACCAAATACAGCAACATTGTCACCCTTCTGAACATTAGCCGTAATAGTAGCTGCTCCATAACCGGTGGTTATACCACATCCTAATAAACAAGCTTTATCAAATGGTGCTTTTGGATTAATAGCAACTACTGAAATATCTGCAACAACAGTATACTGCGAGAAAGTCGAGCAACCCATAAAATGCAAGAGTTCCTTCCCTTTACAAGTGAATCTTGAAGTACCATCTGGCATGACTCCTTTTCCCTGAGTAGCTCTAATCTTTCCACACAAGTTTGTCTTACCACTTTTGCAGAATTTACACTCTTTACATTCTGGAGTATACAAAGCAATAACGTGGTCGCCAGGCTTGACATTAGTAACACCTTCACCTACTGATTCAACCACACCTGCACCTTCGTGTCCCAAAATAACTGGGAATGCACCTTCTGGATCGTCTCCACTCAAAGTGAAAGCGTCAGTGTGACAGACCCCAGTATCGTAAATTTTAATACGCACTTCATGGGCTTTTGGTGGAGCAACTTCAATTGTCTCTATACTCAATGGTTTTTTTGCTTCCCATGCAACAGCAGCTTGACAAGTAATTGGCTAAAAAGAGAAAGACATGTTAGTTACTTGGTCCCTTTTTGAGATGAGATGAGATGAGATGAAAAAAAAACCAGCAAGGTTGTGGCTCAAAAGTCAACCTTGAAAAAAAAAAAGGGGGAGGGGGTGGAAGTGGGCGGCTAAAGCTTCAGCTTGTATAAAATACGTACTTTTCCTGCGGTTTCTGACATCTTAATCTCTTGAAAGAAAGGTTGGTCAATTTCAAAGAAATGGCTGAACTTTTCCAAAGTGATGGATTGCTAGTCCCTATTATATAAACGCAAATATATTAAGGGCTTTTCCGCGTTAAGCGCAAAGATTAACCAAATTGGGATAGTTTTTGCCCATCTGAAAAAAATTAACTCGGGATCACGGACTCAGCAAGTGGAATGGGCAATAAAGGGATAAAAGGACGCTATCGAGCGAGCGAAACTATCGAGTAGAGCGAGATAGTGGAGCAGCATTGACTAATGATACCATTGACTAGTGACACTAGCGACACTGTCGGTTGTTGTCTGGAGTCTGGGTTGTTGGGCCCCTAAGCGGCGACTCCGAAGTGGAACTAGAAAAAAAAACCCGCGCAATAAGATTTATCGAGAGAGAGAGGACTGGTAATGCACCGTAATGCTTTATAATGGATAATGGAGGGAATGAAAGGGGGGAGGGGGAGGGGGAGACATATTATATATAAAATAACGTAAACTCTTTTTTTAGAGGAAGAAACTTGTTCAACTCCTCCCCTCCTCCCTTTCCTTCCATAATGGGAAACACTGCGAGATAAAAAAAAATAGTGGTAGGACCATTATCAGTAAAACTACACGAAATAAAAATGAGAAAATAGAGCCAACTATCGAGCGGAGCGAGATAGTAGAGTAACAAGCTAGTCTATCGATCGGAGCGAGATAGTGTTGCTCAATAGTGTTATAACAAGCTAATTAGTAATGCTCAACTGGCTTGCTCTGGTCGAAAGTCTATAGTCAGTACTTCTCGAAAGTGTCTCTAGTCAGTACTGCTTAAAAGTGTCTCTAGTCAGTACTGCTTAAAAGTGTCTCTAGTCAGTACTGCTTAAAAGTGTCTCTAGTCAGTACTGCTTAAAAGTGTCTCTAGTCAGTACTGCTTAAAAGTGTCTCTAGTCAGTACTGCTTAAAAGTGTCTCTAGTCAGTACTTCTCCACTAGCTCGCTCTGCTCGCTAGTGGTGCTCAAAATCAGTTTTTATCCTTATCAACAGCCACCACATCTTTCTACTTTGTGTGAATTTGAATATGAAAATAGCACATATATATTAATTTATTACGAGTCAGTGTCAGTGAGTTTGAGTGTTGCTCGATAATGTCATTAGTTAGTGTGCTCCACTATCTCGCTCTGCTCGATAGTGTCGCACTGTGTTATACTATATATGTTTTCCCTAGCCTAATTTGTCTTTGGTCCCACAACACAAGACCAAGAAATACAACCTATCGTAATGTTTTCGTTTTTCCCTAAATTAGTACAATCGACCAGAGCGAGATAGTGGAGCAACACTTTGTAGCGACACTGGTACGCTGTCAAGCAACATTGACTACATTGACATTATCGACAATATCTCGCTTCGCTCGATAGTGGAGCAGCACTGGCTAGTGACACTATCTCGCTTTGCCCGATAGTGGAGCGAGATTGCAATTTTGCACCCAAAATTTTGGTCAAAATTTTCTTTTTTTCTTCTTTTTACCGATGAGATGAGGGTAAGATTAAAAGAGCTTAGCCCCAGTATGAGGAGGACATGTCCTTATCACTTTTCTCAACTCGGCATTGTATCTTTCCGCCGTCCAAAGTCCTCTCTGTTAAAGAAATATATGCAAAAAGTACAAAATGATCCGTTTACTAATAAAAAAAAGAGCGAATTTTTCAGATCCAGAGCAGCTTATAAACTAATTGAAATAGATCAAAGATGTCGACTATTTAACAAATCTAGTAAGAATATTGTTGACTTGGGATTTGCACCGGGTGCCTGGACTCAAGTTGCAGTCCATGCTTTGGAAAAGCGCAAGATAGATAACTATAGAATTTTGGGCATTGATATAAATGATGCTGTACCGTATAAAGGGTGTAGCTATATTCAAGGCGATTTGCTAAAGAAAGAAACTCACCTCAAGATTAAGCAATTTTTCAAGGGCGAAGAAATAGACTTAATCATGAGTGATATGATGGTGAACTGTATAGGACATAGCCATTACGATCATCTTGGAAATATGGAGCTATGTAGTGCAGCAATGATTCTTGCTTTCGATCAATTGAAAACAAGAGGAAACTTGGTCATGAAAGTTTGGCATGGTGCAGAAGAAGAACTACTAGAACTACGCATGCGTATCATGTTTGAGAGACTTGTACGTATGAAGCCGGAATCTAGCAGAGCAGAGTCAAGTGAATTATTCTACATTGGATTGAAAAAGAGAGATTTGAATATAAGTCTACAAGAGTTATTCAGTGACAAAGAAACACTTTTGAAATATAGCATATAACACACACTCACTCACTCACGCATATCCTATAAAACAGCACCAAATCCAAACGTTATCTTTATCGATCTAATATACATATCTTCAAAATTATCCTTGACCCTGTCTTCTTCACCAATTGGAACGCCTGTGAACTTTACAACCATTTTAGTTTCACCGCTGCTTTGTTTCAACTTAATGTTCAACTCGGCATAGTGGCCCTCTTTCCAATCATCTAATCTCCACAATTCTACAATCTCCTCATTTGGCACTAGTTTTAAAATTTTACCTTGCACGGCACCATTAAAGAATTTAAAAGTCGATCCAACTTTAGGAGGAAATTTTTCAATAATGGGGTTTGATCTAGTCCAAGCGGCAATCCTCGACTCATCTAATAAAGTAATGTATATTTGTTCAGCTGTGGTGTTGAAAGCTGGTTCAAGGTGTAAAGTTGTCGTGTTGTATTTTGGAGAATTCGATGACACGACAGGCTTGGAAGCAGATTTGGACTCGGGCTTTTCTACACCACCAACAGACTTGGTTTCGGGCTTTTCTGCACCACCAACAGACTTGGTTTCAGGCTTCTCTATGCCAACAGACTTTTCCTGGTTTGCTTTTGTAAATGTTGAAGTGATTTTATCTGCCTCAAGTTGAATATCTTTACTATTTGTTGCAATCAAGTCGGGGCCAAAGTTCATCAATATCTCTCTCAACTTGGGGACTAACTTCTTTTTGATCAAATCGACAATAGAAGCATTATCTCTAGACTCATTGTACACTGTAATGTTGAACACTAAATTTTTTTCATCACTATCGTATGCCAACTCGGGAATTGTAATTGATCCCGATACCTTATCGTCTTTATCGGTATGGCCACTGAATGTCAAAACGAGCCGTAAATCGAATAACGAAATAACTTTCCCTTTACGCTGCGAGACGTCGACATCTCCTTCTACAGATGAAACATTGGAAATACTTGCACTACTAGTCTCATCTTCTACTGATAAATTCAATAACTTCTCATCAAAGTATTCTTTTGACCATGCTAAACAATTCTTATCAACCCAATGCCAATTATTAGGATTATTGACCACCATAGCTCAACTAGGGTACTTGTTCTTGTAAGCAGTTTTGTTTGCTATTCTTCTAATATATAAAAGAAAATGGAATAAGTTTATGGAAAATTCTAGTACAATATTGAAAAATTTATCACAAAAAAAAAAGGGCTAGTAAGAGGTGTAGATGGAAGTAAGAGGTGTAGATGGAAGTAGGAGGTGTAGATGGAAGTAGGAGAAGTAGATGGAAGTAAGAGGAGTAGATGGAACTTTGTAGAGAGGTAGTAAGAGGAGTCGATGGAACTTTGTAGAGAGGTAGTAAGAGGTGTAGATGGAAGTAAGAGGAGTAGATGGAACTTTATAAAGAGGTAGTAAGAGGAGTCGATGGAACTTTGTAGAGAGGTAGTAAAAAATGTTGCTAGTAAGTTTTTCACCACTATCTTGCTCTGCTCGATAGTGGGGTGGAGAGCTAGTCAAGCTAGATTTATTTTACACACTTACATCTACTTCCATTCTATCTCCATTATCATCAAATGTAACAACCGTTTCTTCCACATCACAGATATCGCGGATTTTTTGGCTCAAAACTGCCGTTGTGCCCTTTGGAAATCTATAATCTTTACACTTTTTTATTCTTTGGTTTGGCGTTATATAGTTTCTCATCAATTGTGCATCCTGGCCAATTTCCATCACACATACATCGACATTTGACCCTGATCCCAAATCATTCCAAATACCTGCTTCGATTGCCTCCGAGCATAACGCAATTGCCTCCTCCCTTGTCATATCTTCTTTGAATTTAGTCTCTAAAACAGCCATAGCTGCTAATGAACCTGAACCCAAACTTTGATACTTGCCCACATCCGTAGAACCATGTGCTTGTACAGATAACAAATGAGCCCCAGTGGGATCTACACCAGCAACAATCAAATATGCACCCAAATGACCCTGATACTTGAAAAGATGTTGCTTCAACATCGTCACCGCGGTTATCACCCTTGGCTGTCTATTCTGCGCTAATCCATGCAATTCCAATTTCGAGGCAATTAGTTGAGTTACCATCTCCGTGTCTGCTGCAGTACCTGCACCAGCACACCAAATCTTTGGTGCTAACCTATGCAATTTCTCACAATTCTTATCTGCCACAATTGGTCCTGCAGTGGCCCTGGTATCTGCTGCTATCACAACACCGTTCTTAAACTGACACCCAACAATTGTAGTACCAGTAGATGTAGCTTTTGGCTGACCAAAACCTTTGGAGCTAAGAAACTGATTTCTCTGGTAATTTTCAAAATTCAAACCAGCCATCTCAAGAAAGTTTATAATAACCGTTACTTGTATATTAGTATACCCTTATCTATCCCTTCTCAATACTCCCTTCTTAATACTCCCTTCTCAATACTCCCTTCTCAATACTCCCTTCTTTATTGCCTTCGATTTTTCAAAGCTCTGTTTTTTTTTTCCACTGGACACGAAAAAAATGAAAATTTATAACCTTATACCGAGATAAAAGCATTAAAGATTGTTAAAACATATAACCTTTTTCTTGTTATTTGACGCTGGTGTTGAGTATAGAGGGAGCTATTCTGGTTATATATATATCAGGTTTTGGTATATTTCTTTCTTTCTTTTTTTTTTTATCTTGGTTGTTTAATAGTGGATGCAAATAATTCATGGTATTGAATAATGGGTACAATTTTCTTACCCCTGCCAAAGTTCATATATTACTTGTTCCAGTAAATGATTGTACGACAACAAATTTTCATCTTTTTAAAGGCATACTCAAAGAGAGTGCGGTAAAGCTACAGAAGGAGCTGGAAGAGTTTAAGCTGTTACTTTTTGAGTTTCACACTTCGCCAATAGATAGTAACCAAATATACTTGCATGAGTTTGAACCTTTTAGAAAGACATTTATTGTTATTGGAATTGGTTCTAGTGCTGCCTCCCAGCCTGTAGAAGAGCATTTATCCCAACTCATGAAAATTTACAGTACTGCAATCGTTCACGATGTAATCTTGGTTGAAAAAGACAGCAGCAGCAGCAGAAGCAACAGCAGCAGCTTTGAAGAGGTCACTTTCAAACTTGCAAAAACTTTATCATCATATCTTGCAGCTTTGCACGAGTACGCCTCGGCCTACTCTGCTATAACGCTTCGATCGCCAGTATCAATCACAGATAGTCATGTACTCACCAAGACTATAAGTCAAGCACAAAAACGACTAAGCTCGGGATCCACATCATTCAGAGCCACTTTTAATGGAGAAGATAGTTTGCTTGAAAAAAAGTCTACTTCTTCCTCTGATAAATCAAAAGCTCAATCGAAATTTTCAGGGCGACATCTCAAATTAATGGGGAATTTCCATTTGTTGTCTGGGAGGTATAGTGATGCATTACAAAGTTTTTCTGATTGCCTTGCAATTTTGAAGCGGCACGACGATTACCTTTGGTTAGGGAGTGCATTGGAAGGACTCGCTGTGAGCTGTTTTTTATTAGATTACTTTGGCATTACATACCAATTGAGTCCTTCTCTAGGGTCAACTTTGCATCTTACCAAGGCCTCGCTCGCAGAAAATAACGGAGCAATAAAGAAAACATCGTTTGAGTCGTCTAATGGATCTAAATTATCAATTGCATCTCCAAGAAACTCTCTAAGTTCCAACGGGTTTGGTTTGCCTTTGTCCTCCTCCTCCTTCACCACTATTGACGCAAACTCGTTGCCATTACTTGAATTGCTCAAATTGGTTCTCACAAAGGCAATTTACTACTATAGCCAAAGTACTTGTGATCCAGAAAATATGGTGCCAGACGTAGTTTACATTGATTGTATCTTGAGAAAATTGAGTTTGATGGTTGGGTGCAAAACAAGAAAATCAGTTGATCCAGTAATGGATGATATTTTTACACGAGAGACTAGTGATAGCAATACTTTTTCAAACCAAGATATCTTGTGCGACATTGACAAAGTTTTCTTATTGCAGTTGGTAGACTTGAATGTGTTGGACCAGTGTAAGATTTTCTCATACATTGCTTGTGTTTATCGAGAGTTGGGACTTTACCGAAAGCAGGGGTTTATTACGAGATTTCAGTTAATTGCACTTATGCCCCAATTGGCCAAGCAAAACCCAAGTAACGTAAAAGATTTATTGGAAAGTTTATTCGACTTGTACCGTATAAACTCAGAGCCAGAAATTTCAGCCACTGATGCTACTCTTCAATCACAGGGAAACTGGACCTCTTTGCAAATTCAAGTTTTGAAATTGGGTTTAAATATAGCAGAACAGGCTAATGATGATGGGCTATTAGTGGGATTATGTATTTTGCTACTTACCAGATATGCTCACTGTTTACCTGTAGACGATCAGAATAAATTACTTGGCAAAATAGAAGAAAGGAATCAACTCTTGAAAATGCCATATTGGGACCCATTTTTAGTAAAAAAGGTAAAGTTTGTTTCAACCAAATTGAAGGATTCGATGGTACCGTTTGCCGAACAAGATGAGGACTCTCTGGAACCATCTTCGTTTTTTGATCCTTATAGTTTCAAGTTTGAAGCAAACTTTGTTGATCGCATAGTTCTTAAAGACGAGATTCATCAGTTGAAGATTGTTTTGCAAAACCCATTTGCATTTTCCATTGAGATACACGATATAGAAGTTGTGAGTAAAGGCGTTAAGGTGGAGACCATCAAAGAATTGACTGAGTCCATCAGTAATTATCTGAGCATGAGTGTTCCTAATTTAACTAAAGTACGAGCAAATACCAAAAAAAGTGCCACAACAATATCATCAACAACAACAACAACCAACCCTCTTGATAGTGTCAAAAACTCACTAGTTTTACCGCCAATGACAACAGAGCAATTTCTTGTTTCGTTCAAAGCCTCGGAAGTAGGTGAAATGGAAATTGAAGGATTACTTATCCAGGTCTGTTGTTGTGAGCCTCAGTTCTTTCCCATTGTTGATCACGAGATTGTAACTGATTCGTTTAGATTGGAAGGAAAAAAAAGAGGAAAAGAAGCAGATTACCAGTCTAGCACTTTTATTTTACCCACTATCGATAATTTACTCTCCAACTTGACCTCCAGTCTCAAATCATTCCGTGTAACGCACCGCACTTTACCGTTAACAGTGATACCGTCTCAACCTCGCTTAAAAATGAAAGATATACTGCTTGAAAATAGCTGGGCTATGCTATTGGAAGGAGAGCATATTGATTTTTCCGTCACTTTGATTAACGATTCTTTGGAGACTATTAACTACTTGTCGTTCTCCTTTTGGGATTCTGCTCTCAGTTTTATCAATAAAAGGCTTTCCCAGCAAAGTTTAAATGCAGCAGAGATTTACGAATTAGAATGGCATTTACTAAATTTTAAATCATTTCGGATAAAGAACAAGCATATTCTCGGAGAGAGAATAGGACCGCGAGAGGAAATCACGATTGAATTCGAACTAACTGGAAGGAAAATGATGAGGGAACTGAGAATAGTTTTAGATTACGCTCACAAATCCGAAGCAAGATCATTTATCAAACATTTGGAGATTCCTATTAACACTTCAGTTGTACCAAGTTTGGAATTGGTCGGGTGCAATATTATTCCCATGTTTTCAAAAAACACCATTTTGCAAGATGCGAGATTACCCAAGAACGTGGAAAGTTTGCGCCAATTCATTATGAACGAGGCAAATCCAAATGAGTTTTGTTTGTTACTTTTGGATTTAAGGAATTCATGGACAAGCAATTTAAAATGCTATTTAAAATACGACACATTTGAGCTTATTGATGAGGTTGAATGCAACAAAACCAAAAGACTATTTCTACCTGTTAGGAAAATGCATGCAGTTGAGCGAAAGCCAATACCTTCATTACGTCAGAAGCAGTTTGTCAAAGATTATAGCTTAACCGAGGAAGAAGAGAATCAAATGAAGAAATTATTTTGGTTGAAACAAGAGATTTTGGGTAAATTGGTAGGCCACTGGCGTGTAAAAAAGAGACGAGGCACAATAGATTTGAGGGGTATCAAAATGAGTGCAAAAATGGCAGATATTCTTGTGCTAGAAGATGTCGAAGTTAAAACACGGATACTCACAGAAGATAGACTAGATATTGACTCCGATCTGTTGAGGGCTGATGAATTTTACATTTTGCAAACCAAAATTATAAATCACACTAGTGAATCAATAAATGGCTTTGTTCGGCAGCTACCCTTGGCTGCAGTGAACAGCAGCGACAAGCAATTGCAAACAGATAGAAAGATCCTTATAGAAGGTGTTTTGCAACTGAAATTCCCTACAGTTCAACCACACTCGGAAATCACAACTGAGCTAAGTTTTGTCATTATTGAAAGAGGCGAATACGAATGGGGCACTTTAATCGATACCGATTCGTCCCAACACATAAACAAGAAACCGCTTTGTATAAATGTCCAATAAATACTATGATTCAGCTCTCTCTCTCTCTCACTCTCTCTCTCACTCTCACCTACATACTCACTTTCACCGTCTTACTTCTTTATACCTTCAATCTTGAATGGTAACGGTTGTGCTCCTTCGCTTTCCAATTTCTGTATATACCTCTGTCTCACCAAATCATTAAACCTCTTCTCCTGAAAATACTTTACCCAACTGCTAACGCAATCTCGTTCGAATTCCTTTTTGGCACTGCCACATTTCTCATTAACTTTTGAAAGCTCTTTGGAATCTAACGAATTGTCAATTTTATTTGCATCAAGGCACTGAAAAAACATATCACGTTTCTCCCAACACTTGACACGCTCAGCCTTGTCTGGCGCAACCGGTGCAGCCTCAACTTTTTTCAGCCCCGAATAGAATACCATGGTAGTGTAACTGGTGTAACCGGGTGATATAATATTAAAGATGAAGGAAAGAAAGAATTACTGAAAGAAAAGATTTCAACTTTTTTTTTTCTATTGCATTATAAAATGGATTACCTTGTCTATACGCTTTTGAATACCTTGTCTATACGCTTTTGAATACCTTGTCTATACGCTTTTGAATACCTTGTCTATACGCTTTTGAATACCTTGTCTATACGCTTTTGAATACCTTGTCTATACGCTTTTGAATACCTTGTCTATACGCTTTTAAATACCTTCTTTATTTGCTTCAAGCTGTAGCCTGCATTGATACAAAGTTGGAGTAGTATTCGAGCCTTTTGAGGATTCAAATATCCACCGGCAATAACGTTTTCCATAGGTCTATCATTGACCTTGGGCAATGCTTCAATTGGAACCATACCTTCCATAGACCGTTTACTGTAAACTATAGGAATTTCTGAGTTTACCAAAGTCGACAAGACCTCATTCGTTCCTGTTGATAGAGAGCCCGCCCCCATTGTAGCAATTACCAAACCCTTGGCCTCCAACTCTGTAATCATCAACTTGATGATTTTGTTATTGAAACCTTGGTGTGCATATAATATGGGAATTTCAGGAAGACAGAGCTTCTTGCCTACTTCAAATATGGTTAGTCCTAGAGGCTTGGCAGGTGGGTAGTAGTACCTGACCTGGTTGTTGACAAAATTGCCGATATAGCCTTGACCTACACTTTTAAAAGTATCTAAACTATTAGCATTTGATTTGGTGATATAGTATCCAGATCCAATTCTGTCATTCAACGATGTCAATACCCCTCTTCCATGACTTGCGGGGTTGGATGCAATAACAATTGCCTGGTACAAGTTCATAGGCCCATCTGAAGAGATTGCCGAACTGGGTCTCATACTCCCACAAAATACAATTGGTTTGCTGGTGTTTATTGTAGATTGGATGAAAAATGCCGTTTCCTCCAAGGTATCGGTTCCGTGTGTGATTACAAGTCCGTCATATTTGTCAAGGTCTTCAACTATTTGGTTTCTCAATAAAACTACCTCTTCCAAGCCAATTTCGGACGAATCTATATTCATAACCTGCTCATATTCGAGATGACATGTACCGAGTAGATCAGGTATTTGACTTACCAACTCCTCAATGGTCAAATCTACTTTATAGCCTGCAGTTGCTTGTGATGAGCTTGCTTTGGAGGCAATGGTACCACCAGTACCCAATATCTTAACTGTGGGCAACGGCCGATCGTTTTCGGTAGTAGTAGATGTCGATATAACGGAGCAGGAACGAAATCTCAATTTGAACGCGTGGTGGTCGCGGTTATTATGGAAATCGGCAACCTCAACAGTATTGCGGATATTATCGGGAGCCTCCCATAGTGGGACAAAGCTGGTTATTGAGTCCATATTGTCCATTATTAACGATATAAAACAATATCAAAAGTTAGACTTTGGGTATCAATACCATCAGAATTTCTTTTTAATTCAATTTTTTCTTTTTTTTGACATGTCATCGTACTTGGTAGCGAAATAAGACGTTTAGATTCATTCTTGTCTCTCCCCTTATGATTATAAAGTTATGAATACCGAAGTTGGTTCCAAAACTTGTTAATTCTTGAACTCAATAAGTTTCAAACTATATAATAATTGGTTTATACTATTTGTGGTTATTGTTGTATTATGTAGAAAGAAATTGTTACAGATATTGTTGTATCGGGAGAGAAAAAGGGGGTGGACTTTTCTACCCCCTTTATTTCTTAAGCAGTCTTTTTTTTTTTTTTTCATTATTCTTTTAAATCTACACTCTTTTTAATAACACTTCTTTTATACTTGACCAGAGACATCAACTAATTATTAGTGTTATACATACTAGAAATGAGGAGTAGCATAACAGACAGCGGTGTTGAGGTTATTTACCCAACACAAGTGCCTAGACTCAAACGTGAGTATAGAACAGTCAATTCGGAAATTGCTTCTCGAATGGAAGCAAGAGCTAATACTACCTCCGAATTCGACACAAGCACTGACTACACATTCAGTCCCCAGAACATTAGTAGTTTCCATTCACCCTTTAACTCTTTGAATCCACATTTAGTTGTTAGTACTCCTGATCAGAGCAAAGTCAGGTTTCAAGAGCCTCACTCTTTGAGACATGGTAATCTTGGTATGTTTGACAATCCGGTAGCGGTAGCGATGCCACCATACCAAAATAAGGAATTTTTCCGTTTTTTACAAACAATGGCCAAGGACTTGGAAATAGAGTTTTCTGAAAACTGTGAAAAGGACATTATTGAGAAGGTTTGTGACTTGAAGAGATCTTTAAAGAGTAATCAGTTTCAAGCTTCAAAATACTCTGAGGAATGTCGTGATCTTCAAGAGAGGTTAAATATCAAGCAAGTAGAAAATGCCAAACTTCAACAACAAGTAGATCAAAGTGCCAATGAAGCAAGAAAAACCTTGTCGGATTTGTTAGCTTGTAAAAAGGACTGTGAGACAATTGAAGCAGAGCTGTTGAAGAAAATGGAATCACAAGAAAAGTTGATTGGAAAGTTGGAAAGTGAATTGGCTAAAGTAACCAAGAGAGAAGCTCAATTGGCAAAGGAAAACCAAACTCAAACAGCTATAAGCAATGAGATACAGAGTTTGAGCAAAACCCACGAAACAACATTGAGTAAAAAGAAACAATTGGAGACGGACTTGTTGAATTTGCAGGAGAAACAAAAGAACTTGGTCAAGGAGAACCAGGACCTCAAGGCGTTAATTCTGTCAAATGAAAAAGAATTGCAGCAACTCCGAAAACTAGCAGAAGCAGCAAAAGATTCAACTGAAGAAAAGAAGCAGTTGGAAAAGAAGATTGCGTTTACCAAATCCAAGTATTTGAAGAAAATGAAGAATGTTGAAAACGAATCAACAAAGATTATCCATCAATTATACGTTGAAATCAAAATTTTGAAAAACATAATTGAACTACATGTTGATAACTCGAATTTGGCGTCAAACGAGTTAACTTCGCCAATTGAGGAAATAAAATTAGAGTTGGATAAACGGTTGTTCACATCTCCCGAGTCCGATTCTAATGTGTTATACTTGCGTCAACTATACGAAAACAGGTATATCAACGCTTTAAATGAATCTAAGGAACTTTTAGACTCAAACAGGATAAATGAAACAATGATTGTAAATCTATTTAAATTGAGTATTGGCTATTTCGAAAAATTGATACCTAGACATGAAAAAAACTCATACTTTAATTTACTAGTTAAAGAATTGCACAATAGAAAGATTTTGCTGAAAAATGACCTAAATTTGATTAACAAGTTGGTCGAGACGTTTGATTACTTATTTGGAGAAGTCAATTCAAAGATGACAGAAGTGGAAAAAAGGGCCATACCCAATCTATAAAATACCTAACAATGCCTTCAATGTCCAATGTTTGTTTGTCTTTACACTATAACTACCATTTCAGTAAATTTGCATTTATATTTGGTTGCGCTACTCAAAATCAAAATTATTTTCTTTTTTTTTTTTTTTTTTTTTTTTTTTTCCCCTTTTTTTTTAGCGCAAATTTTTTTTTGCAGCTATTATACTCTGTGCAAATTAATTCTAGGTTAACTTGCAGGGTATGAATTTATTACGTAGTGCCTATTTCAATTAATGCCTCGTGAACAATGCCCCCGTGGGCTTTTAGAAAATGTCTACAATTCGAATTGGATCAAAATCTCAAGACAACGTGGGTTTCTCCAACGTATATATACTATGTCTCGGTAGGTTGAAAAAGATGTATATTTTATAGACTTTGGTTGAAAGCAATATGCATATTCCATACTACTTTCCTACTATTATTCTCCTGCAAGCATTGTTTACCAATGCAAAGACATATACGTTTCCCGCATTTGAGTCGTCTACAACATACTTTGAGCAAAGCGATCCTCAAGTTTCAGTTGCCCAAGTGAAGTATTCTCAAAACTTTGGTTTGAAAACAGAGTTTTCATGGCAAGACGTTCTAGACCAGTTAGATGCAAATCATAAGTTATTCTTTTTGATTAGACACGGTTTCGGTGTACATCAGTGCAATACGCCATCAACCGACTGGACATGCTACTGGGAAACATTAGACGGCTATGATGGTCAAGTATGGGCTGATGCTTTGTTAACTCAAAAAGGGATTGATGAGTGTACAGCACTTTCGAAACAGATCAAAAGTACCTCAAACTTCCCCTTTCCAAATACGCATTATAGCAGTCCATTGAGAAGAACATTGCAAACATGGCAGTATGTTTGGAAGGATATTACCAATGATGCTCCCATAATCAAAGAATACGCAAGAGAAACTTACGGAATTCAAACCGAAAGTAAACGCCACAGCAAAACTTATATTCACTCAAATTGGCCATATGCCACTTTTGAAGATGGGTTTACCGAGGATGACAAATTGTGGGAGGCAAATTCGAGGGAAACGGGCCAACATCGTAAATTTAGAGCAGCATCATTATTAAACGACATTTTCGACTCAACGAGCAGTGATGAAAAAGTGATAAGCATTGTGTCACACTCTGGTATGATAGGCTCATTGCTAAAAGTTGTTGGTCACAGAGAATACCCTGTTGATAACGCAGTGTTGATTCCGGTTTTAGTCCAGCGGAAAAAGCATAAAACAAAGGATTATGTGTTGGATAAGCCCGATAAGACTTTCAGTGATATTTGTCCTGATAAGCCTTCTCAGATTACCCAAGGACCAGGTTTGACCTGTAGTGCTGCTCCTTTCAGTGGAAGTAACTGAAATATCTTGCTAAGAGTCCTTCCTAATCTAAAGAATCTACTGTTTCTTCTGTCTTATCTACTGATCTTTACTGATCTCTACTGATCTTATCTACTGATCTTATCTACTGATCTCTACTGATCTTCTCTACTGATCTTCTCTACTGATCTCTACCGCTCTTCTCCCTACTGCTTTTCTCTGCCGCTCTTCTCTCTACTACTTTTTTCGCTAGTGTCCTGCTCTTCTCATCTCTTTTGGTTTATCACGCGTTTGGTGATGAAAAAAAAAGCAATGAATTGGAACCTCGTTTTAATGCGCGCCTGTTTTTAAAGTTTTTCACTTCTCAAATAGAGGAGAGGGTTCATTGACCATAAGTCAGATGGACTTACTCCAAGTTTTGAATGGCAGTCAACTGAGGAAGCGACTGCGTAAGGGGACGGAAGTATATGGCAAACTGAAAATCTCAAAGCAGACGGGAGAAAATGAAGTATTTAGTGCTACGGAGATTAATGCTATCGAGGACATCAATAACGAGCCTGATGATGGTGGTAGAACTCCTATGGTATCACTCAAGACTAATATGAATAGAACAAAACCAAAAAAAGACTTTAAACTAGTGCAAGACCTGGCTTTGAACAGAAATATAGACTCCCTTCTTATAGAAAACCCTTTTCCGTTGTCAGAAGATAATCCTATGAGAGGTGAAAACTACCCCACCACCACCACCACCACCACCACCACCACCACTGTGAGCAATCCTGGCAACTCTCTATTTGCAAGGATGATGGCAGCGAGCCGTGAGGTAAAATTGGCAGAAAAAGCAAAAAATAGTAAACTTTCTTCAGAGCTGCGACGACTTGATCAAGACAGACAAATGTACGATTGTACATTTGTTGACTTGGATACAGCTCCTACCAGCAAACCAGGTAGTCTATTAAACACGATATATGACCCTCATGGTGCAGATGAAGAAAAAAGTTATTTTGTTTCCCTTAAACTAGATATGAACAAGATTAATAAGTCAAATTTGAATGCGGTGTTGGGGGAAACACGAGAGATTGATGCGGCAGATAATACAATGACAACCGTAGAAGAAGCAAATATCGAAAAGGCAAAAGAAGATGAAGCTTGGACAGATTCTTCTGGTAACTCTTTATTTGCATGTGAGATACGTAGTGGTGCTAGTGCCTTAATCAAGCAAGCACTGTCGCCAAAAGTGAATAACATGAAACCTCAAAAGTTTGAATCGAGTGAGAATTTGTTATTTAGATATGATGGAGACTACCAGAAGACATTAATACTAGAGAAAGATACCTCAATTGACTTAAATACAACTGAAAATGACGACGACAATGACGACGACCTGTCTAAGAACAAACCAACTTTTTTTGTAACACTAAAAGTAAACTCAAATAAGCACAAGACCAATGAGAATGGAGCTCAGAGACTGATACCTAGCAACTCAATATTTGCCAGTATGATGGCTGCCAGTCGAAGCTCTGTAAATACAAAACCATCATTACAAGGGAAGAAAACAAAAACTGTCAACTCCCAACTGAACGGGTTTCCACAATCATCTCGAGATGATCGATCCCCAAAAAGAATTAACCAGGAAAAGATTGAAGAAATCGATTCTTCACGGAACATTCAAAACAAGGACAATACAAATACGATGGAAAACAATGTTTCTCAAGATACACAAAAGGTGTCTTTATTTGCAAGCATGATGTCTGCCAGTCGAAATGCTTTCAGGTTGAATCCTCTCCAAAAGCTTAAAGAATTGGAGCCTCCACATCTCAAACCAACTGAGTTTCTAATATTAGATCATCAGAGGCGGCCGTCTCCTTCTCTTGTTGGACCTACTAAACAGAAACGCAAAAATGGTGTTTTTATTGAGGAATTTTCCGGATTATGCCCCTCAACAGGTACGAAGACACCAACTCCAGAATACCTATATGAAATAAAAGATGATGATCTCGCTGATTGTGCGTTGAAAAAGTTACCAAGGTTGCAAAAATATCCTCCGTTACGAGCTGTCTTTGATTTGATAGGACAACAGAATAGCAGCGAGTTGTGGGTTAACAAGTTTCAGCCGGTACGCATGGACCAATTGCTTATCCACAAGGAGAGTATTAATCAAGTTCGCAATTGGATTGGTAACTCGTTTCTCAAAATGAAGAGTCAGGCACCTGTTCAAGGCGTCAATAGATATTTCAAAACAAAACAAAACAATTCTTTTATAGTATATGACGACGAGGATACGGAAGATGAAGGGTACCTGCCGATATTAATTCTTCAGGGTTCTTGTGGGTCAGGAAAATCAACTGCTGTCCATACTGCGATGAAGGAACTAAATGGGTATGTTCATGAAATTAACAGCGGCATGTCTAGAGGAAGAAAGGATATTTTCAATGATTTGAAAGAGCTTTGCACTACGCAATTGGTACATGACACCAATGGGTTCCAAAAGGGAATAATTTTATTCGAAGATGTTAATGTTCTTTTTGAACAGGATAAAAGTTTTTGGACTGTAGTTCAGGATCTTATCAAGGTTTCTAGACGACCCATTGTTATCACGTGTGAAGAACTATGGAACATTCCAAACACTTTAGTTCAGTGTGCACTAGAGGATGACTCGATCATTTATTTAGATGACTTTGTGGTATCGAGAAAATTAGTTTTGGATTATTTGTGGTTGTGCTGTTTGGTCAATGGATTTGATGTTGAGGATGCTATCATTGGACAAATCATTGATGAAAACTGGAACGGTAACAACTATGACTTAAGAAGGTCTCTAGCCGCCTGTGAGATGATGTGCAAGGTAGAGAGACGAGGCAAGTTGATAGTAATCAAAAAGAATAAACCTGACCTCAAGAATTTAACTTCAACTTCAACTTTAGATTCAGCTTCCTCCTCCACCTCTGCAACAGCAGCAGCAACAGCAGCAGCTTATAAAGATGAGCTCCAAGCCATGAGCATCAGGTTGGATTTGAAATCGTGTCTCAGTTTGGTAAAAGAGGAACATATTGACACTTTTTGGTTTTTGCCAAATCTCAACCATGATAATAATAATTATGATAATAATGATAATAATAATAATAATAATAATGATGATGATAATGATGATGATGATGATCCTGTACCCAAGTTTCATTTCAATAACGTCAAATTTGAGTACTTTAACTTCATTGAATCTAGGTCCAGAACCTCGCGTGCTTCAAGGTCAGTTTGCATTTCCACACCCACGATACCAAGCACGTCTTATTTACACAGCATTGCACCACAATCGTTTCTCCTTGATTTACTACCCTTTGCAAGAACATGGCAAGTTTTCCAAAGACAAATTGATTTATTTGAGAAAAAAACACAAGAAGAAAACCAACCTAGTTTAAAGAGATTTTTAGAGTATCGTGACTTTCAATATGATTCGGCTCTTGAAAAGACGCTAGTAGTTGAAGATATTCTTTTTTTTTTAAATTAATCTAGTTCTTGTTTTAACAACACCACCTCCAAATGATCTTGCAGCCTTGTGTTTAAAATTGGTCTTTTGTAATCGTCTCCAAGCTTCTTCAATATGATACGGCATAATAGGTGAGGCCAACTCATCCGGCTTATCGAACAAATACTTTCGCTTTTTAGGTTGTTTCTTTTGTTCCATGTTCTTTTCTCTCTGAATTTGAGTTAGCTTATCCTCTGAATTCTTGATATTCATAGCTTCTTCAGTAAGGGAACATACAATTTCAAATGTAAGGAATCCCAATATATCAATTACATCATCATTAGGTCTCGAATCGCATAGCTGCGCCATTTGGGCCCATTCTCGAAACCTTTTTGCTTTACGAAAAGTGAATGACGCTTGTCTACACTCGGCCCAGTGCACATACTCCTCTCGCGTCATATTCCTCGTTCTATCATCGGCCATTTTTAAGCGCTTTAAGGAAGCAATGGTTGCGGCTTTTTCTTCTTCGTCCACTTGTTCGCTTTCTTCAGCAGTTTCCAAATGTTGCTCGCTAAACATAAACTGTAATTCCCACGGTAGTCTAATTTTGGACTTTTTGTACCTCGATAGCATCTTAGAGCTGTCATTTGCGCCTTGCAGTCCTGGCGTGCCGCCGTTCGCGGCGCCGCCCGCTCCATTTCCTTCACCTGCACCACCTGCACCACCTTCTAGTAACGACTCTGTTCCTCCACCTTCTTGATCCTTGGCATTTTTCCTCACATCCTTCCACGAGAGGTATGTCCTTAGCCGGTTGACTTTTGCCTTATCATGTCTGATCAAGAAAATCACATCCTCGGGAGCAATGCTTTTGGACCCTCGACTATTTGCAGTCTTGGTGGTTTGTATTAAAATTTCAATAACTTGGCCACGCACAATATCTTCAATCAACGATGTTGTCTCAACAGGCGGGTCATTGGTTTCGCCAGAAACAAACATCATTTGTTGTATTTCTATCCTATACTTGTACTTGTTCTCACTAGCCATCTTGGACTCTCACCGGCACCTACCGTCACAACAACTAACAAGATACCCCTTTATCCCAACTTACCCCAAAGGTATACCATATATATATATATATCTTTAATTTTAAAGGCTTCATTTTAAAAGTGCGGTGTATTTTCCAAAAATGGAAAGTGTCGCTTGCTCAATGTCCAATGCGTTTTTTGTGACAATTCAATACTCGATCCATCGCATCGCTCAAAGATTTAAATATGAAAAATTCAAGATTAAAAAAATTTTTCAAATACACCACTTTTTTTCTTTTACACTATCGAGCAAAACGAGGTAGTGGAGCACATTGTGCTAATAGATAACGACTAATTGTATGTTAGATTTATATGTAATGTGGTTATTCAAGAGTTATTTTTTTTGATGAATTCGAGTGCATTTGGCTCGAGACGTAATGTCGATGTGGAAAAACCCTAGCTACCTTTTTTTATTTTTGTCTGATTATAATATAACTTGTTACCATATACTATTGGGAAGCTCCACTATCGAGCGAAGCGAGATAGTGGAGCACATTGTGCTAATAGAATTTTTACTAACTTTGATTACTAGACACTATGGAGCGAAGTAAAAAGCTGCACTATCGAGCGAAGTAAAAAGCTTCACTATCGAGCGAAGCGAGATAGTGGAGCATATTGACTACACCGACATAGACACTATCGAGCGAAGCGAGATAGTGGAGCCCATTGACTACTCTCAAACCTCATCACAATCAAGCGAAGCGAGATAGTGGAGCTCACTGACTACTCTCGAACCTCGACACAATCGAGCGAAGCGAGATAGTGGAGCTCACTGACTACTCTCGAACCTCGACACAATCGAGCTCATTGACTACTTTCAAACCTCGACACAATCGAGCTCATTGACTACTCTCAAACCTCGACACAATCGAGCTCATTGACTACTCTCAAATCTCGACACTATCGAGCAAAGTGACACTATCTCGCTCTGCTCGATAGTGAAGCATACTGACTAGCTTATTACGACACTTTGACTACACCGACACTAGCCGCTGACACTGAATACTCTGATTGACTTTTCAAGTACACAGTGATTTGGTGTGCTCTTGTCTTTTGCTAGGTTTTCGTCTTGGCAAACTTTTCATTATTTTGTCAGAGTTTGAGTGATTTGGTGTGCTATAGTGTCGCTGCACGATAATGCGGTAGCTAGTGTGCTCTACTATCTCGCTTCCTCGATAGTTGATGTGTCGATAGTGTTTACTTTGATTAATTTATACAAAGATTAGTTAAAGAGTCGTATACCAGAGTCAATAGTAGCCACCTCCTCATCAAGGTCCCTTTCGTCTTCTTGGTCAATATCTTCTTTTTCGTTCATATTGACTTTTTGCCCCAATAACGAAGCGAAAAACTCATCAATTTGATCATCATTCCATTTCCATTGTCCTTTGGATGTTTCGAAATTGGCAATTTGATCTTGTACATGAAATCTTAATTTCCTTCCCTTTGAAGCCTTTGTATCAACATTGTTTGATAATTTATTTGCTCTTTGTGCTGACTTGATTATGGTAATATTTGTAGTTGGATCCGACATTTGAACTTTTCTATCAACCAAATCGTTTAGTAATACACGGTAGAAATCCTCATCATCAAAGATGTACTTATTCTCCATGCCTTGATTCTTTTCACGTGGCATATTATTCTTTGCAGGTACTATAGAATCATCGGTTTGCACCTCTGATCCTACCTCTTTGGTTTCTTCCTCCTCAATGTAGCCAATGGGTGTAACCTGTTTTCTGTTCAATTTCGTTCTCTTGATTAGTCTATCCATGTCCGCTAAATTGTTCTTCACCTGCTGCTCAAAAGATTGGTTGATGGCCTTGAATTTACTTGCATTGATAGCACTACTTCCAGAGGAGTTTTGAACTTTGGTTGACCATTTGTTCAAGACGTTTGCACGCTCGCTGCTTAGTCTCTTGTCGGCATTTGTAGTGACAAGCGAATACTCCTGAAATGTCCTCTTCTTTGAAGCCTTGATTTTGGTATCCTCTAATTGAGATCTAAGCTTAAATATACTATCCAACAAGCTGTAAAGCTGGGATTTTGTTTCTTTGACTAGCGAGTCGGTGGTGGATTCGGACCGATTATCTTTATATACTTGTGCGTTGATTGGTAGCTTATTCGCCGAGTTGATTGCTTTTTGGAACTTGATTCTGACATCAATTAGTTTATCATAAGTTTTATTCTGCTGTTGCACTGCAAAGCCTTTCAAGGAGTCTTCAATTGCAGACTGTGATAGTCTATTGATAATCAGGGAACGCTCTTTCTCCACCAACAGTTTGATTATATTTTTGCTACGACTGGAATGAAGATGACTAGATGGTGCATTTGCAAAATCTTTTCCTGACAGTGTCAGATCCGAATCTGAATGAGATGACGCATCGGTCGTATCATCCTCCACATCTGAAAATTCTTGAGGTTTTTCCTGTACCCCATTTCGACTGGCCTCTTCCTCCTCCTCCTCCTCCTCTTCTTCTTCTTCCTCCTCCTCTTCACTCGTTTCTTCCTGGTACAATTCACTTCTCGAAACTAAATCCCCAGTATACTTCTTTCCTAAATTCATACCCTCCTTATTTCTCAACATAGACTTTGAAGACACAATATAGTGTTCCCTTTGTAATTCATCATCTGACTCCAGCTCATCTGAGTCGTCAATGTCCTCATCCTTATGTTGAAATAAATCTCCTGTCAGTTTACCCGACTCAAAGTCCTCAATATCATACTCATCTTTGGGATTGTATGACTCCGAGATTTTCTCAGCTAGCAGTTTCTTCACCATAACGAGTTAACCTTGTGTGAGCCAACACGGGTTTTTTATTCAAGATGGAAGCGATGAGCATCTCAAAAAGGTAAATGTATAATTAGAAACTTTTTTTTTTTTCCGCACTAGAGATGAGGAAAGAGATGAGAAAAACAGAGTCTAAATGCAAGTCTAACTTTGATGGATTCTATAAGGTTGAATTGGGAACCCACGAGCAAAGAGGATCTACTAAACTTACCAGAAGTATCAATACGGGATAAGATTCAGATACACACGGGTTTATTGGAAAAATTGAAAAATTCAGTCTTTAACCTTGCTTCTTCTCTACCAATTGGATCATACGTTTAATGCAATCAAACTTGTAACTCGAAAATTCCTCTAATTTATGTATGTGAAGATCTTCCAGCTTGTTTAGATGAAGATTTTCTAAATGAGGTTACACTATCGACACTATCGAGCGAAGCGAGATAGTGGAGCACCATTGACTAGTGACACTATCGACACTATCGAGTGTCAATATAGTGAGTGGCAGCTAGTGTGCTCCACTATCTCGCTCTGCTCGATAGTGTCGGCACCATTGACTAGTGACACTATCTAGCGAAGCGAGGTTCTTCTAAATGAGCTAGTGTGCTCCACTATCTCGCTTTGCTCGATAGTGTCGGCACCATTGACTAGTGACACTATCTAGCGAAGCAAGGTTCTTCTAAATGAGCTAGTGTGCTCCACTATCTCGCTTTGCTCGACAGTGTCGATACTCAGACAATTCTATAATCAATATATAGAGATGACTCCTTGTCTTAAAGCTGCCCCTGTATGTAACATTCGGTCACGTGGGGTGGGTTGCTCTAGACTCGCAAAGAAAATCCTCATTTTGTTCCATCCTTGATGTTTTTAGTAAGCAAAATGGAAAATCACCAAAGATTTTCCGTGTATATAAAATAAAATGAACACACACTGGTCTCCGCCGTTATAGGCTGGAAAAAAAAGGAACATTTTTTTTCTTCCTTCTAGTTCTATTTTCTTTTTCACACATTACCAGGGTCAATTTCTTTATTCACAATGGTTACTGCAGTTACTTCAAAAGCTGAGTTCGATGAAGCTATCAAGTATCAAGGGTTAGTTGTTGTTGATTTTTTCGCTACTTGGTGTGGTCCATGTAAAATGATTGCTCCATTATTGGACAAGTTTAGTAATGAATATTCAAATGTCAAATTCTTAAAAGTGGATGTTGACGAATTGAACGAAATTGCTGAACAATATGAAGTGAGCAGTATGCCAACTTTGATTTTTTTCAAAAATGGACAACAAATTCATAAAGTGATTGGTGCTAATCCTTCTGCTATCAAACAAGCAATTTCATCAAATGCTTGAAGATAAAATTTGGTAGGGTTTGTACAGTATATATGTATGTTATGTATAAAACAGAATAAATAGCCAAAAAGAAGAAGAAGAAGAAGAAGAGTTGTTTTTATTTGATGTATATGTGTCAAACGATAACCTTGTTTAACAATTCTCTCTTTACTATCGAGCGGAGCGAGATAGTGGAGCATACTTGCTTGATAGACTACTGTCTCTTTCCTATCGAGCGGAGCGAGATAGTGGAGCATACTTGTTTGATAGACTACTGTCTCTTTAGTATCTCACTCTGCTCGATAGTGGAGCATACTTGCTTAATAGACTACTATCTCTTTATTATCTCGCTCTGCTCGATGAAGTTAGTCTCATAATAAGAGGAACTGTCTTGGAAAAAACCCCCAAAAGTCAATGCGCTTAGTGCACTTGGTAGTAAACCAGTACCAACTTGTATTTGAAATTGCTCTACCCCTTTAAATTCCATGAGTAAGGGGTGTTGATACTACATACTGCTCCACTAGATCGCTTCGCTCCCTAGTGTCGCTAGTGAGAAAGAGAGAGAAAGATAGAGTCAGTGCATAATAATACTGTTTTCTACTATTAAAATTTACTCAAAAATCGAATCTCCTCTCCTTATACAAGTAACTACTCTTCAGGGTGCTTACTCGTATAAAAATATTCCTAACTCCCAAAAAGTGTTCCACCAAAAACCATTCCATAACCATCATCCAAGTTTTCAATAATGTTGTTAAACCAAAACCCAATCAATACAACCACGTATATCAAAATCAAAATCACCCCCTTAAAGTAATTCGACTTTCCCTCTGCGTAGATATAAGTAAATAAATAAATCGAAATTAATGTTGCAATAATATCCCATCGAGGAAACACTAATGAAAACATCTGTTCAACGCTGACAAAATCTTTCACCATCGAGTACACCACAAGACATGGAATCTGAATCAAAACAACTTGTAGTGCATATGCACTACCAATTTCCATAGATAATGCAACATTACCACTAATAGCAAATGAAATGGCATTCAAAAACTCCGTTGTATTTGGAACCAAGGCAAAAATCGTTAATCCTAAAAATTTGGGATCGATTGGGAACTCTGCCAAAATGGAATCAACATTATCAACCAATATTTCTGCAATCACAGCATATAATACTGTGGCCCCTAATAATATTACCGTCGATTTACTTCTTGACCAGTTCGGTGCATCGTGGCCACCAATATCGTCGTGCTCATCGTCTTCTTTATGTTCTTTTATTGGATCATTGTCCTGTATGCGTGGCTCTAACGGGGGCAAATTTGGTGGCTGTTGTTGTTGTTGTTGCTGTTGTTTTGGCAAATTCAACGCTTTTGATTGAGAAGGATTCATACTTGTTATACTAGGAGATCTAAGATAATCATCTCTGCGCACAGCTTCATGCGAATTCGCCGCCCAGATAAGTGATGCGTGCGTTCTCAAAGTAAAATATAATCCACATATATAAGCTGCAAATAAAGCTAGAGCAACAATTAACGAAAATGGCTCAATAACTCTATAATAAAGTGAATCCAAAGTGAATGACGGTTGAATGAATCGACATTTTGTGCAGTCATCGATACCTGACTTCACATCGCAACTCTTGCATTTGATTTCATAAGCTCCATAGATCTGGTAAAATAATGATGGTGCAAACATTATCACCATGGCAAACAACAACATTGTAGAAGAAACACCAGCAGATCTGGGATTATATCTTTGTGTTTTTCGCTTTAACGCCCCACCGCACATGGAAAGACCAGGCAATAAAAGCACACCTCCCAAAATAGAGCCTATCATTGAACCTTCAACTATTTTCCCCTTTGATTGGTTCAAAGCAACACAGTATAAGAAAATTTCCACAATCGTAGAGAAAAAGGCATTGATTACTGCACCAACACCCATCGACGATTGGGCCGAAATGGAAGCAACTGCTTGTCCAATAAAATACGCCAACGGTATGATTGAAAATAAACACAAGCAGAATATGGTACTTGAATCGGTGAAAAATGTCTTCCATTTTAGTTTGTCCTTGAGGAAAAAGTTATCAACAATAACAAATATCACAACAGACAATAAGTTGATGAAGAAAATATTCGTTCCGTCTATAGTATACTTGTAATAGTGCATACCACAGCATCTATAAGTACATAGCACAATCGTCTGTTTTTTCTTGTTCAAATTTGGATTCTGATCTCTTTTCTTATAGTACTCTTTTTCCAATTCAAAATCTATAGCCAATGGATGACGCCTCATGTGATAGGTCAAGATACGTGTGATATTGGCCATTGGAACGGTAAAAACTATCAACCAGCATAAAAGCCCAACGATAAAAGAAACAGGCTGCAAAATGGTATAAAAATAAATGTAAAAAGCAATTCTGCCCACGTTCCAATTCCCTCTTCCAAAAAACCTCACCTTGATATCACTGTTTTCTTGGTCTTGGTCTTCAGAGGTAGTTTCTGGCACCTTATTCTGATTACCATCTTCCAAAGAACTATAAGCGTCCCTTAAAGGTCTGCCTTTATGATCTTTCAACAATGGAGCCGAGTCGCTAGCACCTGTATACCGCCTGGGTGGTGCAAAAAATAACCGACCTTCTTCTTGTAATCGCCACTGATGAAATTCGTTCAATGTTCTTCCCTCCAGCATGTCCTCATTCAAGTAATTTTTGTCCTTGTTTAAAAGAACAAACTTCCCAAATGGATATAACCAGTACTTGCCCAATTTCAAAAATGCTTTTGCATAGGGTCTCAGTGACTTTTGAATTCCAAAACCGGAAAAGATGATGACAAATGCAGCACCAACGAGACACAGGATGTAAATGATTAACCCTGCAGTTATACTCCACGCCAAATTCGTTAGTGTAACCCCCCAGTATATCTTTGCAGTTGGTGTTCTTGGGTCAAAATCGTGTATATCCTCGTCAGCTCTGGTAGCCACTGATCTTTTCTTTTTATACAACGATGGTTTCCAAATCTTAATACCAAAGGGATGAGTTGAGTTAATGGCAATTTGTCGGTCCCTCAAATTGAGTGACTCCAAGGATGAGCTGGAATGTATAGAACCATTATCCCCTAACCCATCTCCTGCTTCTGCACCTTCGTCGTCGTTTTCATTTTCTTGTTGTTGTTGTTGTTGTTGTTGTTGTTGTTGTTGTTGATCTACACTATCTAGAGGCTCATTATCTTCCCAATTGATCCGTTTTTTGCTTTCATTCTGTCTTGTGCGCCATTCCCCCTCTCCTCGAAGGTCTCTTATGGCTGCCTCTAGAGTGTCTTTGTTTTCAGAATCTTGAACTTGTCTTATGGAGCTCTTGTTATTCCATCTCATAGACAAAGCTTTTAAAGCGTCGTTGTACCCTTCCAAGTAATCTTTATCATTTACTATGCTCAGGGTAGAATCGAGGTTTTCGTTTTCATTTTCGTCGTCACCTTCTTGTTCATTTATATCGTCATCCACAGAATAAATCAATTTTGGATGCGACACACTAGCACTCGGTTTCAAATGAGGTCTGGATTTTCTTCTGGTGACACTAGTTGACCTGTTTCTCGTACTTGTTGACAGCAGCACATTCGTGGTACTAGATGCTCTTGAATATTCTTCCTGAGCCAAGTGTTTGTTCACTAAACCAGATTGACCCTGGACCAAATTCAGCATAATCTCTCTCTTCTTCTCTCTCTCTTTCTCTCTCTTTCCCTTTCTCTCTATCTCTACTTCACTTTACTCTATTACCACTTACAAGTCGTATCCTACAACTTGGTTACCGAAACTTAATTAGTTGACTTTTCGTCTATAATGATATTGAATGTTTATTGCAATGGTCTTTAAAGAGCGACGCGCAATTTACTCAAAAAAGAAAAAGTTAGGCGATGACGCTACCATATACACTAAGGAACCTGGAACCTGGAACCTGGAACCTGGAACCGGGAACCGGGGCTCAGAAGAGACATGATTTGGCGAGGGGAGGAGAGGGGTTGGGGAAGGGGGGGTTATGGTTACTCTTTACTTTTTACTCTTTACTCGCCTAGTCTATGGCCCTTTCCCTTGAATGCGCCATTGCCTCCGAACCATGAATAGCCGCTTGCGTTGGCTGTTGTTGGTTCCACCTGCGCTGATGGGCCTTTTTTAATATTTGAAGGATTGTTTAAAGACGGGACTGTGAATGCAGTACTCCTTACTGAAGTGCCCATGGGGTAAGATAATATTTTGTATAGCCATTTTGGTGCTTTTAAGTAGCCCTTGTCGTATATGCTATCATCAATGTAGTCAAAGCGATTACTGGTAGGCTGCTGGTTCACATATGTCATTCCAACTCTTCTTCCCTCGTCACTACGTTTCTTTGTTCTACCATATGCTCCCGGTAACAAGTTGTGGAAAGGTATTGTGTTGGACTGGATGCAAAGGTAAAGATACCCGCTTAATATGCCAACTAAAGTATCTATCAACGCTACGGGCCCACCAAGGATCAATTTGATAATTAGATTGCCCAAGGGTAAGTAGTATGCCTTTATTGGGACAAGGCCCAATAAATTGATAAGGGCGTTTTTCATACTTCTAGACCAAACGTATGTCAAGCACGCCAATAGGTTCTCGTGGGGGAAATAAGAAATCGCAGCTGCATCTCCTGCAATCGCGTCCAAGGTGAAATTAATGAATTGAATAAACGTTCCACATATAATGATGAACCAAAGGTAATCGGGAAAATTCCCCTTGAACTTACCCTCATAAGCTTCCAAATGGTTTGAAAAGGTGTAAAAAAAATAAATATCAAACAAAGCATTGATCCTATTGGTAGACATGATCCCTGAGGGAATTAAAAATGACGTAACAAATCTATACCACCCAAGAACCGCGAGTGAAACAGTCTTGATAATCTCAATCGTTTGGCCCTTTTTAATTACCAATCTCAAAATCCAGTATTGCTCTACCAAGTCACTGAAATTGATGTACAAATTTGGAAAGGCGGAGAAGGATGTTACTCCCAAACACGCCAATACTGAGGAAATCGTGAAAAACCTCGTGACTGGGGGGATACCCTTAATGTTGTCTATTAAAGCATTGGTCATGGCTTGTGCTACTCCACTAGGGTGCTTCTTTTGCTCTTCAATTTATGAGTTATATGACTAAGAGCAAAAAAACTCATGGCTGGAAAAAAAAAAATGGACCGAGAAGTGAAGAAAAAAATGCACCAAATATTCAAGCGATGTAAAGATATATACGACTTGTCTTTCTAGGAGATATTGTTGAAAGACGTTGCCTTTTAAGAGATATATCTGCGCTTTCTTAACTTTTCGGCAATGAAGTTGGTACGGTTTCTTATGAATGTCCCCAATTCCACAAACCAACCTATTACAGTAGAACTAAAGAATGGAAATATTGTAAATGGAACGTTATTATCAGCAAATCCACAAATGAATCTCAATTTGAAAAACGTCAAGCTACAACAACTATATCAAGATCCTATTTTGCTACAGTTTATCAATATCAGGGGAAATCAAATTAGGCAGATTTTGTTACCTGACGACTTGAACATTGATGCTGTATTGGAGAAATCGCAAACGAAAATAAAAGGGCATGGTGCAGGACCAGGCGCCAAGCCGGTGTTGAGAAGAGGGGGCGCGGGAGTAGGAGGTGGAAGAGGTGGAGGTGGGGGCAGAGGGGGCAGAGGAAGGGGCAGAGGAAGGTGAGGAAGTAGGGGAAACAGGGGAAGGTGGGGAAGCAGGGGAAGGTGAGGAAGCAGGGGAAGCAGGGGAAGGTGAGTTTGTTGGTGGTACAAAATCGATAGTAGCCCACTGCACCTGGACTTGGTGGTGGCGTTCGCTACAGCTTTCAATGCATGTATTATTTCACTACTTAGGAGGTTTATTTACAAAAGAAAAATTTGGTCAAAAGCTCTTAAAACCAAGTTGGCTGTTTCTCGGCCCTCTTCTTTAATAACTTCTTGAATCCCGGTCTAGCCTTTACAATAATCTTGTCCATATTCTTAATTGCTTCTTCTCTCTTCTTTAGCTTCTCTTCTATTTCAGCCGGATTAGTTCGTCCAGCAGGTTTGATCATTCCTTGCATCCATACCTTATTATTATACTTCTCTTCATGGAATTTTCGTGGTGTTTGCGGTAAAAGGTCCTGTATCCCAAATTTCTTAGCCAATTTGAACAAATCAGCAGATCTTCGACGTGAATATAGCGAGTTGTACCATTTGCCTGTTTCTAAATTTTTGTTTGGAAAAAATGGATTCTTCAATGGGTCGTTAGTAGTTGATGGGCCCGTTTTATACTCGGCAAAAGGTCTAGGCGGGTACTTTATAAAGAAATTGTGCAATTTTTGAGGAAGCTTTGAAAACGCTTCTTTCGCCGATAATCCTGACATCGAAAAGATCTATGTATATGAAGGTGGGCAGTGATAAGTCTTGACCTACAGTTGAATAAGAAATGAAAAAAATATCCAGTGAGTGAAAAATATACAAAAAAAATTGAGGACGATTCAAGATTACATTTGGTAGCGGTAACGGATTTGATACACCTTTAGCAGATGTTTCAATTTACAGTCGACACTATCGAGCGAAGCGAGATAGTGGAGCAACACTGACTAGATTGAAACTAGCGAGCGAAACCAGATGGTGCAACACTACACTCTCGCTCTGCTCGATAGTGGAACAACACTGTCTAAACCCTCGCTCTGCTCGATAGTGGAACAACACTGACTACACCGACACTGGATAAAACTTGTGGACAGTTACACTCAAAGGTGTAAGGTTTAAAACGTATATACTCTGAGAATATTGGCCTAAAAGATTTCCTCTAGGCATATTTTATTCTCCACCTCTTTCTCTTCCTCTTCCTCTTCCTCTCGCTTTCTCTCTCTTGTAGTATTATTCTACCAATAAACCTTATTCAGGGCCATTGATGATACATTTGACGGTTCCTTTACCAGCTCTTACTGTATCATAAGCCTTGATTGCCTCTTCCCAAGAATACACATTGGTTATCAATTTTTCAAAATCAATTTGAATTTTATCCTTTCCTTGACCATAATTTTGCTCTAAAATCTTGATTGAGGTGGCATAGTCACCGTACCCATATCTAAAGCTTCCAAACAATGTAAGTTGTCTTGTTGAGAATTCAGCAATTGGAAATGGTACATCTCCACTGGCATTACCAATTTGAACCACTTTCCCACCGTCTCGAACAACTTCAACAGCCAACTTGATACATGGAGCAGCTCCAGTACACTCCAAAACAATGTCTGGTCTAATACCATCGAAAGCCTTGATCAAAGCCGAGGCGTTGCCACCACCACTTTTAGAGTTGAATGTATAATTCGCAGCACCAATCTCTTTGGCCAAGTCCAATTTCGAATCAAATATATCAACAACCATAACGTTCAACGCTCCAAAAATTTTAGCTGCTGAGGCAGTTAATAGTCCAACAGGTCCAGCTCCAAAGACTACAACATTTTCACCAAACGACAAATTAGCCAATCTGATTCCATGAACACCAACACTTAATGGCTCAACCATTGCTCCCAATTCCAAACTCACGCAATCTGGTAATTTGTAAACAAAGTCTTGTGGTGATTTAAAGTATTTACACAAGGTACCTGGCGGATTAGGAACATTGGGATCTGCTGGTGGTGTTGCAGCAAAGCTCATATCGGGATCTATCTCGTATTTTCCAGATTTATAAGCATTGCTGTATCTTGAAGGAACGCCCGGCTCTATAGCGACTCTGTCACCTACTTTCAAGTTCTTGACACCATCTCCAATCTCGCTTATGACACCAGACGATTCATGACCCAATACCATTGGCTTTTTCAACTGAAAAGGCCCGATCTTACCATGGGCATAGTAATGAATATCTGACCCACAAATTCCAGTTTTTTTCACTTCAACTATAACATCGTTGGGTGAAGTGATCTTTGGTGGTGCGAGATCTTCGAAAACAATGTCATCCACTTTTCTCAAGACTAAAGAAGGATTACCGGGCATTGCTGATGGGAGGTTAATACTATTTATATAAAAAAAAAAACCCTTCTAAAAAGGTTTCTCGAAATCTCGGAAGTGAAATATGTGTATGTGTGTGTGTGGAGGGGGGGGGGCTACATATCTATATATATAAAAAGAAAGACGATAGAGGGGGAGCAATCTATTTTCTCAATATGAGCACCTAACGCTACCCATAAAAGAGTCAGCTTCTTATATCCGAACACTCAACAAAATGTACCAAGATTCGTGTAATTTCAACGGGATAGTGTTAAATTAATGTGTGTTAAGGATACATCACGTTACTCTGTGTATCTTTTAGTTTAATTTTTTCTTTTTTTTTTTTTTTTTTTAATTTGGTTTGTTTGCAATATGCGATTGAAAAGATTTGATAGAAATATGAAAAGAGATGGAATATTATCGAGCAAAGCGAGATAGTGGAGCAGCACTGACTACATAGACACTACTCAAATTGAGTACAATGGTCATTCTCCATAGAGGCTATACTCTTTTTTGTATTTTTTGTTTTGTTTCTTGTCAAGCTGGGCTTAAAGTTCCATTAATCGAAGTATGTAATACCTATAAGCATTTTTTTGCCAAATATATATATATCTATACGAGAACTTACAAATAAAAAGAAAACAAGAAAACAAGAAAACAAGGCCTGTAGAATTATTAGGCCTGTAGCTCGCTAGGGACGTTCTTCCTGTAGCTCGCTAGGAATATTCTTCCTGTAGCTCGCTAGGAACTTTCTTCCTGTAGCTCGCTAGGAACTTTCTTCCTGTAGCTCGCTAGGGACATTCTTCCTGTAGCTCGCTAGGGACATTCTTCCTCTGTCTCGCTAGACCCCTTACTTGGCAACGTGTTGTAAAGCTTCTAAAACTTCCAATTCTAAATTAGCTTCAGCAGCGACTTTCTCATCTCCGGACTCGGCTCTCTTTTGAGCATCTGCAATCAAGCTCTTAACGGCGCTTGGGTCAAACTGGTCTGGTTTGAATGCTTCGATAGCACTGATAGTCAATTTATTACCGGGTTGCACCATTGCCAAACCTCCACTGACAAAGTATTGTTCTGTTTCGCCTCCTTTCAATATAACCTCCAATAAACCTGGTCTCAATTGCTCTACAATTGGAATATGGTTGGCCAAGATACCCAAGTCACCGTTAATGGATGGTAAGTTGACTTGTTGCACTTCGGAATCGGCGTATAGGGTCTGGTATGGTAACGCCAACGATAATTTTAGGGCATCAGAGGATGCAGTCTCTGTAGCATATGTTCTTCTAACAGCAGAAACCGACTGTTTGGCTACTTGACGAAAAGATTGTCTAAACATGTTCATCAACTAATCCTAATCAACGTTGTAGGTATTAAAAGTAGAACTGATTCTCTTTTGCTAACAATTTTCACTGGCTTTCAATACGTGCGCATAGAGAGAGAGAGAGAGAGAGAAAAAAAAAAAAAATTTAAGTAAGGCTTAATTATACGCAGTACCTAACGCAAATCTGTAATATAATTGGCTTGCAATAAAGATTGGTTCTAGATTACCTAATTGGGCAATATGTTATATTAGCTGCTAAATTGGTTCAAAAAGTTATCAACATCAAATTCATCACCCATTTGATTATTGTTGATATTATTTTGAGCATCTTCACCTTCAAACCCAGTATCGAGCAAGCTCATATTAAGTCCATCAAGAATCAGTTCATCGTTTCCCAATAGATTATTCATATCCAAGTCCATTTCTTCTACATTTTCTGTGCCAAGTTGACCGTTGTTGTTTTGATTTAGGTCGTTGACTTGTTTGTCATTGGCGTTTTTGGTTACAATGTTATTGTTCTGTTGTGGGAAATCTTCTCCGGCATTCTCAATGTCTATAACGTCAAATATGTTGTTGTCGTCAATCTTTTCCGCATCGTCCATGCTCACATCCAAATTCAAATCATTATAGTTCATAGACGATAAAGGATCGTTTCTGTCTCCGCCATTCTCTCTTTGAATCTCGTCCATGTCGAAACCAAGAAAGTCATTGAAATCGTTAAATTGGTCTCTCTGCTGCTGTTGATGTTGTTCCTGTTGCTGTTGCTGTTGTTGCTGCTGCTGCTGTAGGCTCTGTTTCCTCTTTTCTTCAGCTTCTTCCTCTTCAATCCTCTTCTTTTCCTCTTCTTGTCTTAGTCGTTCAAGTTCTGCCAACTCCCTTTCTGCCTGTGCTTTAGCCTCTGCCTCTGCCTCCGCTTCTGCCTTTGCCTTTGCCTTTGCCCGCGCCTCGGCTTCCGCTTCCAACCTAGCTTTCTCTGCGGCCTCGGCTTCCGCTTTTAGCTTTGCTTCTGCCTCTTCTCTCAACCTTTTCGCCTCTGCTTCTCGTTTCTGTCTTTCCAACTCCTCTTTTATCTTGATTTCCTCTTGCCTTTGTTTGTTTCCAATCATTGTGTCAATACACCATTTCGCATCGTTAAATTTGAAAATCGTTTCATCTAGTATCTCTCCAAATTTGTCAATATGGCTTGTCAATTGTTGTATTATCGTTGGTTGTATTAGTTGATTATTTGGGCCCGTAATCAACCTGCTCTGGTTCTTGTTGTTATTGATTATTTCAAACACAAACCCGGCAGTTTTGAGAATATCATTAAGAGAGTTATCTAGTTTTGTTTGTAAATTTGCTGACATCACCTCATAGACCAGACCAAATTTGATACCTCTACAATTATTGTGAATAATTTTTTTTTCCTTCTCGAGCGAAGCGAGATAGTGTTTTGTAGAACAGAGTGGGAAACACTATCGAGCAAAGTAGAAAACACCAGAGTGGAAAACACCATTGAGAGAAGCGAGATAGTAGAGTAGAGTAAAACGAGATAGTGTTGATGGCTGCTAGTCATTGTGCTCCACTACCTTACTCTGCTCGATAGTGTTGATGGCTGCTAGTCATTGTGCTCCACTATCTTGCTCTGCTCGATAATGTTGATGGCTGCTAGTCATTGTGCTCCACTATCTCGCTTCGCTCGATAGTGTCCATTTCTGTTTTGAACCATATCACGTTCTTCTAGAGAGAATCAACAGTATAAAACCTCTACAATTTAGTAAAGTGCAACTGTATTGTCCTGGCTCGCCCTACCTCCCTGGCTCCTCTCTACTCTTTACATCCTGCTCCATTAGGGAGAGAAGCAAGCTGGTATCGCTACTCGCTTCGCTCCCTAGTGTTGCTACTCTCTACTCTTTATATACTGCAACACTAGCTCGCTTCGCTCCCTAGTATCGGTACTCTCTACTTTATACTGCAACACTAGCTCGCTTCGCTCCCTAGTGTCGCTCCTTAGTGTCGCTCCTTAGTGTCGCTATTTTTTGATTAAAAAATTTGCATCCATTTTACTCAAAACATCATCACCAAAATCTACAACTGAGAAAACCACCAAAACAAAAGGTTTATTAATACACATCAAGTAAACAACTAACGGCACTGTTTGTAATATATTACATTACTCTCAGAAAATTATATAGATTTTCAAACTAATATACTTTTTTCCTACTAAAAAGCTCTTTATAAAAAACTCAATTAGCTCCAAATAAGCATCGTTTCACCAATTTGTAGTATAGTTCCTTTCTCCTTAACCAATCCAATCTCAAGTCTCACCTTAATTGTTAGTGAAATCGCGAAATTTCAAAACGCGAAAAATTGTTAAAAACGTCAAACAAACAAAGAAAAAAAAAAAAAAAAGGAAAAGGAAAAAGAAAAACACAAACTTTTCCATATTCACGGGTCTTTTGTGAATCAACCAGTGTTTTTTTCCCTTTCCTTTTTTCTTGTTTGGCATATCGCTAGTGGGGAGGAAGTGAATTATGTTATTTTTCACTATTACTTGCGTATATTTCATTTACTATTCCGTTATTTGGTTTGTTGTTGATTAAAAGGTTTTGGCTATCATTACATATCAAAGTTTATTTCATAAACCTCCTAAACAATACCAAATGTTAACTGACTCACTAGTCTCGAATCAAGGCCCGTTGAGTAATATCTGGCTAGCCGCCAATTACGACAAAAAGTTGACCAAACAGCAGCTTCTAAGCACCAACATCGTTGAGTCGACAGAATATATCAGCAGCTATAATCAACATGAACATCTACATGAACTGGGACAAAGAAAGAAAACAGAAACAGACACCATCACATTAAGACTTTCAGGACAGTTGCTCTTGGGTATCGTTAAAATATATTCAAGAAAAACAAAGTACTTGTTGGATGACGTTAACGATATCTTGTATAAGCTAAAGGCATCATTTAAACTATCGAGTGGTGTTCAATTGGGATCAGATTCTATTATAGCCTCAAATCGGATAAATCTACCTCCAAATCAAACCACGCTTGCCGATATAAACGCGGTCACTTTACAAGACCAGGTATCCGTTTTCGATCTTCTTTACCAAGAAGACTTGGATTTGAATCTGAACGAGCACGAACCTGTCAATAATTTGGCAACCGTGTTTACATCAGTTGGTCAAAACAATGATACCCAAGACACGTCCTTTAACCAATCAATTGAATATGGCAGAGGTATGGATCACAACGATGACACGTCTCACAACTCATTCAATGATATGGAACTAGACTTTGACTTGAATTTAGACGATAATCAATCAATAGAACAAGGAAGAAACGCGTCCATACTCGGTCAAGAAGAAGTAGGAAGAGGAGAAGGAGGAGTTAATAATGATGATGAGCTTTCATTTTTAGCCGAGTTAAATAAATCAAGGAACATTTTCGAGCTCGAACTGGGGCAGCCTATCATTAACATAAACGAAGAAGAAGTAGAAGAAGCAGGGGAGGAAGAGGAAAGAAGAAGAGGTGAAGGAGACATTGCTCTTCAAAATCAAGCATTTTCCCAACTGTCTATACGAAGGCAAAAGCGTAATAGAATAACCGAAGAGGGAGAGATGATAATACCTAATAGAAAATTGGTGGTGGATTCTGAAGAGAATATGGGTGGAATGTCTGTTCAGCTTCTCAAAGATAATCAAGAACTATTAATGAGTTCTCTGAAGGAACATTACATCACTTTGAGGCTTTCTGAGGATGAAAAATTAAAACTAATTCAAGAGCTAGCACAACCTCCATTTTTTTCAAAGAGAAGAAAATTGTGTAATTTGGACACTCAACTTCAACTTAGATGTATGGAATTGGCCCAGTCAAAAGAAAAGAAGAACGAGGAGAATGACGACAATGAAGAGGAAGGGAAAAGCGACAAAGAAGACGACGATGAATCAAACGCCTCTAATGGCTCTGCTCTGGAGACTGAAGACACAAGCTTTGACCTGTCGATGGATTTAGACTTATCACTTGATGTTGATAGTGACGAGTCCGTTCGTCTGAATACAGATGACGAAGATGAAACAGACTTCAATGGAGAAATGTCAAGGCGAACTGCTAGGAGTACTAAACAAATAACAAAGGAATTGCAAAACCAATTTCGAGTTTCAAGTACAGTAACCTTCAACACCTTGATGGAGGCTGACATGAAACTGCAGAATCCAATTGGTATGAAACATGGCAAATACCTCAATGCTAAAAGAGAAGGTGCGAGATGCTTTTTTGAGTTGTTGGTGCTAGCAACTAACGAGTGCATAACCTTACAACAAGAACAATGCGATACTGAGGTATCAAAGGACGTAAACATCTCATCAAAAGACAAACTATACAACTTTCTATAATAGTAATAATAATAACATTGATGGCAATAATAATGACAATAATAACTACATTTTCAGAAATCCCTTATCGAGGTCGTCCTCTTCGACATCAAATACGTAATCCTTATTAAGCTTTAGGATTTGAATCTCTCTCCCTTTACCTATAAGCATCTCCATGGGACCATTAAATTTGATTTGTTTGATTTCGTCTTCTTCCTCGCAAATGGTAATCACTGGTTTGTAAAGCTTTTTAGACAAATTCCAAAACTCAACGAGATATTTTCCAAAAAATCTCCCAACTGTAGTGAACTGATATTGATTTTGAGGTCGTTTGATTATTTTGTTAATCACATAATTTGTGGGTATCACTTTATAGGGTTGCGTTTGACCATGCTTCCAAATTCTTAAATGCCAATCGAGGTGAGAAGTCACAATAAACTCATGACTCAACTTTACCATAGCAGTGACAAGAAGACCAGCACCAGCACCAGCACCACCAGCACCAGCACCCTCTGCCTCGTGAGCTTCATTCATTTGTTCATCATAGAGTTTACCGTCGTTGGCAGCTAATAACAACTTCGATCCTAGTTCAATGTCGTCGCCAATAGTTTCTTTACTACCCGTATATATTCCATGTTCAATACAAAGACGGAAAATTCCGTCCTTCTTTACCAACTTTTGAGAAAACTTTGGCTTACTTAGTAAATTTGTGGACCACAAATTCGTTACACCGTCTTTTGAAACTGACAATAAACAATTGTTAACATTTACCTTGAGCTGCTCCAAAAGCACTATCTTGCTTCGATGCTGGAACCATGACTGCTCACTTCCTAAGGAGAAAAAAAGCGAGTGTGTAGATAAAGTCGGCACTTGGATCAATGCGCTATCGTCAATCTCCCAAATAACCAACTCTCCATTCTTCAATGCTCCTATTATCCTGTTTCCTTGGTGAATATCGAACTTCAATTGTGTTAGCTCGGAGGAGCATGTGAGATAGTGATAGGGGAGTAGTGTTTGATCCTGGAGTTGATACAAGATTGCAAAAAATTCGTACTGCTGTGGCCTTTGAAAACCGACTAGTATCTGACTTGCAGTATGTGGCGATATGTCAAAAGTTTGTAGCTCACGATCAAGTGGGAGGATTATTTTACTTGAAACAAACTGCAACTTAGTTTTGGACTCTACTTTAACGGGATCCAATTCGATTGTTTTGGTAATATGTAATCTGTTTATCACTTTGATAGACTCTATTAATGCATTGCTTAGCTCAGAATCGGAAACCTCTATTTTATTAATGACTCTGGGCTTTTCTCTTTCTAAATTACAACTATTGCTTTTGCTGTTTGTATCGTTGTTGTTATTGTCCTCGGATATTCCTGTTACTTGGACCCCTTTATCAAACCGACGTAGTTCAACATCTACTTGAAAAGTTTCAGCTTTTAATGCATCTTCACTATTAAGTTCAGAATCCTTGGTTGATAGTTTTGGAGACGTGCTAGCAAAGCACACCGGCGCTGTTTGCGTTGCCACATCAATCTTCTTGAGTAACTCAGAATCATCAGTTAAACTCCCAACTTGTGTAATCCGCTTCCGTTTAAGTTCAAGTAATCGCTGGCGTTTTTGTTCTAGAATTCTATGTCTTTCTTCAGACATCCGCTGCTGCTGTTGGTGGCGTTGTTGCTACTATTGCCGCTGCTATTAGCGTTGTTCATCTTCATCTAAAAGGGTTATGAAAAAGATATTTTGAAAGACGTGTTGAAACTTACATCATTGAAAAATTTCGTTTACAGATATTTTCCAAGCTCCAAACACAGAACACAGATACGGGTACCGGTACGGATACGGGTACGGATACGTTCTTGACTCCAGTATGGATATTGACGATATATTAAAAGAGTTTGAAAGATCTTCCAGCAAGAAATTTGAAAAGTCCCTGACCAATATTTGTCAGGAACTTACAGAAGCAATGTTGAATGAACGAATGGCTCCCGAGTTATTACCCTATAAAGGTTCCCTAATGAGCACAATTCTTTCTTACATATCCAACCAGCAGCAGCTCCTTCTAGACAGTCATGAGTATGGTGACATGAATAGCGGTAATGGTATAATATCGGACGACTTTAAGCTCCGCTTAATGATTATCGAAACAGATGTTGAACGGCTAAGTTATTTAGTGAGACTTTACTTACGGACGAGATTGACCAAATTGAACAAATTCACAATATACTACGTAAACGAGTCCCATAACAACAGTGGTGATGATGATAACGAGGAGGAACAAAAGCAACTATTATCAGTAGAAGAAAGAGACTACATCAATAATTACTTAAAGCTACTTACTCAGTTGTACAATAACTGCTTCTTGAAGAAACTCCCGAATATTCTAACTTTACTAGATGACAATGTAGGAGGTCAGAACATGATAACTACACCCGATACAGACCTGCTTGTATTTGTCAAATGTATACTGGATGTACCCATCACTGTGTACATGGACGAGGAAGAGATGGACTTGGAAAGAGATGGGGTTTATGTAGTAAAATATAGCCTTATCAAGGCATATCTTGACATTGGCGATGTAAAATTGATATAAAGAGGGGGAAGATCAAGTGAAAATCGGCATGTCGCAGCCACCCGGGCATTCGACACTTTGCTCGTCAACAAACCATTCTTTCAAACAACCAAAATGACCTCGATGACCACATTTCAAGCTAATTGCAACGACTAGACCCTTACATGGCTCATGACAATACACACAATTGGACTGCAATTTGTGACATTCATCACAATACCAATATCCAAATTCACCATTTCCATTATTTTTAGAGGTTTCGTTCACCAACAATTTGGAGCATATCGAGCAGTAAAATCTCGCTGTATCTGCAGAATATAAAGATACTAGTTTTTCCTTTGCTTCCATGGGAGCCGCGTTCAAAATCTTGATGGCATGTACAAAGAGTCCTTTTCTTTGCAACATCTCAATGTATAGTGAAAGCCATTCTAAAGATTGTTCAATAGATATTACGTCCTTGGCAACTTCTGAAAATAGTAAACTAACAGTAGCTGTGAATGTTATGTCTCCTTGCATGATGGCATACTCTATCGATTTCTTCAACAATACTTTAAATGTCCATGCCTTTGTGTTAGCAGTCTTTAGCGCCATGGACAATACTGATTGAATAGGTTGCTTCAGAGTTACGGCCTGAGCCTTAGCCTCATTTTCCTGCTGAATTTCTTGAAAAGGAAGTTGACTGAAACCGCCACCTCCAATTTGGTCATCATGACCACTATTATACTTATTATTATTGTCATTACCATTACCATTACCATTACCATTATTATTATTGTTACTAGTAGACGGGGCCATTGAGGAACTAGCGGGGTTTGAAGCATTGGTAGCTGAATTTGGGCTGGAATTGAGAAACACTGATTTCATCAAGTACGAATTATCAACTTGAAGATCAGAGCTGGCTGGTGACTTGATGGGGAAGGACTTGCTTTGCGAATGTGAGCTCAAAGCTTCTTCATCGTGCTTTTTGGTTTTGCAATTGTGAGAGAAGCTACTAGCACCGCTATGATTTGCCAGATTAGGCGGGCTAACTCGATGTGATGGAACTCCAGAGATAGACCTTCTCGGTATGCTACCACTGCGCCCATATTTGGTTGTCAGGGTCGAATTCGAATTAAATGAGCCAATCACATTATCTAGATCTGACTGGATTGACTTTTCTGTGTGGGTATCGAGTTTCAGTTCATAATGGACTATTCGAAAACTTTCATTCACTGCTGCTGCCTCTGTCGCCGCAGCTGCCACTTCTCCTCCCCCACCACCTCCATTGCCGCTCCCACCACCTCCTCGCGCTAGCTCCTCTAATAAAGTGACACTCAATAATTTCCAAACTTGACTAGTTCTATAAGCTCCGACTTCATTTGCCGCATTTGCATTCATTAGGCAAATCTCCGCATGATTAAATCCTTCGGGAACTTGTACCATATATTCCGCGGCCAAGAACTTGAATGTTTCCTCATCATTGAATGGAAGTGACACGGGTATTGCAAATGGTGACATCACTAAAGGATTCATTTTGACCAGTCTTTTGGATTTGATTGCAGATGCGTTTGGACTAGCGGCAAGTGTCGATCCAAAAGATGCCATGGATTCTTGAGTTATTTGAGATGAGTTTCTTGTCATCTTTGGCCGCCCTTGCCCTCCAAAACTAGGCGTAGAAGAAACACTTGCATCGAACCCAGCCATCAGGTGTCGAAAAGTCGGTGAAGGGGATTTTGCTGTCAAATGTAGCATCGGATTGTGAGTGTGTGATCGAACTAATGGCGGCTTTTCTCCAAAGGGGGTAACAGGCCCCGAGAAGCTCGCCAATCTAGCTTCCTCATCGTGCTCGAAGCTTGAGGCACGTTCACGATCTTCTAAAGGCATATCATCAAACACGGTAGCATCATCGAGTAATTCAAAATCATCTTTTTCTTGATTGACCATCATGATATCATCATTGCTATTCCATGTCATTCCAATGCTATTTAAATTGTCCAATGGTCTTTCCACTTCCGGGTCGAAGTTCAGGTCTAGATTGTAAGCCACAAATTGGTTAGACTTGTTCAAAGTCCATATTCGACGACTGCACAGTTCATTTTGAGCCCACATAAAATTTGTCATGGCTTTTTGAGAATACGAATTGATGACTTGTTTTGGTATGAACTTTCGATTTAAGTTGAATATGGTAACAGTAGGATCGTCATTTAAATACAGACATGCCAAATCGTAATTTGACAACAGGTTATGATTTGGCATTGATCCCTCGTGCTCGCGCCATTTGTTTGGATACGCGCTCCACCTCACTTTTAATATGGACCCATAAGTGTTGATGATGTTGTCTGGTACTGCTCTCGAGGAGGACCGATTCTCGCCATAGTTGAATATACAGATTTTGTGGTCTCTACCACCTGTCGCTACATACTCTTTTTCTGGGTGTATGTGTAAAGATAACACGGGACCAGAATGAAGGTTCCATTTTCTATCTGGTGAATAGGTATTAGTTCCCGAACCTGACCTCAAGTCGAATTTGCACAACGCACCCGAGTCATGGACTGATAATATACAGGTTTTATTCCTCACTGAAGAATGAGGACTATACTGACAGGCTCGTATGGGGTCATTATGAAGGTTCGCTTGTAGCGTGAAAACGGGCTTAGTGACCGATGCCCTGAGATCCCACAATTTAATGCTTCCGTCCTGAGAGCCAGACACGATTTGGTTCTCGGAATCAACAAAGTCCAAGGAATTTACCGTCCTCTTATGATCCGACAACGTGGCATAAAGTTTACCTTGTCCTGAAGGTAGGATCTTGTATATTGAAATTGCCCCATTGGATAGCCCACACGCAATAGTGTTCAAACGGGTTTTGAGGGTGTTTATGTTGTTTATTTTATTTGGTGTTCTAGTATAATGAAGCGACTTAACGTCCAATAGATTAATATCTTGTAAAATATGCTGCTCATCGTGACTTAAACATAAAAGTCGTAGAATGTTCTTACCGCCAATCACAACATGGTGGTTATTGCCCGAACCATGGTTATTTATTTGCAAACCGAAATTCAATTGGCCCAATGCTTGTGCTTCTCGGTCGCATGTATAAGCTAGCCTGTGTCTCTCTAAATGTTGTTGTTGCTGCTGTTGCTGCTGCTGTTGCTGCTGCTGTTGCTGCTGCTGCAGGAGTTTGGAGTTTTGAGAACTGACTGACGAATTTGGTGAGTTCGACTCAGTCGACTGCGGTGCACTCAACGTACCATATATGTTAAATGCAAATTTCGCGAAATTGAACTGCCCCTGCTGGCCACCCTGAGACATCCGTAACAGGTCAATATATACTCGAGCTAGATAAACCTTTCAGTTTGAGAGTGCGCGGCATCAGACGTAAAGAGATGGGCGGCTAATGTTTTTTTCTTTTTCAAATGAGCCAATGAGTAAAGGTAGCATTCCTTTGATTTGCTTTGGTTTGGTTTGGTTTGCTAGCATTGTTTGCTAGGTTTAATTTGTCAGTCGGTTTTGCTTGCTTGCTTGCTTGCTTGTTTACTTGCTAGGTTGTTTTTGGAGCCTATATTTCCCAATGATATGGACCTTGTATAACTTGGCCAAGACAGCTACTCAGTTGGGTGCCGGTGCAGGTGTACTTGTCTTGTTAGGTCTTTATTTTTGTCAAAACATCTTGATCTACCCAGCGTCGATAAACGATGGGCGAGGCAAATGTGCTACGCCAGATGAATACGGTATGGCATACGAGCTCGTGCAGCTTACAACAGAAGACGGCGAGATTTTACAATGCTATTCCATGAAACAAGACCGTAAGGACCCTTCTTACACAAATAAGACGATATTGATTTTATCTCCAAACGCTGGAAATATAGGGCACGCATTGCCCATTGCCGAGATCTTTTATAAACAATTTGAGTATAATGTGTTTATATACAGTTACCGGGGTTACGGCAAGTCTACGGGCTCCCCTAGCGAGGTTGGATTGAAGAAAGATGCCGATAGAGTTATGGACTATCTTACCAAAGAAGATAGCCAGTATCAGGAATCTTCGATAATCTTGTACGGGAGATCCTTGGGCGGAGCCGTGGCCATTTACATTGCTGCAACAAAGTCCTCCTGTGTCCATGCAATAATCTTGGAAAATACATTTTTGTCAATTAGAAAAATAGTGCCCCACATCTTCCCGCTTTTGAGATACGCAACTGGCTTTGTACATCAGCGATGGGATCTGGAATCGTTAGTTTCGCAAATACCTTCGAGAATACCAGTGTTGCTATTAAGCGCAAGAAAAGACGAGATTGTGCCTCCGCTGCACATGGACGAGATATTCAACACGCTAAAGAGTGAGTACAAGCAGATGTACAAATTCGAGGATAGTTATCATAACGATACCGTTTTGCAAGAAGGTTACTGGGACAGAATACACTCATTTATTAAAGACAAGCTGAATCCAGTTGGCTTGTAAATCTTTTAGAACATACACACACACACACACACACACGGTTAGTTAGAAAAAAGCCCCTTCCCACCCCCACCTTTTTTTTTATTTGTTTTTTTTATTTATTTATTAATTCAAACTATAATACAATTTGGGGTTCGGAACCTTTTGTATTTGATGCATCGTGAGAGATAAATTCAACTTTTTGCTCGTCCTTCAATTGTAAGATTTTCTTTAATCTTTCTCCCACTGTTCTTAATTTAGACTCGTCGCAATCCTTTGTCCAAATACCAATCTTGTAGGCCTGTTTTCTAATATTCAAAACGATCCCGTTAACTTCATTTTCGTCATCTTCAATAGTTTCACCAATAACTGCCAATAAACCTCTCAACCATAAATCATTAATTATAGCACCAGAATTCTTGTTAAATGCATGCAGCCACTTTCCTCCCTTTGTATTGGCCTCGTCTTCCCATTCCGGTCTAATTCCTTCTCTAAACAAATGGTAATCCGATCTTAGTGGTAGTTGATTTGCCGAAGGGATCGAATTGTATATCCCCCAAAACTCTTCAACTGAAGAGAAAGTGATTACTGGTTTTAGCAAGTCACTCCAATTTTCGCTCTTGTTTGTTTGAGGTTTTGTATACCATAAGGTCCATCTACTATTTAATGGATGCTTAGCAGTGAACTCTTCCTTGGAATCAAAGACAGTTTTATCTAAAGACAAGTCCTTTGCTTTTTGAGTCAATTCTTCAGTCATTTTTCTATTTTTTTTTTCCTTCCTGTTCTTCCTGTTCTTCCTGTTAGCTTCAATATACTTTAATATACGTATTAAGTGTGATACATACTACTCAGATGGGTCAAAAGTAAAGTATCAATCCTATACCTGAATCCTGAGCTCACTCAAAGAAAAAAAAAAAAATTTTAATATCAAAAAACAAGCGTCATAATGTACACGACCTATTCTTTTTTATATATGGGAAGCCGTTACTATAGAAAGGTCTCTAGGTAGTTACTCTCAATCAGCTCAATAATGGGTTGTCAAAGTATGGCATTTGGTAATGGGTTGTCAAAGTATGGCAATCAGTGATGGGTTGTCAAAGTATGGGCTTATTCGCACGTACAAGGGTTTGATAAATGGACAGTTTCCAGGTTGAGAAATGCCAATATAGAGACCACTAACTAACAACACTATCTCGCTCTGCTCGATAGTGTTGTTAGTAATTGTTGTTGGTAATTGTTGTTAGTAATTGTTGTTAGTAAGTGTTGCTAGTATGCTCCACTAACGAGCAGAGCGAGATAGTGGTGCTCAATAGTGTCTCTAGTAAGCGTTACTAGTATGCTCCACTATCTCGCTCTACTCGATAGGGGTGGTCAATAGTGTCGCTAGTAAGCATTGCTAGTATGCTCCACTATCTCGCTCTGCTCGATAGGGGTGGTCAATAGTGTCTCCAGTAAGCGTTACTAGTATGCTCCACTATCTCGCTCTGCTCGATAGGGGTGGTCAATAGTGTCGCTCAATAGCTCTTAAATAAATATGCATTAAAACAAACAAACTATTCTAATCTACTTTTAAAGTTTCAAAGCATACCCAAAAGCAATGAAATACCAGCTATTCCAAAAGGTATGCTATAGAAAAATGATCCACCATTAGTCACCGTTGTTTGGTCGTATACCCTCGGACCACCCACTGTACCACTTATAGATCCCAACCCAATAGTTCCACTTGGAACGCTCTCAGCTGCATCTGTATATGTACTCATGAATGTTTGGGTATACAAAACTGACATTACTGTCAGCAACCCATTGATTGTGGTTGTGATCCAAACAATAGTTGTCTCACTGGTTGCAGTACCTTGTCCATCCCCCTGATCCGCTAATGAATTCACTAGAGAGAGCAAGAAGGGTATGATAAAAAGGTGATAGAAACGCATACCCAGTTATTGAAAATTCTCACTTGTTCTTCTTCTTCCTTATTACCCGAAATGATAAAAGTAATAGGTCAAAGAAAAAAATAATATATATAGAATGATAATCAAACAAGCTGGAAAAAGAAAGATATAACGGGCACGTGTTAATCACGTGTTCTAAGATACGAGGGAAAGGGGGATCTCTCTGCATGGTGGGAGGTGACGCGCATTAATGCACAAAAAACACTATCGAGTTCCACTATCGAGCTACACTATCGAGCAGAGCGAGATAGTGGAGCATATTGAACAACACTGTCGAGCAACACCTACTAGCAACACTTATTGGCAACACTTACTAACAACACTATCGAGCAACACTTACTAGCAACACTTATTGGCAACACTTACTAACAACACTATCGAGCAGAGCGAGATAGTGTTGTTCAGTATGCTCCACTATCTCGCTCCGCTCGATAGTGTCGTGAAACCATATGTGAGAAAGAAATCCTCATCGTGATCCTCTTGTTGGTACTGGATTGTAACTTCAAATTTTTTATCCTTCTTTTCTAGTCTTTCCAACTTTAGTATGATGTCATTATTTTCTCGATCAATGTCGAAATATGCATTGTTATCACTACTGTGGTTGACGAAATCCAAGATTGGCACAAGTGAAACATCGGTTGTGAATTCAGTACTATTACTACTACTCTCTGATTCATTTTCTAAAGATCTGGGGATCTCCAATGTTCTTGATCTAACAGCTTGGAATAATTGATAATATTTCGAAAATGGTAGCATTTCATTTACATCAAAGTCTGGTATCCTGTCTTTTAGCTGTTTTGAGAGATTGGTATATTCTTTATATAACCATTGCATATAACTGCGTAAACACTCTTTGAATTGTGACTCCTCCGATACAGTAGTCTCGTCAGGAACAAATGTAGCTTCTAGAATGTCCATATAGGTATCATACTCTCTCAAAGGTGATTCTGGATCATTTGACAATGCTGAAAAGGCTAAAATGTAGCTAATCAAAAATAAAGTCTCTGTTTTTGGTTTCAAAATGTCCAAGAATGCGACAACTAGACTGGATTCTTTGAGTTGATGATCTGGAAAGCAATTTACATCCCTTTGTTTCAACTTTGTGAGAGTATCAAGAAGGGAATAAATGGTAAGTTTGGACGATGATGGTATTCTTAGTAGTAATTTCTCCTCCTTCCCGTCCTCTTTGGCATCTGGAGTATAAAATAACCCCATACCTCCTAATTTACTATTCTCAATAGTTACCTTTTCGTTCCATGTGATTCCCAAGTTCACAATCCAATTGACAAACGCAGAGGTATCGGAGACTCCGGGGATTTTTATACCATCAGGGACCAATTGAGACATAAGGTGTCTCTATGAAAAAAAAAGTAAGTAAGAGAAAATGAATAGGAAAAGGTAATCTTCATCATAATAGGTTTATCTATCCATTTGGGTTTTTTATTTTTTTCCTCATCGCGACACTAACGAGCAGGGCGAGATAACGGAGCATACTAGCAATCAAACCCGTGTATTCCCAGAACCAATTGGAGAGTTAATTGCAAGGTCCTGAGTCTAAACGCATTCGAATTAAAGACGGTGCCGAGGTAAAATAATGTAGTTGAAACTTGATGGAAATACATGACAAGAGAGATGGCGATATTGTAATAATCGCTAACATCAAAGAGGACTAGGAAGGATAGTAATATAGAAAAAATGAGACACCTTTGCAATCTCATAGTAGAAATCAGCAACGACGACTATCGAGCAAAGCGAAATAGTGGACATCTAATCAGTGTGTAGGGATGCAGCTAGAGTGTAAGAATGCAGCTAGTCAGTGTAAGAATGCAGCTAGTCAGTGTGGTCCACTATCTCACTCTGCTCGATAGTGCCGGTCAGTGTGCTCCACTATCTCACTCTGCTCGATAGTGTCGGTCGATAATGTCGGTCGATAGTAGCGTATCGACTTTTCTACTTGGCGCTGACAAGGAAAGAAAAAAAAAGAAGGAGAGAAGAAGAAGAAGGAAAAAAAAAAAAAGTATTGAACAGGGTCATAAAATTCTTCTTAGATCACCAGTTAGGCCTAATACTGAATTTTGTTGTATAGCACGACTCTGAAAATGGCTTGGGACGATGATGACTTTGATATTCCAACAAAGAATAAAGCTGCGGTGTCATGGGAAGACGAAGAAGACGACGACCCACTTTTAGATTCGTGGGATATTGATCCAGAAGAAGATGCAAAGAAGAAAAAAGCTGAGAAAGAAGCCGAGGCTAAGAGAAAAGCAGAAATCAAGGCTAAGGAAGAGGCAGCTAAAAGGGTAAAGGAAGCTAAGAGGAAAGAGCTTGAAAAATTTGACGGGTTGGATCCAGCTACTCGTAAGGAAATGTTGAGAAAAGCCGAGTTAACTTCAGATTTGAACAATGCGGCTGATTTATTTGGCGGATTAGGTGTGGCTGGTGATGCTGATGGCGGAAATGACGACGACTTTGACATAAATGAGCATCCCCGGGAGAAAGAAAGAAGAAGAGCAGCGCTTTTGGCAGCACTGAAAAAACCAGCATTGACTAAAGATTCACCATTAACAGACCATCCTTTGTTCCAGCCGGTAAACAAACAAGAGTATGAAAAATTAAGAAAAGCACTAGGCACTACTTTGACTGCTTTGAATAATGATAGCTCTTTGTTATACGCTTCTAGTCTAGCAATTGATTTAATCAGAGATTTAGCACAGCCGTTATCTTTGGAAAACACAAGAAAAGTTATTAGCACTTTGAATGTGGTTTTAAAAGATAAAGAAAGACAAGAGAGACAAGCTAGATTGCAAAAGGCTGGTGGAACTGCTACTGGTGGTGCTGGTAAGAAGAAAGCCAAGCCTGCAGCTAAAACAAATGTTGGAGGTTTCAAGAAGGATGGTTTAGGCGGTGATGATTTTGACGATGATTTTGACGATGACGACTTTATGTAAAATGTAAGCCACGTCGAGGAACTAAAATTAGGCGCTTATCATAGCATAACAAGTCAATTGGATCTCGTGTCGGTTGATGACGCTTGTTAGGAGGCAGCTTGCCCTTCTTTGGAATAGCGCTCGTTAATTCATAATTTTTATAGAAATTTTCCAGACTCAGTGTAATACTCATGGGTTCATGAAAAGATGACTTTGTAAAGGAATCAATTTTCGAATAGGTGGATTGATCCAAATTGGAAAGGTTATTGGACAAATTGCTGACTTGACTCATATCTACTAACGAGTTATTCGTCAAAAGTCCATAACCGTTGCCTTTTGTGTTAATCTCATTATCATACCCTGTAGATTTTGGAAAACTATTAAAAGTTTTGAGAAATTGATCGCTATCGGGGGTACACGAAAGCGGTTCACGCAAATTCCCGTAAAAGTGGTTTTTGGACTGGGGTGTTTGCAGAGGAGTATAGTTTTTCATTGGATCGGTCTCCATAGCCCTATGCTGCTGCTGATTGTTGTCGTTGTTGAGTAAATACACAATTGAACATTTTCCTGGAAAGTTCTGTACCGCGCTTTGGCCTTCTTCTTTCCTAGGAGGTTCATTAAACTTGTATTGTGGTAAGACATCAGCACCTGGCAATAACCTTGACTCAGTGACCTTATCCCTAACCATATCTACATCGGCATCCTGTGGGAGCCACTGGTGAGGTTTTGATAATATACCAGCAGTGAGAAAAGCAAAGCCTGGAAGAGGCTCAATAGATTTGGGAGTTGTCTTTGGATTAGTTTGGTTTGGAGTCAGGATAGGTTGAAGTGGAGTCCTAGATGGAGAACTTGTTGTTTGATTTTGCAACTTCTCTTGCCTAATCAGTACCGTTGTCCTTGGCCTTGCCCATGGCCTTACCCTTTTTTGACTGCTAACTCGCACCGTCTTTGGTTCTGGCGTAGAAGCTTCAATAATTGGCTCGCTAAACTCAAATTCTTCACTTTGTCCAAATATCCTCCTTAATTCTGTAGCTGGATCAAGATGTTTGGTAGTCCTTTTCTTTGTAGATGCTACTTTAGAATTTCTATTTTGCTTTGTATCTAAAAGGTAACTCGCGTTAGCTTATTTCTCTCTCTCTCTCCCTCTCTCTCTCTCTTTCTCTCTCTCCTACCAGCATCGGTGACAGTCAGTGTGCTCCACTATCTAGCTCTGCTCGATAGTGTCGCTGCAACATTCTTACATACTTCTGGTATTATCTCTCATTCCTATACAGCTTCTTATCTCACTTCTAATAGAGAAACATTAAAGTAAAGAAAAAAATATAAAGGAAAAAAAATGTAAAGGAATTAGATTATCTCTCTTTAACAATCTTTTCTAGTACTAGACAATGTCGTCACACGAAGATATTATTCTTCCATCGGCTTCCTTCCAAAAACTAACCATAAATGATGTTTCAAAGTATGGGTTTGGATACAATCCTTCAATTGGTCCCGCATCCAATACAATTACATCAGAGTCTTCGCTGCTTCTTCTTAGTAAACGAACGGTATCATTGACACCCACATCGACAAACTCGATATACGATAGGAATATCACCAGCAGAAAGCCTCATGAGATAAGTTTGTCAGCCTTATCTTTTTTATTTTGTGAGATTGTAAATTGGGCTCACAAAAAGTCAAAGGGTGTTCACGATTTGGAAAACCGACTAAATGGACTAGGCTATCAAATTGGCCAAAGATATTTAGAGTTGGTCAAGCTTCGAGAAGGGTTTAAGTTGTACAAAAGAGAAATTAAGATTCTAGGTATTCTACAGTTTATTCACGGTCCGTTTTGGAAAACCGTTTTTGGCAAGTTTGCAAATGAATTGGAAAAATCTCAGGACATTTCAAATGAGTATATGATAGTGGAGAATATACCCACGTTAAATAGATTTATCAGCATTCCTAAGGATTATGGTGATTTGAATTGTTCTGCATTTGTTGCCGGTATTATAGAGGGAGCACTTGACAGTAGCGGTTTTAGTGCCAGCGTCACGGCACACAATGCACAAACTGAAGCAAACCCAATGAGGACAGTGTTTTTGATAAAGTTTAGTGAGCAGGTCTTGATTAGGGAGAACTTGAGGTAGACAAGTGAGAAGAAGAAGAAGAAGAGGAAGAAGAAGAAGAAGAAGTGAATGTTATTTGACAGCGGGCCTAAAATGGTATCAAGTAATTCTGTCAAGTGAACTGCTTTCTTTTTTTTGTTGTTGTTGAGATAGGATCAGTTATATCAGCTAGTGATATGCTATGGCTGGAATATGGAAAATTGATATTGCTCACCTTTTTTGCTTAGAAATAGGTAGCTAGAGACAATTTTTGTTACTAAACCAGGCAAGAAAACAACTAGTTTTAACTAATCGGTTTCAAACATATTATATACATTATTGAGCATGTTCTTTCCTAGCAAAAGCTTTGCAACCTTTAAAAGTTTATTAAGAACCTGAACACCGGGTTCTCTTGAAAAGAAAAAAAAAAGAATCGTATACCTTCATTGATTTGGCTATCTGCCCCATTTCACACACCAGCACATAAAATTCATAATACTGGGACCGCTTTTTTTTTCTTTTTCTTCAAACCGTAACCCAGCCCTCCACTCTATCAAAAAAAAAAAAGAAAAAAAAAGAAACGAACAAGAACAAAAGAAGAGGTCTGGTACCTTCTTAGTTCGTTCTCCCTGTTTCAGGTCGTATTTCACATGGTGCCGTGCCCATAGATTCGACTCCTGTTTGTCAGCACATTTGGTCACGTGAATTGTTTTGAAGAGAAAAAAAAAAAAAAAAAGAATAAAAAAAAAGTTTTTCACCAATTTTGCAATGAAAAACTTATATCTGGATTCAACAAGGGAGTCATGGGTATTACCATACGACAGGCGACCATTAATGATATAGTGGCTATGCAAGATGCAAACTTGCATAATCTACCGGAGAATTACCAATTGAAATATTATATGTACCACCTCCTTTCTTGGCCTCAAGCGTCTTTTGTTGCTACAACCTATGATGGTACTGATGATATAGATGATGGAGGTGAAGATGAGAAGGAGGAGGTTGAAGATAAAGACGGTACGAAAGACGAGCCAAAAGACGAGCCAAAAGACGAGCCAAAAAAGGAACCAAAAAAGGAACCAAAAGAGGAGCCAAAAGACGGTTACAATGATGATGATAAAGTAGATGGCTGGTCAAAAGGTGATCCCGCATACATCAGTAAGGGCGAAAAAATTATTGGTTATGTACTTGGCAAAATGGAGGATGATCCAGAAGCGCAGGACAAGACGCCACATGGCCATATCACATCCTTATCCGTTTCGAAAACCTACCGCCGAATGGGTTTAGCAGAGAAGTTGATGCGGCAATCGCTTTATGCCATGTGTGACGAGTTTGGCGCCAAATATGTATCGTTGCATGTTCGAAAATCTAACAGAGCGGCTTTGCATTTATACCGAGATTCCTTAAAATTTGAGGTTACGTCGATTGAAAAATCATACTATCAGGATGGGGAAGATGCATATGCTATGAGATTGGATTTGAAACTAGAGAACTTGTTACCTTCACGGGCACATGGTGAAATAGGGGACGATTTTTCTCAAAGATTAATATAGATTATGAATAATACTGCTTTTTTCTATCTTCTAGTAGCGCTCCTTCAACCTACTAGCAACTGTACGTAGATTACCGTAAACTTTTCCAGGCGGCGAACCCAAAATCAAGGAAACAACAGCTTCTCTGGCCATTCTAATATGTGTAAATCCTCCGAGTATGTGAATTTTGGAATCTGCCAATACTATCCTCGTTCTAGTGGCATTCTCAATAGCAAATTTAGTTTTCCCGTCTTTCCCAGCAATTCTTCCTATAGCCCTGCTCAAATGATCGCCTGTTAAAGTCTTGACATCCTTAATTTCAAAGGTTTCTATATATAGATCATCCAACCTCAACAATGCAATCGCATCGTCAACATCGAATCCTAATGTAAATGCTTTAATGAAATCTGCTCCTTTCTGCAATCCCCCATCTACAGCTTCTTTTGTGCTTCGTAGTTCTACAGATTTAGAACGAAGGTTCATACGAACTTGTAGTTTCAAATGTTCCACCAAAGGTGGGTATACTTTCACCCAAACATTCTTTAACGGCGTCAACCTATGAGGAGGAATAGGTATTTTTCTAGATTCAACCTTACTTGCCGACATAACCTCAACCAAAATTATCTCTATGTTTATCTACCAAACCTAATACGCTTAATGCAAAAGATAAATCTTCTTTTTCAATTTCCTAGTGATAAAAAAATTGAGATGAGCATTTTTTTTTTTTTTTTTTTTTTTTTTTTGCAATATCTACCGGTTGGTAGCGCAATGATTGCATTAGATAGCAAACCCCTGTGTAGGCTGCAAAAAAGCATTGTCTGCTTTAGTGTACGTGGTCGGTGTGCACTCTTCTTGTTGGAGATGTAACTGGAGATTCTGACGATAAATCATGATTCTTTATAAAATGGTGCTAGCTTGATCATGGCATAAGTTTCTTTTTTATTACTCGTTATAATCTGTTCCTCCATTATGGTATACTTTTTTTTCCTCACTCTTATTTTTTGGGCAAAATAATTGCCAATTTATTTTGAATCAATTACATACAATGTTAGCGAGTAGACTAGAGACTAGACCAAAGACTAGACCAGAGACTAGACGAGAAAAGCGAGTCTAGTAGAAAGAGAGAAGTGAGTAGACTAGCGAGTGGACTTGAGAGTAGATTAGAGAGAAGAGACTATACTAGAGACTATACTAGAGACTATACTAGAGACTGTACTAGAGACTAGACTCGCTTTGCTCGTCTAGATACACATGAATCTGATTTCAATTGTAAAAAGAGGTAAACTCTTGTAGCTTCAATTCAATAAATGGGGATAGTGGTATTGTCCTTTCTAGTAAGTACTGCTCCACTATCTCGCTCTGCTCGATAGTGTCGCCAACTATAAAAGTTCGCTACCGCGCGCGTACCATTATTAAGTAAGACCTTCGCGTTTGCAAAATATTTTCATTTTGGGCTCTCCATAAAGTAAAAGTAGATGACAAGCTCTTGTGGACATTGCTCGTTCAGACCACTGTAGATAGTTTCACATATGTCTGGTGTGAAAATAAGCTTAAAAAAGAAACTGGGACCAAAGAAATTATTGCGTCTGAAAGAAGAAGATACACTACTGGACAAAATCCCCATTGACTCATTCTCAAAGGAAAAATCAAAGCCCAAAGCTAAGCTTGTTATAAAGCCAAACAGTATTTGCAATTCTTTGCAACAAGAAACAGCACCTAAACTTGCATTTGGGTTAACTGAATTTGAACCAACCGAGATGAAAACGAATGAAATATCATCAGAATCAATTGTCAGAAAACGCATTTTTGTCGATTCTGATGAAGAAAGCGACTCCGAACAAGCAATTCCAGTGGAGGAGTTCGGAGCAGCATTTTTAAGAGGATTCGGATGGGATGAGACAAAAGAAGAAGAAAAAGGAGAAGAAGAAAAAGAGACAAAAGAGTCCATTACATTTGAGCATAGACAGAGAGGCTTGACATTAGGTATTGGAGCTAAAACGAATAATCCAGATTTGATTCAGGAACTCCATAAAGAGCAAGAAATCCCACTAGTGAAACGTGATGTAAAACGTTGAAAAAAAAAGTAGGTTGTGTTGTGTCGCCAAAAGTCGAAAAAAGAGGGGGGGAGGGGGCACATATATACCATCGATAAACAAGGACAAATTATTACACTTGCCCATTGATGAATGAGGTAATCTTTAAAAGAACGATTACATTTGGAAGTATCGATAGCGTCGATAGTGTCGGTGTAGTCAGTGTCGGTGACAGTGTGCTCCACTATCTCGCTCTGCTTGATGATAGTATAGTCAGTGTCAGTGACAGTGTGCTCCACTATCTCGCTCTGCTCGATAGGGTCGATAGTGTCGATAGTGTCGATAGTGTCGTTGATTGACCAATTATGTTTGCAGACTCTCCAGCTCCTTCATCCTCCAATGAATATATTGCTCTCGCCACACTATTTGAGTTAATTAGCCCCAATTCAGATTTCTATGCAGATCAAATTACGAGATGTGGTCGTGTACAATATTAATTGTTTTTGGGGCCTTATCATTTTTTCTTTTTGCAACCACAGTTGCGACATATTATTTTGTTAGAGGGCTATATATCAGTTATTGCTACCATCAACGATAATAGTAGACAGCTCATATATGGATCTGTATAGCGTGATCTCTATTATGTATTATCTCGCCCTTGAATCTTGATTATGAGCAAGATAATACACCCGATGTTTCACTGTCCTAATGCCCTGATGCTCTGATTCCCTGATTCCCTGATTCCCTGATTCCCTGATTCCCTGATGCCACAATAGTGTCAATAGAAAACCTGTCAAATGAGATAAGCGAGATTACCAATTCTATTCAACTCTATTCAATTTATATCTCACCTTAATTAAACAAAAAGAGAAACTAGACATGTTCTATGCCACACCTTTCCAAATGGGCATATAGTCTCTCAGTTTTTCTATATAATGATATCTACCTAACAACGAATTGAGAGAAACTCCTTTGACTGCACTTCAATTATGGGTCTCTCTCTGGTTTGTGAAAATGATACTACTTCAACTGAATCTATCCCTTCAACACTGCCATTGGTAGACCGTAAAGATGGTAGTATCAATATAGAGCAGCATGAGGTTTTATCACGCGGATTTATTGACATTTCAACGTCTACAATGACACCAGAACAACTCTCTATTAGAAACAAATCCAAATGGTTCAAAATTAAAAGATTCTTTTGGGACGGAGCTGATAAACATCCTAAAGAACAAAAATATCTTTTTAAACTAGATTTTTTCTTATTAACGTCGTCTTGTCTTGGTTACTTTATCAAAAATTTGAATCAATCCAATGTTACTACCGCTTACGTTAATGGAATGGACGAATACTATAATATGAACCACAATCAATATAACTATCTCATTACCTTATTTACTGTTGGTTATATTATCGGTCAGATTCCATCAAATTTAATCTTGCATAGAATTTCTGCTCGGTACTACTTGGGTGGCTTGCAAATAGTCTGGCTGGTTTTGACTCTTTTGATGATCACTGTTCCTCCATCAAACATAAGAGGTTTATACGCTTTACGTTTCTTTTTGGGGTTGCTAGAGTCGGGTTATTTCCCAGCTTTAGAGTACTTGTTAGGATCAAATTATGGTACAACAGAGTTACTGAAAAGGTCTTCATATTTTGCAATCAGTAGCGGTATTGCTGGTATTCTTAGTCCCTTGCTACAGGAAGCAATCATAAGAAGATTTAAACATTCATCCTTGCCGCCTTTCAAATGGATGTTTGTTTTTGACACAATTATCAGTTTTCCAATTGGTATTTACACAATGCTTGTTGACCCAAATACGCCACTGACCACTGATGCTTTCTATTTTACAGATGAAGACAAGTTGGTTGGGTTGGAAAGAAGAAGATTGTTAGGAGCTGAACTAAACACAAAGAGTCCATTCACCAGGAAAAAGATAAAGACATTCTTCAACACTTGGCATATTTACCTTTTCCCTTTGGTCTTTTTAGCTTATAATAACACGGCAACAGCGATAAACCAGCCTACTTTCCAAGGGTTCATCAAGATATATCTCAAAAAGCCTTCGAGTGTTTATAACACGTGGCCAAGTATTTTAAGTGCTTTGAGTATAGTTGTAACACTTGTTTTTGCGTATGTAAACGATATTCTAGGTGGTAGGAAGAATGTTTGGTTTGTTAGCGCATACTTTATATGTTTGATAATTGGTTGTGCTTTACTAGCAAAATGGACAATTCCCATAGGATTACACTGGTTCTGTTATTTCTTAATCGGTATACCAACAATGTGGGGCCAGCCTTTTATTTTCTCGTGGGTCAATAGGTTACTATTTGCAGATGATATGAAGAGAAACTTTGTTGTTGTTGTTACAAATACTTTGGCTTATGTCACTGGAGCCTGGGTACCAATATTGGTCTGGAACACCAAAGATAAGCCAGAGTACTTTATTGGATTTACGTACACGGCAACTTTGGCAGCTGTTGGATTGATTCTAACGGGAGGTGTATACTGGTTGAGCGAACGTGATGAAAGAAGACAGTCACTGAAGAAGGAAGAGTCATCCAGTATTGAGACAATATTGTAAGTAGATACAAAAGGACTTTGGGGGTTTTTTCTTTGGATTTCTCTTTTTGTTTTATTTCAATTTATTTAAAGATTGAATTTTTCAAATCTGTAGGATTGATATCACTCCAAACAGCCAAGTTTGTTGCTAGATTATCCGGGAGAAACTCGGGGTAGTGCTTCCCTATAGCCTTTTTAATTGCATCATACATAATCTTGTATGCATGGCCAGTAAAATGTACTCCATCACTAAGCAAATGCCCCAAAGATCCTACTTCCCAATTTTCCAAACTGCCATTCACCTGGAACAATTGATCTCTTGTCCACCCGCCGTCTTTTCTAAACTCGTCCCATAAATCAACAAAAGCCACTTTTCGATTTTTACAAACCTCTCGAGCAGCTTCCGAGTATTGGTAATACCGTTTATTGGAAGTTGCATCTTCTCCGCCTGGCTTAAGATGTGGTAGTACTTTTTTGCAAATTTTCGGGTCATGTAAAGAAGGGCCAATAACAATGGGCTTGATATTATTTTCAATGGCCAATGACACCAAATAATCAATATTTTCTCGGTACCGTTCTAAACTTATTGGTTGTATTGGATTATTATCAACAAAACCATCATTTGTGCCGAAAAATATTGTAATTAACTTGACGTTATTCTTTTCAGCATTCAACTCTGCATCGAGAATATGAGGAAGAATAACTCGTGCATGTTCTGAATTGTAGCCGCTGTATCCTCTATTGAGAATATCTAGTTTTCGAATGTACCAATCTTGTAACGCTGGTTGCAATGCAAAATTTCCTTGAATTTCGTTGGCATGCTGGGTAATTGAGTCACCAAATAGAATGAATTTAGGATACCCCATTGACAATTAGCTTAGTGCTTGAATGGTAACAGTTTTAACTGGACTTATACTCAGTAATAAGTAACCTATAAGGTTTCTTATCACGAAATCTCCATAGTGAAAAATCAACTCTTCACATTTTTTTTTTTTCCATTTTTCATTTTCCATTTTTTTTCATTTTTCAACTTCTTTCAGACTCCAATAATGAAACCATCTAAACAATACACTATAGTGGTAAAGATTGGCTCATCGTCTTTGGTTGATCCACTGACGCGCGAGCCAAGGATCGCTAATATGGCCCACATAGTAGAAACAATGACAAAGTTACGCCGAGAGGGTCATAAGATAATTATAGTATCATCAGGTGCCATAGCCTTTGGAATGAGGGTAATGAAGCTACATAAGAAACCTTCTAAACTATCGGCAATTCAAGCTTTAGCATCGATTGGACAGGGCCGTCTTATTGGGCTCTTTAACGACTTGTTCAGACAAATGAATCAAACTATAGCACAAATCTTAATCACTAGAAATGACATTATTGACTATACCCAGTATAAAAACGCACAGAACACCCTAAATGAATTGTTGGATTTGGGAGTTATCCCCATAGTCAATGAGAACGATACACTATCTGTCTCTGAGATTAAATTTGGTGATAATGACACATTATCGGCAATTACCGCGGGAATGATCCATGCTGACTATTTGTTTTTGATGACAGACGTGGAATGCTTATATACGGATAATCCCAAACTAAACCCACAGGCCAAACCAATATTGGTTGTGGATAATGTCGATGATTTGAATGTTGACACCACTACCAGTAGCGGTAATGCAGCAGCAGGAGGAGGGGCGGGCTCTAGTGTAGGTACAGGTGGAATGACTACAAAATTGATAGCAGCCGGCTTAGCAACAAATGTTGGTGTAACAACTATTATAACTTTGTCAAGTCAGCCACATTACATTCTCGATATTGTGGCTCATATTCAATCGCAGCCAGAAGAGTTGGATGTTGAGCAACAGCAAGCAATATTACAAAAGGATATAGAGAAGAAACTCATTCCATTGCATACACGCTTTCTAAGCTTATCATCAGACTCGAAAATAAGGTCTGATAAAAGGTTCTGGATACTACACGGGTTGAAAACCAAGGGTGCGTTGATAATAGATGAGGGTTGTCATACTGCATTAACGCGAAGAGACCGAGCCGGTCTTTTGCCTGCTGGAATCTGCGATGTAATTGGAAATTTCCACGAAAACGAGTGCGTATCAATCAAGGCTGTTGATAAAGAAGGTAAAACAACTGAAGTTGGTCATTGTCGTGTCAACTACTCCGCAAACGAAATTCGTGCTATCAAGGGACATAAAAGCAGTCAAATAGAATCTATATTGGGATACGCAGATAGTGAATACGTAGCACATAGGGACAACCTAGCATTTCCGCCATCAAAGCCATCAACAACAGATTCAACAGAATCCTTGACATCGATGGTAGAAAAACTGCAATCTATAATATAAGTGTGTACTCATTGTATATAGATATACACATACATATATATATAAACATAGACATACATATATACATGCACGTACATATATATATTTACGAATTTCTACACATATTTACATCTACAAATAAAGATACCACCAAAACCACATTTATTTTGAAGTAAGAAGTAAAGGGGGGGGGGGCAAAATAAAAGGGAATGGGGCAGGAAAAAAAATGCCTCTTAGATGTTGAAATCTCTCAAGTTTGCCAAATAGCCAGAATCAACAATTTTGAACAAGGGGATAAAAACCATCAGTTGTATATTTGGGGAAGAGACGCGCGAGTGTTGGGAAAAAAAACAAGTCAATACGGTTGGTTGGGGTGGTATAGATGGGAAGTTCAATGCCAGATTACCAAATAGATCCAATAATTAATGAAATACCGTTGAAAGATGATGAGATCATACTGGCAATCGAGTCATACGAGCGTAGCGTATATATAGGCACTTCAAAAGGGAATTTACTTCAATTTTACAAGTTTGAGGATGCACCAAACTATATGCTTATTACGCAGCAACAGATTGCAAATACGTCAAAGGAGGTTACTAGAATAGTTTGTCTTTCGGTGATTCAGAAATTGTTGGTAATATGCGACAACTCGATTGAGGTTTTTACGTTGCCAGAGATGGCGCCGTTTTCAACAGTCACCAAGCTCAAAGGTGTGCGAAACGTTAGTGTTATGGAAGATGGCGCTTCGATATTGGCATTGAGGAGTTCCATAGTGCAAGTTGTGCGATTAGACGGTAATCGGTGGAAAATTATAGGGGAGATCAAGTTCTCATTAGGTTTGATATCTACATCGCCTTTAAACGATATGTTTTTGATTGCTAATGAAGAATCTTATTTTATTCAAAATATTGCTCATGAAAGCACACTCCCGCTTTTTGCTTACAAATCTGGAACTGGCCAACACAATGTGCCACCACATATCGAACTCTTTGACACTTTGGAAGCTAAAGAGTATCTTTTAACGATTCTGTCGGATGAAAATACATCAATGGCTGTGTTTATCAACAGTATTGGAGATGTTACTAGAGGCACGTTAACATGGGTCAATCATGGCTACCCCTGTGGCGGTGTAGCTGTCGAGTGGCCACATGTCTTTGCGGTATTCAAGGATATCCTTGTTTTGTCCTCTTTGGAAAGTCTAGAGAACATTCTTGTTACAAGCTTGCAAGAGTCCAGAAAATCGCAAGAAGTCAAAAGTGATAGTAATCAGCGAACGAATGAGAAAACTACAGATACAGCAGCAGCAGCAGCATCATCATCATCAGCAGTAACAACAGCACCGTCAGCAGAAGCACCACCATCACCAAGGGCAAGTTTCCATATACAAAAATCAAAAATACATTACAATGATTTGCTTGTGGAGGAGCTTGTTGGAACACCTGAATCCAGCGACTGCGAGTTGCTTTTGTTCAGCGAAAGAAATGTGTATGCATTGCATAGAGAGAGTCCTGTATTATTAATGCATAAAGCATTTCAATCTGCATTGAGCTCTGACAATTTTGATAAAGTGTTTCAAATTGAAAACGACTCTGATTATGGGCAACACTTGTTGCTTCTTTCATGCTTTTTGTCGGAAAAGGACCCATTTGATATCTTAAAGAAACGAAAGGACAACCAAAAATTGGTTATCTCACCAAACTTGGCTGTTCGATTACTTGGAGCTGACTGTCCTTATGAAACATATCCCGGACTTGCAGAGGTTACTAATAATTGGGATTTTTCAGATGATAACATGTTGAAAAAGTATTTAGAGCAATTGACACCTTTGGAAGTATCGCTAGAAGTGAGAAAACTCGTTTATCGTTTATGCTCGCATGATAGTATTGACAAATTTGTTGACAAAGATAGTTGGACAAATTCAGCATATGATAAAGAAATTATAGAGGATTTGGTTCATCGACTGGAGGTGTTACTAGCTTCAAAAGCATATGGTTTGATGCCAAATAATTCAGATACAACAAGGGGGTATTACGACTTTCTAATGAAACATTTGGAACCAAATCTTGTTGATGATGCTATTGCGTTTCTTTCAAAGGGATCACTTGGAGAGAAAGAGTATACTGATATAATTCTTACACTAATAAAATTGAACAAAGAGAAAATATACCTTTATATGAGAAAGTCTGATAAATACCTTGAAATAAATAGAAGGATTCTTGCCGAACTTTCGGATGACCTGAAAGGAGAGGTGGATTTTGCTTTGATTCAAATTGAGTTGCTTGAAAGATCATGGTCAAGAGACAATACCTTATATGATGAATTATTTTTGACGATTTGCAATGCCTTAACTTTTTTGTATGTCGAAAACAGTGCCGTTGAGCGATATTTCACAGAAGCTCGTGACAACTATCAAAAGTTAAACTCTCTTGTTGTTGACAAGTGGCCAAAGATTTTTTGGATCGATTACCTAGAGCTCGTACGGCAACCCGAGTTGACCTCCTTTATCAGCTTATACACAAAGTCATTTGAAATGGCTATTCTGGGTCCAGTGAAACTACCTGACCATCAACTTTTCCACTATCACAAGATATACAAAGAAGCAAACCTACAACAGTTGCTAGAATTTGGGGATTTCTCGACTGCCGAGAAACTTGTACTGGGACAAATGGTGAGACCGCAGAAGGTGCATTACTCTCAGCTAATACCACAAGTGGAAAGCAAAAGAGATGAAGAAAGTCTTTTGCAGATTTTCAAGTACTACCTAAAGATGTATCTGGAAGGACAACCTGTTGAGCCTGCAATTCAGCATTTTACAGAAACCTACGAGACATACCTCCCAACACTTCAACTAATCAAACTACTACCAGACTCGATTCCATTAGCATTTTTAACAACGTTTCTCAAAAACGCCTTGCAAAGATTAAAGTCCAACGGGCGAGAAAAATTATTAATCAAGGGTATACTAAAATCTGAAGCTTCACAAAATAAGCATCTAATAAACGACTTTTCATAGAAAACCTAGGAGCTCTAAAATGTAGTCAAACAAGATTCCATACCAAAAAATAAATCCGGTTTGTATATTTGAGGTAAAAGCACTCCAGCAACTTTTTTCGTCATCCAAATTCACTTTTACAATTTGATTGTATAGTCTAGTTAAAGCATAGGCGCCCGCAATGTAAAATCCTGGGCCCATAGAGTTCATTACTCCCGCCATTGTGTAAAAACCAGCTTGCGCAACGGTCAACCCTTTCAAAATCGGTTTTGTTTTGGGACCCCAAGCCAAAGCAGTTGATTTGATTCCTGCTTTGATGTCATACTTTTTGTCCTGATGAGCGTAGATCGTATCGTATGTGATACACCAGATCCAATTTGATATAAACAATGGTACTGCAACCCATAAGTTTAAGGGAGCACCAACTGCAGGAAATCCCAAAAGGCATCCCCAACTGAAACATATTGACAATATCGCTTGTGGATAGTACGTGAATCTTTTAAATAAAGGGTAAGTAAAAACAAAGGGCAAAGAAAGGGCACCTAGGTAGAAACACTCAAATGGCAAGCTTAATAAAATGCCTAGTCCTGCAAAACACTGGACCCCGAGCCATGCAACTGCCTGTGGTACAGATACTCTCCCACTGGTTATTGGACGCTCCATGGTTCTCGCAACTTGATTATCAAGATTCCGGTCCCAAATGTCATTAATTGTACATCCTGCTCCTCTCATGATTAAGGCACCTGCCGAAAACAATCCAATTGCACTAACTGTTGTGGTCAATGGTGCCGATATGGAATACGCAGCCATTGTTATTGACCAATAACATGGGATCAAGAGCAACCATGTGCCTACTGGCTTCTCCACTCTCATCAATTCAAAGTAAGGGATCCATTTGGAAGGCAATTTTTTGAGCCATCCCAACTTGGCTTCTCTCTGTAATCTAGCTTCTTCCAACTCTTGAATGGAAAATCTAGACCTTGCAATTTCCAACTGAGTAAGTTGTTGTTGTTGTTGTTGCTGCTGCTGTCTAGCAGGCTTGCTTATTTGAGGAAGAATGAGCGATTTCGTGAAACATCTTTTGAAAATGACTGGTCCTCGTGCAAGGCGAAGAAGACTCATAGCGTTAAACGGTGTAAATTGAAAAATAAAAGAAAAAGGTTTTTCCCTTCCTGATATATCACCACTTTCTTTTTTCCTTTTAATTCTTTTTTCTCTCTTTCTCTCTCTCTATCTACTGAAAACCAATCTCTCCTTCGATTCGTGGGTAGGCATTATTATTATTCCCTTCTTTTAGTTTTGGCCGTCGGTTTCGCCATCCAAAACTTCGTAGTCCAGCTCGTTGTTCTGTAGTAATCTCTCTCTCATCAATTTGTGTCCATCAACTAAAGTTTTTAAATTTGCAATTTCCTCTACCAGATCATCTGTGATTTGCTTGAAATCAAAGATTTGTCTACACATGGGACATAGTCCCTTTGACGATTCTTGTTCTAGCCATTTCAATATGCAATGGAGATGAAAATTGTGTGTGCAGCCAGAACCAAGAACTAGTGGACACCCATCTCCAGGGTATTTGCAACTGGGGCATGCACCTTCAAACGACACACGACATATACCACATAGCTCCTCAACATAGCTGCCTGCAGACCCTTCCTTATTGACCGATGTTGCTTCAGCTTCCGCTTCCGCTCCTGCTCCTGCTGTTGATAAATCCCAATGCCATGTACAATAACCTTTCCATTCAATTACTGATACTTTCATTTAAGAAAAGAATACGATATGTAAATACAAGAAAAAAGATGTGGTTTAATGCAACAAGAGAAGGGAAAAAAGAATTAGAGGGAATTGAGAAATTGGCACCAGGCGACACTATCGCGACACCATTGAGCGAAGCGAGATGGTGGAGGAGCACTGACTATACCGACACAAGCGACACTATAACGACACTATTGCGACACTATTGCGACACTATTGCGACACTATTGCGACACTATAACGACACTATTGCGACACTATTGCGACACTATAACGACACTATTGCGACACTATAACGACACTATAAGTATTCTTTATCTACAACTACTCTCTCTTCAACCTCAAGTACCCTTCTTATACACAAGTCCCTTGAATATATCAAAAGAGTTACCATCTGGCTGCAAATGCAAAACTTTGTGACTTTGAATATCCTCCGCAATCAACATCCCATAATCTGGTGTAATTCCCTTTATGATACATGTTTTCCTATCGCCATTTGTTCCTTCTACATCAACTTTTTGCCCGGAATGTAACCATCTTCTGTAATACAAGGGCAAGAATGGTTTCAATCCTGATTTGCTAAAAACCTTGTAGAATTGGTCCATAATAAAAAGTAACTTTGCTAGTAACAACTCCGGTTCATATGGCGGCAACGTCTCAAGTCCTTTGGACTTTCTAATATAGTTGAGTCTATTCAAGACCAAGTTCAAAGATGTTGTAGGCGAAGGATTCGATACATTGACACCACCTCCCCAAACCAAATTGTACTGTCCATTGAAAAACTGTGAGTTGATTAATGCCCCAGAAACTTTGACATATTTTTCGTCATTGCCATCAACCATTGATCCAATTTCTTGTTCAACAGTGACAAAATACTCTGGCTTCAATATGTATATATCGTTTGGCCATTTCAATCGTAAAGGCATATCCTCATACCCAACACCCCTAGACGAACTAATGCTTCCATAGCCCAAGATAGCCTCTATCAAAGCTAATCCACACAAGTATTGCAAAGTAACAATTGATGATGACGCTACTGGCGACGGTGGTATACGAAATAGAACCGACGTAGCCAAAACACCTCTCGGGTTTACCCAAACGTTTCCACCCCTTCCCCTCCCTGCTATTTGTGTCGATGCCGTTAATGTAAACCCATGTGGAAGTTGCTCCAACAATTGCGGATTCTTATCCATTATCGTGTTGGTGGATGTTATAACTTCCGAATAACCAAGTATACCACCCAACTCACAACCCGATCCCGACCCCGACCCCGACTCCAACCCTGCCCCTTTGCGAAGCGCTTTCAAGGCATCAAAATACTTTTGCATGTTGAAATAGGGAGTTGTCTTAATGGATGGAAACTCTTCACCTGTTACAAAATTGAGATGCTTTATAGTTTTTGTTGGATTATCCTCCTCATTAAAGTCAGGATGCTTATAATCATGCTTAGTGGACGATATATCTTGAAAGGTAAAAACATCGTTTCTGTCTTCAAAAAAACCATTTTCGATTTTCAAATTATTCATTAGCTTGCTCAACATATCATTGACCCGAGAAGGTTGCAGAGACGCTATATACATTGGTGTCACCAGCGGTACCTCTTCGTCAACACTTTCACGCACACGGAGCCCAACTTTTTTTAGCAAGTCTCTCACCAATAACTTCCTAGTATAGTCGCCTTCTAATAATTTCGTCACAACAGGTTTAAACTTAGCATCGACAGTTTTAAACAATTTAGGTGAATATTCCGGATGCGTTTGCGCCAATAAAACATCACCTTTCCCCAATTTCCTATAAATTATTGCTGCTTTGTCTTTATTATCTTCGATATCTGTAGCATCATCATACCGAGCGAGAATTTCAACATCTTTATACTTTGATGCTTCTACGAAAATACCTCCGCCATTGTAATAGTTTATGACATTCTGTGGTAAACCTGGCAATAATTTTGTATCCACCAGCAAATTAGCAGCCCTTGCTCCCGATTGCAGTTCATAAGCAAAACCCTTGAATGCGCAACCGCGCGATATGCCTGGATAAAAATGAAGCTCTCGAGACCCAGAAACTTCTAATGGTCCTCCAATGTCAAATTCACACCTTGACGATGCATAGTACGCACCAGCACAAAAGCCTATAAATTTACCACCGCCTTTGACAAAGTCCACAATTCGTTTATTGCCCTTGCCGTTTAAAACTTTACAATACGAAAGATCAGCACCACCGGGAATCACTAACATCGATGTTTTCCTCATCCATGGTTCAGTGAGAAGGACCGAGTCTGTTACGGGCATAACGGCATAGTGACTGGATAGGTGTGTTCTGAGAGAGTCAAGACAATGTCTCACACTATCCACCGTCGTACCGGGACCCGAATATACTAGCACATTCATCAAAGTAGCCCTTCCAGAAGAAATACAGTCGGTGGAAAGAATGAAAAAAAAAAAAAAAGACAGCGAGAGATTGTGACGAAGCGAAAAAGTGAGCATGGTAATGACTCGGAGTCATCATTACTTCGAACTAAAGATGACGACGATGACGACGACGACGACGACGAAGATTGCAGACTTGGTGACCCTCCATCCTGAACCGGGGTTCGTTGTAAAGACCAAGATATTGGAATGCGCCGATCTGACAAAAGTATTGACCAAGGTATTTATTAATATATGTCATGATGATCAAGTTCCAAAACCTTCAACAGAGTTTAATCCAGATGTTGTTTTCCCATTGATCATTGAAAATCAGTGGGAAATACCGATTGTTGTATCTAAAGTTAAAGAAACTAGAGATAAAAAGGGGTTTCCTTCGTTGGTGTACGATTGCTGTATTAATACCCGGTGTTTCACATGGTGCCAAATAAATAAGGATTTGAGACTTATTTTGATTGAATGGTGCATTGAATCCGTTGAAACGATTAACTCATTAGTATTAGAGAGAGACTACAGTTTGCCAAAAATGCTATCCAAGGGCGAATTAACAGAAACGGAGATTACAATACAGGAGTTGGGCGATTTGGTGCATGCCCATGCCCTGAAGAGCACGAGTAAAATCGAGGATCTAACAATCAACGAAGATGGTGATGCTCAAGTTGAAGAAACTCTACCTGATTTGTTCAACAGACCTAATTTGAAAACAAAAAAGCCATTGATAGAGGAAATTGAGAGTGCACCAGCGCCACAATCACACAAAAGTCCGAGTAACGACGATGCCAAAACTATAATAAACTACAATGTATCGTTTAAAAAACTCAAAGATGAGTATAAGCTCTGCATAATTTTCAGTAGCGACACGATAAATTACTCAAATTTTCAAATTCGCTACTCGCAAAAAAGGGAAGCAATCATTATTAAAAGTCTAGTTTCAAAGTATTCCTTTCCATATGGAAATGAATTAGAGATCCCTGTGCTAGTAGACACTGGATTCAAGCTTGAAAAAGCTCGATGTTTTGACTGTAAGGATAAGTTGTATATATTTATCTAGACGTGAAAACACGGCTAGATAATACATGTTTTTCTTTTGTTTTGCTTTTTTACTGAGAAAGCACTTTCCATTCAGGAAAGCACTTTCCCTTCTATTTGGTAGCCATACCATCTCTTTTTAAGTAAAGTTTTGTCAAAAAACAGGTTTTGGCAAGTTTGGGGAATTGATAAAAAAAAAAAAAGAAAAAAGATTTTGTGTGATTTTGGTGCTCATCTCATTTCCTCATCTCATCTCATCTCATCTCATCTCATACCACTTTCTTATCATTAAACATACTGGAAAGATCGATGGTCAAGAGGTTTGATAAGAAGAACGCTACAACATATAGCGTGGTTCATAGAGCACACGATGACGCTAAATTCTATGACGAAGATGCATCTCAGAATGTGTTGGTACCTGCTGCAGAACTGCAGAATCAAGCCAAAAGAGCGTCCCAAAATAAGAAGAAGGTCTTTACACTCAATGACCTTGAACACAGTTTGAAAGAAAAGGTTCGAGATAACGAGGGAATGGCAAGTCAATATGGAATAATGTTTGACGACTCTAAGTACGACTATATGCAGCATTTGAAGCCTATTGGCGAGGCAACGGACGCGGTATTTATACCGGCAAAGACAAAGGGAGAAAACAAATCTAAACAGATGAGTTTAGAGGAGTTGCTCAAGGAGCAGCTTCCGTCTAAAGAAAAGAGGAGGGATGTGACTAGAGACTTGAATCAGAGTATTCCCGATGAATTAAAAGGGTTTCAACCTGATATGGATCCGCGGTTGAGGGAAGTGTTAGAAGCATTAGAAGATGAAGCTTATATAGAAGAAGTGAAAGTGGGGAGTCAAGACGATGGCGATGAGGAGTATGACGACGATGTATTTGCTGATTTGCTCAAGTCTGGAGAGGTTGAAAACGAGGACGAGTTTTATGCACAAGGCGAGGATGATTACGACGAATGGGACCTTGATAATTATGAAGACGAGTACAATGAGAAGTATGAAGCGAATTTGGAGGAAGAAGAGAAAGGAGAAGAGAAAAGGGATTGCGCCGGAGTAAATGAAAACTGGCAGCGAGATTTCATGAAATTCAAAAAGGAAACTAATAATCGTACAAATGAATGGGATTCTAGCGACGAATTCGAGGAAGACGAAGAGGAAGATCTAATGTCTGAAAAAGACACTATTGGCGATCTTCCCAACATCCAATCAAAAAAAGCAAAGTCAAAAACAAAGCTAAGGAAGAAGAAGGGAGCCATGACAGATACAAGCTCTTTTTCAATGTCTTCGTCGGCATTGTACAGAACAGAAGGTCTATCGCTATTGGATGATAGATATGAGCAGTTGAACAAAAGATACGAAAGTGAAGAAACCAAGAATAACTTTGAGCCCAAGCCCTTTGATACGAAGGAAGAAAGGACCGATTTCGAAGATATGCTTGACGACTTTTTGGATAACTACGAGTTGCAAAGCGGAGGTCGCAGATTCGCTAAAAAAGATGAGGAAAAGAAGAAGTTGCAGGCAGCTGCAAACTCCGTGTCACGCGGGAAACGAGCAATGAAGTTGAACAAAGCATTTGAACAGATGAAAGTTGAATAAGCACGTTTACTACTACTACTACTACTACTACTACTATTACTATTATTATTACTCCTCTCTATTTTTACAGTCGTCATTATGTTTGATCCGATGTACGAAATCAATTTGCGGTTAGGTTCCTTACAGGAGCGAAATATGGATGTTCCATTGCTTCCCTAGCAGTCAATCTCTCTTGGTGGTCATATCTCAACAAATTATCGATGAAATCCAAAAATTCATTGGACACCAAATGCTGGTTATTTTCATTGATAAATCTTTCCCACGGTCTTCTATTGTAGTACCCCATATCTTCGTATTCGTCGCCCAAAGTTAAATTATACTTTTCAAGATACTTGTTTAAGTTACTTGAGCCCAATACCCTTACTATTTGCACCAACTGATCAGTGTTTGACTTTCCGTGGAAAAATGGTTCCTTCATGAAAACCATTGAAGCCAACATACAACCATATGACCATAGATCTAGGGAGTAATCATACAATCTGTAGTCAACTAACAATTCTGGTCCTTTGAAATATCTCGATGCAACTCTAACGTTATATTCTGTACCAGGGTGGTAATATTCAGCTAGTCCCCAATCAATCAATCTCAAAATCTTCTGGTCGTGATCTATCATTACGTTATGTGGCTTAACGTCTCTATGCATAATGCCCATTGAATGAGAATAGCTAAGCGCTTTTAACAACTCATACATATAAAATCTTATGTCGAAATCGGTAAATGTAGGATACAATGTTCTGAAATCAATGTTGTTAACATTTTCAAATATCAAACCGGGAGTTTTCAGCTGCGGTTCCCTAACCACATCCAACAATTTGATTATATTTGGACCGTCTATTAAATTCTTCAATATTGAAATCTCCCTCTTGATCTTTTTCCGCTTTACCGGCTTAAGCACCTTAATCACGACTTTCTGTCCCTTGACCAAATCCAAACCTAGAAACACCTCTGAGTACTTACCTCGTCCAATTTTGCGTAAAATTTCGTAATTTTTTTGGTCGTTCCATTCTATAGACATAGACTCATAGTCATAATATGATGATGGTTTTGTTGACAAGACATTCAAGTCTGCTTCATGAGACATTTTTTTCAAAACTAGCCAAGCAACTAGTGCTAAATTAAAAAGCAAAAAAAATCTTTTGGGTGAAAACAATGTCAAAACGACAAGGGAGGAGCCTAGAAAGTTGAAGGCAAATAGCTAATACCAGTGAAAACAATAAAGGTAGTAGCTAATACAGTGAAAACCAACGGAGGTAATAGCTGATACCAGTAAAAGCAATTAAATGAAGGCGCGTATCTTATAATGCAGCCGTTAGATAAAGCGTGTAGCTTGTAATGAATCCCTAAAGAAAGCGTATAGCTTGTAATGAATCCCTAAAGAAAGCGTGTAGCTTGTAATTCAAAGCTTCAAAAGCGGATAGCTTATGATAGAACCTCTCGAGTATAGCGTACAGCTTATGATCCAAGCCCCCAAAGCGTAGAGCTTTTAATCCAGTCTCAGCGGATAGCTTCTAGTGTAAAGCCTCAGCGTAGAGCTTCTAGTGCAAAGCCTCAGATAGCTTCTAATCCAGTTTCAGCAGATAGCTTCTAATCCAGTTTCAGCAGATAGCTTCTAATCCAGTTTCAGCAGATAGCTTCTAATCCAGTTTCAGCAGATAGCTTCTAATCCAGTTTCAGCAGATAGCTTCTAATCCAGTCTCAGCGTACTGCTCCTAATTCAAGTCCGCAACTAAGACCTCTAACCAAGCGAGAAAAAGATATACAAAAAAACTAGTATATCAAAGGCCCTTAAAAACAAAAAGTCAGTTTAAACAAGTGGAAAAGCGAGTTCAAACGAGTCAAAAACTTCTCAAACCTATCCTACTACTACAACTTATACTCTAGTTGCACAAATTTCAAAAATAACGTCCAACAGGATATCTAATCTTTTGATATGCTTCCCGTCTTCTCAATCTTCCTCTATTACAATATTCTATTATTCTCTTCTATCGCCTATTAACTTTTTTTTTCTTCCTCACTGGAAAAAAAAAAATTGAGCTCCTCATTGCTGTTCCATACACGACTTTTCTCTTGTTATAAGCATTAGGGAGATTCTGAGAAGATCAAGTGATGAGCAAAAGAGGAAATGAGACTAAAGAGCTTGCTTAAAAAATAGCACAAGATATTCAAGGGTCTTAGTATGATTTTAATATTAGATAGTAGAATAGCATGTTGTAATTCTAAGGACAACACCGCCGTTTAATCCCCTAGGATGGAGGATGGGGATGGGGGAGCTTTGGACTTTCGGCTTGCCACCTCCTTTTAGCATATGGTAGCACCTCAAGAATGAAAATTTTGAAAAGTAAAGCGACAAAGTCAACGAAAAAAAATGAAACATTCAAAAGGGAGTGGAAAATAACAACCAGCCTTTATTAGTTCTAAACGGCCCTCCTAATCTGTGTGTATCTTGTCGATAGGTACTGGTGGCTAAAGATAGATATTCACTTGTATAATTTTTAGATACGTTTGTCAGCCGTGGATAAGGGGACATCAGCACGATTGGAAACGCCCAGTTTGAAGCCAATAACATATTTTCATATTTGTGGGTTTTTTTTTTAAAAAAAAGGCCTTTTCTTGACAAGCAACAAGTCTTGAGAGCAAAACTTTCAAAGAGTTCTCAGAGAAGGGGCATTTTTAGAAAGTGTTTTCATCCACTTGCTTTGCACTCATTAACTTGTTTGCAGCAGTTTTTAATTCCGTTCTTTTACCTTTTTTTGCTCGAGGTTTTCATCACCTCAATTTTTGCTGGCCGTTTTGATCTCACCCATTTTTGTACAATATACATATAACCAGAAAAAGGTTGATAACCATCATTAAAGGAGACTTATAACAGTCCACTAAAAAGTCCATACTAATCTATTAAAAAGTTCGAAAAGAAAAAATTCAAAAAAAAAAAAACAAAAACAAAAACAAAAACAAAAAAAGAACAACCAGGTAATAGAAATTTTATCATGAGTCGCCAGTTCCCTCACTCTAGTGCCCCCTTGAAATCCATTAAGGAAGTGCAGTTTGGTCTTGCGTCTCCAGAGGAGATCCGAGCAATTAGTGTCGCCAAGATTGTCTATCCAGAAACATTTGACCAATCAACAAAACGACCTAAGGAAGGTGGGCTAAATGATCCAAGACTTGGCTCTATCGACAGGAATTATCGTTGTCAAACATGTGGCGAAGACATGTCTGAATGTCCTGGTCATTTTGGCCATATCGAGTTGACACGGCCCGTGTTCCATATTGGGTTTATTGCAAAGATCAAGAAAGTTTTGGAAAGTATATGTTTCCATTGCGGCAAACTACTTGTTGACGAGCAAAACCCATTGATGGCACAAGTAATCAAAATTAGAGATCCCAAGAAGAGGTTCAATGCCGTTTGGGGTCTTTGTAAAACCAAGATGATCTGTGAGACTAGTGAAACGGAAGGGGTACGTGGCGGTTGTGGTCACACTCAGCCCACAATACGAAGAGATGGGTTGAAACTTTGGGGAACATGGAAAAGCAATAAAAATTTCGAAGAAAACGATCAACCGGAACGGCGTTTGTTGACCCCAACCGAAATTCTCAATATCTTCAAACACATTAGCTCCGAGGATTGCTATAGATTGGGTTTCAATGAGGATTACGCGAGACCAGAGTGGATGTTAATTACCGTGTTACCGGTTCCACCTCCTCCAGTAAGACCAAGTATTGCTTTTAACGATACCGCAAGGGGAGAAGATGACTTGACGTTCAAGTTGGCAGATGTGATAAAGGCAAATATGAATGTGCAAAGGTTGGAGATGGACGGGTCTCCGCAACATGTAATTAGTGAGTTTGAAGCGTTGCTTCAGTTTCATGTGGCTACTTATATGGATAACGATATTGCAGGACAGCCCCAGGCATTGCAAAAAACAGGACGTCCTATCAAATCTATAAGAGCACGTTTGAAAGGTAAAGAAGGTAGATTGAGAGGTAATTTAATGGGGAAAAGAGTTGATTTTTCAGCACGTACCGTTATTTCTGGTGACCCCAACTTGGACTTGGATCAAGTTGGTGTTCCTATATCGATTGCAAAAACTTTGACATATCCAGAAATTGTAACTCCGTATAATATTCACAAATTAACCGAATTGGTGAGAAACGGTCCCAGTGAACATCCCGGTGCCAAGTATGTTATCAGAGATACAGGTGACCGTATTGATTTGAGGTATAACAAAAGAGCAGGTGATATCGCCTTGCAGTATGGTTGGAAGGTAGAACGTCATCTTATGGACAATGATCCAGTGTTGTTCAACCGTCAACCTTCGTTGCACAAGATGTCTATGATGGCACATAGAGTGAAAGTGATGCCATACTCTACTTTTAGGTTGAACTTATCAGTCACATCGCCTTATAATGCTGATTTTGATGGAGATGAAATGAATTTACATGTTCCACAATCACCAGAAACTAGGTCAGAACTTTCGCAAATTTGTGCTGTGCCATTACAAATTGTTTCTCCGCAATCCAACAAACCCGTTATGGGAATTGTTCAAGATACATTGTGTGGTATTCGTAAGATGACCTTGCGTGATATATTTATTGAATTTGACCAGGTTATGAATATGTGCTATTGGATTCCAAATTGGGATGGAGTTATTCCACCTCCTGCAATTGTGAAACCTAAGCCATTATGGTCTGGTAAGCAAATGCTTTCGTTAGCTATTCCCAAGGGTATCCATTTGCAACGATTCGATGGAGGAAGAGACTTGCTAAGTCCCAAGGATACTGGAATGTTGATTGTTGATGGTGAGATTATGTTTGGTGTTGTTGACAAAAAGACAGTTGGTGCGACTGGTGGTGGTTTGATACACACAGTTATGAGAGAGAAGGGTCCAGCGGTTTGTGCTCAATTGTTTAGCTCTATACAAAAAGTTGTGAATTTTTGGCTATTACACAATGGATTCAGTATTGGTATAGGTGACACGATTGCTGATTCCGCAACAATGAAGGATATCACAAAGACCATTCAAGAAGCAAAATTAAAGGTGCAAGAAATCATTATGGATGCTCAACATAACACATTGGAGCCAGAACCAGGTATGACTTTGAGAGAGTCTTTTGAGCACAATGTGTCTCGAGTTTTGAATCAAGCGCGTGATACCGCTGGTCGTTCTGCAGAGATGAGTTTGAAAGATTTAAATAACGTGAAACAAATGGTTACCTCAGGATCCAAAGGTTCTTTTATTAACATTTCACAAATGAGTGCTTGTGTGGGCCAACAAATTGTTGAAGGTAAGAGAATTCCATTTGGATTTGCCGACCGTTCTTTGCCACATTTTACCAAGGATGATTATTCACCGGAATCAAAAGGATTTGTTGAAAATTCGTATTTAAGAGGTTTAACTCCACAAGAGTTTTTTTTCCATGCAATGGCTGGTAGAGAAGGTCTTATCGATACTGCGGTTAAAACTGCTGAAACCGGTTATATCCAACGTCGTTTGGTTAAAGCGTTGGAGGACATAATGGTGCATTATGACGGAACCACAAGAAATTCCTTAGGAGATATTATTCAGTTTATATACGGAGAAGATGGTATTGATGCTACACAAGTTGAAAAACAATCAATTGATACCATCCCCGGATCGAATGAGAGCTTTGAGAGAAGATACAAAATTGACGTTTTGGAAGAAGCCACCACCATTCCAGAATCCTTGTTGGAGTCCGCTAAGGAGATTCAAGGTGATGTGGAATTACAAAAGTTACTTGATGAAGAGTACCAACAATTACTCGAGGATCGTAAGTACTTGAGAGAAGTGTGCTTCCCCAACGGTGACTTTAGTTGGCCATTGCCGGTGAATTTGCGTCGTATTATTCAAAATGCTCAACAAATTTTCCATAGTGGTCGTGATAAGCCTTCAGATTTGAGATTGGACGAGATTATAATGAGTGTCAGAGAGTTGTGCACAAAGTTATTGGTAGTCAGAGGTAATACCCCATTGGCAAAAGAGGCTCAAGATAATGCTACTCTATTATTCCAGTGTTTGCTTAGGTCCAGATTAGCTTCAAGAAGAGTTATTGAAGAATTCAAGTTGAGCAAAGCTTCATTTGAGTGGGCGTTGGGTGAGATTGAAACACAATTTCAAAAGTCTGTTGTGCATCCCGGTGAAATGGTGGGTGTTGTTGCTGCTCAATCCATTGGGGAACCAGCAACACAAATGACGTTGAACACTTTCCATTATGCCGGTGTGTCATCCAAGAATGTTACTTTGGGTGTTCCTAGATTAAAGGAGATTTTGAATGTGGCAAAGAATATCAAGACACCTGCATTGACTGTGTATTTGGATCCAGAAGTTGCTTCTGATATCGAGCTGGCTAAGATTGTTCAATCGTCAATAGAGCACACTACATTGAAGAATGTTACCTCTTCGACCGAGATTTACTATGATCCGGATCCTAGAACTACCGTTATTGAAGAAGATTATGACACGGTGGAAGCTTACTTTGCCATTCCCGATCAGAAGGTTGAGGAAAGTATAGGCAAGCAATCGCCTTGGTTATTAAGATTGGAACTTGATCGTGCCAAGATGTTGGACAAACAATTAACAATGGCTCAAGTTGCAGAAAAAATTTCTCAAAACTTTGGCGAGGATTTGTTTGTTATATGGTCGGATGATACAGCTGACAAGTTGATTATACGTTGTCGTGTGGTGAGAGATCCTAAGTCGTTGGATGAAGATGCGGATGCCGAGGAAGATCAAATTTTGAAACGTATTGAAGCGCACATGTTGGAGTCGATTTCATTGAGGGGTATTCCAGGTATTACTAGGGTATTCATGATGCAGCATAAAGTAAGTCATCCGGATGCCACGGGTGAGTTTAAGCAAGGAAAAGAGTGGGTCTTGGAAACCGATGGTGTCAATTTGGCAGACGTTATGGCAGTGCCTGGGGTTGATGCTGCTCGAACCTATTCGAATGACTTTATTGAAATTTTATCGGTATTAGGTATTGAGGCCACCAGATCGGCATTGTATAAGGAGATTTTGAATGTTATCGCGTTTGATGGTTCTTATGTGAATTACCGTCATATGGCATTGTTGGTTGATGTGATGACATCACGTGGTCATTTGATGGCTATCACGCGTCATGGTATTAATAGGTCTGATACAGGTGCATTAATGCGCTGTTCTTTCGAAGAAACAGTTGAGATTCTATTGGACGCTGCTGCGTCAGCAGAGTTGGATGATTGTAAAGGTATATCAGAGAATGTGATGTTGGGTCAAATGGCTCCACTTGGTACAGGTTCTTTTGATGTAATGGTTGACGACAAGATGTTGCAGCAAGCACCTGCCAATGTAGCCTTTGAAGAAATCGCCGATGAAGGAGGCGCTACGCCGTATAGAGATATTGAGATGGAAGATGATCAAATTGTTTTGGATGAAGGTGCTGGATTTTCGCCAATTCATAATCCAGCGACAGATAGCATGAATGGTGGATTAACGTCATATGGTGGCCAACCTACCTCACCGGGAGTTACTTCGCCATTTAGTTATTCGACTTCACCAGGATATGGAGGTACTAGTCCAGGATATGGAGGTACTAGTCCCGGCTATGGATACGCTCCAACGTCTCCTAGTTACTCACCTACATCTCCAAGCTACTCACCTACATCGCCAAGCTACTCACCTACATCACCAAGCTACTCACCTACATCGCCAAGCTACTCACCTACATCGCCAAGCTACTCACCTACATCACCAAGCTACTCACCTACATCGCCAAGCTACTCACCTACATCTCCTAGTTACTCACCTACATCGCCAAGCTACTCACCTACATCTCCAAGCTACTCGCCTACATCTCCAAGTTACTCACCTACATCTCCTAGTTACTCGCCTACATCTCCAAGCTACTCACCTACATCGCCAAGCTACTCACCTACATCGCCAAGCTACTCACCTACATCTCCTAGTTACTCACCTACATCGCCAAGCTACTCACCTACATCCCCATCATATTCACCTACATCCCCACAATATTCACCTACATCCCCATCATATTCACCTACATCTCCATCATATTCACCTACATCCCCATCATATTCACCTACATCACCACAATACTCGCCTACATCACCGCAGTACTCACCAACGTCTCCTAATTACTCTCCAAGATCACCTGAGTATAAACCGAAATCCCCATCTAAAAAAGAAGACGAATAGATTTTGTAAGGCATATATGTTTGTAATTAATAGTATAATATTTAGAGATAAGTTTTACTCGCTACCAAGCGTTTTTCTTTCTTTTTCTTTTTTTTTTTACATTCTCAATGAATCTGATTATCACTCGTGCCCTAGTAAAGCAGTTTACCATACCAGGTGTGGAAGAAGGGAGAGAGAATATGGCGCCAAGCAAGAGTACAGCTAAAGACGCTCATGGAACCTCATTGAAAGCCAGAAATGCGCGGAAGAATCAAAACTTTAGGATGCTACTAGATAATCCTTTCACGCAATCTAATATTTGGCCATTTGTTGAACCACAGGTTTCAACTGATATACTTGACTTGTTTGAAGCACTTGTTGGTCCCTTATTCAAGTCACAGGTGGATGGTAATAAAAGGCCATTTGTTAAGGGGGTTAATTATGGGTTCAACTCTACTGTTGAAGTACTAGAGAGGCAAGCAGCGAACAATAGAGGTAGGCGGAAGGATTCGGTGGACCAGCTCAAGTACATACTTGTATGCAAGTATGATATCACACCTCAACTTCTAATAACTATGTTTCCCGTGCTTTGTTTCACTGCTTCAAAAAGCCCCGACAATCGAGTCAAACTAGTACAACTACCGAGAGGCAGCATGAGCAGGCTATCCCAAGTGATTGGAGTACCCAAAACGGGGATCGTTGGCTTGAGCAGTAACCTAAAGGAAGCGCAGGCTTTGTTTGATTTGATAGAGAGACGAGTTTCAAATATCGATGCTCCGTGGTTGAACCAAATTTTTGAAAACCCCAATATGTTTTATCAACCAAAGGTGAAACAAATTGTTACAGTTCGAGGAGATAAGAAACAGAAACGGAAGCAAACGAGAGAAATGGACACAGAAGCAAACGAAGCAAACGGAAACGGAAGCAAACGAAAGAAACGGAAGCAAATGAAAGAAACGGAAGCAAACGAAGGAAACCAAAACATGGGATAGACAAGCGGGCAATCTAATGGGGATGTTTCAATAATGAAGCATTTTCTTATATACAACGATAATTTTTCACCAAACGCGTAGCATTGAATTTTTTTTTTTTTTTTTCACTTTTTTTTTCCAATACGCTTTCTACTCTTTTCCACCCCAACATGTCAAAAACCACTTTGGAACTTCCGTGGGTTGAGAAGTATCGGCCACATGTATTAGATGATATTGTTGGTAACGAAGAGACCGTTGAACGGCTAAAAGTTATTGCTAAGGATGGTAACCTTCCACATATGATTATTTCCGGTTTACCAGGTATTGGTAAAACCACTTCAGTGCATTGTCTTGCTTATGAGCTACTAGGCGACGAATATTACCACCAAGCCACCTTAGAGCTCAATGCATCTGATGATAGAGGTATTGATGTTGTGAGAAACAAGATTAAGCAATTTGCTCAAACGAAGATTTCGATGCCACCGGGGAGGACCAAAATTGTTATATTAGATGAAGCGGATTCAATGACTCCGGGAGCACAACAAGCGTTGAGAAGAACGATGGAGATATATTCCAACACAACAAGGTTTGTTTTTGCGTGTAATCAATCGCTGAAGATAATTGAACCTTTGCAGTCGCGTTGTGCGATACTTCGATATAGCAAATTGTCTGATGAAGAAGTATTATCTAGATTGCTAGAGATTATAAAATTAGAGGATGTGAAATACAACAATGAAGGATTACAGGCTATAATATTCAGTGCCGAAGGTGATATGAGACAAGCAATCAACAACTTGCAAAGTACAGTTGCAGGATTTGGGTTTGTCAATGACATAAATGTATTCAAAATTGTTGATCAGCCGCACCCATTAGTAATCCAAAAGATATTGGATCACTGTTTGAAACAGGATATCGATAGTGCCTTAGAGCTATTGGATGGTCTCTGGCACAAGGGGTATGCAGCAATTGATATCGTAACGCTGAGTTTCAAAGTCGCCAAATCGATCCCGAATGTTGACGAGCTGAAACGGTTGGAGATGATAAAGGAAATCGGTTTTACACATATGAGAGTGCTAGAAGGGGTAGGCAGTTACTTACAATTATGCGGGATGTATGCTAAGATATGTGATTTATAATAAAAAAAAAAAAAAAAAAAAAAAACATACATATAAATTTTTACAAATTATCTAGTTTTGAATGCATTAGCAAGTAACTGGAAATGTTTAATCTCCTCAGTAGCATTTTCTGCTTCATTTTTGAGAATATTCAAAACCAAAAAGTAGTTGTTGTAGAGAAAGATCTCCTTATCAATACCTTTGAAATGGCTGCTTGCTTTGGTAATGCCATTTTCATAATCGTTCTGAAGTCTTAGGATATATGATCGTAGAGGCTCTCCGGTTATCGACATCCTGAGCAATGCCAGTAAGAACAACCCAAACTGCTGGGTAATGGCAAGTGGTGCTAAAGTCTTTGGGCTTCTTGCCATATGTCTTTTCAAGGACTCACAGTTGAGATCTATTATTCTGGTGCAGATTGGCCAAAGATACAAGAGTAACGAGTTCATGTAATCATCAAGGATGGGAACATGGAGATCGTGTAGTTTCAGCTGGTAGTTATGAATGGTCTTTATCAGTAACAAAATCCCGTATATATCACAAGTTCCAGAAGTAATGTAATGGATGCATTCTCGCGACATTTCAAACACATCCCTAAACATTTGCGGTGCCCAAGTATGGTCTTTTTCTTCTCCTTGATAGAAAAAATCAATAACAAATAGATACTCTACTGAAGCATTGTCAATAATGGCCATCAATAACTGGCGAATAATAAATTCCGTGGTGTATGATGCAGTAATTGTTTCAGCTAATTGCGATGGCATACACTGTTCCTTACTGTTCAAAATTTTGACTCTTTGTTCAAACGTGTTTAGGTAATTGGAAGAGTCAAAAACAGGGCTTTCCAAGTGTCGTTTTTGCAATTTCTCAAGCGAATAGATGTACTTTGCAAACTTGCTCTTGTAGTACCAACGCATGGTGTGAAAGTAAGCGCGCTGTAACTGAGCTGTGAGGTTTGGTTGCTGCATTTTTAAAAATTGAAACAAGCTGCTTGCTTCGAGAAGTCTTCGTTGTATTTGCTGGGACGAGGATGTACGGTTTGATCGTAGGAGACGGATCTGGGAAATCACGAAATCACGAACTCTCTCCACCACTTTAGCTGTGATCAACTGCGAGTCTTCAGAACCCATTTTCTCTAGCACATAGTTTACCTTGTCAAGATAGTCGTTTTTCAAGTCATCCTTAAGAATCTCTTTGATTGTCTCGGGGGGGATTATCTTTTCATTGATCAACTGCTCTAAACGCTGAGTGACTACCTTGTTAAATTTGGAATCTTTGCTCAAATCGTTGGATTGTCGTTCTAAAGAAACTAAAGATGATGATAGCTCTTTCAAGTCAGTTGAGAAACTCTCAAGAACTAACCCAATTGGTTGAAGCTTTCGCTTGTATTGAGCAAGGGATTTGTTATACAGGTGAAACTCGGCCATTAACTCAACAAGACTAACATCACTTGAAACAGATGTGTCACAAATCTCAGTTTCAGCCTGTTCATTGCTATCAGCGTCCGTGGGTAGGATCTTTTGTAAGGCTGCAATAGCCATGTTTTAGATTTAACCCTTTGTTAGTTGAACCTTTTGCTCTTTTTTTTTTTTTTTTTGTTTTTTTTCATCAATGAAACAATTGAAAAGGAAATATGAAATAGAATGAAATAAATAAAAAGGGAATCCACCATTCGTTATGGAAACTATGTTTGATTAGAGGAGAGGATGATATTGACACCATCTCAGCGATTGGCCGTTACTAGGGGGTTTCAGCCAGGAAGAATACTTTCTATACAGAGCGGTCCAGGATGTGGGAAAAGTTTGTGCATTGCTAAAAGAATTGAGTTTATGCTAAATAGAGGAGTAGCTCCAGAAGAGATTATAGTATTGTCGATGACAAATCGAGCGGTTAATTCGCTCAAAAAGACAATCTCCAATTCGTTTGGTTCACGCGTGGATGACTTGGTTATCAAGACATTTCATTCCTTTGCATCGATGATAGTTGACGGACACCAAGCAACATATTTTCCTAATCGGCCGCCTAACAGCGTGATGGACGACTCAAATTGGAGAAGCTTTGCTAGATTTTTTGGAGCAAAATATCATGCTTTGGAAAAAGCTGTTGACGAGGTTAATCATGGATCACCTATTGAGTCAGTTGCTGAGATAAATTCAATACCTGTGGCTAAGTTGAAGGAGACGGTAAAGTATCTTGAAGATAACGGGATAGTGAGGTATCTGGGTTTGATAACCTCGGCAATGAAGTTGATGGACAAATCCGGTGATAATCTACCCTTGGCAAATGCAAAAGTGTTGGTCATTGACGAGTTTCAAGATATGCATCCCAAGCTTTTGCAGTTTATTAAAAAAATTGCTCTATATGGGACCCCAAAGCATATTACATTAGCCGGGGATAAAAACCAATGCATTTATGAATTCTTAATGTCTTATCCCACGATTACCGAGGATTTTATAAAGGAGTTGGGATTCCCTTCTGAGGAAGTGGTTTTGAAGGAAACTTTCCGCTTAACGCCGCAAATCCTCAAAGAGGCAAATAGCATTATTCGCACCGACATTCAAAGTGCTAAAGCCACTGGTTTGGAGATTATGAAACAAGAAGACTTGTGCACTGATATTGTTGAGTTGATAGCCCTTTCAGGTGGTTTATTGCGGTTTTCTGACTTGATTGTCCTTGTTAGGACAAACAAGGAAGTTGACGATATCTCACAAACATTGACGGAAAAGTATGGTATAAAATGCAACAAATATAATGGCCAAGACTGGGTTAATTCCGAGTTGCATATATTTCTTGATGTATTGCATATTCTTCGAAGAAGCTATGGGTCTGATTTTGCATTATTATTGATGTTTGAGCGGTTAGGCATGAAGAAGAATGAGTTGAAAGATCTCTTTGTAGCTTACAAGCAATGGAACAAGAGCAACGAAAACAAGTTGGAGGAGTTTTTGAGGATGAATTTAAAGAATGAGAAGGAAAAGTTTGCCGAGTTTTTGGATTGTGTCCAGGCTGAAAGATACGAGTTGGACACTCCTGTGTCTATAATGGGCTCTCTTGGAAGAATCACACAAAAGTTTAACTTATTACCCTGGAGTTCCAAATTGCAGGAAAATTTGAATAGCTTCTTTCTATCGTTGGAATATTCTTACATGAATTACTCAAAAGATCCAACCTCGACATTTATTGAGTACTTTTTATCGCATTATCACGAAGCAGAACCTATCTTGGAAGATAATCTGGTAAATATCTCAACTGTACATAAGGCGAAAGGTTTAGAGTTTCCAGTGGTTTTTATTCCTTCAAGAAGGGGCTTTTCATCCCGTCTTCTGTATGTAGCTGTGACGAGGGCTCGAAATTTGTTGTACATTGGTGGTCCATCACCTGAGGCGGCGCTGGAAAGAAACAGTGAGAAACTAATGTCTTATATGGCAGATATAACCAATGACTTGAAGCGCACAATTCCAAAAAAGCATAATTTCGAAGCAGGAAAATATTTATTAAACTTATGTAGGAAAGCTCTATGCTAATTTCAGTAATAAATCCATTACTTCTAAACTTGTCTTCTCTGGAAACTCGTGCTCCGGACTCTTTTCCTCGTCATTCAGCTCGTTTACTTCAAACTCATTAACTTCAATGTTTTCGGCAAATGCTACTTTTCTATTGGGTGTAGAGCCTCCCGAAGGTGTTGAAGACATCTTTCTCTTTTTGACCTTGCGATCATCTTCAGTGTCTTCCTCCTCCTCCTCCTCATCATCTTCTTCGTATTTAGGCAAGTCTTCTTCTTCCTCTTCCTCTTCTTCTTCTACTTCTTCCTCCTCTTCTTTTTCTTTTTTTTCTTGTCCTCCTCTTCCTCCTGGGTGCTCCTTTTCTGGATGTTTGTCTCCAGAATGTTTTTCTGGCTCAGTTTCAACCTGTAACTTTTGTCTAACCTCATGAATCTTTTTAATTTTATCTCTTATGATTGCCATTTTGCTTTCGTCGCTCTTGATTCCGTCAACTAGCAGCACCACCAATGTATCAAGACTATCTTTAATATTTTCTCTCGTCGTTTTGATCTCCTCAATATTATTGATTGAAACTTTACTTAACTTCTCTAAAACATTTAGCTTACTTAAATGAACATGAGTCTTTGGTAGGTTATCCGATGCCAAATTCAAATACGTTTTCGATTGTATTCCCAACTGGGTGAGGTTCCCCTGGCTGATCTCAGTTAAATCATTAATATGTTGGAAAAGGTCATTGATATGCCTCAACTCCGGTATCACCAGGGAACTAGATTTAGCAGCTGTAGGTGTTGCTTTTGCCGACGCACTAGCTGAATTCAAAGATTTTCTTAGACTCTCGATATAATCAAAAGCAAAAACAGAACGCTGTTGCCAAACATCCACCACCCTGTTGATTTTTGACTTTATCGTAGACTCAGCAGCCCCATATATGGGGCTTATCACTTGTGGGATTATTTTGCTAAAGTTATGAATGTACAACGTCTTGTTTTGACGTTTGGCTTGCTGAACAACATCATTGCAAAGGTAAATGAGAAGTAACTTTGTAGTATCTGACAATGTATGTGTTATTCGCGATTTCCACACCTCAATCAATTCTGCCGACGCCAGCTCATTCGCTAGCATATATTTCGAAAGCGCGTTTATCGACTCTTGAGTCTCATTGATCCTGTCAAGCCTTGCTGCGAAATTGGCCACAAGGGTCATCTCCTACAATTGAACCGATGTTATCAAAGAAGGAAGATTTTAAAAAAAAAAATTAAAAAAAAAAAAAAAATAATGAAAACAATGTTGTTTTCATTTTGAATTGGAATAAGCAAAAAGGTTTAGAGATGGCGCCAAAGAAATCAAAGACCAAGGATAGTGGGAAGGAGATTAAGGGGTCTAGTAATGGGAATAGTAGTAAGAAGGCGATGAATAGCAGTTCCAGTTCGATTGTATCTAGACCGAGCTCGAGCTCGAAAAAAGCAACGCCTATATTTTCTGAACAAGTATTATCAGCCACCAATGTTGATTCGCTAGTCGACTTGATAAACGAGAATGTTCACACGAATGCTGATGTAATTCATAGCAAATATAGAGATACAGTTGAGGAGCAAATGGCGGAGGATCACAAGTTGATTCAGCAACTACGAGAGGAGAATGCCAAGTTGAATGAACAATTGTCAGAATCTAGCATGGCAGAGTATACGTCGCCCATACGGAAGAAGAAGATAAAACAGGATGATTTTGAGAAAGAGCGAGAGCATATTTGTTTCACTTTGGACTTGTTAGAGCTTCTAACAGGGATCAAGGTTACCAATTTTGAAGAGTCACCGACACAGTATACATTTGACATTAAGCAGACCTCGTCCAATAAGGAAGTCTTCATTGAGTATCTGCTCATTCTATCTAAAGTAGACTCATCTCAAATCAATTACGTACCGACGTTCATAGAGGACGACGGTTATGGACGAGACACAGAGTACAAAAACAATAGAAAACACTTGATCAAGATTCTACCGGACTATCTTTGTGAGTATTTATCATTTCCTTTCAATACATTGGCTCAATTCTATAGTAAAGTAAATAAGGCTATCAATAAGAAGTAAATAAAAGAAAAGGCTATTTCATTCTATAACCAACCGGCCATCAATTTTGGCAACTGACAACTCCTTGAGAATTTTCTTTAATTTTTTCGAATCATCCTTTGAGGCCTTTTTGAGGATTTTATACAAGTTTTGGGGTTTGTTATTTACAAGGGGGGCAAAGGTGAGATCTTTGTTTGAGACTTCCAGCTTATTGGCTGGTACACCCTGTTTCGCCAGCTTCTTCTCTGGTACCTTCTCTTTCACTGGCTTCTTCTCTGGTACCTTCTCTTCCACTGGCTTCTTCTCTGGTACCTTCTGTTTCACTTGTTTTTTCTGGTTCTTTCCCCTGTACAAAGCTTTCTCATATTTTTCTGCTTCTGATATGCACTTTGTATGCTGATTATGGTCGTTACCGTGGAATGTAGTTGAACAGTCAATACAAGTAAAGTAAGCACCATGACATCTCAGTTGATGCTGGCCAAGCTTCTTTTTAACCACTGTGTCATTGCATACTTCGCATGAAAAGGAAACCATTATGACAAGGAGATGACCTTGTCAAATTTTTTTTTTCCATCAAAATTTACACTCTTTTTTTCCTCTTTACAATTTTTGAATAGAGCGAGATAGTGGAGCACACTAGCTGCCATAAAACTAATCACACCAGTTTTATAATCGGTTTGTCCCTTCTTAAAACCCTCGATATAGTTAGGGTGCTCCACTATCTCGCTCTGCTCAATAGTGTCGATATAGTCAGTGTGCTCCACTATCTCGCTCTGCTCAATAGTGTCGATATAGTTAGGGTGCTCCACTATCTCGCTCTGCTCAATAGTGTCGATATAGTCAGTGTGCTCCACTATCTCGCTCTGCTCAATAGTGTCGATATAGTTAGGGTGCTCCACTATCTCGCTCTGCTCCCTAGTGTCGCGCATTATTTCGGCCTTCACCACACGGGTTCGTCTTCCTTTTTACGCTGTACCCGCACGATTTCGTAATCCTGTTGTACTTCCTTCTCTAAATGGTCAGTCAACAATCCTTGCAATCTGTAAAAGTCCTGTTTCTTATCAAATTTACGTTTATTTTCAATCATATCCATCATCTCTTCCTCTCCCAATTGTTGATGTTTTTCGTCATACCTTTCCCACTTGATACTGGTGAATTTTTGCAAATAAATAGACCCAGCTACAATGGATAAGAGAAACGGTAAGCCCAAATATAAGAAATGGTTTTTCTTGACTAGTTTGGAATACTTTCCGGCTATCGTTTTGTCAAAAGCTGCTTGCTCCTTTGCGCTTCTATATATTTGAGCTCCAAATCTTGCCATTTTGGAAGTGTCACACAAGTGTTTAATTGGCAAAATCTGGTGACCTATCACACAACAAATGTACTTTTACCAGGGAGTTGAAAAAAAAAAAAAACCAACAGAAAATTGGTAGCGAGTCTAAAAAAAATGAGCTGTGCTATGGTATACTAAGCTAAAAAGCATGAGTTGGACATTCAGTTATGTCTCGAATTCTTCTTTATATAGGGTTTCCATTTCGCTGTAGGTGAATGGCACAAACAATAGTTCCAAGCCCGAAGAGTCCTTGACTAGCTGGCACATTTTATGGTCGAGGTACTCCTTGAGAAAAGTTCTGAATGTGACTTCGTTGGATACTATGAACTCGTCCAAACATAGACTATAGAGTAAACGTAATTCTAATGCAAATTTGACCACCCCCTTTAGCCCCAGACCTCTTGTATCGGCAATAGGTTTCATCCTGATTAGCTGGCCTTCCAAGAGCAAGCGGTAGAGGTTGCGGTGGTTCTCAGTTAACGATCTAAGAACAAATTTAGCACCAAGACTTCCAACAAACTTTTTCGATTTTCCTAAATTGAGGATATCCTTGAACGAGAGTTCTGCAATGTATGGCGCGTATGTAGTTAAATCGTGCCATATTAAATTCAAGTTTTTTGATTTCGACAGGTCCCAGAGGAGTGGCGCGTTGATATGGTCCGTGGAAGTTATTGCTAGTATTTGCGGGATTGCCGCCAATTGTGAAAATAGTCCCTGGGTTTTATCTGATCGGAGAGACTCACCGTCGATATTGTGCACTATGAGGAGTAGTCTTGGGGTAATGGGTTCTTTTGCCATGTAGTCTACAAGGAATGGCACTGTGTCAGAAACGTGTTTCGGTAGTTTTGTGGCAGTGTTGTCCTTTACCAAAACATTAGCTATTTCAAGGACAATTGTTTTGAAATCGACATTTGGATTATAACCATTGACAACAAACACTTTTGGGAGTGGGTCTTCAGTGTTTTCCGTCCACCAAATACCAAAGTAGTTTTCTGCAAAGTCATTGATAATGGATAGTTTCGATCCGACGCCGTAGAAGTTGATGTTGAAGCCTTGTGATAGTTCAAAGCACCACTGGTGATAGAGGTATTTGTGTGGAAGAAGACTCGAAATTTTTGTAATTTCATTTTGTTGCACCGCTTTGTTAAACTCATCACGAGTCAATTTAGGAGCAATTAAGGAATTTGCATTGATTCTGAATCTTGCATGCTGCTGTTCGAAATAGCCTTCAGGTCCTTCCAATGAGAATGCGCGTTCATCTACCAACCTTTCATTGTTAATTTTGGAAGGGTCCTCGCCATTCATGTATGTTTGAAGAAACTCGGGGTCATCAATGTTACCATTACTATTAATTTTTGGGATCGGTAGAGGGTCAAATATGTGTGGCTCATGGATCGTTGGCACTATATTATCGATTCCACTAATAATAGGGTCATTGGTGGTCGCCGATTGTAGTATTTGACCTGCAAAGGAATTGAAGATGTTTTGAACTTGTATCAGTGGTGATCGCTTTTTCCTACTAGCCATAGCTGGCTTGCGTAACTCCTCTTGATTTAGACTTGGCTTGTTTATTCTACTAGGGGTACCGGTTTCTTGGTACTCTTCGCCGGATGAGTCCAGACCCAAATCCAGCATTTCTGTCGTTTCTTTCCTTTTAGCTGATGTTGTAGCTCTCTTTCGATCAGACTCCAAGTCCAGGTCCAAATCCAAGTCCAATCTCAATTTTTCTGTCTCATCTATTTCCAATTCTACATCGCTTCCATAATTTTGTCCTATCAGTGCTTCAATTGACTTGTTAGCACAAGATCGTATACCCAGTATACCCAGTGTCTTCCGCTTATCTGGCGACTTTAATCCTGATCGACCAGTTGGTGTTTTCACAGTAGAGAACCTGAATTTCATACTAAAATATTTACCTATAGAGAACAGAATTTTCAATTTTATATTTTTTTTACATTTTTTTTTTTCAAGATTTTCCATTTCGGTTGATTTACCATCCACAAATGCTCACGTTCTGCCCCCATTGTCTGAATATGCT